CTCACTACAGCCCCAAAATCTACTCAGGTAACTTTTTTCCTCCAAGATGAAAAACTGACATATATCTCCGAGAAAGTGACGTAGATGAAGTGGAACCGTGTCCTTGGGCAAAATGACAGAACATTCCCAAAAAAGGAACAAGGAAAAAAGAAGCAAAGGGGAAAAGGAACGGCCGAATGTTGCTTCTTTTCGCGTGGGGCGGAGCCTATTCATCGGTCATGACGTCATCATCGGCTCCGTTTCCATTTCCTCTTGCTCAAAAAAGGGCTCATATTAACATTTATGCAGAGCATATCGAAGAAGGAGCCCCCACGAGAATGTTTTAAGGGAACGCGGATTTGAAAAGCAATATAGATTAGAATGGAAAAATTCCCGGCGACTGGCACGGCCTCGACACAAAATAATAAAATAATACGCAAAAAGAAAGTTCGCAAAGCATTAAAATGCATTAAAATGAATTCGCGAAGCATATTTACAGACAATCGACCAAAAAACTATCCTCCCGACCGGATACTAGACCAAAGTAACAAGGCCAGCCGCTTTTTTAACCAAAAAAAAGAAGGAACTAGAGTTTTCCAAAGATTGAGCTCAAGGAGAAATTTAAAGAATATCAAAACAGGTTATCTCTCGGTGAAGATCAAAAAAAAGGTTAATTTTGAGGTGCAGGAGAATTTTCTGCACATTTTAGTACTACTTGAGTATGAAGCTCAAAATTTACAAAAGTCAATGAATGAACAAAGTATTTTTTTGGAGGCGCCCGACCAAAAACGACTCACGCCAAGTCATCATGATTCGAAGAATTTGAAACATCAAAAATTTCTTTTAAAGCCTTACCCCATATAAGAAGCTTGAACGTAAGCCTACAACTTACCTAACCACTACAATTCGAACTCAGAGAACCACAGAAAAACCCTGACATGTCACTTCAAAAGAAAAAAAAAAGAAAGAGAAAGAAAAGTATAAATCAACGAAGTAAATGTGTCGAGGAACGGGGATCTCGGGAGAAATCGAGGAGAAAAAAAAAGTAAAGAGAAAAGACAAGTTTTCAAGTGTTTGTTGTTGCTGTTTCTTACACAATTCCCTGCAATTTCGTCCGAGAACAAGGGGAAAAAACGGTAAGAATTCCTGGAAAGGGCGTTTCGAACAGAACAGGGCAAGTATTATTTTTTTAAATATATTTTTGGAAAAAAATTTTGCGGAAAAACGTATGCCTTTGCATGGGTTTTGGCAGCATTTGAATGGACTTTGCCGACTTCAGAATATTTAAAATGATTTTTTCTTGACAATTCTTCTGCCTTTTTGAAAAAATAAACTCGAAAAATTGCCCTAAATAGATTTGAAAAGCCTCTTGAAGGTTTATAGTTACCCCCAAGCCATCATAATATTAATCAAAACAGGAAAAACCCTATTCTGCTGGATCAACCAAATCCAAATCTCCAAACAAAATGCCATTATCCCACAAAAAAAAAAATCAAATCCTGAAGTACATTTTGTTAACATTTAGAAAAGCTTTCAAAATTCCACGCGATCGGACGTCATTTACGAATTCCTCAAAGCTTTTACTAGTTAAAAATAGCTTGAGCACATTGCAGAACGGGGGCAGCAGTATTCTAGTTAATTATGCTTTTCCTCTTTTTGTTTTTTCTCCGGAGATTAAAAAAATTTCATCTTTTTTTAGGATTGAAGATTTTTGAAAAAAAATAGTAGGTTGTTCAGAGCATACATGATAGAAAATCGTTAAAAAATAGGAAAATATGGAGGAATCCTAAGTAAACACTGATTTACAAATCGATAAATAACAATAGAGACCTTACCTCTTGGCTGTAAATTAGAAAGAACCCCTAAATTTACCGCATACCTTACTGTACGTTTACGCCGAATCTTTAATTAACTCACTGATTTTTTCGTTTTCGTTTTTCAACAACAAGCGGCTCAAACAGCTCTTCCGTGATAATTGAACAAATTTTGACGGAGGAAAAGAAAAAGTAAAAGAAAATCAATAATAAAAAAGAATATTTATCTTTTTTTCGCTCCTCGGATGATTAAAAAAACTGTCCCATGGAGCGCAACCCACAAACAAATTGGTTTTTTTGAAACGAAAAAATTTTGAACCCCCGCATTTTTATCCCTTTTTTCTAATTACATCACTCTTTTTCCTTTCCTTTCTTTGTTTCTATTTTACGTTGAAGAACGCCTTTGTAGTTTAATCTCCCAATTCGTCACAATGTGTATCAAAGCGAAAACAGACGAAAAATATGAACAGAATCGCATTAATTTCCTCCAACCAAAAACGACTGAAATTTGAAGGCAATCAAAAGAGACAAGGGCAAGTCTGGGACTCGTTTTTCTTTCTCAAAAAAAGATGTTATCCATTTTTGAGAAGGTTCTGTTATTGTTCTACGGATTTTGTGGGGCTTTCTTTATTTCAAGGATCAAATCGAAGACCTTTTAACTTGAAGGAAATAATTATTCCAGTACTGAAATAATTAAATTCCCTGCAAAATCAGAGGAATATTCTTAGCAAAAAAAGCTAAAGATTCATTTTTGCACGATTTTGTAGGAAATTGAATCGACTTCTCACGTGTATCAAATTTCTTGGAGAAATTAAGTGGTTGAGAATATTTTTTTCAGAGGAAAAACGAAGGGATTCTCATTGAAATTTGAAAAAGAAAAATCGCCAGAAAGCGTTTATACACATTCCGATATAAAATTGGCTATTTTTTACATTTGAAGCTATCGATAAGACCAATTTCAGTGTGAGTTTTTTTAATTTTTGAAAAATATAGACTCAAAAAAATGATTGAGAATGAAAAAAACGTTTTTTTCTCAACGCAAAAAAAGGGTGGCCGTCGAATATTTTCACAGATTTTTTTCAAAATACTAGACGTTTTTAAATTACATAGTTTTAAAAAAATTTTAATTTTTCATGGTATGTTTTTTTAAATATTTCAAACTATTTTAACAATTTTAATTGGACCAGGCTTCACTTTGCGCTTTCAGAACGTCCAAAAAGCTGTTATACACTAACTAAATCATTGCTTCGGCATTTTGTTTCTTCAAAGCAATGAAACAAACTATTTGAACAACTAGAGCCGTCGTACATAATTACCATGATCAAATGAAGGGAAAAAAACATTTGTTGGTGTGAAACCAGCCGCCATGGAGGAAGAGAAGACGAGAAAATAATGACGCTACAACTACTGGTATTAAACTCGGCAGCTTGATCCGACTGCGGACGGCCGTCGAGGAATGTTGGCGCAGCGGCGGCGGCGGCGGAGGAACGTCGGCGCGAAACCAGTTGCAGGGGCCGCACAACGGCGCCGCAACCCAAGCCGTCGTGGCAGTTCTTCACGGGTTCGACTTCCGTGTGTTCCTCGCCGATCATACGTCTTTGAGGGATTGAAATCGAGGAAATTTTCTCAACAGATAAGTCGACCTTTGGTTGGTCTAGTGGAGCAAGTTTTCGAGCTTTGAAACTTCTGAAGGAACTGTGGTAATAACTTGGAATTTAGAGTGGCTTGAGTAGATTGACTTGAGTTAACTTGAGTATGACTTTAGAAAAAAATCTTCCCGATTTTGCGAAAATAATGTGATTGGATTGAAGATGAAACAGCAAATAATGGAGCCAGGCAACAAATTTTTGAGAACTTTGAAGTAGGTACTAAAATTTTTCTGTTTTTTCTCGAAAATTTCGGTCTTTTAAGAAGAAAAACTTCGAAAATTGGTTAACGAAAACTTGTGTTTATTGAAATTTTCTTTTATTTATCGTAAATCTTTTCAGCCGAATGATTTTACAACATTTTTGTACATTAATAATAATATTCTTCCTATTCCACAGCTCCAAATTTTTTTGAAATATAATCATGGGAAGCCTGAGAAATTTTTAGTAAGGAAGCGTATTTTTACGCATTTATAAGGTTTTTTTCTATTTTTTTCCAGTTTTTTTCAAGTGAATCCCAAGGCTCGCACCAACTTGTGAATTACGAAAAAAATTATTAATTTAATAAATTTGTGAAAACTATCGAGGAGTTTGTTTTTAAAACATGTTTCAAAATGAGATTTTTGATGCTCAAGATTAAAAATTAAAGGTCGGATATTACGAAAATTAAAACTTCATATTTGAGTATTGAAAAAACAAGAATTTCCATTTTCAGCGCCGTTTCTGGATTCAAAGAAACAAAAAAAAAACAAAAGCCATCACTTCCAGCAAGGTTTTTTTCACAATCTGGAAAATAGTGGATCTAAAACCGGGAAAATTGATGACTGAAAACATGAAGGTAGCCGAATTGGATGGAAAAATAGAGAAAATGGCTGGGAATTGTTGTGAAAAACATTGTGAAGCCTCTCTTCCAAATTTTTTTGCCACTGGTCGAAAATGCCATCTGAAATGGGAAATAGCGAGCAGAGCCGGCTTAATTTAGTTATTTTCACTGCACGTTAGTTTTTTTTTTCTTCCAGGGATTCCAACTTTTGCAATGGAAGACGAATATCATTTAAGAACTGCAGAGAGGTCCCTATAGGGGCGACCTTAGGGGCGCTTGGAGGGTCTCCTCTAGGGACCGCTTTATCAACCCCTGTAGGGGAGCCACTAAGCTCTCTCTACGCATAAAAAAATAAATTAAATAAAATTTTTTTAATAAAATTGAAAAACCCCCTATAGGGAACCACTTAAGGTTTAGGGGCTAAGGAGTCAGACCCTGAACCCCTTTAGGGACCACCTTGATTTTTACCCCCTTTAGGGACCATTTTTTTCGGCCCCTATAGAGTCTGTTCTTTCCCCTAACCCCTATGGGGACCACTCTGTAATTCCTAGGTTTAGCCTGAAGAGATCAAAATTCAAGATTTCATTCAGAAATTTGAAAAAAAGCCGCACAAAATTTTTCCCAAATTAGGGCAAGGGAAGATATTGTCAAAAAAAGATCATTTTAATTTCGAAAATGATTAAAGCACATGTAAAATGCGTCACGTAAGAACGACCATGGCTGCTCTTCATTTGACGAATGAAGACGTCCACGAACCACGAACATCACAATGACACTTCGGACATCCTACACCACATGTAAGACAACATATTTTGATTCTCTTAAGAATTTATACCCAGTTCTGTGGTTCAAGTCGGAGTCGAGGATCTGGGCACTAAATTAACGGTCAGTATATATGAATTTTGTAATAGATTCATGATTTCTCGCTTATTAGATAGGTTTCGCGGCAACAGGAGTTGTTATTGGTTTGCTGCTTTTGATACTTCTAATCCAATGCTGCGATCGATACAAGAAAACCAAACAGCAGAAAGTTTTATTCATTTTTGAACGTCTTGAAAATGGCTATATCAAGGTCCCGTCGGCCATCGTGATCCAACCAAACAGCGGCATTACTGCCGAGCCGAAAAAGAGTGAGGCCAGCGAGAAGAGCGTCAAATGCCCTGGAAAGAAGTGAGCAGAATAGTTGCTTCCATCGTAAAATATATTGTTTCAACAGACAAAGCGATCTGTTGAGTCTTCCTTCGAAGAACATGAAGGTCAAAGTTCACATCACTGCTGACACTAAGGAAGAGATCCCCGAGAGCTCGAACAGCTCGAAAAAACCCAAGAAGAAATCGGTACTTCATATGTACCAATCTTGAAATTGAATTGTTAAGGATATCTTGCCTCTCTCCGCAAACTCGAAGCTCGAGCGCAAGAATTACGACTATCCTTATCTGCCGAGCAAGGATAGTGGTATCCCGGACAAGGAGAAAGAAGTTGTCGACAGCAAGGAACCTCCGTCTTCTGAATATGCTGACGTGCCGTCACAGAAAAGCGATAAAACAACCAAAAGCAAAAGCACAGCAGTCCCGGAGACTCGCATAAAATCGGTTCGACTTTTTTTTGAGCATTTATTTCAGTAGAAGTTTCAGAAGACAGCCTCGCCCGCTAACAACACTTCCGGAAGTACCAGCTTCACTATGGCTGGTGCGAAAAGCGCCACTCCAAGCATAGTAACACCTACAACGGTTACGGGAAACACCCAAAGCGTCAACACCGGTCTGTCTGCGAGCTCTCAAAACCAAGCAGCCGTCCGAAGTGCAAAATTTTGTTCCTGACGTTCGCAATAATATACCTGGAAAGACTCCTGCTTCTACCCCTGTGATCAACAACGCCACGACCACGCCTCTGTAATTACATCAACAAAAAAAAGTTAATAATTTTTTTCAGCTCGACTCCGCAAAAAGTTGCGACTTTGACGCCTTCCCCTGCACCTCCGTTCGACCGGCAGTCAATGTTGGATCGCACCGGCGGCGCCATTCCATTGTCTTTGCCTACCAACTCCACGTCTACTACTGGAACACCACAGAAGGTTCGAGAGGATTTTCACCCTTAAACTCCTCTCGCTTACTTGTCGCTATAAATTTTTCAAAACCTCTCATTTACAGGTTTGTATAAAATTTGACAGTTCTGGGTTAAGAATTAAGGAACGTCTTCAGTGGCCGACAGGATCTTGGGTTTGAGGTTTCGCCGAGCGTCCACTTCTTATCATTCCTGCCGGCACACGTTTACTACATTTCCCAAACTTTTTTTCCACTTTAATCTTTTTAATAAAGTGCGATATTTTTTTAATTATACAACTTTTTGGATTACCTATTCCTTTTTTTCAAAAAAATAAATTTCCGATTTCGTTTTTAGTAATCATAGAAATATGAATTCAGGCACCTGAAACTTTGTATATTAGAGAAATTATCATGATAATTATATTTTTAACACTTTATAGACTGCTTTTATTAGCTGAAAAAGATATACTATTATTCTACATTCAATATTCATTTCATTTCTGATAAGAAACATTGAATTAAAATGGAAATATTTTGGTATTTGAAAGATATAGAAATTCGATGAAATTTTCAACCGACAACGTAAAAATACCGACGCGCCTTCTCATCGTTTCGGGACCGCGCGGACTTCGTTGAATACTCAGTCAACTTAGGCGGGTGTGTACATTTTCGTTTTGTCTTTTGAAACATTTTTGGGCTTGTCGTCCAAACAAGATGGTTAGTTTTTTTTCAATTCATTTTAGGTTTTTGAATTAGGAAAGCATAATTTTAGCCAGTGGTTTCATCTAAAGAAGCGATTCCTCTCTAGGTCAAAAATTTTTGAGCTGTTTTTTTTTAGTAATTTCATTATTTTTTTTTCTAAATTATCTTATTTTTCAGCCTAGCAAGAAGGTTATCAGAAAGAAAGTCGCTTCCGTGCCAGCACATCTTCGTGCTCAGGTTGCTGCTCAGAAAGAGGTGAAAAAAATCCTCTTTTCGAGAAGCGCACTCGCCACTTCCACATTGGTATGTTCATTAATTCATAAATTTGAATTTTTTTAATAAAGCAAAATATATTATTATGGGATCGACACGTGATTAGTGATCCTCTTCGGGGTTGATTACTTTTCTTCGTGGAGCATCGAGTCTATGTAGTTGTAGTTGTTCTCGGTCCACCGTGTCGTAAATAATGAGCTGTGTGGCCCTTCCGCTTCGAAGATGCCCGGTTCAATTCGTATATTCCTGATCTCTCCGTAGTTCCAATGGGACCGTGACGGTTGGGACAAACCATGCGAATCACAGTCATAATGATGTCAAATTTTTTTTAGTTCTCCTGTTCCTTGTCATTTTCATTATGTTTAGGTGGTGACATCCAGCCTCAACGTGACCTCACTCGTTTCGTGAAATGGCCCAAGTACATTCGCCTTCAGCGTCAAAAGGCTGTTCTTCAAAAGCGCCTGAAGATCCCGCCACCAGTCAACCAGTTCCGATTTGCCCTTGATAAGCAAACTGGTTCGTACCACGTTTGAATAGCTCAGAGTTTTTGTAATAAGCAAGCGCTATGCGCAGTGCAATGATGCAAATTACTCTGAAAGGTAAAGTGAGTTATTCACTTTTTAATTTTTCCCGTATTGAAGTTTTAGAAAATTGAACTTTTCAGCCAGCCAGACCTTCAAGCTTCTGGACAAATACCGACCGGAGTCACGTGACGCCAAGAAAGAACGTCTTCGCGCCCGTGCTGAAGCTCGCGCCGCCGGAAAGAAGGAAGAAGTCACCAAGCGTCCTCACGTCGTTCGTCAAGGAATCAACACTGTTACTCGTCTTGTCGAGACCCGCAAGGCTCAACTTGTTCTGATCGCCCACGACGTCGACCCTATCGAGATCGTTATCTTCCTGCCGGCTCTCTGCCGCAAGTTCAACGTCCCTTACGCCATCGTCAAGGGAAAGGCTGCTCTTGGGCGTGTTGTTCGCCGCAAGACATGCTCGGCTGTCGCCCTCGTTGATGTCAACCCGTAAGTTGACTCATTTAATTAAATCAATAATTGAAATATTTTAAGTGAGGACAAGTCTGCTCTTAACAAGCTCGTCGAGACCGTTAACAACAACTTCAATGAGCGAGGAGAAGAAATCCGCAAGAACTGGGGAGGCGGCATCATGTCGGCCAGATCTGACGCTAAGAAAAATAAGCTTGAGCGAGCTCGTGCTAAGGACCTTGGCAAACTCTAATTGTTATTGTGAAATAAATTGTTGATTTTTAATCAAATTTCTTTGGAAAAGATGCAAGAAAAGAACAACATACGAAGTTATCACATTTATTAGTTAACCGTCTATTCAAACTATAAGGTGCAATTGAATGGGAATGAACTTTTTACAATTTCTCTTCAATAAGCTTCTCGAGAGATCTGGCATCCTTTGCAAAGTTGCGAATTCCTTCGGCAAGTTTCTCTGTAGCCATGGCGTCTTCGTTCAATGCGAACCGATATGTTTTTTCATCGACCGTGATTTTCGGGATTTCCAAATTTTTAGCTAAAAGTTTTTATTTCAAAAATGATGAACTTGGATATATGTTCACCTTTTTCTTTCGACAAAACGGTTGGCGCCTCCTCATTCTCTTTAGAAAGCTCTTTGAGAAGTGCAGGACTGAAAAAAAGCTTGCATTACTATTAAGAAACCAAAAAAACCCAGACAAAAGCTGGAGTTTTTTTAAAAGAATATTTGCTACCTTATGGTGAGAAGGTCACATCCGACAAGCCCTTTGATCTCTTCGGTGCTCCTGAACGAGGCGCCCATAACCTGAGTCTTGTAGTCGTACTTCTTGTAGTAGTTGTAGATCTTCGTGACGCTCTGTAAATAATAATTTCTATATCTAAAAATAAAGCTATTAAAATTCGATTGAAGTCTTGAATCAAAGTTTTGTTGAAAACCTTGACACCGGGGTCGTCGTTCCTGTCGTACTTCTTCTGGTCGGTGTTCTTGGCGTACCAATCCATGATTCGACCGACGAATGGAGAAATCAAAGTGACGCCGGCCTCAGCACAAGCGACGGCCTTGAAACTATTTGCAAAATGATCAAAGGTAACAATAATTACCTGCTCGAAGTTGAACATGAGGGTCAGGTTGCAGTGGACGCCGTGCTTCTGCTCCAGAATTCTGGAAAAATGAAATTAAAAGATCAGCAACTGATTCGGTAAAAACCCGGGAATGCGACGGAGAATATCCGTTTTTTTATTATTATTTAATATCCACATGAAAGCAGTTTCAAGGAAAAGTTCAAAGAATTTTTCGAAGAATTTTATTATAAATAACAAGATTTTATCTTCTAAACAAAAAAACACTCATTTTTCTTGAACCTGCTTGCAAAATAATTTTAAAAAACCCACTTTGCGGCCTGGATACCTTCCCAGGTTGAAGCGAGCTTGATCAGGATTCTTTCCTTGGAAACGCCTTCTTTTTCGTACATCTTGATGATGTTCAAAGCGCGTTCCACGGAAGCTTCGGTGTCAAAAGAAAGCCTGCAAGATTAAAACAATAAATAAGTATTTCAATAATATTCCTGTAAAGTTTTTTCTCGTTATGACGAGATGAGGGTTTAAAAAAAAATTAGATGTAAGAACTTTCTAACAAAACTTTGAAGGAGTACAAAATTCATTTTTCTCGGTATCGGCTAAAAATCACAATGCCGAAAACAACAAACCTGGCGTCGACTTCAGTAGAAACTCGGCCGGGGATAATATTCAGGATTTCGATTCCAAAAACGACGCAAAGTCGGTCCAAGGCCAATCGAAGCGTCTGGAAGAAAGAGCTTGAGACGAAAATTCTGGATTGTGAAGGGAAGTTTCACTTGAAAAGACAATAAATGGCGAATCTTAAAGAAAAAAAAGACAAGAAGAAAAATCAAAATCTGAGAAAGTTATTGAATTGGATCATCTTATTCGTTTCTTGTTTCAACAAAACTTTCTGGACCTTCTGGGAAATCATATACAGATTCCAAGGAAAAATCAAAATCAGGAGACTTTCTAGTTTCTTTCTGAATTTTATAAGACATGAGCACTTTAAAAATATTCCTGAAGAATTTTCGAAAAAAATTAACTACCTAATTTTTATTAATTTTTACACCCGGACAGATTTCCTTCCAATTTTCAAACTCTCAGAATTTCCTTTTTTTCAATATTGAGTACATCAAAAAGAACAGGTTCTTGAAAACGAACATCTTCCTTGCCATTGGCGTTTTTTTCTTGGCATAGTCAACGGCCTGATCAATCAGCTTGGAATAGTCGCCCATTTTTGACGCCGCCAAAATCAATGAAGGATTCGTCGTGGCATCCGTCGGTTGGAACTCCTTGATCACTGAAAATGTCAAATTTCACTTTTATTGCGTTATTTTTAAAACGCTTTCTATCAAAAAAAGTTAAAAAAAAAAGAAAAATTGAAACTTGGAAATATGCCAATTTTCCCGTTTAGGTTGAAGAAGAAATTGAGGAGTTTTAGGCTGATTTAATACCAAAAAAAGCGGTCAATAAAAAAAAATGGAAGTATCACCATTTTCAAGCAAAATACTGAACTTGAGGTTATAACTGAATCTCTTACTGTTAAACTAAGGAACTGAAAATTTGTCTAAACGCGAAACCTTCCAAATTTGAACCATAGTCAGAAAGATGAGAGTAAGAAAGTTGTTGGCTTCATTTTAATAAAATCGTGTTTCTTTTAAAGTCGTTGAGAAACATTTTCAGTGATATTGAAACGTTAAAAAAAAACTTACAGTTAAAATCGCCAGTGTCGGCGACGACAGTTGAAGCTTTCTTGAGTTGCTCGAGAACGGACATTTTTGCTGTAAAAATTCAACTTTTTCAATGCCAAGATAAAAAAAAACACAAGCGCGTAAATATCATAAGCTTTCATCATTGAAAAGAATCTGAAAATGACACAAACAGCGAGGTTCTGAAAAGAGCAAAATAAGAGGGCACGCGAGAAAGGGGTGTGCCAGCAATTACGACGAGGCAAGAGTGACAAATAAAAAAATAATCCGAAAAACTTGTTTTTTTCTTTCTTTTTAAGTGATTTTTTTCACCCTAAAAATACTGTTTCGAAAATGAAAACAACATTTAAACAGAGAGAATAGGGCAATACAAGGAAAACGTCGATTTCGTATCTTTAAAAGCTAGTAGCGCGTTGCGACTACGATATGGCGTGATTTCAGGCCCGATTGGTTGTTACTCAACGCTTCTACTCTCTTGAATGATGCAAAATGAAGATTAAGATCACAATTTTTATCTTATTTAGAACGAAACAATTTTTAAGCACTTTTTTTGAGAGAACATAAGATTAAAAAAAAGTGGACCGCAGCACGGGAAGATAATGAAAACATGAAAACCACATATTACGTCGACGGAAGCTTATAAAAAAAGTTAATTTCATCACTATAAATGTAAAGCGAAAAAAATTTTTCGAAAAATTTTTCCGGATTTTTGAAACAATTTTTCCACCTGTCGTTAAACGTGGCGCCTGCGGGTAAAGCGCGTGAACCAAAATAGATAACTACAGTACTTTTAGAAAAATGAATTTTTTTCACTTTGATTTTTGTAATTCTTGTTTTTTTGTATGCAATTCTACTCATTTCCCTAATTTTATAGAAAAAAAAGATAATAATATAATGTAATTATGAATGTTCCGAAGTTAAAGTTAAACAAAATTAGCGCAAACATCAGCGTTTATAAAATTAAATATAGAAAAAGACTTTTTTTATCAGGATATATTTCGCCGTGGAGAATTTTTTTCTAAGAATAAGAAAGATGGTTAATTTTTTATTTGAGTCAATTTTTAACTTTTTTTCCTTTTTTTCTCGCATGCTGAGCAGGTGTCTCAACGGGTGTACCCGTATTAAACCCGTGTTTCTGAGGTTATTTTTAGTCTCAGTTGGGCTAAAACAGGGGGAACAACGGGTGTAAGAAAAATAGGTAACCCAGCTGGGCTAAAGCGGGGTCTCAGTTGGGCTAAAAAGTGCCAAAAGTTCTATCAGCTGGGCTTATACGGGTTTAATACGGGGGCACCCTGCGGAGACCCCGTGTTAGCACGGCGGGGTTACCCTGTTCAGCATGCGAGTGACCCTTTTCTTTGATATTTGTCCTGAATAGATCAAAAATTGAAGTCGATCGATTGGAAACTGAAGTTTTTTTTTTACTAACTTTTTCCCTTTTTTCCCTTTATTATTGCGCGTTTAAACTTTTTTTTAAACTTCAAGAGTCTTTTTTCCAGGTAATGTCGGCCAAAAACCTCAAAAAATTGGAGAAACCAATGATAGACGCTAAAACGGAACTTGTCGATGTGAAAAATCAAAAGTTTCTTGTCGGGACTCAGTTTGTCAAAAGAAGCTCTGGGACAATAAATTACTGCACTCAGGTTTGATTATAATGTTTATTGAAATCATCGTTAATTTCTTCTTTTTTTGTTAGGAAGGTTACAATTTCTGTTTTACAGGTGGATTCTGGAAAAGAGTTTGTCGTGAAATTCGAGTCGTCGGAAAATGGGCCGCTCTTTTCTGAAGTCAACGTCTATCAGAGAATTTTGAGGCCCGAGCATTTGGACAAGTACAAGGCTGATAAGGGTTGGATTTTTTTGAAGAAGAAGATTTTTTTGGGGTTGAGAAATTTTTCTCTTAAGTTATCCAAAATTGATGATTTTATGAGGAAGATGTTGGTTAAAAAGTTAAATTTTTTAAAATGTCAAAAAAAAACGACGAAACTTTTCGTGCTCCTCTCTAAAATCAACGATTTTGCAGATCTGACTTGGTTGGCCCTCCCACAAGTGATAACTAACGGCGTTTTTCAATACAAGAAGGAAACTGAGAGGAAACGATTTCTGATTATCCCCAAATACCTCATCTCGCTCGATAAAATCGTGGAAGCGGGAAGAATTGCCTCAAAAGACGTTTTGGATGCCACGAAAAGCATAATCAACGCTTTGGAGTACCTTCATGGCCAGGTTTGTCCTTTTCCGATTTATTTTTTTATTCTAATCTATTTTTAATTCATAGAAATCAACTAAGTCAATAAAGATTAAACAAATTTTTCATGTAAAATCAACTTTTTAATTGAAATCGAAACAATTTTTCGTCAAAAAAATTTTTGTGAATTGATATAGTAGTTCAGAAATTGAGGGCGATCGAAATTTCAGACTTGAAAAAAAATTCAAAATAATTATTTTTATAGCTAAACCTTTCCAAGTATGAGGTTAGACTAGGTTTCTGTTTCGGGAAGATTTTTTATTTGGATGATTTGAAGTCAGGTAATATTTTTTTATATGTATAATAATTATCAGTAATCTTCGAAGTGGGAAAATGAAAAAAACCTTCTCAGTGAGCCCCCCTACACCATTCTAGAATGGTACTGGTGGGGGGCTCGTTCGGACAAGGGGGGGCGAATTTGAGGCGGCTTAAATCAGTCGTTAAGCATTAACAGACTCAAATGATGAAATATCCTTGAAAATTCCGATTTTTCAGGGGTACACCCACTCCAACATCAAGCCGTCCAACATCATGCTCACTGTTTTCAAAGACTATTCCACTATCGTTTTAATCGACTACAGTCTTTCCCGCAAGACGAAACCCAACGAAGACAAGCCAAGTCCTTCGCGAGGTTTTCGAAATTTCAAAAAAAAATAAAGGGAAAAAGGATTTTCCAGTTTTGAGCGGGGTTTTCGACTCGACTGACTGTCACAACGGCTATTTTCCGTCTTTTCGCGGCGATTTGGAAATGTTGGCTTATAATTTGATATTCTGGTCGACTGGAACCTTGCCCTGGATGGTTTGATTTCTGAAAAAGAAAAATTAAGAGAAAAAAATCCTTATTTTCCAAACTACCTAGATGATTTTTGGATTATGTAGGATGTAAATCTCTCCTACCGTAGCTAGGTTACGGTAGGCAGGTGCGTCTTTCCGTATCTGAGAAACTATGCTTTCGTTCTAGGCGTATTGTATATCAATCGATAGGGAATGCAATTTTAGGAACTTTTTCAGTACATACCATCATCGGTTACTGTAGAAATTTTTTGAGTTACGGTGATTTTTGTGAATTTTTCAAGTTTTTTGGAAAAAAATCAAAGTGAAAAATTTCTTAATTTTTTGTAAAAATGTCGTTTTTCTTTCAATTTTACTTGAAAGGTATCTTTTGGCATAACAGGGAAGAGAAGAAGAAACATTATTTCCCTTGTTTTTTCTGCATTTTTCCATTTTTTATCTGATCATCAATAAATAAAATTTCTTAATTCCTAGTAAAATAGATCTTTTTTAAAGTCACTTGTGATAATTGGTACCTTTTGGCGTTTTTTTGGATAAAAAAAGAAAAAGAAAAAAATATTTTTTTCTACTTCATACTAGATTTTTCCATTTTTTTCAGGCCAATCAAGAAGAGCCGGAAAAAAATTCGGGAAGCCAAGGAGAAGCTCCTCCAATCACCTGATTCCATTGACGAAGTTCTCGATGTAATTCTAATTTTTTTAAAAAAATATAAAAAAAGTTAAATTTTTTTCAGGATCCTCAATGTGCTCATTTAGTCAAAACGCTCTTGGAAGCCAGCACCCAAATTTCCTATAAAGTGCGGCCGAATTATCCAGAACTCAAGGAGGCGAGAATATGAACAAAAAATAAAGAATTTGAAATTATTTAGGCCCTTTTTGGCGAAGATCCGGTTAATTTTGATCTCGATGGGCTTGAAAAGAAGGAAGGGACCAAAAAAGGAGCCCGTCAACCGAAAATCGCCGTTTCTGGTGATTTCGAAAAGGACTTTTATTCGTGACTTTTCAGAAGTAACTCCAGAGTGGTCCCTAAAGGGGCAATTTCAGTGGCCCTTGGGAAGTCACCTCTAATGACCCTAAAGCTTGCAACAGGGGTCCCTATAGGGGCAACCTTCAAGGCCTGTAATGGTTCCCCTTTAGAGAATACTTCATCTCCCTCTTCCCCTGTAGGGACCCTAAAGCTTGCCAAAGTGTTCCCCATAGAGGTTTTAAATAGTGGTCCCTATAGTGGAAGTTTCTATGAACTTTGAGCCAAGAAGCGTTTCCGTGGGGAAAACTGGATAAATAGCGTTTTTTTAATGAATTTGGAAAACCCCTTCAGAGTCCACTTGAGATTTAAGAACTAAGGGGTCAGACCTTAAACCCCTATAGGGACCATCTTAGTTTTATCCCTATAGGGAACACTTGTCGGCCCCTATGAATGTTGTTTCCTCCACTAGCCCCTATAGGGACCACTCTGAAACTCCTGAGAGCGCCATTTTTCTTGACGACAGTTTCCTTTCTTTTTTTTGGCTTTTTTCAAAAAGAGATGGTTTTTCGAAAAGAGATGGCAGATCTTCCAAATTTCGGAAAAGAAAGTAGAATAATTTAGCAAAATGCGTGCTCTCACACTCATTTCTGACATTTTGTTCCGTCCTTTTGAGTAAAAATGCTCCGAAATCCCAAAAACGGTAAACTAGACCCTACAGAAAAAACTGCGTTTTCTAATTTTATCAGGAAACGGAAAATGTTTCAAAATGACTCAAATAGTAATAATTTTTGTTTTGAAGCAGTTTTGCTGCGTTTCGGAACAAGTTTTATTTAAAGTTTATAGCAAGCTTTACTTTGGGTTTTTTTTGAGTAAATTAATTTTTTTGAAGATGCTGAAGACGATGGGCATCCGGCTTTGAAAGTTAGAGGTGCCAAAAAGGCGGCTGAAAACTTTACGGACCAATTCGATGGTTTTTTTTCTTGATAGGCACCGGAAAATGTTGAAAAATTGCAGATGATGAACCTTCTTCGAAGAAAAAAGCGGCGCCGAAACGGGCGGCGAGAAAAATAGCTGTAGAGGCTCAAGAAGACAGTGGTGGGCTTGAGAGAAAAGAAAAAAAAGTGAATCGTGAAAATTAGAAGGATCCGATGGAACTCCGGCGAAAAAGGCGAAAGGAACTAAAAAAGTCGAAAAAGAGCCGAAGAAAAAGGCGCCTGCCAAGGGATCGAAAAAAATCGGGGCTGATCCGAATTTGGAGGCTGAAGACGTTGCTAAAGTGGCCACTCCTGCGAGAGATGGTGAGTTTGATTGGAAAAAAAAATATTTAAAAGGGAGCTGAATAGTTGAGGGAGTTTTAGGATTAGGAAAATTTTGAGAAAATGGAAAATTAACGGAGTAAAAAAAAATTTTTGAAGAGCTAGAATTTTTTTTTCATAGTCTTTTATCATTAGAATGAGACCTAAGTTTTTAAGGAAATTTTTTGAACGCAAAAATTTAGTTCCATTACGTATGAATTGACCAAACACCATTTCGGAACAGATTTTTCCGAAAAATTTTATTTTCTCGCCATTTTGAGAGATGTTGAGAAATTACTGGCCGTAAAGGTATATGAGCTATAAAAATGGTGTGAGAGGGGTATACGGTATCTTGTAAAACCTTTTTTTTTTGCGTTTTGGCGGGAAAACAAACTTTTTTTTTCTCTTACCTGGTTAAATTCAAAAAAATTTGAAAACTAGTTGAAAACTCTCTTTACATCTTTTTCGACTTATGACCCCCACTTACTGGTAGGCGGGGGAGCTATTTCCTACAGCAGGGGGAGGGGGCATTCTGGAATCATCCTAAATTTTCAAGTATACCTTTCGACAGGCAACAAAAATCTCTACAAAATAACGAATTTCTCTCAAATTTCACTGTTCACGTTGTTCACTGCCTACAAACACCTACGAAAAAGTTCAATTTCGTTGATTTTCAGAGGACGAGCCTAAAAAGAAAGGAAGAGCCGCCAAAAAAGCCGCCCCAGAGTCTTCAGCTCAAACAGATGAACCCATGGAAACTGAGCCGCCGGCGAAGAAAAAAGCCGCGGCGAAAGGACCAAAAAAGGCTATATCTGAGCCTTCAGAAATAGCGTCGGTGGTCACGCCGTCTAAAGATGGTGAGGGACCAAGAAAAATTTAATATTTATATTTCAGAAGTCCATTTGTAATAGAAAAGTTACTACCAGAGTTCTCTCACTTTTTCCCATTTTTCGTGACTTTTGTATTAAATGAAGTAATTGGCTGAACTTGACTGAAAGTGTTGGTTTGAAACAGAAAACTCAAAAGTATAGTCTGTTCAGATTTTGAATGTCAAGTAGAATGACGTCATTCGAAAACGCCTCTCTGATTGGTTTATTGCGCCATTAGGGGGCGGAGCTTCAGCGAGGACTTGACATTTGAAATCTGAACAGACTATAGTTCAAATTTGGACTAGTTTTTGCTCTAAAATTTTTTAAATTTGTCAATTTTTTCATTTTTCTGGCTTTTTAGAAGGCTAATACTTTCAAAAAAAATCTTCAAACTAGCATGTTAATAATGAAATACTTTAGAAGAAGCAGCTGGAGAACCAAAAAAAGGCCGAAAAGCTAAAAAAGACGACTCCGAGCCACCGAAAAAGAAAGCGCCGGTCAGAGGGACCAAGAAAATTATCGCTGATCAAGGATCTGGAGACGAAGCGGAAGAAGAGCCGAAGCCGAAGAAAGCGGCAGCAAAAGGCCCCAGAAAACCTGCTCCAGCTCCTGAACCTGAAGAAGCTCCTGAAGACATTGCGCCTGAAGAACAGTCGAAGAAAAAGCCTGCAGCTAGAGGTGCCAAGAAAGCGACTCCTCCAGCTCTGGAGCCTGAAGAAGCTCCTGAAGACGTTGCGCCTGAAGAAGAGCCGAAGAAAAAGCCAGCAGCTAAAGGCGCCAAGAAAGCGGCTGCTCCAGCTCCGGAGCCTGAAGAAGCTCCTGAAGACGTTGCGCCTGAAGAAGCTCCGGAAGACGTTGCGCCTGAAGAAGAGCCGAAGAAGAAGCCTGCAGCTAGAGGCGTCAAGAAAGCGGCTGCTCCAGCTCTTGAACCTGAAGTTGATGCTCCATTGGCCGGAGAGGATCCTAAGCCCAGAAAAACGGCCCCCAAAGGTCCCAAGAAAGCTGCCCCAGAACCTGAACCTGAAGAAGAGCCGAGGCAAAAGAAGACCGGGGCTAGAAATGCCAAAAAGACGTCTCCAGAATCTGATTATGCTTCTGAAAATGGTGATTCTGAAGCTGAAGAAGTGCCGATCAAGAAGACAACGACAGCCAGAATTGCCAGAAAGACTCCTCCAGAATCTGATGACGCTTCTCAAGATGATTCTGAAGTCGAAGAAGAACAGAAACCGAAGAAACCTGCGGTTAGAGGGGCTAAGAAACAGGTCGAAGCTGCCAATCTTGGTTAGTTTCATCATGGGTTCCTCTTGAAACTACCGAAATAATGAATAAATCATTTTTTCGGTCTTCAAAAGGACGAGGGGATAAGTCAAGCGATTTTAAAGTCTTCAGCTATTTTTTAGAATATTTTCTTGAAAACCAATTTTTTGTAAGCTATATAGTCCGTTTTTGGACTTTTCTGCGCTCTCCTCGTCTCTCGGCGACCCTCTCATTTTGAAGTGCTATTTTCACGTATCTCTGACCTCCCCGGCAAGGGAACAGAGAGACGCAGACACTCAAGGTGCGAGAGAAGCTTGATAGAAAGGTGGTGTTTTCTCTGGCGTCTCTTCAGAAGACACTACTCTCTCGCTTCTGTTTTTGTAACTTAAAAGGTCATAACAGGCCTTGAGAGACGCTAGAAAAAGAGATGAATCTAGCTTCTCCGGCCTGAAGAGACGACAGAGAAAGAAAGTTTTCTAACTTCTCTGGCGTCTCTTCAGTAACTCTCTTCATCTCTCTTTCAGTCATTCAGAGAGAGAACGGCTAGCTCGAGTCTTTAAAAATGGGTCCTGACACGATAAGCAAAGAGATAGTGCCTGGTGGGAGGAGAGCGCAGACAGGCCACGCCCCTTTGCCTCTCAAGATGGCTATGAATCTGCTGTATACTATAGCTGATTCATAGATTCATATCATTATCTCTAGTTCGAAGAAGTTGAAATTCAAGTAAAAAATCTTGAAAAAAAGGTAACATTAGAAAAAAAAAAACAGTGGTAGATGTGAAAAATATAAGATTTTTACAGTTCAAGATCGATTATTCATAAGTTGCGACATCTTTTTTTCAGTCGAAGAGCCGCCGAAGAACAAAAAAGGCACCAAGAAGAACGAAGCTCAACAAGAAGAGCCTGAAGCTGCCAAGCCCGCGAAAAAGCCGAGAGGAGTGAAAAAGGAAGCTCCAGAAGTCGAAGAAACCGCCCCGAAACGGAAAAACGCCAAGGCTTCTGAAGAAGTTGCGGAAGCGCCGAAAACTGTTCGCGGAAGGAAGGTTCCCGTCAAATCGGACAAGGAGAAGGAGAACGAGCCCGTCGAGGAGAGACAAGGTCTACCGTTTTTGAGCCTAGGGATTTGTAGTAATCAATAAATGATTCCTCTTTTCTTTTTTTAAAAGTTTTTTTATCGATTTTTCTGCTTTTTAGCTCTTGTCGAAGTTCATACAGCTCTTTGATTTTTAAACCTCAAAAGCTCCTTTTTATTAATCATTTTCGTCTTTTTTTACCACTTAGAAAAAGACTCTTATCAAAATGTTTGTAAGGGATTTCCGCGAAAATCCTAATCATCTCTGTACTCTTCAAAATTTAGTTGTCTTTTTCTTTCTCTGACGGTTATTTTGATTTTCGCCGAATCACTTTCAACGAAAGTGCGCTCTAACGAGAATTTTCTTTGATCAGCTTGTCTCCTTGATTTTTTAAAGAATTCATAGCTGGATTTGGATCCCAAAGCTGCTGAAAATGTGACAGAGATTAAAAATGAAAGGAAAAAAAGTAGTTTGAGAAGCGTTTTTGAAAGAAATTTAACGGTTTTTGAACATTTTCTTTGATTGTTTTCCTCTAAACGATAGTTTTTTTTGAATATTGTTCTCGAAACGATACGAAAAAAGTGGGAAATGGTTATTTTAAACTGATTTATTCCCCTCTAAACAGTACTGGCACACAGCCAAGATTAAATGTATAATATATTGGAACTTGTGTGAATTATTAAAGCTTCAAAATTAGAATTATCAATTTAAAAAAATATTAATTTATCATATTTCCCAATTTCAGAAGCTCCGAAAAAGACCAGAGCCCCGAAGAAAAAAGGTCAGCCGATGGTCGAAGAAGCTGACGAGCAGATGCTTGGTTTCACCTCGAAAATTTATGGGAATATCATAAATTTGAAATTTTCAGAAGCTCCTAGGAGAGCCGCCTCGGAAACCACGACCAACCGAACGTTCACTATTGGCCCGGCTTCGGATGATTTTCCGGATTTCGCGGGTTTTTGATTTTTTGAATAAGCTACAGTTTGACGAGTTTCTGCGCTCCATGGATGATCGCGAATCAGTTTTATCTAGCCTTTTTTCGAATTTTAGCTGTCTTTTCCCTGTTTTTTGAAGAAATATCCATTTTAGAACAATCTTCATTTTTCTTGTACACTTTATTCGCAACTGCTTAAAACTTGCTGGCCGCATTTGGAATGGCTCGGATGCGTCCCGGTTTTCTTCTCTTTGAGCGACGCAATTTTTTAGATTTTTTATTGAAAAAGCGTAAGCCGTTTTAAGTCGGGGGCAGCTTGTTACCGTAACGCGACCGCGGCGCTTTGAGACATTCCAAGTGCGGCTAGATTGTTTCGAGCCAGCGAAAATAACTAATATTGAAAGTTTCAAAAAAGGACAGTTTTCACTTTTTGTCCGTGGAGCGCAAATTATTATCTTTTTGAGGATTTTTCTGTTTCTTTTTCTCTTTATTCATTTATTTTTTTGTCTAGGTTCTCCTGCCACCTTCCTCTTCACATCAACTTCAAAAAGAGCCACTCCTTCTACTAACCCAGAAAATTCCACATTCATTATCTCTCAAGCCGATGCCACCTTCACCGTTTCGTCGAATCGAAACAGTCCTTTTGAAGATCAGGAAAATGAGCCGATTGGAGGAAACGTAAAAAACTCTGGTCGCGTCAGGGCTGGGAAGAAAGGTCCGGAGATGGGAATTTTAAAAAAAATCGGGAAAAAAGGCATATAAAAAAATTTGAGCAGATTGATATTTTGAAAATCAATATATGAGTATCCAAATAATCATAAAAAGCTTATTGGACTAAATTTCTGAAACCAACATTTTTTTTTGAAAAAGAACAGGGATGCTTGAAAGTCCAGCTTTAAAGATGATTTCGGTGGGAATATCTCCAAAGTACAGTAATCCATTTCGTGCGTTTTTATTTGAACCTATAAAAAAAGTGCTTTTTAAAAAAATGTCGGGCTGACGCGGAAATATTTTTTTATATTCATAAAAAAACAGCTTACGAAGTTCAAATACTCATTTTTGTTGCAATAGTAGAAATAAAATAATATTCGACTGATATAAAAATAAGGTCGCATTTGGAATGACTTGTGTTGCTTTAAAATTACTCATTATAGTGATTTTTGAGACCTTGTAGGTTGATTTGAAGCATTTTGATGCCGTCAGGCGAAAGTCGGTTGAAGTCTGGCGGCTTTAAAAAAAAAATTATCATATCCGCTGTTTTTTGAGCCATTCCAAGTGCGACCATGACTTTCAACAAAAATTGACAATCAATCCCAAAGTTTGAGTTATATACTTTCAAATTTTTTCTAGACGCTCCTGAAAATCCCATCAAAAAACCAGCAGTTCGAGCCGGCGCAGTCAGGAAACGAGTCTTGGGAGCGGATCCAGTGGAAACCGGACCGGAAAATGCCGTTTTCCAACCGAAAACGATGAATGGCGCCGTTCAACGGACGGTGGCTGCGGCCAAGGTTTCAAAATCCGGAGAACTCGGCAGAAAATTTGGATTTCCAGAAAATCGGCAACAAGTACAGACGTCTCTCGCAGGGCCGAACAACTGCCGACGGTCTTGCAGGTTGGAATTTTGGTTTTTGGAGAAAAAAAAAGGTTGCAGGCAATGCAAAAAATGACAAGAAGTTGGAAAGGAGAAAATTAGTTGATTTTTTGGGTCAAAAGACCCATAGAAGAATTCCATAAAGGTCTTGAAAAATTGAGACGTTCCAGGGTTACTAAAGAGTTTCAGAGGCTTAGAGGCTTATTTCGCGTCCTTTCTAAGAAAATTTTAGGGACCCCAGAACTTCCTTTAAACCCTTTTTAAAGGTTCCATGCCCCTATAGGGAATATTTTTTTTTAATTTGTTAAAGGGATGTTATTTGGAAGAGTAAGGGACGAATATGCTGAAGGGAAATTCAGTTAAAGTTTGGTCCTACCCCCACAGGGGCCCCTTTTTAATTTAACCCCTGTAAGGGCCCCTAAACCAGTTTTTTTCGGGGGTTGAGCTGGGGGCACAGCCCGGGGCTACATGGGACCACATTTGTCCCCCTAAACTTTTCTTAGTTTACTGTCTGTTCAGCTCAAGCTCCGCCCCTATTGGCGCGACAAACCAATCAGAGAGCGAGTCATCCAGAGAGCTTTTTCGAATGACGTCGTTGCTCTTGACCTTTTGAATATGAAGAGACTATAGAAAGAGAATTTCTTTTTTTGACCAGAATTCAGGAGTTTAATTCATGAATTTATGATTTAATTTATGAGTCCGATCCCAGAAGCCGTTCCCGGACTGAAGCTGAAGAAAGGCCGTCGCTCGGCGATCCTCCGCGTCGTTCCACGACGGGCCAACAGCCGACTCGACCATGAGGACGAAGATTCCCAAGGAAATCCCCCATCACCCCCTAATCAACCATTTTTCTCACACTAACCAGAGATTTCATTGTGAATAATTTTACCCACTTACTTTTTTTTTGTCCCAATGTACATCTAGTGAGTTCACCCAGTGAGGTTTTTGAAAAACGTTTGTATCCAATGAAATTGAATTTCACGTTTTTGGAGTTTTTGTGAATATTATTGTGGACAATTGATTATTTTGAACTTTCTTTGGATCTCTCAAAAATTCGATAGTTCGAAAAAAGACAGTCAAAAGCTAAAATTGCCCTCAAAAGGAGCTGGAAAATCTCGAATATTGGTTTTTCTCTTGATGTCTATACAGACCGATCTTTTTTGGCTAGCCGCTAACTTGTGAACGCTAAAGAGGTCACTTAGGGGTTCTAGGGACATTTTTTGACCTGTAGCCTCTAAAGTGATCACTCAAAGTCTCGAAGGCTTTTATGAAGCTCCCTGAGGCTTTTTTAAAATAATAGAAGTGCTTAGGAACTGCAGAGTTGTCCCTATAGGGGCTTCTATAGGTTTCCCTTCAGGGACCACTTTTCCTCTCCCTATAGGGGTCACTAAAGCATTTCCATTAAAAAATCGATGTATTAGCGTTGTTTGAATGCATATCAACTGTCTTTTAATTTTTAAACCCGAATAAAAAAATTGAGGACCCTAGAGGGACCACTTAAATTTCACCTCTACAAGGGCTGTTTTTTTCCCTAACCCCTATAGGGACCGCTCAAGTGTGGCAGAATATTTTCATAACTTTGATAACCAAAATCTGACTCTCAATTTCATTACGAAAAGGATGCAAAAAAAAAATACAACAACATTCAATTAAAAGCTATTAGAATGAAGACTTCTCTCGGCACATAAAACTTTTTTTTTCGATATTTTTGGAATAAAAAATCAACAATACTCTGAACTAGCGTGGTGCTTTCAAAATACTTCTACACAAAACAAAAAAAAACGGTTAGATGAGAAAGAATGGGAAAATTGAACCCGCGATGGTGAAAACCCAAAAAAGGTGGAAAACTAACGAAAATTCTGGGATAATATTGAGATTTGTGTAACAAAGGGAACAGAGACATTAATAGAGTGGAAAAAAAATGAAAATTGGGGAAACACAACACAACAACAAGGAGGATAACAATGAAAACAAATATTCAAAGAAAAAATCGATAATTTTTTTTTGCTATTTTTCGAGTTGGGATTTTTTTTTTCTATCGCAATTCGTTCTGTGAGCTAATTTAAGTGAAAAAGGGAATAATTATTGTCTCTTGGAATCCGCGGCGACGTGTTCGATCCGTCTATAGAGGAACAAGTAGCCTTCCGTACAGTCGGGGAATTTCGTCGGGGATACCTTGAAAAAAATTCATTTTTTAATATCAGAAATGATCATTTTTTTAGAAGTATCTCGGGAAAAAAACCAGTGACAAATTTCAAACCCCCCGAATGACTTGAACAAGCTGAAAATATTTGGAAAATAGTCGAATTCCTGGAAAAAAATTCACACAAATTGAGAAAAAAACTAGTTTCGAAATCCGTGCTCTGTTAATTAAAGGAGCACAGAAAGATTAAATAAAGGTCTCGGAGCGAAAAGCGATTACGAATGTTTTTTTTTCATCTTGAGCACATAAGAAAGAATTTTGACGAATAGAATACAAAGAGATCAACAAATAATTTAAATTTCAATCTTTTTGAGATCCCTTTGAAACTGTAATCAATGTTATCTCGATTTTTTTGTTCAACTCGAAAATTCAAATTCGTGGGAATCCTCTAATTGAAATAAGGTAGCTTTTATGAAAAATTTCTAAAAACTTTTTTTCTTTATTTTCATCGTCTATTAAAGCTTTTTATACTCTGAAAATTCAGTGAAAATAAATTTTTTTCAGCCGAAAAAAATGAAAAATCGCAAACGTATCAGAATTTGATACTAGATTACCTAAAATCGATCGAATAAATTTTTCAAAGTTCCTGAAATTCTTGTACCATTAAAAAAATCAGTTAAAGTCAGCTTAATTTTTGAAATTTTTTTGGAGGTTAATAGTTTCAAAAACCGAACCTTGTAGACGCTCTCGTCGTCGAGGCCATCGAAAAATCCGGGATTCAGATGACTTTTGCTCAGATTGGCGTAATGACCGTGCTCCAGGCCAGATCCGTAGTGCAGAACCATGCTCTCGAAGGCGTATTTCGCGTCCTCTTCGAACATCGAAAAACGGCCCAGGGACAGCCGGGGCTGGAGAAAAGACGAAATTCACGTCAAAATTTGGAAACTTTAAAGTTTTCTGAACCTTTTTGGTTGAAAGAAATATCAGATTAACCTAAAAGCAAGGAAATTTCGAGCTTTCAGAACCGTCTTGGCTGAAAAAAAGGACCAAATGAAAATAAAAATTCGGATTTTCGAGTATTTTCGAACAAACTTAGTTGAAAAAAAAGGATACAATTTCAGAAACTTCAAAGGTTTCAGAACGGTTTTGGTGAAAAAATACCAGAAAAACCTAAAATTAAGGAAATTTCGAGCTTCAAGAACAAGTGTGGCTTGAAAAAGACAAAGTTGGAAAAAAAAAATTCAAATTTTCGACCCTTTTTGAACAAACTTAGTTGAAAAAAAAACGAAATTCGCGTAAAGTTGCGAAAAGTTCAAATCTTTCAGAGAGATTTTGGTTGAAAAAAAAAACAAAATCAACATAAAATTAAGGTAGTTTCGAGCTTTAAGAACAAGCGTGGATGAAAAAAGAAATTGAAAAAAAAAATTTCAAATTTTCGATCCTTTTAGAACAATTGTGGCCGAAAAAAGAAGGATTAAAATAAAATTTTCGAAGCTTTAAACTTTTAAAACAGTCTTGGGTGAAGGAAAGGACCAAGTAAAAATTCAAATTCAAATTTTCGATTTTTTTTTTGAACAAACGGGGGCTGAAAAAAGAAAACAAAATTTTCAAAATTTCAAGGTTTAACTGAAAAAGACGGAATCAGCGGGAAATTTTTCGAAATTTAAAAGAGTTTCAGAGCAAAATCTGCCGAAAAAAGACATCAAATTCTCGCAATTTTAAGCTTTCAGAATGATTAGGGCTGGAAAAAAAGACAAAACTAACCAGGAACTATCTCATTTTAAAGTCGTGCCACGACCCATTTTTTGATGTTTTTTTCAGAATTTACGCCAAGTTTTCTTCAATTTTTATCGAAAATGATAACTCACACTAGGAACGACGGGCGTAGAAATCTTCCGGCCGCCACAAAAAGTATAGGTAAACCTCAGAAGTTGAATAATCAACACTTGAGGGGCGCGTAGGAGTTTCGGCCTGGTCACCGTCGTATTCGAAATTTTCTTGCACCTGAAAAAATGTTTAGAAGCTTTTTTCAATGTTCGTAGCCCTAGAAAATAAGCAAATATATTTCGAAAGATTCAAAATTAACTTATTCTTCGTTCGAAATGACAAAATTGGAACTTTGGGAGCCGTTAGCAAAAATTGGGTCCTGTAACGAAATCGCGACTTTCAAGCGTGAAACTTCAATTTTGAGGCATTTTTCAACGAAAATCGTAAATTCGCGCCTAGAAGTCACATAATATATCGTTATAGGACCCAATACTTCTAAAGGCTCACGAAATTTCAATTTTGCGTATTTCCGGAAAGATTTTAATTGTTTTTTAAATCAATTTTGAAATCGCCGAATTTACTTCAAACACGGTATCAAGATGCGTTCAAAGGAAATTATCCGAAATAGCCGTCAGAGAAAGGAAAAGATAACGGGATTTTGGAGAGTTAGAGATAATTTTGAATTTCACGGAAAACATTTTGGTCACTGCTACATATGGCGAGAAAAACTGCTGATAGGGGAATTTGAAAATGTAAAAAAGATCATTGAAACCGTAAAGTCACTTTTAAAAACGTTTTTTTTGAATCAATTTTTCTACTCGAAGGAAATCAACCTCAAAATCCTATATTTCTTAATTTCTTTGCTTACAGTAGTCTTCACTATCTTCTTCTTACGCCTTTGTACCGCTTGAGCGGCGTCGGCGCCCCAAGTCGATTAGCCGAGGTCATATCCTGATAATCAATGGACTTGATCCAGTGACATATCCGTCCTTGTGTGTGACGGCTGGGGATTTTGAAGCCCTGGTTTCCCACTACCAACATTTCTTAAACTCCTTGGTTGGGTCGAGGCGGGGATCGAACTTGTGACCCTGTGTACCGTAGACAGGCACACAACCTGTTGCGCTACGGCGCGCCCAGTAGTCTTCACTATCCCTTCTCATAAATATCATTTTTTTTTAGAGAAAATATATATTTCCAAGCTTTATAAAATAGCTTTTTCAATTCATCATTAAAAAATGAAGAAAAACGGACTCGGAACACCGATATCCGACCATTGGCGAGGGGCCAAAATAGTTCTTGACGAGGTCCTCGAGGGACGTCCGGCGGGTGTCCTTCGGGTCCAACCGCACCCGCAGAACCTCTTCCGTCTCATAATGGGCGCTCACTTTGTCGCAAGAGCCACAGCGGACTGAAAATTATTCATTTTTTAAATGAGTGTTTGCTTAAGGGGTACGAGAACCTCTAAAAATCGTAATTCTATTTTTAAAAAATCGTTCAGAACATTCATCATTCATAAAAGCTCAATTAAAAGTGCTGAAAAAATTTAATAGAGTGAAAATATTTAAAAAACGCTTTCTACTCCTTTAACTACCACATGAAGCTTCATTGAAAAATAAAATTTACTATAATTTTCTCAAAAAAATTTAAAATTTCAGAGAGGTCCCTAGAGGGGTCGTAGTCGTGATTCCTAGAAAGGTAAAATTAAGGTGGTCCCTAGAGTGGTTTGAAATCCGACCGCTAAACCCCTAAAACAAAGGCTAAGTGATCCCTATAGGGTATAATTATTTTTTGCTCAGATTTTCATGTTAAACGGACGTGTATGGGGTCGCCAAAAAGCTCCCCTAAAGTGGACACTTTTCCAAGTTCCTCGCCCCTATAATAAACTTTAAGTGACCCCTATAGGGTACTATTATTTTTTGCTCAGGTTTTCATGTTGAAAAGACGTGTAGGGACCGTCAAAAAGATCCCCTAGAGTGGTCACTTTTCCAAGCTTTAATACCCCTATAGGATAACCTTCAAGTACCCCCAAAATGGCCCCTCTAGGGACCACTCAGTTTTCAATAAAATTCCCTGACCTTCATTTCGGATCGCGAAGCCGAAAACGTCATGGACAGCACTGCCAGCGATTTTCGGACTGAAAAGTTCAAATTTATGAGTATTATGATGATTCTGAAACCTAGAAGTCTTCAAGGTGTCCTCAATCTTCTCGAGAGACTTCATGATGGCGTCGACGGCGTCTTCCTGTCGTCTTTGCGCCAGTTCGGGCCATTTTCCTTTAAGCCAGATAATTATTTGAGGTTTCCAAAATGAAAGGTTTCAAAGATATAAATTCAACTCCTCAAGGCTCAAAAAAAATCTCTTTTCATTCTCAATAATCCCTATAAGCTTTTGATCTCGATTAAAGGCTAAAAGTTTCAGAAAACCTTGAAATTAATGAAATTTTTTTCACAAAAAGAAGCTTAATCGTTCCAAAAAAATGTCTCGAAGAGAAAAAAATAAAGGAATATTCACAGAGTAGCTAGAGAAAAATTTTTGAAAAAAAAATCTCGAGACGAGATCGAGACAATTCGAAATTTTTGCTTCAAAATAACACTTACAAACGACCAAAATTCAAAAATGTGCGAAAACTTACCTTTATTGAGAGATATTACGCGAAATCTGAAACTGCGCGGGGGGTTTGATCGCTTGACGCCTCATTTTTAATTTTCAACTCAAAAAAAGATTTTTTTTTTTCATCTTGAGATATCTCGAGACTAGACGAGATCGTCAATTTTTGACTGAGACGAGATCGTGTCTCGTGCATTCCTGATACAAGCCTTTGGAAAACTTTTAAGAACCTTTTTAGGAAATCTATTAGTTTTTTCGATCTTCAAATAAATTCCAAAAATACGTCAATTTTTGAGTTGGATATTTTGACCCCTTCATTTAGCTCAAACGAACCATGAAGCAAATTTCTGAACAGAAACATACTTTTTCCGAAAAAAAAGGAGCGTTTTTGAAGTAACTTCTAGAGCCTAATCATTTTCAAAAAATATTTCCAATGCTTCCCACTTATTGAAACGAACCATGTAGAAATTTCTGAACCAATCGAAACTTTTTTTTCCGAAAAAAGCAATTTTGAAGCAAAATTTATCGAAACCTAACCTCTCCCACTCTTAATTTTTTTAATATTTTTTTCTTTATTTTTTTCAAAACGAACCATGCAGCAACTTCCTGAACCAATTGATACTTTTTTTCCCAAAAAAAGCAATTTTGAAAGCAAAATTTATCGAAACCTAACCTCTCCCACTATTTTTTTCTGTTTTTTAATTTCCAATATTTTTTTCCTCCCCTTTTTTTCAAAAACAAACCATGTAGCCGTTTCCTGAAATTATGGGTATTTTTTTCCAAAAAAAAGCGATTTTGAAGCAAAAATTTATCAAATTCTACGGCTCACTCTCTCTTTTTAAATATAATATCTCTACATTTCCCTCTTTTCAAAACAAACCATGTAGCCACTTCCTGAACTTATGGGTATTTTTTTCCAAAAGATTTGAAGCAAAATTTATCAAATCATAAATCCCACCCATCAAAAAAATGATTTTTGAATATTTATCCTTTACTTTTTCAAAACGAACCATGTAGCAACTTCCTGAACCAGTTAATGCTCCTCCTTCCATTGGCCTGCAGGAAATTGACGAGCAACGCACAGACGAAACAATTGTGCGGCTGTCGTTCTCGGCCTTGAGGTAAAATATGAAAAATGGATAGAATTTCAGAAAAAACCGTGAGAATGTCTTTGGAGCAAGCTGACGAGGGCCGGTACCCTGACGAGCATCTGAAGGGCGGCGATGGCGAAGCAGTTATTCGACAAGTTGTCGGCTCCTTTCGCCACGGGCAGCTTCAAAAAGAAAATATTCAATCTCGAGAGGGAAAGTAATTTCAGTTCAAGACTCGGAATTTTGTAAAAAGTTGCTCAAAAACTCTCTGAAGGTTAAACAAGGTTCCTCGTAGAGACAAAAATATTTCCGAGGGTACTTAATTTTCAAATGGAGCTTGATTATTAACAATAAAAAAGTCTACAAACTCTTTTCTTGTGAACGCTAGATTGGTCCCTATAGGGTTTCAACGTCTTACCGCGAAGCTCATAAAGCTTGAGTGGTCACTGTAGGGGTTTTTTTAATGTTAAGATTTGAAAGTTAAAAAGCAATAATTTAATAAAACAAGATAGATTAATCCTTTCTTGATTATTTTTACATTCAAAAAAAAGCCAATTTATCGAGTTTTCCGTAAAAATGGTTCTTCTCATAGAGTGACGACTTGTATGCTCCCTATAGGGGCCACTAATGCTTGCAAAAGTGGCCCCTTTAGGGAAGGTAAAGTGGTCACTAGAGCGGAGAATTCAAGGTTTCTGAGACTGCGCTTATAGACATTTCAGAATAGTGCAAGAGTTTCAGGATCTTCAGAGTGGTCCCTAGAGGGATTAGGGGAAAAAAAAATCCCTATAGGGGTCCCTCAAATCCATTCAAAAACGCTCAAATATTCAGTTTTCCGCATGGTAATGCTTTTTTGCATAGAGTTTATAACGATTAACGACCAGAATGTCTCCTAAAGGGGCCACTTTTGCAAGCTTTAGTAGCCCCTATAGGGGTAAGTAGAGTGGTCCATAGAGGGTAACATTCAAGGGCCTCTATAGACGTTTCTTACGAAAAGCTCAAGAATAAATTAAATCTACTTTTTCGCTGAAGATAAGGGGAAACCTGACGAAAAATAGATAAATAACGGGTTTTCATGAAGGAAAAAAAAGACCTTTCTAGTCCAGTTTTTCAGAAAATTCCCACTGAAAGTTTCCTATTAGAAGTCAGTGAATTCGTATTCCCCCCTCTAGGGGCTACTTTTGCAAGCTTTAGTGGCCCCTATAGGGTAGGTAGAGTGGTCCCTAGAGGAGACCCTCCAAGGGCTCCTAATATTGCCCCTATAGGGACCAAGTTCCTAAGAATGAGGTGAAGGGATAAAACTTAGCGCAAAAGAGATGGAAAATGACCTTTCTAGTCTAGTTTTTCAGAAAGTTCGAACTGAAAGTTTCCTACTAGAAGCCAGTGTAAAAAGGAAAGGATGACGAACCAATCGGGGGTTGGCCCAACTGAAGAGGACGTTCGACTGGACGACGTAACGCTGGAGCATCTCGTCGCCGCGTTCGGACATGAGTCGCCGACGTCTTTGCGCCGATTTCTCCGTCTTTTCCGGCGGTCCGACGGCAGCTGTGGCTGCAAAAAACGGGAAACAGTTGCCGGACTACATATGTTTTGATCAATCTGTTTGATCCGGAGATAAAACAAAAAAAACTTGTTTATAGCCTGGACAAATATCTTCTCTAGGAATGTTTGAAAAAAGCCAGGAATAAAGTGAATTTAATAGAAAGGACGGTCAGAGAGAAACGAAGACAGTTTAAAGTTTGGAGAGATTAGAGATCATTTTGAGTCTCGCGAAATAACTTTAAACGCGGCAAAACGTAAAATTTTTGAATTTACAGAAAAGAAAAGTCATGGAATTTTCGAGTAGGTATACTTTAAACCACCCTGGTTCCTTAGTTGAAATAAACTTTCGAGTTAGAAAGCTTCGAATACGGTAAAATGTTTCATTCTCTCTTTTTTTGACCTTAAAATATTTCTATTTCCTGAAGAAATTTCATTTTTAGTCTAGCGAAACAATTTTACAAGGCGACAAAGCGCAGATTCTTGAATGACAAGAAGAGAAAATTTTCGAGAACTTGCTTTAAATTAGCTTAATGTGCTCTTTAAATAACCCTGGTTTCGATTTTGGAACAATTTTTTGGAGCTTTTCGTTTTTTATTCGAGTTAACGTTCAAAATGATTCCGCGAAGTTCAAATTCGTCGTCAGAGAAAGAAAAAGACAATTAAAATTTGGAGAGTCAGAGATAATTTTCCGTTCGCGAAAATCACTTGGAACACGGTATGAGAGGCTTCAAAGACTTTAAAAAAAATCTTAATCTAAAAATCATTAAAAAAACTAAATCTAAACAAAATCTACTTTTTCTAATTTTATTCGAAAACGAAACGAAAAGCCTCGAAATTTCTTTCTCTTTTTTTCGTTATTTTTCTTCTTGGCTGTTGTTTTTGCTTCCAGGCAAGGGGTCACTCGAGGGGTTTTCTCAGAGAGGAGTCAAAAACAAAATAAATTGCCTCTTTTCTTTATTTTGACTATTTTTCGCGTTTTTCTCGAGGGAAATGCGGAAAAGTCATGAGATTACTCAAATTTTTCTTCGTTTGGAAAGGGAATAAGAGGGGAATTTTGATAGTTTTTTTAATTTTTCTAAATTAAAAAAACTCTTCTATTATTTTCGGAAAGAAAAAAATGGGATTTCAAATTGAAGGGAAAAAAATCCCTTCTTCCAGAATTTGGAGAAATAAGGACTGATAAAATGAATAAAAAAAGTCAAAAAAATCAGGATGAAGATTTTTCAAAAATTACTCAGAAACGATCTTCATATTTATTCTACAAATTGTCATTCTACACCAAATTTGCGCTCACAAAAAAATGAAATTAGGCTTCTTTTTGTATTTATTTTTGACGTTGGATCGTCTGAATACTATGCTTTTTCGGCTCAACAATCTCAATTTTTTTCACTGGTTTGACCCATTTTTTCTTGTTATTTTAAACCTTGAGACATTTCTATATTTTCAATTGTGTATCAAGAATCGCTATATACCTTCAAAATACCTTATAAAAATGATATAAATCATCTTTTCCATATTTTCACGGTGAGGACTTTCGAAATTCAACAGTAGGAACGATTTTTTTTTTTCGCAAATTTTGTATTTTTTTTTTACCTATATATATATTGGCTCAACTTCATCAAAAAAATCGAAAAAAAAAACCTTTTTTCGCTTTTTAATTCATTTTCCTGTTCCGCAAGACTTTTTAAAAAAATTCATACTTACATCAAAGATCTCGGTATTCCTTATGCCGTGTTCAAAGTAATTTCCGCGAAATGCAAAATGGTCTCTGACCCTCCAAAATTCAGTTATCTTTCTCTTTCTCTGACGGCTATTTTGAATTTCGCGGAATCACTTTGAACACGGCATTATAACACTACATAAAAAAATTTCTACCTAGAGGTTTTTTTCGACGATTTTCGAAACATCGTTTCCATTGAGATCGGGCTTTTTTTGAACTTGAACGATGGGTTCAACCGGAGGGACGATTTTCTTGGAAGTGTCCGCAAAATTGAGATCCGTCTTGTAGGACATATTGAGGCCCGTCAACGTGTTGCCTATATTCAGCCCTGAAACAGGATCCGTTACCCAAAAAAAGAAATTTGTACTTTCAAAAATTCAAAAAAAAAATTTGGTGTTCAAAATGATTCCGCGAAGTTCAAAAAAACCGTCAGAGAATGAAAAAAATAACTAAATTTTGGAGAGTCAGAGATCATTTTGAATTTCGCGGGCATTTATTCCGGGATAAAATCCTTATAAATGGAGATTGAAACTGACAATCGGCTGAACTCGATGAATTATTTCTTATCGGCTGACTTTCTTCCCGTCGTCCATTACAACTACCGGTTAAAGCTGGAAAAATTATCTTAATTTTAGATCATTTTCCCGTTTCAAACCTCGCGAGGGCTCTTGTATCGGCCGTTTCAGTTCGTAGTTTGAACTCCAAGGCCTGTCTCTATCTGAAAAAGTAATTTTTTGAAAAAAAGGTTAATTTCCACGGAATATATTTCAAAGTGGCTTCAATAAATTTTGAAGGGAATGAAAAAAAAACTTTCTCCATTTTTTTCATTTTTCTGTTAGAAGCGCACCTTACACTCGTATTTTTGAGCTTTAGAGCTCAAAAAAATCATGAAAAACCACATATTCAGAAAAATTAGGCAATTTCAACTTCAAAAAGTCCTCAAGAGAAGGAAAAAAAGAGCTTTCAAGTATTTTTCAATTTTTTTAATAAATAACCAAAAAAATTGAAAAATTTAATAACGTGATTTTTATCGATGATAAAACATTGAGAAAAAAATTTAACAATTTTAAAAATCCATTAAAAAAATACGTAAAAAAATATTTTTTTGTTTTGAAACTGCTGAAATAATAACAAAGCACAAAGAAAAACTTTGTTTTTGTAAAATTTAAAAAAACCTAACCTTTTTTTCATTTTTCTTTCAAAAGGTCGGGATAACATTTGAAGTTATAAAAATTTGCTTTTAAACAGTCACGGAAGTTCAAAAATTCATAAAGAAACTTTTTAGAAAAAGCAATAGAGCTTTTAAAAATTATCAAAAAAACTACACTAAAGCTTCAAATTCTTTTCTAAACTTTTTTTAAGCTCAAATTTTAAAGGCTCAAAACAATGAAAAAGATAATAATGTGGAATTTTTTTGCATCTCTAATTATCATCTCAATTATCTCAAGGATCATGATTTTTAATCAAAAACTACCCTTTAAAATACTTTTTTTCCAACTAAAATCCCTCAAAAACCAACCAGATCCTCTTGAAGACCCGTTGTTCGGATGCCAATTCTGCACCTTGTACTTCTTCTTTTTGAACGAATAATCTAAAAATTCCCATTTTCACTTGAAATTCTTCTTTTTCATCGGAAACCTTGATAAGAATCGCGGAATTTCTTCTTGGCCGACTGTCCGAAACGAGAAAAGTTCAGCGAAAAGCTCGAAGAGCCATTGAAACCTGAACTTTAAGGATTGAATGGGTCTCGAGTGGAATGAATGGATTACGGTCTCTGTCGTGGTGCTTTTTGTGGGATTTTCCGTGGCGGAAACTATCGGCGGTGGTCCACGGCCATCCTCCGTTGAACTTGTTCGTTTGCAGAGCCAGCTGAGAAGTGGAAAATGATATAAAAACCGAAAAAAGATGAAGTTTTTAGTGAAATTTTAAAGTTAAACTGCAAAAAAATTAAACCGGGTTCGAAATTTGAAATTGCCGCGTTATTCGTTCAAAAAGATTTCGCGAAATTCGAATTTCGGGAGTTTTCAAACAGATTGGGTCCTACAACGATATCTGTAGTGATATGTTGAATTTTTACGCGCGAATTCAAAACTTCGGTGAAAAAATGATCAAAATTTGAAAAATTGGAGTTTAGCTCGTAAAAGTCGCTGTTTCGTGGTAGGATCCAACTATAATAAATTCCAATTTTGCGGGTTTCGTAACATTATTTCACATGAACCACGCGTAATTTTTGAAATTACTTTTAAAAGGCCGATTTAAAGGCGCAAAAGTATTGGAAGACTGTAAAAGACGCTGAAAACGACTCTTCGCTTCAAGACCTTTTTAAAACCCAGCTCTGTTCCTTTAAATATTTTGCAAGCTTTTATGATCCAAACGTTCGCAGTTAGTATTAGCTTTCCTTGAAAAATTAGATGTAGATTTAAAAAAATATTTTTTTCAAAAATTCAAAAAAATCCCCTTAATTCAGATAATCAAATAGAAGACTTGAGAATATGGTTAAAAATACCGTCTAGCTGATTCAGATACTCTTTTTGAAGAGTAAAATATGACCTAGTCCGGTGAAAATCAGAAAAAAAGGTACAGGAATACCATTTTTGAATTTTTAAAACTAAAAAATCAAATTTTCGATGAACGACCTTCTAGGGATTGTTAGTGAGAAACTCTTTCGATTAGACCCATATTCAAAAAATACCTTTCAATTTTTTCTTTTAAACTGGTGATCACAAAAAAGGGAAGTTGCTGAAAATTATCCCTTATTTCTAGTTCGAAATCAAACAAAAATTCAAATACAGACCAGGTTTTTTTCCAACCTTCAAAAACAACGAAAATCTCTCTCAAAATTGAAAAAAAGTTTATTAATGTCAGGGAAAAACAACAAAAAAACTGTACAGAACAACAGAAAAAAATATGACTATAAAATGGAACCCATTGATTTATGAATAAAATATTAACAATAGAAAGCTCTAACAAGGTAAATGTTGCAATGAAAATCGAAAAAAGGAAAAGTAGCAACTCTAGGGGAAAGGGAGGAAAAAACCGGTATTTTTTCTATTTCTTCTGCCGCGCTTCATAATCCGACCAATCGTATTTGCACTTGTATGGCAAAAATCTGCAATATTTCGGGTTCAAAGAGTTTTATTTTCTTTTTGACACTCTGGGTTTCAGATTAGAATTATAAAATGAAAACCCTTTTTTTCGATTTTTTTCATCCTGCTATGTGCAAGATTTTTCATTAAATGAAATAACTGTTTATAGTAATTTTTGGCTAAAAATTTTTTTAGAAGCTAAAAAAAGTTTCTGACGACTAAATATAACCCAATAAAAAAACGGCTTTTTCGCTTTAAGAACTTTATCAAATTCGATCATGCTCCTTTAAAAAAATTCAGAAAAAAATCTCTCAACATTTTTTTGAACTTTAAAAAGTCATTTATGAAAGTTTTTGAAGCGAAATACCCAGATAAAAAAAGTTCAAAAAAATATATTTATAAATTTTTAAATTTTTCAAGGTAAAAAAATCCTTTGATTTAAAAAGTTCTTTAACGCATTGTGAAGCGGTAAAAAAATTAAAAAATTAAAATTTTTCGAGTTTTAGTGCTAATTTTTCCTTTAAAACTGAACTAAAACTGTTTTTCGCGGAATATGTCTCGATCAAAACCATCCCGGCTTTCCAGAATGCCCATTCTAATGACTGGAACCCAAGAAACACGCCTCCTCGGCGCAATTTCGATAATAGTTGCCATGGAAACCTTTCAGGGACTCCTTTGATCCGCAACAACCGCATTTCCTTCCATTTTTCGTAGTCTTTCTGGGAGTCGCGGACACAGGCGACCACGGACAAAGGAACCGTGGCCATGGCCGTCAGGTAGGCCGCCTTTCCGCGACCGGATAGTCCATAAACCAGCATATTGGCCAGCACGAAATTGACGCCAATCGAGATGGCTGTTTGCGTGAATCCGGGGTCGGGATTTTTGAACAATCCGAACATTCGAGCCGTCGACATCGGCGGATTCTCGTCGTCTTCAACTTGGCTGCTGGCCATTTTGGGACCTGTAAATAAAGATTCTGAGAAAAATAACTTCATAAAACAAAAAGGATAATAATTCGATTAAACTAAAAAAAAAAATAGAAATAAATCGGAACGCCTGAAGAACTCAAATGTCTTTTTGAATTTCGATAGTTTGTTTTAACTTCGAAAAAAACACAAAAAAATTGATAATAAATTCAATTTAAAATGAAAAAAAGTTTTTTTCACCCGTACGTTAATGCATTTAAAAAAATAACAAATCAATTACACTGTTTGTAAATTTAATGGGTTGCTGTAAATTAAAAAGATTTAAAATGACACACAAAATGCAAACTTTTTACACAGAGATAAAAAAAGATAAAAACGGATTAATTTTTTTGAATATAGAAAGATACCAATCACTTATAAGATTTTTTTAAACATATTATTTTTAAACCAGAGAAGCTCTTCAAAAATGATATAAAGAAAAAAAATGAAAAAAATGAGAGAAACAGATTTTTTTATAAAAAAACTTGAAAAAAATATGTGTTAACAGCTTCAAAAAAAGCTTTTTAAATTACGAAGAAAAAAACAATTGGTTATTAAAAAAATTTACTTCATTTTAAAGTGCAAAGCTTTTTTTCGAACGCGTCGATTACAACAAATTCCTGCAGCAAAAACGCAAACAACGAAAAGAAGCAAGAAATAAAAAGAGAGAAAGAAAGCGAGAGGGAAAAACCGCAAACAAAAATCGAAAATATTTTTGGCGAGCGCAGGGGGCAAGTGCGCCCCGATGCAATTTTTTGGGACGTTGCCAAAATCGCCAAAACCTTTCAGAAAGAAGCTGTTTTTTAGTGAAAAATGAACTTGGAAGTGAGTTATTTGAAGCCAAAGAACTAGAGAAAGTAAAAAAGCGGTTTCCAAAACAATTTGTCAAAGAAAAAAATCTCAAAGTCCATCATTGGAACAAGATAATAGCATTTGAACTAAAAAATCGAAGAAGATAGGTTAGATTTAGATCATAAGGACTTCTAAAAGCTTCAAATGAAATAATTGAGGTTTTAAATTTTATATGAACTCCCTTAACTTGACATTAACAGACTTCCTGCGCGAGGCTGTATTCCAGCGGCAAAGAAGCGCCTTCGCTTACGACCACATCACGTTGAAAACACGCCATCCCGTCCGATCTGGCAAGTTAAGCAACGTTGAGAGCCGGTAGTACTTGGATCGGAGACGGCTTGGGAATTCGGCTTGCCGTAAGCTTTTTGCTTTTCTTTTTTTCCTCTCAATTTTATTTTCAGCATCACAAGATTTCCTTTGAAAATTTTTTTTAATGCGAAAACCTTCCAGACAGGGTTATTTTCGAAACGCATTGTAGGCAATTGGAATCTAATGAGCCCAAATGTCATAGAAACGCTACCGGATGGTTTTTCCATTTTCCATGAAACCGGTGCTTCTTTCTGTGGCTCTCCTGCTCTTCAAACTTCAAGGTTTTGAAATTGTCTCATTAGAACTTTTGGAGAAATTCAGAAGCGATTCCATCGCCATATTTCGTTGTCATCCTTTCGTATGACCCGAGTTTGCAACCGGGACAGAACGATTCGGGAATCGAGGATTGCAGAGTCAAGTGCGACGCCGCGCCAAATTGCTTTGTTAGTTTCGTTTTTGAAAGGCTGAGGTGACTTTTTTTGAGCCAAAAGTCCATATATAGCCTGTTCACCACGAAATGGAATTTCACCAAACGACATTCCGCTGTGCCGTTGCGCGCCTTTGCGAACCTTGGTCACGCTTTTAATCTTTTTTTTCCTTTTTTATCAAGCTTCTCTACTTTCCTGTGCTCTCACAGCAGAAAAAATCAATTGAGAGCGTGACCTAGATTCGAAAGACGCTTCGCGAACGCACGCAGCGGAACAGCGGAATGTCGTTCCGTGAAATTTCAAGTCGTGGCACACAGACTATAGCGTTTTTCTATAAATTTTATTGATTGTAAAAAAAATCCTTCCCAGGGATTCAGTTGGTATGAACCAAGTCATTACTGCTACTACGCTCAAAGCAATCTCAACGCAAAATTTCGTCCAAGGAACACGACAAACCCAGAAATGAACATGGTCTCCTACATACGCATCATCGGCGAGTTCAGTGATTGTCCAGGAACTCCCGACGAAATCCAACAGGTAGGACTTTAGAAATATTATAATCTTTTTGGCTTTCAAATTTGAACAAAAAAAGTTAGAAGACCAAAGATTGAGGGGGTAGGGATCAGACCCTATAACCTTTTAGGGATCACCTCAGTTTTAGCCCTTTAGGGAGCACTCAGGCGTTTCTCAATTTGAAACTTGGCTGAAACTCTCTTTCTTTTAAACATATGTTCTTAATCCTTAGGAATTTCTGAGTGCTCCCTAGAGGGATTAGGGGAAAACAGCTCTTCTGGCAGACAAAAAAGTGATCCCTTGAGTGGTTTAGGGTCTAACCCTCCAGCCCCTAAGGTTCAAATGCTCCCTTAAGTGGATAGAGGAAAAAACAGCCCCTTACGGCGTTTTTTCGACGAACCCACTTTTCCTCCGTAAAGTGTCGTGTGTCGTGTGCATGCACCGCGTCACTTTCGCACACAAAATTGCGTTTTCGTAGAGAAATTTCGATTCGTCTTAAGACCTCTGGCGATACGAAGGCCTGCGCCTTTAATATGCCTTGATATTCACGCTCTTGAAGCCGAAACCTCTCCCGTTCCCATGACGTCACGTGGGAAAGACGAATATTTTCGCTCCGCCCACCGTGTTTTTTGTTTCTTGCTCTAACAAAAACGCCGTGCCCTGCAGGGGACTTTTCCAGGGTCCCCTATAGGGACCGCTCTGGAGTTCCTAAGTTTGACAATATAAGGTTCAATGAGGATCTCTAGAAATGACTTGTCAAGTCATAACCAATTACAGAGCTGGACAGAATGGTACTGTAGTTGTTATCAAACGAAACAACAGCAAAGATGGAAGGTTGTTAACAACGCTGGAAGTTATAGGTAACATCCATCATTTAATAAAACTGGTGCCACTTTTCAGTGCGCCGCGAGAATTCCAAGGAGCTTGCAACTGTCAATACTGACATGGTCAGAAGGACCTTCTGAGGACCCTCCGAGGGCCCAAAAAGGTTGCTGGGAAGCCCCATATAAATGTTTCTTTCTTGCTGATTTTCTGTGCCGTTTCTCCAACCCTTCCACCTTCCAACCATTTTTATGGCCTGTTTACCACGACTTGGAATTTCGCCAAACGACATTCCGCTGTTCCGCTGCGCACCTTTGCGAACCTTGGTCGCGCTTTTAATTTTGTCTTCCTTTTTTAAGGTACTCTATCCGAAAGACGCTTCGCGAACGCACGCAGCGGAACAGCGGAATGTCGTTCCGTGAAATTTCAAGTCGTCGCACACAGACTAGACTGCATTTGCAACCAATTCCTTACCATTTTCCTACCCTTTTGGCCCCTTTTTCTACCATTTCAGTGTTTGCCAAGACAATCTCAATATTCGGAAAAATTCATTAAGAAAAAATAGTAAAGTGAGTTTTGAATAAACATTGTTTGAAATTTCGAGATACTCTGAAAATTAAGGAAAACGAAGATTTTGTAGAAAATCGGCTTCAGTTTTCTTTTGGCGTGGGGAGTGGTTCAAAAATGATTCTCTTCCGTTTCTCTCTGCAAAAAAATAGGTTCACTAAAGTATGAAACGTTTTGTTGAAGATAAAAATAAAATAGTAGAACTCATTATTTCTGTTTTTTTAACTTTAATTTTTTTAGTTAAATCGAGAAAAACACTGAAAAAAAGATTTCAAAAATATGAGTATTTTTCTAAAATTTCAGCTTTTTTTCCAGCGATTTTAACCCTTTTTTTGAGCAGAAATTCTAATACGTATGAAATAGAAATCATAAAAAGCTACTAATTCGTATAAAAAAATTTCCGAAAAAAATTGTAAAAAAATCAAGTTAAACAAATCCAGAAATTCAAGCTCCCGCCAAGGAGGAAAAATAAGTAAAAATTCGAAATCTCTAAGATAGAAAAAAATGGTCCAGTTTCAAAGCTACAGTAACCCATTGAAAATTCCTAATTTTCGTTGCGAAATGGCAAATCGAAAAAAAAAACCATTTTCTCGAACCCTACAAGAAAAAAAGTTTTCAATTGTAAATGGAGCACACATTCTTGCTTATTTACAGCCCTTTTTTCCATTTTTCCAGCATCAGGATGAAATTTTCCAAACTCACGCATAACAGGGGACTTCGCCTTTGGAAACCGGCTGCAGGGATGAATTATCGATCCACAGGGAGCAAAGGACTCCGATGAGCCCGAAAAGGACCAAAGTCGACCAGGTATGCGAGAAAACTTCGTCGTCCCGGTCGTTGAAAAGCCAGATTTGCTAAAGAGGCAAAAGATCGGAAAAGAGACTTTAGTTATTTTTTCTGAAACCGAATAGCTATATTTACACCGTCTTGAAAAAACCTTGGTCGCATTGGGAATGGCTCGACGCGTCGCAGCCCAAGTTAAAGTTCAAAAATTCATAGCAAAAAAAAAAGTTTTTCACTTTTTCAGGCCTGCCTCCCTTATTATTCTACACTAATCACGCTTTTCGCACTGGAATCTTTTTTAAGATAGTCGCTGCGCCTTTAACAATCCTTGAAACCTGTCAGAAACGGACTAAAATTTCTTTGAAGCCGACCACAAAGCGACTTGCGCTGGTCTGCATTGAAAATCTAAGAAAAAGCTTCTGCCCGCCGCAGCGCGACCGCGAAGCGTTGGGCCGTTCTAGATGCGGTCAAGTCAAAATGAATCGACTATTTAGCTTCAGAAAAAAGTTGTAAAATGGTTTGAAGACACCGAACATTTCTTCTTCTACATACATTTTTCGTTTTTCAACTTTTTTTAACGCTGAAATCTATAAAATGATACCCCAAACGTGTATCGGCACAAGAACAACAGTCCAACAATGATCGGAACAAAATAAGCTCTCGATATTGTCGGAATATGTTCGAATAACATCTGAAAATCATCAAAAATAAATTCAATCATAATTTCGAAACCATAGCGCTCGTAGTTCTGGCGATGAAAAATCCGATTCGATAGAGACAATAGCCCGGAATGAGGTTTGTATCTTGGTCTGAAATTGGGCGATATGGAAAAAAATATACATCCTCATGGAGGATCTGAAACGTTGTAATCCCATTCAGAATGGCTCAAGCGTTGCGGTCGCGTCGCGGCTCAAATGGGAATCCTTCGATTCAAAATGCCAAAACGCGCAAGTCGCTTGGGGTCGGGTGCATCATGGAAGTTTGCTAAGCTTCTCGAAGTCGTATTATTCCATAATAATAAGTATTTTCGTGCCAGGACCTTTCTAAAAGTCTTCTCTGCGCCTTTGAACATTCCAATAGGCTTCGCAGCCGCACCGCATCGAGCCATTCTCCATGCGGCCAATTTTTTTTCGCCAAAACCGACCGACAGTCTGGATAATTATGTACAGAATGTACATCTCAATAGAGAATCTGGAACTCTCTGACCACAGAGAATGAATCAAGCGTTGCGGTCGCGTCGCGGCTCAAATGGGAATCCTTCGATTCAAAATGCCAAAACGCGCAAGTCGCTTGTGGTCGGGTGCATCATGGAAGATTGCTAAGCTTCTCGAAGTCGTATTATTCCATAATAATAAGTATTTTCGTGCCAGGACCTTTCTAAAAGTCTTCTCTGCGCCTTTGAACATTCCAATAGGCTTCGCAGCCGCACCGCATCGAGCCATTCTCCATGCGGCCAATTTTTTTCGCCAAAACCGACCGGATGTTATATACAGAATATACATCTTAATAGAGAATCTGGATTGCTCTGACCACAGAGAATGGCTCAAGCGTTGCGGTCGCGTCGCAGCTCAAATGGCAATTTTCGGGTGCATCATGGGAGATTTCTGAGCTTTTCGAAGCCTTGAACAGCTTTTCTGACTTATCATTCTATAAAAATAACTATTTTCGCGCCAGGACCTCTATAAAAGTCTTCCCTGCGCCTTTAAAAATTTCCATGGGCTTCGCAGCCGCACCGCGTCGAGCCATTCTCCTTGCGCCAAAACCGACCGACAGCCTGGATAATATTCTCGCAGGTCGACACAACGTTGGGGCGCATTTGCATGATGAAAATCCCGCCGAGGAACATTCCCAATTGCGACACGACCATCGTGAATCTTCTACCGAATCTGAACGGGGAATTGGGATAGTCACGCCTTTTTTTCGCAAGCCTTCGGATCGAGACGACCATCAAAAGGGAGGCGATCAGGTCGAGGTATCCTCGGGCGACGCCTTCTTCTGGGAATCTCAGGGGACTGACTCCAGAATTGAACCGGACGTTTCGTTCCGTCAGGTTGACCGTCACGCTGAACAAGATTTCCTTTCGAGATTTATTAAAAATGGTACAAAATGTCCAGAAATTCAAAGATAATAGCGTCCTTGGACAGAGAGAAAAAAAAAATGTATAATAACATTATGAGCGGAAGGAAAAAATCTGAAATGATTTGGTCCGTTCGCCGCGACTTTAAAATTTTCGAGTGTCTGCGTCTCTCTGTTCCCTCACTGGTGAGGTCAAAGATACATGAAAACAGCGCTTCAACATGAGAGGGCATCAAATTCATACAAAAGCATGGAAAACCCGAAAAGAGCTAAATGGTAAAAAAAAAAGCCGCAACACTTCCGTGGGATTGTGCGCTCCATGGCTAAAGTTAAAAAATATCCAATTTTCTACTCGGACCTTGGTAACGCGAACGGGACGCGAATCGGACGTGTCGTGGCGTTTCTAGTGACCCCTTTAGTAGCCTCAGCCCTCTTAAGGGATCCCTAGAATTTCCCAGAAAGTTGTCGATTTTAACCCACCTATCACAAAGTTGAATAATGTAAAAACGGACAGGGGAATGAAGCTGAGAAGAAGCTTCTTGAGGAAGGCCGGCGTCGTGAGAAGCGACTTGATTCCGTCGATCTTGGAAAGCGGAACTTCGCCGAGGAACAGGACGTCGTCGATGACGGCTTCTTCGTCGACGTTGCCTAAGAAATCTCCTTTGTCTCGAAGTATGAAGATGAATAATCACTTGTGATCACTGAGTACTTCTGGATGACCTCCTTGAGAGCCATAAAATTACGATGGGCGATTTCGACGGCAAGGTTCGGTGGACAGAAGCTTCAAAATGGAAATTTTCCTTGATTTTGACATATCTAAAACTCTTATAATTTTTCTCAAAGTTGCGCCCGACTCGAAGCGACTTCGCTAAGTTGTCAGCTATAGGAATTTTTAGACTCACAAGAAATGAAGCAAAATGCCGGTAAGGAACATGGCGCCATGAGAGATCCAGAATCTATCGATTGACGTGATTTCTTCCATCGTCGTGAGAACTGTGATTTCGACAATGTTTCTCTTAACAAAAATTATATATTTAAAGCAATTTTTTTAAGCAAAGTTTATGCATGATATTCCTAATCTGAGGCTGCAAAAAAATTCTCGTCACGCAGGGGAACCGAACTCAAGACCCTTAGACTCCAATCCAAGCACACACCCCATTAGGCTAATCAAAAAAATTATATTGTTATATTTTTTTCTGAAGCAAAGTTTAGACAGGATATTTTTTTAATCTGAGACCGCAAAAAAATCCTCGTCACGTAGGGGAGCCGAACTCAAGACTCTTCGACTCTCATCCAAGATTACACCCCACTAGGCTACTCCCTACCTCTCAAAAATTCTCATTAAACATTTATAATTTTATATCTCTATTCTGGAGCAAAGTTTGGACAGGATATTTTCAATCTGAGACTGCAAAAAAAAATCCTCGTCACGCAGGGGAACCGAACTCAAGACCCTTCGACTCTCCACCAAGCCCACACCCCACTAGGCTACTCAACAACTCACAAACATATAGCACAAGCAGATGGAGAAAGGCCGAAGATGGGCGGGAACCGACTCGACGGAGGCCACCAGAGCGGGAATGCAAACCATCTGAAATCGCGATGGCGACTCGGCTACGCGACTCGGCCGACCTGTGTTGTCGCGGCGGCGACAAAAACCGCGATCCGAGTGAAGAATCGCGTCAAGAAGAAGGCGCCTATCAAGTAGACAGCGAGGGTCAAGGAGATCGCCGCGAAACTGATTCGTTTCAATCTCCAACTGGAAAAAAATGGCGGGGAAGTGGTCATTTTTGGGATTTGACGTTTTAGCGGCTACTATAGCTTTCGAATTAGTGGCCACTAAGGGGCTAGAATTAAGTGGCCTCTTAAAAAGTTAAGAGTTATCACTAGGTCATTAAAATTACTATAGTGGCCGCTAAGGGGAAAATATTTCAGTAGCCTCTCCAAGGAACCCTTGAGGGACCTCTCAAGTGACCACTAAACTTTTTCTCAGGTATAATAAAACTCCGGTCGCACGTAGAATGGCTCAATTGAGAAAAGGGCCCGTCGAAAGCCAGCTTCAACACTTTTAAATGCTCTCAAGCGCAAGTCGCTTTGAGTCGGTCGCTTTTGAGACCCTTCCACGTGCGACCATAGGACTTAGAACACAGAATTTTTTAAAATTACCCCTTCAAAGGCTTTAAAAAACTCCAAAACCTCATTTTCCATATTCAAACCCCCCGTTAAATCTTCTAGAAAACCTAAAAAAAAACAAACTGTGAGATAAAATGAAGCATGACCATTCCGCAGATCATTCCGAAAGCGTCGAGTCGGCCAATCATTTTCCGTTGCTCCTTATGATACTGAAGAGGATAAGGTTTGGAATTGAAATTGTCTCAAAAATGGGAATTTGCCAGAAGAGCTACCAAAAAGGTTTAAAAATTATGCCTAGTGCGCTCCACGGATAATCTGGAATTTTAAAGCAAACTTCTTTTGGATCCTTATAGTTTCATTTTTGAACCACTTTTTCTTTTCTAAATAATTTTATCAGCACGAAACGAAGCTAATTTTCAAGCTATTTTATCACTTTTTCAGGAGATTCTCTTAAAAAATCACCGTGCCGTAGCCGACGAGAAGGCTTTCGCCTTCAAACTTGGAAATTGTCAATCGATGAGGCTTATGATTGCAATCGATGTATCTTCAAAGTTTCTATGTTAAATTCTAAAAAATCAATAAACTCTAACTCGTATTGACTGGAATCTGTGAGGAAAGCATGCAGGGAGTGAGAAAATCCGTGAGACGATGCATAGAGCAAAGCGTGCAAAATCATTGATTTCATGTAGAAAATGTTCATGTTGCCTGTAAAATAGTATGAAATCTAGTCATAGCTTCTTTCTGGGTCATTTGAGACGGCGTTTTTTTGGCAACAGGCCCGCCTATATTTTTTCCGTAAAGTGTAGTGTGTCGTGTGCATACACTGCGGCGCTCTGGCACACGCCGCGTTGAAAGTAATTTTCGCGAACTGAAATTCAGTCATTTTTTTCACTCTCTGGTGGCTTTTTTGAATTTCGCGGAACTACTTTCAACACGGCATGTGTTTTAAAAAAAAAAACCGAAAAATATTTCCTGTTGTTTACGCGTTTCTCCCCATGACGTCACATGGGAACGGCGGAGATTCTGACAACGCCCCCTTAATTTTTGGTTTTGCATTTTCTTCCACTAACAAAAACGCCGTGTAGAAAGAGCGGATTTAGACTAACTAACGGTAGAAATCAAGAAGAAACTTTAAAAAATTTTTAGATGAGAGATGAAAATAACATTATTTCTTGTTGGAAGGTGTTTTCCCCACGATTCTCTAAAAAAAAATCCCAAACGTCCTACCAAAAAGCCGCCAAATATGGTCAACCGTCCTGAGCTGTCCCTTCAAGGCCAAGTCATCTTGAGCTCTTTTTATGGTCAAAGCAACCTGAAACCTAGAAATTTCTCTTCATTCCTCATTAAAAACGAACAATCCGTTCAGTTTGTTGGATCGCATCAGTAGAGCGCAAAAGCTCGGCAGAAGCTGGTGACATTGTCGGCAAAGGCATACGAGCCGGTGACCGTCCGGGTACTTTCACCATATTTGGGTTCTGAAATCGATATTTCATCAGGAACATATCGAAAAACAAGCGAAACTCACGACGGCTTGCATGGATCCTGGCAGAGATCCTTGAGGCGGCGAGAACATCTTCCAAGAAGTGATTTCCTACTAGAAATGGCGCTAAAAATACGCAGTATGGAATTATTTCAAACACGTAGTAATATGGAATATAGATTTTATAAAAACTATTAAAAATCCGACGAAAAAAACGCTCACCACAAAAATTCCATCTTTTATTCTTCTCCCCATGAGGTGTGGTTTCGAAACGAGTAAAAATTTCTGAAAAAGTCCGAAAATCAGTTTTTGTAACATGAAAAAGACATTTAGAATTTAAAAAAAAAAATTTGTAAATGAAAAATGAAAAAAAATTAAGTCGACCCAGCAGCCACTGCGTCACGGTTGCGCACCAAGCTTTGATACCGTTTCCTCGGAAATAATGTTTCTTTTTTCACCTGAAGCCAGGTAAATAAGAAGATCATCATTTGTTGAATAATTATTCTAACGTAACGACAGAATGACGTTCTCATTATTCAAAAACTCACCATCAAGATGGAGGCGTCACCGGCGGCAACCCCAGCCGATAACACTGCTCCTTCAGAGGAGGTTTACACTTCTGTTTTCTGAACAAGGGAAATCTTCTTTTTTTTTTCGTTCAGAAACAAGACGAAGCTTTTCATTATTCTCGCGATCAGGTGGGATTTATTTCTAGAAAAATTTCCTATTCCTGGAATCCGTTTATTTCTTGAAGATGATGTTCTACGCGGAATCGCCGCTGACGCAGTTGCGACCGGCCTCGTTCCGCGAGGTGATCACGTCGACGCCGGACGTTCTGAAGTCGCCGCCGACGGCACGACTGACGGCCTCCGACGCGGCTATTCGCCTCGCCACGGTGTCGCCGTCGCAGAGACGCCCCGTCGCCAGCTTTCTCAAATGATCAACTTGTTCTACTCGAGTCTTCGATTTTACTTTGTAATAAAAAGGACCAGCTTTTTTTAACGGATTTTGTTGCTTTCTTCTAATAATCGATTTTTTTTTTAGAAAAATGAAGGGAAAGTCAATATTTAAATTGAATTTTGTCGAAAATTGGAGTACGGTAGCAGAGTTTGGTGCGTTAACGTCGACACAGTTCAAACCATGTTAGTTTTACGGCCTTCTTTTCTTTCTTTTTTTCTTTTTTTTTCGCTTGTAATAAATTTTGAAAAAAAAAACATTTAAAATTAGTTGGAGATCTTATTGTTCATAAAGGAAGTGCGTTAATTTTTTTAGAGTCCAATTTTTTCGCGAAGTTCAAGGTTTTTTGGCTCATCATCAATTTCTAAATATTATCAGTAGCAGTTTTCTTCTATTTCATGTTTGCAAAAGTTGAAACAGTTGCTCTTTCTCTCTCACAATAATGGAAAAAAGATCATTTGTTCCGTTCCGTTATCTCTCATGTTTGCTTATTTTTTAGGGTTCACCGGCGCAAGTTAAAAAAGTTCCTGTCCTCGCTTTGAAGCTTTATATACTCCTCCGATCCAAGCTAATGGAAGTCTTTGAATCGCCAAAGTACTACTTTATTTTTTTCCAGGTATGTTTTGATTATCTTGGGCTCGTGTTTTTGAACGAGGAAACTTTGTTAAAAAAAATCTCCCATTAAAATTTTTTTTAACTTTATTTCCTTTCTGTTGGAGTTATTTCGTTTATTCAGATGCAAAACCGAAGACGTACTTTCAGTAGAAGTTTTGGCTGAAAAAAACTTCTCAAAGCCGATAACGAAACATTGAAAAAAAGAAGTCGAGGTATATTTTTTTATTATATTGAATCTAATTTCCTTGATCGCCAATAAACCCTATTTTCTCCGTATTTGAAATTAATCTAACATAGGTAAAACTGAAAAGTTCCTTTGAGGATCCTCAAAAGATACTGAGAAGGAGATAAAAAGTTTCGTCTAAAATCTCCTAAAATGATGTAAAAAAGCTTTTGAGCACCTTTTTCATAGCCTCAGAGGATCCTTTTTGAATCCTCTCGGATCTTTTTTAGTTGCTTTCCAGCATCCTTTTTGTCAGAGGATATGAAAAAGATGCAAAAAAGGATTGAAATGATGTAAAAGAGATCTGCTGGGGACCCTTTCAAGGTCTTTTTTTGAGAAAAGCTTTTGGGGAGCTTTTCAGTTTTGCCCGAGTAATGTTGCAGAACTTTCGGGTGTACCAGGAAATCCTGACTGATGACAACTTCTGGGTGATTCGCGCCGATAACGAAGGCCGAGAATCTTGTCTTCCCCCCGAATTATGGCGCTACATGTTCAAAACGGCAGGAGTAACAATTCCGGCCAACGTCGACGCGACGGGATTTCTCTTCGATTGCGCCAAAATCTATCTTTCCGGAAAAGGATACGGAAAACACTCGGTCCTGAATCTGCGGGAAGACTCGACGATGGAACAGCTCGAAATGGAGAGCGACGTCAAGTTTCGAGGAGGCCTTTGGTTGGTTTCTTTTTTGGGATCAGTAAGCAAATATTGGGGAAATTTTTTTATGGTTTGATCTTGTGTGGTCTCATAGCTGATTAGAATGGGACATCTTGGATTTTTTTTTTTTCATATTTTTTTGTGATACTTCTCTGAAAAGCATTCAAGACTTTTGCCGTTTCTGAGCCCATAAAAAATCATAGCCAATTCACGGCTAACTTTGGAGACAAAGGGGCGTGGCCTGTCTGCCCTCTCCACCAACCAGGCACTGTCTTTTTTCTTATCGTGCCAGGACCCTTTTTTCGATGGCTCAAGCCAACCGTGAATCAGCTATATTTTCTGTATATTCCAACCGATTTCATTCACCTGTAGTTCAGAAAAACTTCATAAAAGAAAAAAAGAAAGAAGTTTTCTATTCTCCAATAAAGACGACTCGAAACCGTCTGACCTGTCTAGAATCTCTCGTTGTCTCGCGTTGTTTTCACGTTTCTCCCCCTCGGTGGTGAGGGAGAAGATTATATAGTGTATATTATTTAAATCAATAGAAAAAGCTGTTAAATTAAGGTTGAAAAAAGGCTTTTTTAAGTTCTAACGGACCATTTTCCAGAAAAATTCAAAAAATTCTGTTTTTTTGTTGTTCATAGCGATTGAGTTCCAACGATCCGTTCTGGGAAAATTTTTTTGTAGTTTGGTAGTAGCACTTAGACCTCTAAAGTGGCCACTAACCCTTTACCCCTTAAGTGGCCACTAATTTGACTGCTTTAATGGTCACTAAAAATTTTCCCAGCATGTTGGGAAAGTCGGTCGCTTTTTTATGGTGCCTATTTTTTCAATTTTTCAATTTTTAAACATTTTTTTTAGGCTTTTTCAAGGTTTTAGCGGTTTTTAAAGTACCTATTTCTTCATATTTTTGAAGTCATTTTTTTGAAAATTCTGACTATTAATTTTTACAAAAATCCCCTTTTTTTATTAAATTCCACCCAAAAAAATAAAACACTATTTCGCGCTTAATATATTTTTATTAAAGGTCAATTTTAAAATCTTGGCTTGAAATTCATTGAAAAAATCACAAAATCCCCTATTTTGGGCCGCCAATAATTGCTTCCTAAGCCTAAGCCTCAAAACCCTATAGTGGCCTCTAAAAATTTTCCCAGTAATAGTTCAATTTTTCAAGTTTTTTGCTGTTTCTTGTATTCAAATTAGAGCCGATAAAGATTTTTCGCATTCAGTTTGGCGATTGAAAGTCCACCGCAAGGCTGTCTCGAACAGCATCCGGAGGTTCAGACTTGCTTCGCCACAACTTTTCGTTTGTCCCACTACAAAGTCTGCATCGACCTAACCAAATGGGGCATCGAGGTCCTTTTTTCGTCCTTTCTAACGGAAATATTAAATTCACAGGAGTGGGTACTGGACTATGTGAGGCCGACGATAAGGATCACAGAATTGGTGGCTCCTCGGACGGACTGCGCCTCCCGTTTCGATCTCTACGCGAGACTTGCGGCAGACGCAAATAAGTCTAGTCGGGACTACCTCGACCCGAAATATCACTCTTTTTGCAAGTTGGAGACCCGAGAATGGCCGGCGGATAGTGGTCAGTTTACTACTGAAGTGGTCCCTTGAAAAATTTCCATCCTTCTCTGGTCAATTTTGCTAGTCATTCCAAATTTTAAAAAACCCAAAAAATTTTCTTCACAGTAAGCTTTTTTTCATCCAAAAGTTCTTCAGGTTTGAAGGAAATCATGAAGTGAACATGGTGTATAAAAACCTCTCTTATTGATTTTCAGAGCTTGGCGAGTCAAGATTTAAGAGTGTTTATGGTCCAATATAACATGATTTAAGAGTATTTTGACAGTCTCGAAAGCTTCTTTAACATTCTAAATGGTTTTTCGGTTCAGAACGAGAATCAGAAAATTTTTTTGAAAAGAGATGATTTTGCTGAAGGTACTGTTACATTATGAATTAAAAAAAAAATAACTTCTTGTCATTTTGCTTAAGTGGCCACTTAGAATTTGCTCATCTGAATACCTTTTTCAGGCTGTGGATGGAATGAGGTCACAGTGAAGATCTCCGAATACCCTATCGGCATGCGTTTCCTGAACATTACTTCTGGAGGAAAAGACACTCAGTTCTGGGATGGTCATTACGGTCCGAAAATGGCGCGGCTCCAAGTTGAAATCGTCCTGCCGAATTTGCCCCGGATTCTGCCTCGTGAAACCTGGGCCGACACCAAGGAACCTCACAAGCTCGTCAATGAACCATTCGATTGAAATTCTGAATAATTTTTGCTTGTAGGAGAGAATAAAAATTAATATCATGCACGTTATCGTCTAACTTGAAAATGAAAAAAACAATGTTGGTTTTTTTCCACAGATTTTTATCAAAGCCCTTCAACTCGGAAGAAAAAGCTTAGACTCTTGAATAAAGAGCGAAGAAATATTCAATAAAATTTTATTTTTCAAAGTATTGGGGTACGGTAAGTGAGATTGGTGTAAAATCCACGACGCAACTCGGGAATGTAATTTTTACGCTTTTTTATTTTTTTTCAGTTTCTTTGTGAATTTGTTGAATAGAGTCTGTTCAAAAATGTTACTGGTGTTTTTGCAAGCTTAGAATTTTCGAATTGCCGGAAGAACCACTGAAAACAGTTATCCCTTCGATAAATTTCGAAAGATTATTTCAAATCTTGATAATCCCAGCAGAAGTTTTCGGATAGTTTTTTCTCAAAAAGATCATTGAAAGAGAAAATAAGGTTTTTTGTCTTTTCCAGTTTTTCTTTATCCAAGAGAGATTCAAACTTCTTTCCAAGATCATGAGTTTTCTCATATTTTTTTGCAAGACTCGGATCCGTTTTATTTTCGCGTCTTTCATTTTTGATGTTTTTGATGTTTGTTATTCGTTTTTTTCCAGAAAAATGATGAATTTTTTCGAATGTATACAACATTGTTGGTGATTCGTGCCATTTTCTCAAGCTTCGATTAGCGCCGCCGCCCCCAAATTCAATCGCAACTGTACGAATCGTGAGAGCCCCTACCTTCATAATCAAGTTATGTCCTTATAAAAGAGGGCCTCGCTCGAGAGTTTCACCATTCTTCCAGCGTTCTTCTCGCCTTCTCCAGCTTATTCTTCTGGATTCGGTGTCGATCGACGTTCTGCAAATAACTATCAGTTCCTGCTGCTACAAGTCATGAACTGATAGATTATTTGTTGATGGTCATCGACTTTTTTGATGAATTTCGATTCGAAAAAAATGGCGTGGAAATCTTTCGAGATATAAAAAATCTGAAATGACCCAGCTGAGATTTTCGAAAAGGGTCAAGGCATAGTGATGGAATTTTGGGTGGGTCTTTCCCGATTTTCGCGTTTCTCGTCCAGTTTTATGAAGGATTCGATAGAAAAATGAAATTAATAAAAAGCTAGTCCATATAAAAATTGTTGCTTGAAAATTTGAAAAAAGTGATTTTTTATTCCTTATTGTAGCTTTCGCTGCAAAATAAAAGGAAAGAGAATTATTTCGAAATGGGGCCATTTTTTTCAGTTTTTTTCTGGTGAACTCTCAGGTTTATTGAGAATATTTTTTTGGACTTGAAAAGTTAATTTATAACAAAAAGACCAAAAAAAGATAAATTTTCACTTTTTTTCTTCCGATCAGCGCTCTGAAAAAGTTCCAATATTCGAAATTTCTTGGTTTTTAAAAAGAAAAACAATTAGCAAAGATTTGGAAATTTCCTAACGCCCATTTTATTACGAATTGTTGAATTTTCGAAATTACTATTTTCTTTGAAACGTAAGGCTGTCAGGGAAGAGAATTTCCAAGCTGAAATCAAAGAACTAAACGAAAAAAATGGATGGTTCTTTTGATGATCGATGGCATTGTGAACTTGTCTCCAAACATGGAAATCGATACGACTTCTCACTTTAATGGCAACTGACAACTCTGTTTCTTGACCTCGGCAAATTTCTAAACTATTTTTTAAAATCTCCAACTTGATCATGTGGTTCGAGGTCAATCGATTTCACTTCTTTGTCCTGATCGCTTGGCAATTTGCCATTTTCTTCGCCACTCAAAATATTTTTGCCATCTTTTCGAATTATGTTCCTGAGTGGAAATGTGGTGAGTTGGATTTTGGATGATAAAAATATTTTTTCTGCGTTACTTAGGAACTTCAGAGTGGTCCCTATAGGGGGAGCCTTAGAGACCCTTGATAATATGAAAGTCGCTCAAGGTCGGGCGCAACTTTAGAGTGAGTAAAAAAGTCGAGTTTCTTATAGCCTCTGTCCAAATTTTAAATGTAAAGTCGAGGCTCAAGCTCCGCCCCTAATCGCGCAGGAAGCCAATCACAGAGCGAGCCATCCCTAGAGCGTTTTCGAGTGACGTCATTTTGGACCTGAAATTCAAAATTTGAACAGAACTCATGCGAAAAACGAGTATACCTGGGAAAAACTTAAGTGGCCACTTAAGAGGTTCTTCGAGGACTACTTGGAGAGGACACTAAAGGGGCCACTAGACCTCTATAGAAGCCCTTATTTTGCTTCTTGGGAGATAATTTAGAAGTTATCTATCTAATGGAAACTTTATCAAAGGTGGCCACTAAACTGTCAAAACCCTAAAGAGGTCGCTAAAGTTTTTCGTGACGGTTGAATCAATTGAAAAATCTTTCCAGACGATGGCCCCGTCGGCAAAGACTGCGACGTCTTCAGAACTTGCAAAAACTTGACTTTTGTCAACGTCGCTTTCAAATCTGCTGCCATGGAGTTTTCATCAATTTGTTCATTTTTTTAATACTTTTTGAAGGTTTGGCTGGATTTGTAGCAAAAAGGCTTATTACGCTTCCTTGTTCTCGCAAGTTCAGTATTTTGGAGTTCTCATTGGTAAGTTCAAGTTCCCTTTTCTCCATTTTCAAGAAGATAACGGTCAAAAAAGAAGTAATCTTTTAAGTGTTCCTCACAGCTCGTCCCTTAAGTGGTCACTTCAAATTCCTACAGTCCATTTATTGTTACGGAAATTTGAGTTATTTGGCCTATATGAACTGAAAAAATTCTGAAAATACCGGAAATTTAGAAGGCAAATGTTAAGGAAACTCCTTGCTTCGATGGAAAATCCTTGCTTTTCTCAGTATTTCAATATTTTTCTTTTTAAAATCCTTTTTTTCGAAATATTAATCACGCAGAATTCTTGTATAGCTGTCCTGAGCCTTTGAAAAAGGGTCCCGACACGATAAAAAAAAGAGATAGTGCCTGGTTGGTGGAGAGCGCAGACAGGTCACGCCATCTTCGCGAGCATCGGCTATAGGACTCAAGATAACACTTAAAACGATTCTGCGCTTTGAGACCTCTCTATAAAATTCACTATGCTCCTTTAAAAGTTTTGAGCAGACTTTTCGCTTAGGAACCGTTCTTTTCGGATCATTATCAGACGCATTTGGACGCAAGCCAATTTCTACATTCGTCATGACAATGGGCATCTCTTTGAATCTAATAGCAGGTTTTTCCGAATTTTTTTTCGGATCAAATAATATTATTTTAGGAGAACCTTCCACTGAAGAACTTGTCATTGGACTAAGGTGTGACTTGTGGATTTTTTTATGAAAAGTGAAAAATGTAGGTTTTTCATCGGCCTCGCCGTCGGCGGCACTCTTGTAGTGGTCTGCACCTTCGTCATGGAGTTGCTCCTACCTCAACAGCGAGTCGTTCTGAGGGGATTTTTCAATTGGGTATTTTTTAGAAAAAATGAAGTTTGAGGTAAAAAAGGTCAGGGAAAATTAATGGTAAAGGCTTTTTCTGTTTTTTTTTTTCAATAATTCAATAAAGAAAATTCAATTTTGGACTCTATTCACCTTATGAAACAATAGTTTTTACCACATCGGCCCTTTATTTCGTTTTTTATTAATTTTTATCATTTATAGCTTGAAAATTTCTGAGCTGATATTTTTTGTAGCCCATTTCCTACCAGCTTATCCACGGAAATGGTCTTGAAAAGATTAGCGAAACAGTGTGCAAAACGGAGAGATTCTTGATTTTCTTGTAGGCTCATAACTATCCTGAAACACGAAAAAACCTTGAAATCTTGTCCCCAACTGTCGGTATGTCAAGTGTAACATTCCATTGAGGTATAGCCCCCCTGAAACTGTCTGACGTCTGATCTGTCTGCGCTCTCTATTATCTCACTTTCATTCTAAGAAACACAAAAAAACACGGGAGAGCGAGAATCAGACCTCTTAAATTAGTTCCTATAGATCTTTCAAAAATCTAGGAAGTCTATTATTTTTTCTTTTTCCAGGGCTGGGCGAGGATCCTTCTAACACTGATTTGCATGCGCTATCCTACCTGGAGAGACGCTTCTTTCGTAACGGCTACAGCGGCCATTCCGGCCTTGGTTCTGATCATCTTCGTGCTTCCTGAATCTCCCACTTGGCTCCATAATAAGGTGGGTCCGCGACTTGACATTTTTCGAGTGTCTGCGTCTCTCTGTTCCCTCACCGGCGAGGTCAGAGAAACACGAAAATAGCATGTAAATATGAGAGGGTCGCTGAGAGACAAAGAGGACGCTGAGAAAAATACATTTATAGCCGATTCACAGCCAGCTTGGGAGGACTGGAGGCAAGTCACTGTCTGCGCTCTCTATCTAGCAGATACTATCTCTTTTTTTATCGCGTCAGGACCATTTTTTGATGGCTCAAACCAGCCTTGAATAGGACGCGGCGCCTCTGACTTCTCTGCGCCCTCTTCGTCTCTCGGTGACCCTCTCATGTTGACATGCTATTTTCATGTTTCTCTGACCCCGCCGCTTAGGGAACAGAGAGACGCAGACACTCGAAAACTGTCAAGTAGATTAATGACTTCTCAGTAAGTTATAGCTCAGGGAAAAATCGGAAATTAAAATGATTAGAATTGAGTTTCAGGACCGGCTGGAAGAGATGCGACAAAGCGAGCTGTACATGATGCGCTTCGCCGGATATCCTTTCAGACCTGTACCTCACAGGCCGATCGTCCAGTCTAAGGTACAAGATGCTCAAAAAATGTTGGATATGATTTTAAACGTGCAGCAGTTTGAGAGAAGTGAGAAAATTCAGTTTTTTAAAAATAATTTTAAGTCTGTAAAAATCCACTATAAATGATTTTCGAAGCTTCGGACCAAAAAAATTGTTTCTTCCCATCGAGCAACTCTTAAATGAAAAAGCTCAGGATTTCTCTTGCGAATTTTAATTCAGTTTTTTGTGTATAGTCCGTTTTTCGCGAATTGAAGGACTTCTCTGCGCCCTCCTTATCTCTTGGCGACTCTCTCATGTTTACGTGCTATTTCCATGTTTCTCTGACCTCGCCGGTGAGGGAACAGAGAGACGCAGACACGCAAAAACTGTCAAGTCGCGGCGGACGGACTATGTTCATAAATAGAATTTCAAAGAAAACTTATGAGCCTTGTTTTTTTTTCAATTTCCAAACACAGATTGAACTATAGTTTGTTCAATCTGAAGCGTCTTTCGAATCTAGGTCACGCTTTCAAGTGATTATTATTGCTGTGGGAGCACATGAAAGTAGAGTGAGAAAGAGAAAGGAAAAAACTAAAAGCGCGGCCAAGGTTCGCAAAGGCGCGCAGCGGTACAGCGGAATGTCGTTCCGTGAAATTCCAAGTCGTGGTACACAGGCTATAGGTCTAGCGCTAATGGCATTAAATTGGATTCTTCTTGAGATTTCTTGAGAACTCATCATCATCATCATCATCAATATTTATTGGTTGTTTTAGTCAGATGGTATCGACTAGGCGGTGAAAAAATTGCTCTTTTGAGCGGCACTAACACCGCCTTTGGCGAAAAAGAAGTCAAAACGTGTAGTCGATTGAATTGAAAGCATGGTCTTACGGTCCTTCGCCTCGTTCTTCCACAAGTAGATCCCTCAGTTTCGCGGGTACGGGCACGGCGGGGATGGTAGGGCTCGGGCACGGACGCCGTGTACACTCTAGGGTAGCCTCGGCCGACTGAGAGAGCTACCACTTAGAGTGAAGAAAATACACGGAATGAAGAAAATACACGGAATGAAGAAAATACTATTTTTTTGAAAATACTATTTCTACCATTTTTTTGAAGGTATAACTTAGGGAGTGGGAAAAAGTACCTTGAATAGTTGTAGTTGGTAAATGCCTTTTTCAATTTTGAAGATTGGAAAATTTTTGAAGATCCATCTCGTTGATTTTTCGAACCATTTTCTCTTGAAAAATGTTATTAGAGCCTTTTTCCAGAAAAAAAAATCTCATTTTCTTTTCTCCCAGACCATCTGCGAAGTCGTCCGAACCCCAGGGCTTTTCCGGCGGATCTCCGTCCTCTGGATCCTCTGGTTCGTCGCCTCCGTCTGTTCTTTCGCCACGGACCTCAACTCCAACAACATCTCCGGCAACCTTTTCTTCAACCAGATCATGTTCGGCGTCCTCCTGGCCATTTCCAAAAATTGTAAAGAGTTTTGAGATTCAAAATCTCAACGGAGTCATTTCAGATCCTGGTGATCGTCGATTCAAATTGTCCTTCTTTCAAACGAAGGACTTTGCACCAAGGCGCCCAGGCGATTGTCTGCGTCTGCTTCGTTGTTTTGTCTGTCATGACAATTATGGAATATAAGGTGAGGTAATCGCTCAGCTTTTAAAAATGATACAAAATATGGTAAGAATGGTAAAAATTTCATCTTTTTCTCATTTCGAACTTCCTCTTTCTCTTTTTCTCTTATTTTTGGCTTTTTTAGCAAAAAATAGTTCCCAAAAAGAACTTTCTTGTACTATATCTACATATTCACCACGGCGTTTTTTTTATTACGCAAGGTCAAGATTTCTCGTAAATTATGATGTTTAGGGTGTAAGCACACCGAGACGCACTATCGCATACTCAAAATTGTTTTTTTCAATTTTAGAATTTGCAATTTTAGGATAATAACTTCTGAAATGTTCGAAATCTTGTCAGTTTAAATAAATATCTCCTGTTCGAAATCTTGTCAGTTTAAATAAATATCAGTGTCTCGCGTTTATCTCGGCAGTTATTCTTAGTGTCATTGAATAAGCAATTGTAAATACGAAAAAAATATTGAAATGAGGAAAATTCGAGGAGCAAATGAAAAAAAGAAACATTTTTATATAGTCTGTTCAGATTTTGAATGCCAAGCAGCTAACTCCACCCTCATGGCTACAATATCTTTCGCGACCACTGCCTAGCTGTGATTTACCAAAAAGAATCTCGGATTATGAAAAAAATGACATTTGGCAATGAAACTAATTAAAACCAAAGAGTTATATAAAAAAAGAAACGAGCAAAATCAGCGGAAACTGTGAACAAAAAAATTGACGAATTTTTCAAAAAAACTAACTCCTCCCTCAGTTTTTGAACGAAATTCCATGGAACCGCTTTCAATAGACGTGTAATATGCTACTATTTCACAATATGGACATCTCGCAAAACCCAAACATGAATATACAGAGAATAATTTGAAAAACCACCGAAAAATGACATAAAGACCGAAAAAAATTTGAATTTAGCGGGGGCCTGCACAAAGTGCGCTCCATCGGTCGGCGGCAATCTTTTTACATTTGCTTCCACTGCGTGGAACGCCGTGTCACGGCATTTTTTGGCGCGCCCATATTTTTTTCCGTAAAGTCTAGTATGTCGTGTGCATACACTGCGGCGCTCTGGCACACGTCGCGTTCAATTTTCGCGAGCCGAAATCCAGATATATTTTTCTCTCTTTGGTGGCTATTTTGAATTTCGCGGAATTACTTTCAACACATCATGTGTTTTTAAAACAAACGAAAAAAATCGCGTTTTTTTAAAAATCAGAATTTACATAAAATTGTTTGTTTCAATATCTTCCTTTATTTCACTGATATCAACCGGCAATTTCCTCAAAAAAATGAAAAATCTAGAGCTCCTTTTTTTGAGCTTTTAAAAAGGTGTCTGAATCTCTTATTTCCGCCTTCTTTTCTCCTAAAAAGGTTAAGAAAAAAAAAGATTTTTTTGAAGGTTCTTTTTAGGTCCTATCGGACTTTGCGCGTGTTTAGAACTTTCTGACAAACCAAAAATGAATGAAATAGTGTTCCCCTTCAAACTGAGTCCAAGTCCATTCCAACTGCACATCAAACTCAGGGCGTCGGCGTGCTCATCACCAACCTCTTCGGCACGGTGTTCATGGAGTACACCTGGGACGCCTGCTACCTTTGCGCCATCGAATCCGTCGAGACGAGCTGCCGCGCCAGTGCGACTGGCAGCTGTAGCCTCGTCGCTCGCGTCGGCGCCATTTTGGCTCCTTTTGTGAGGAAGATTTATTTATCACAATTAAGATATAGCCTATTCCCCGCCAGCTTGTCACGTTTTTCTTTCCGCCAAAACTACCGTATACCAAATTAGATCAAGCTTCCGCTTTTATAACGGCAAGGTCTTGAAGCGAAATTGGTTAAATTTGACCTGGCCTTTCGGCGGAAAGAAAAACGTGACAAGCTGGCGCGGAATGGCCTATAAAAGGTCTCGAAGCGAAGCTTGAAAAAGAGTTCCGTATACTGTAGTTATTTCTATTTGTCATGTTAAAATTTCCGGCCAAATTGACACATATTGATTTTTTTGAAGTGGCAAAGACGGTTTCAGGCCTAATTTTTGAAAAGAAAACCAAGATGTCTGAATTTTTCACAAGCTTTTTTCTTCAAATATGTAGAAACTTACTACATTTTGAATCAAAATAAAGAAAGATTAATCTTCTAAAATAATGGATTCCAGTTGAACTACGCGAACTTGTGGTGGTCCCCTTCGGTGTTCATCACCGTCGTCATACTCGGAGTCATCAATTTAGGAGTTTCCTACGCGTTTTTAGTGAGTTTGTGACTAGGAATATCAGTATTTTGAAAAAATCTGTAGTGAATAGTGATAAGAAAAAAATGAATAGCTGAAATTTGCAAAAAAATTATCGATCCGATATTTTTTTCTGAATTTCTTTTTTTAAAAACATTTTTTTGCGATTTTTTTCATCGTTACGTCATTTGTACTTCTTCCAAAAAGCCTGTGACATTTTTCACGATTTTTTTCTCACAATAAATATTCGGCGATCGTCAAATCAAAGCTTTTTACAGCCCATTCCGAGTCAGCTTATTACGATTATTGTTAGAGAAATCATCATGTTTGAAGCGCGCGGGATGTTTTTCTGTCTGCGTCTTTTATTTGGCCTAAAATTTCCGTTATATTAAAGGCGCAGGCAGAAATAATATTGCTCTGCTCAGAAAAAATGAACGGAAATCGTGAGAAGCTGGCGTGGGATACACAATTTCCTTGTCAATTTTCTAGTAAAACATGAAAAATTAGTTTTTATGTAAATACTGAAGCAACATTGAAAAGTTTCAGATCGAAACGAAAAACGTCGATTTGGACGAGGTCAAAATGGAAGAACTGGAGGAACACGAAACGCTCAACATGTAGAAATATGAATAAATGAAAAAATAACAAGAAGAATGTAATGTAGTACACGAAGTCAAGTGAAGATAAGAAATAAGAAGGAAAAAAAAATGAAAGAGGAATTTATTCATTGAAAGGAGTTTGTCGGTTATTGGCCTCTGACGGTTCCCCGTTTCAGGCTGCAAATATTTTCATTCTTATTTTTAATTTTTATTTATTATGACTTGAGTTCAAACTTTCGAAAGCTAGAGAGCATTGGTAAACGAGAGGGCGTTCAGAGAAAACTCTCTTATTTTTGCACGCTCTCTAACTTCCGAAGATTCTATCTTGCGAAAGCTAAAGAGCACTGGTTATTAAGAGGGCGTCCAGAGAAAAAATTCTTTCCTCTCATTTTTGAACGCTCTCTAATTTCCTAAGATTTGAGCCAATGTTCGAAAGCTAGAGATCACTACTGAACGAGAGGGTGTTTAGAGGAAAAAAAAACGCCGGCCCTCTCATTTTTGCACGCTCTCTAACTTTCAAGATCCAAGCCAATCTTCGAAAGCTAGAGAGCACTGATTATTAAGAGGACGTTCAGAGAAAAAAAAACGCCGGCCCTCCCATTTTGCACGCTCTCTAACTTTCTAAAATTCAAGCCAATACTCAAAAGCTAGAGAGCACTGTGTAACAAGAGGGCGTTCAGAGAGAATAACGGATACCCTCTCATTTTTTGCACGCTCTCTAATTTCCGAAGATTCGAGCCAGTATTCAAAAACTAGAGATAACTAGTGAACGAGAGGGTGTTCAGAGAAAAAAAACGCCGGCCTCTCATTTTTACACGCTCTCTAACTTGCGAAACTTCGAGCCAATCTTCGAAAGCTAGAGAGCATTGGAAAACAAGAGGGCGTTCAGAGAAAAAAACTCCTGCCCTCTCATTTTTGCACGCTCTCTAACTTCCGGAGATTCGAACGTAGACTTTTGTACTTTTTACCGATCATGAGCGAGAGCGGCGTCGTTTTGGTCAAATTTGATAGGCCGACGGAAAAGAAGAACGTGGCGCTCCGGGTCGTGGATCATGTAGTGAACCCAGCCGACGGACTGAGAAAAGTTAATTACTCAAAAATTTATGGGGAGTTTTTAGTTTATTCACCACTGGCTTTGGACTACATTCAAGATTTTGTATTGAGTTAACAGAAGAGATTTGGACGTTACTTTATATCTTGGACTTGAATTACAAAATTAATAGAATTCGAAATGACCAGAAAAAAAATACTCAAAACCTCTTTCTTCCCTAAAAAAAAATTTTTTTCCAGCTAGTTTGATAAAGTCAGCAACTATTCAAAAATGTCTCAAATATAAATTTTATTAAACTTTTTCAAATTTTCTGCAATCTAAGATCACAGAAGTTGAAAGAAAGTTCATTTTTACTTGATAATTTCGCTTTTCTGAAAATTTGCTTGAAAAACTTTTTGTTGTAATAATAAAACCATCTATCTAAACCGTAACCTACTCAATTTTTCAAATTTCGAGATAAAAAAACCCGTAAATATATCTATTCTCAGTCTACTATGATTCAAAACCTAAAATTAACAAAAATTTATTTGACTGAAACTTTCCCAAATCTCACCTGTTGAACGCCGATGCGGCGCCACTCGACTTCACTCATGAGACGGGCGCTGGGAACTCTGCTCGACATGCTTCTGGGAAGAATCACGTGCCGATATTCGTATTCGTCGTCTTGGTATCGCGGCGAGTAGTAGATTTCCGAGCGATCCATTTTTTAACTAAAAAATCTACTTGGAAGAAAAGTAAAAACTGAAAAAAACTGCTTGGTGAAACAAATTTCGCGAGAAATATTCTAACTTTATTTTCAACTTGAGCAGTTGGTAATTATTTTTTTTGCCAATGGTCGAGAAATCTAACGGATTTTTCCAAGTCCAAAATTTTTTAAGGGTTTTGAAAGATTTTGGTAGTCAAGATCCGTTCTGCAGTATTATTTTTTTGACCATACAAAACTGCTCCCGATCTTTTTTTATATACCTATAGCAAATTTCAATGAACCAACTATATCAAGCTTCCCTACCATTCCTGATGACTTGAAAGAAAAACCATGAATCCTTCAAACTTTTGAAACTTGAAAATCATTTCTAAATGAACGAAACCTAGCGGTTGAAATGAGTAGAGGAGAAATGCCGCCTTAAACTTTATCATTTTCCACGCACGAATTATGAAAAATGTTCATTCTTTGGCAGTTTCAAAATCACAAATCGAAATGAACGTGGTGACTTGGAACGAACACGTGTGCGTAATGTAATGGAATCGAGTCGGCATTACTTTTTTGGGCATCTGCTCGCTGGTTTCGCGGTCTACGCGGCTCTAAGGTTCATTTCTCGAAATTTTCCGCTTTTCAGTGTTTGTCCGCGCTTCTTCACTTTTAAGTTTTCCAAAAGGCCATTTATTGGCCGGTAAATTGCGGTATCCGTACATTCTGTTTGAATATTTCTGCTAGGGTCTTCAAAATTAAGCAGATGCAACTTTCATGGTATTTTCAAGGCGAAAAAAACCGTTTTCTATGTTACTACGAGCTATAAAAAACTTCTGCACCGTTTGACACCTCCACAAGGATTTTGAGCAGACAGAATTGAGAAATCTTGTAGAGTTCAAAACGGAAAAATCGTCAATAAGGAAGGATAAACGCATGCCAAGGTAAAACTCGAAAAAAAAGCATTCAACAGTTTACATATCAGGAAAAATAAGCGAGAATCTAGAAAAGATCAATTTTAAACTATTAGAACTCGAAAAATAAGAGTGCTCCAAATCACCCTTGATGTAAATTTTGAAACTTGGAGAATTGTACAGCATTAATCTGGAAAACAGGAAAAAAAAACTAACAAACTAAGAAAAAGAACATCTTGATTTCAGCATCATCCGTTTTGGAATAACTGTGCAAACAAGGAACAAGTGAATTAACATGTTGAGAGCCGCAGAATCGGGCGACATGAACGTTCCCGCTGAGGTATAGTTTTAAGATACAATAACGAAAATGTAAGATAATACGAAAATCAACAAAACGTATAGCAGGCGAAAAAAAAGGAAAGATAGGAGAGAAACGAAAAAAAAAAATCATGAAAAAATTTTGAACTGAGGATTTTGGCGCCTTTTCATTCGATTTGCAAACGCCGCATCGTTTTCTCCGCAGATAGGACACGGCCATTTCTTTCAAGTTCAATTTTTATTTTTGTACTAGAAGCTTGATGCCGTGTTCAAAGTAATTTCCGCGAAATGCAAAATGGTCTCTGACTCTCCAAAATTTAGTGATCTTTTCCTTTCTCTAACGGGTATTTTGCATTTCGCGGAAATTACTTTGAACACGGCATGAATTTTCAATTGTGCAATTCTTGTTCAGGATGATGCTAAATGTGTAGGCGTCAAATTGAAATCGAAACCTCATAAGACGGCTCAGCTCTCTCCGCAGCAAGAAATTTTAACACCGCCCGTATCTGAAGTCAAGGTTTTAATGCAATTGCAACACTTGTTTCCTAAAGTATATATTTTAGCATACCAGTCGTGGCTCAGAATCTCTCCACGGAACATCCGAAAATGTGACGCTGCATAGCTCTTTTTCTGGAGAGGAACAGTCCATTTCGAATGACAAGGTTGAAGGAAAGGTTTTTCATGAGATTTTATTTATTTCAGAAGCTTGTTGAACTTCTCCGAGAACGTAATCAGATCTCTACCCTTCCTGGTGGCGAAAAGTTGGACAACCTGAAAAAATTGCTTGACAAAGGTTTTTGAATCTTTCTGTGATGATTTTATTTATTTTCTTTCAGAGATTGCAAGTTTATCTTTGAAAGCGAGAGACGAAGAAATTTACGATGAAAATCGAGTTTCCATTGAGACGAGGTCGGAAGAGAAAAAAATAATGGTTTCTGAAACACTTATCGTTCCAGTTGATAAATATCCAAGGGTTCGTAAAAGTTTGAATTTTTTTTTTCAATATATGACTTACAGTACAATTTTGTTGGGCGAATCTTGGGACCCCGGGGAATGACTGCGAAACAATTGGAGAGGGACACTGGCTGCAAGATTTTTGTCCGAGGAAGAAACACTGCGAAACAAGTTTTGAAAATGAGAGAGGAAATCTGATCGGAACATTAGAATGGACAGGGAAACGTTGGTACGAGTCCAATCTCTCAGAATTCGACGACCAACGAACCGTTGAATATTTACATTGAGAGCTGTGATTTTCCGAAGAAAGCCGAGCAAAAACTCGCCAACGCCGTGTCGATCGTCAAGCAGCTGTTGTCTCCGCCGGTCGGTTTCAGGAAGAAAACGTTTTTGAAAATGAATTTTTTTGAAGCTTTTTTTTTTCATTTTTTCATTTTTTGCTCTGAAAAAATGGCTCCAAAGATGGATTTTCATGTCTCAGGCTGATGGTAAAGATGAGCTGAAACGGAAGCAGTTGGTCGACATTGCCATCATCAACGGAACTTTCCGTCCAACTCCAGCCACAGCTTTTGCTCTGCGTTAGTTTCAAAGAAAAAAATCCCGGTAACCCAGAATTTTCAGAAAAGCCGCCAGCGCAGGCCTCGTCGCACCTAAGCACCCCGTCGACGACGGAGGAAACGAATCCGCGTCGCCCGGCCGTCTACAGGATTCCGCAGCAGGAGCGTTCGTGGCTGTCGCCGTTCTTCGACGCGACTCCGCCCCACACGCGACGCCCCTCTTCGCGACAACTCGTGTCGCAGATCGTCACGCAGACGCGACGTGCCAGCGACAGCGTCGTCGCCGAATCGTCTGCAACGTCTCCACTCTCTTCTGAAGCCATCGACGAGTCGCTCAAGTGTGTCTGGAAGTTGTAGACCCTTCTTTTTTCTCTTCTCCTCCTGTTCTCTCTCGTTTCCGACATGGCCTATCCTACTGACTAATAAATTTGGTCCTCTTTTATGAAAGATTTGTATTGATTTGAATGGTACTGTGAAGTAGAAATGTTTTACAGAGTTGCCAATAGTCTGCTCAATTCGCACAAACTTGTCCCCAACGTACATTATCCGGCTCGGATTCGCAATATCGCCCGAGTGCAACCGACTCCGGCCAGGTTTTGTAAAAAACTCGATATCGAGAAGATGTTTCGAAACATTCAAAAAGGCTTCAGCCGCTTTTTCCAAAATAAGAACTTCGACTCTTTTTCAAAATTACAGTAGAATTAGTTTCTGAGGAGAAAATAATAAGTATGGGATCTTCATTTTTATAATTTAAAAAAATCTATTCGATACCAAAAAAGCGCCTTTTCCAGATCAACTCATGCCAATCGCGCTCCTTTTTGGCTTTTTTGAAACAGATTAGATCTCCAGGTTTGTTTCAAAATTTTTTTTTTCCATTTCTAAGTTTTTAGTGGAACACTTTCAATTGTCCCCGCCGCCACCAATGAATTTTTACCACAATTCTCAACATCCTTTCTTCTTCCCGCCTTCTATCCCATTTTACGAAGGAATTCCATCGCCTTTGCCTTTTTCTCCAATTGTTTCCCCTTTTTCGAACCTCAACCAGTTTGTTTTCCCGCCTCCCTTGAATATCCCTTTCTATAACGGATTCTATTAATTATATCCATTGTTTTTTTCTTGTTCAATTGTTTCTGTTTTATCCACGTTCTTGTCAAATATATGCGTATGTTCATGGAGAAGATAAATTTTCGCAAAAAAGAGAAGAAATTTAGCCTTGAGTGAATTTGGATTTGTCGGCCACGGTGTGTTTACGTTTTCACGACCGCGTTACGTGTACTTTTTCAAATCAACGTGTCACATTTATTTTTACGCTTTTTTTTTTTTCACACATGGATAAGATAAATTTGTTGCAATTACTCATTAGAATAGTATTTGGGAGAATCTATTGCGTTGGGACTTCGCTGTTTTTTTAATCTGGGTTCAGAATTAAAAAAAACTTTAAAACTGGCTTCGAAAGTTTCTTGAGCGTTTAAAATCGTAAAAAGTCTAATATATATTATATTCATCGATCAAGTTTATTGTATTTATTGTAGATGTTCTAGATTTTCTGTTTGTACAGCCGCCAAATGGTAGATTAACATGTAGTCCACGTATTTTTACACGTTTTATGAATGGTTTTCGTTAGTGAGAGGATTTTTTTCAACTGTCTGAGGATTCGAAAAATAATTTCTGTAATTGTATTATTCCTTCTGGATTTTTCTGATTTTGATTGTGAAAAAAATAATTTTATCAGTTAATCTTCTCTTTAATAGATCGTTTTTCATAAATGGTTTTGATTAAATCAAAACAAGACCATCAAATCCATCGTAATATAACTTAATCTCTGGAAAACAAATTTTTTTGAAGAGAAAAAAATGATAAATGAAGCAAATAGGGCATGAAATATAACGACAATCAGTTTTTTTCTTAAGAAACAAATTTTTTTAAGGGCCGAATATTTTTTTAGAGAAATGTGATGAATTTTTCAGCTTTCAGTAAAATTTGACTTTTTAAGAAATATGAAAAGCTCTTTTTGAAGATATAAAACTGTATTTCAGAAAGATTCTAATCCTTCTAGTGTGAAATTCTAGCAGAATTCTAGTAAATGAGGAAATTCTTTTAGAAAAAATAGATTTCGATGTAAAAAAAAACTTTTATTAATGCTGTGTTCAATTTGATTCCGCGAAGTGCAAAATGATCTCTGAATCTCTAAAAATTAGGGATCTTTTCTTTTCTCTAACGGGTATTTTGCATTTCGCTGAATAAAATTGAACACGGCATAAGGAAAGTTGTTCTGTTCCATCTTTTCATTTGTTACTTGCAACTTTATTTCTTCTGTGCCCAGAATTAAATAAAAATAAAAGAATTCCTGTTTTTTTACAGCCGGTAATGAAGGCGTTGATCCTGGTGGGCGGGTACGGGACACGTCTCCGGCCGCTGACTTTGACGCAGCCCAAGCCGTTGGTCGAGTTCGCCAACAAGCCGATGATGCTCCATCAGATGGAGGCCTTGGCTGCTGTCGGCGTCGACACCGTCGTTTTGGCTGTTAGGTAGGAATTGGCCTGGTTTCGGTCATATTTGTTGGTTTTCAGAATAGTTGGAAAGCTTTAGAATTAGCTAAAAAAAAAAAGAAACTTACCAAAAATAATGCAAAAAGCTTCTGAGATCCTTGTTAGTAGCTTCAGAAATTTAGTTTTGAATCCCTCGGAACATTTTTAGGGGTTTTCAAAGTCTTGCTATTAAAGGAACACAGGTAAAACTAACAAGTTCCTTTCGAACCTTAAGAGAAGCTGAAAAATGGAAAATGTATTTTGTAAATCTCCTGGAATATTTTTAGTTGCTTTCTTGTATCTTTTTATTAAAAGAATGTGAAAAAGTGTATCATAATGATTACTCGGAACCCTTAGAAGTTCCTTTTTTGAAAGAACCTTTTGAGAAACTTTTCTTTTTTGGCCGAGAAGTATTTTTCGACAAAAATGTTTTTTTTTTCGCCTGGAAATGTCTGATAATTGCAAAACGGCTATATTAATCACTCACACGGACAAGCAAAAAAAAATTCGAAATGAAAGCGTTTTGAAGGGTTCCCTGAAGGGATTTTCAGTTTTCTCTAGTGATCACTTGAGCGGTTATAACAAACCACGATGAACTCGATCAGATGATTTGTTGGATATCGGTTTTTAATATTTGCTCGAAGCGGGGATCTCTGATTTGAAATTTCTGCTTGGGAAATTTCTGTTCCCAGGCATTAGTGGGGAACGCGCCGGGATTGTGGCTCTTATTTTTGCCTTAGAGTGAAAAAAACCCTTCAAAAAAATGCGTTATCATAACATTTATCAGTATCCTGGCCCAGTTTTGAAGCTTTTTGCGCAAGTTTATGAATGAAAAATTGGTATCGTTGAGTTTTATGCGGTAAGTTTGTTAATAACCGAAGCTTTTTGAGGAGAAATAAGCATTAAAGTAGAAAAAGACAGAATTTATTGGATTATATGAACAAAAAAGGCGGAAAAATGAGAAAAGACAGCGCCGCTAGTTTCGTTTTTCATTGAAAAATTTGAATATCTTCAATCCAAATAACGAAAATTTCCAATTTCCCCATTCCAGTTACCGGGCCGAGCAACTGGAACAGGAGATGGCGGTCCACGCGAGCCGATTAGGCGTCAAATTGATCTTTTCCCTGGAAGAGGAGCCCCTGGGTACCGCTGGACCCTTGGCTTTAGCCAGGTTTGCTGTTTCAATCCTTCTCCTTAATTTCTCACTCATTTTTTAGCTTTGTTTCGCACCTTCTTCAATCCCCACATGATACTTATAAATCATTTTTTTCTTCCAAAATAATTCTCGATTTGAAAAAGATTTTTTTGAGTAACACACATTAGCGTTTCAGTTAGAGTTTTTAAAGTGCTATTTCGTTTTGATTTTTTTAATGACTTCTCCAAACAAGATTTGAAAAATTTCAAATATCCATTTTATACTGGGTACAAAAAAAGCCGCAAGTTTTTCTTTTTATATTAATATTTCAACGATCTTTTTCAAGACCTTTTTTTGTTTTTTTGATGAATTTTTCATTGAAAGAGCACAGATAGGTTTTTTTGCCCCGATTTTTTTACTTCAAACTTGAAAAAAATACCCCTCGAAGTCCCCTATTTCTATTTTTTTACAGGAAAAAAATCCTTTAAGAAGCCTAGATTTCAAATTTTCACTGAGAAAAAAAGTCCTTTAATAGCCCTGATTTTTTTACTTATTACGAAAAAAAGCCCTTCAAATGTCCCAATTTTTATTTTTATTGAGACAAGCTTTTTCAGAAGTCTCGATTTTTGATTTTATCAAGAAAAAAGTATTTCAAAAGCTTAGATTTTCACTTTTTACTATGAAAAAGTTCCTTGGATTTTCACTTTTATTGAAAAATAGTGCCAAAGTGGTTCAATGAATCTCGAAAGAGCCGTCAGAGAAAGGTAAGGATAACTAAATTTTGGAGAGTCGGAGATAATTTTGCATTCCGCGGAATTTACTCTGAACTCGGCATAAGTTCTTCAAAACCCCTTGATTTCCTTTTTTCTGAATTACTTTGAAGCTCAAAATCAAGTTTTAGAGTATTTTCTCATTCTCCTCGTTTCAGACAACACCTGGAAGGTGATGAGCCATTTTTCGTTCTCAACAGTGACGTCATCTGCGAGTTTCCCTTCCAACACATGATCGACTTCCACAAGAAACACGGTCGTGAGGGAACTATCGCCGTCACGAGGGTTCTTATCCGTCTTTCCTGTTTCATTTTCGATTTTTTAAATCTTTGCCCGAAAACTTAAAGTTGATCTAAGGGTGTTCGCGTCACGAAAAAAAAATGTTTCAAAATGGAGCTGCAAATATAAAAAAATATAACAAGTGATCTCTGTTTCTAGGCGGGAATTTTATTTGGAATTTTAAAATATTTGTAATTATATGGCTTTTTGCTGTTAGCAAAAATTTTGAATTTCTTGTGAAATTTGGTTTTTTCGGAGTTTGATGTGTGAGTGATATTAAAAAAATAATAATTTCTTCATTTTTTTCTAATTTTTTTAACGAAAATAGTTACAACTTATTTTTTTCCGTGGAGCAACTTTGCTCAAAAAAACGCTTTTTAGGGAATCGAATTTTTTTAACAAAAATATCGGATTTATTTAAAAAAATACTATTTTTTTGCTCCCCATAAACGTTCAAGGATCCTAATTTCCCCATGTTTTTCTTTAAAAAAATATTTTCTTAAAATAATTTTTCTTCAAAATCAAGAATTTTTGTACATTTTCAAGTATACCGCTTGACTCGAAATTAAGAACATAAAAAAATATTGAAATTATCTGAAAACTCCCTTTTTTTACTGCTTATATATCATTAAGGACCTAATTTTTTTACATATTTTTTTCTTTGAAAAAAATTTTCTGAAGTTAAAAAATCGGATTTTCCAGGTAGAAGAACCTTCAAAGTACGGCGTGGTCGTCTTTGACGAGAATTCCGGGCAAATTGCCAATTTTGTTGAAAAACCTCAGGTTTGAATCTTTTTTTTTGTTAAAAAAATTTCCAGAATATTCATTTTTTTTAGGAATACGTTGGCAATAAAATCAACGCCGGTTTGTACGTTTTTTTAGCCCGGAAATCCTGGACCGAATCCCGTTGAGACCAACGAGTATCGAAAAAGAGGTTGATTCAATCCAGAAATAAATCCTGAATGATTGGATCTTTAAGATCTTCCCCGAAATGGCTGAAACGGGAAACTTGTACGCGTTCGTCTTGTCGGGCTTCTGGATGGACGTCGGACAACCCAAGGATTTCTTGAAAGGTGGAATTTTGAGAAAAATGTTTTTTATTGGTTATGCAATCTTCATTTTAATTGAATATATTCAGATTTTCCGAATTTCTTCATTTCGATATTTTTCCAAGGTTTTAGATACTTTTTCAGCCAAAAAAATTAGGCTTTGAAATGAGAATAAATCGATTTTTTTCAATTTCTTTGTTATCCAAGGTTTCAGTGTACTTTCCAGTCAAATATTAGGTTTTTTTCTGTTATTATTATTCTGAATGAGATTAAAAGTTATTTCTAGGTGGTATAAAAAAAACCTAAGCTCTTGAGGTTTGGAAAAAGTCTTGATATTATTAAAATTATATAAGAAATTATTAGATTGATAAAAGGTCAAAAAAATATGTGCGATGATTAAAATTTTTAACTGGCAGATGCGAAAAAAAGGAAAGTTATACGTGTTATTTAAAGAATAAATTCGTCTTTTTTTCATTTATTCGAAGAAATAAGTTAAGTTTCAAAAATTAAAACGAATAGTATGAGATCCTCAGAACATGGACAATATTTGGTATACCTTCTAGGGAAGAAGAAAAAAATGCAGATTTATTCGATTTTTTTAAAAAAATAAATTTTTCAGTGTTTTTTTAAATGATAATTATGTTATTTTTTTACTTGGTTTTTTTAAAGTGGACTCTCACGGTTAGCGTAAATTCAAAAAAAGTTATGAGCTGATTCTTATTTTTTTATTCTTCCTATTCTTGATACTGTTCATGTTGGAATTTCCTCGAACCTTCTCGTACAGAGTCGAAATGGTGGATAATGGCCGCTAAAAGGGAGAGGCTCAAAAAAGTCCGCAAAGAGGCAGCAGAAAAGCAGAAAAAAGGTCCCTTTATCGAGCCTTCTATTTTTCTGGGATTTTAAAGGCTCAAGAAAGGGAGAGGCAGCAAAAATGGTGCAAAAAAGCCGATAAAATGGGGCAAAACGGCAACAAAAAAGGAACATTTCTATGAAGAATTTTTCCAGCCGTTCCGACTTTGCTTATGTTTCTTAACTTTTCGGCATAGAGAGAATTTTGTTAATTTTTTGCTGATTCATAAGCCTCAAGATGTCTTTTTCCACGTTTCTAAACGAGAATCATTCAAAAAATATGCAGGATCCTCACTGTTCCTGACGCACATGCGGCAAACGGCGCCGGAAGAACTTGCCCGTGGAGCGCAGTTCCACGGGAACGTGCTCGTCGACCCCTCGGCGACCATCGGATCGGACTGCGTCATCGGCCCGAACGTGGTCGTCGGGCCGCGTGTCCGCATCGAGAATGGCTCCTGCATCCGCCAGACGACGATCCTCTCCGGCTCCGTCGTCAAGAGCCATTCCTGCATCTCCGAGAGCATCATCGGCCGCAAATGCACCATCGGAAGTTGGGTCCGCATGGAGAACAACTGCGTCATGGGCGAGGACGTCGTGAGTTCCTTTTCTAGTGAAACCGTCAGAGAGTGAAAAAGATAACTAAATTTTGGAGAGTCAGAGATAATTTTGAGTTTCGTGGGAATGAGGAAATCGATCTTCATCAAAAATTAGTCAAAAAAGAAAATTTTTTTGACATTTATGGCAATTTTCAGCATAGAATAGGAAACATTGTGATTAATGACTATATCTCTTTTTAATAAATGGGAAAAATTTTTTTAAATTCTTAAATTATTGTACTTCAAAGATTTTTCAGCATATATTCAGATACACCGGAAAAAAATTAATTTATGAAAGTTTTATCGGATGTCAGAGAATCCAGAAAAATCGGCAAAAGGGAAAAATTGTAGATAAAAAATGAGGGCCAACATTTATTTTCCTTTTTTTCTTCTAAATTGCAAGAAAATGCTTAAGAAAAAGGTTCTTTTTACAATCCTTCATTTTTTTGCTTGAAATTTAATTTATATTATAAAGGCTCAAAGAAGGTATAGGCAGCAAAAATGAAAAAATGGCGCTAAAACGCAGCTTGAACGATTTTTTTTTCTTCGGGTCATTTTGGAGAAAATCTGAGCGCCTATGGTCACAGCGTTCTAAAGCGGGGTTCCCGCCCCTTTTCTGAAAAGCATGCGGACGTTGCATGAGTGGGCGTGGCTAACAATCGTCTTTTTCGCGTCGTAATTAGGAGTCCAGATTTTTTGATTATTTGAAGGCTAGCATTTTTCTTCCGGACATTTATAGTTTCCAAGTGTTGCTAGTCATTTCCTATAACTCTCTTAAAATTTCGCAGTTTATTTTCTTGTGGTTTGATTGGTTCAAAGGACTACATAATTGTTCTGTTCACGAAAGTCGAAATTTTTTTAACTCAGGTTTGATTTTTGTATTCTTTTTCTGTTTAAGTAATTGAAAACTGATAATGTGATCGATTCCTGGAGTTGAAATTTCGATTTTTCGGTTTTTGTCTCTTAGGTACAGACCAATTACACCTTTTTTTGAATTTTTTTCGTCAAGTCGAAATTTTTTTCTCTTTTGCGCGGACACTGACAGCTTTTTCTTGTTTATTAGTTGAAAACTAATATTTTGATCGATTCTTGGAGTTGGAATTTCGATTTTTCGGTCTTGTCTCTTGGATACAGTATTTTCTTTTATAAACAACGTTTCGGCACATAACCGAGCTATGGACACTTCAAAAACTTTCTAAAACGTTTAAAAACATTAATTAAAATTTTACGTGCATAGAAACAAAAAAAAGATTTTAAAAAACAATCGAAAAAAGTTAAAAGCATGTAAATTAAAGAAAAAAAAGCACCTTGATTTTGATTGACAATGCTCCAAGTTACGCGCTCCATTGAGAATAGTTTGCGCCTCTTTCTGCGTGAACCCCGTTTTAGAACGCTGTGTGGTGTAAATCAAGGGAATTTTGCGCAGAAATTTGATGCTCAATTTGTGTTTTATTCATAATTTCTAGTGTAGATTGAACAGGAAGCTCAAAAAAAAAATGTTTATAAAAAGCCCTCCCTTCGCCCTCGGCTGGGAAGGCTTCAAAATTATTTCAACTTGAAATATTTTGTATAGCTGATTCACGGCTAACTTGAGTTATCGAAAAAGGGTCCTGGCACGAGATAGTTCCTGGCTCGCGGAGAGCGCAGACAAGCCACGCCCCCTTAGCGTCCCAAGCTAAACGTGAACCAGCTATAACCTTTTCAGATTTTGTATGTCAAGTAGAATGACGTCATCAAAAAGGCTCTATGGTTGGCTCACTCTCTCATTGGTTTACCTCGCCATTAGGGGCGGAGCTTGAGACACGGCTTGATATTCAAAATCTGAACAGACTATAAAAAAACAAAAATTCAAGAAAAAAATAAATCCAAGAAATTTCCATATTTCACAGTTTCCACCATTTTATTTGAACTTCCTTCTCAATTTCTTGAATGATTATTGATTTCATTCTGCAGGTGGTCCAAGACGAGCTCTACCTGAACGGCGCCAGTGTCTTGCCCCACAAATCCATCTCCGTCAACGTTCCAGAATCCAAAAATTATCATGTAATCTGTAATTAATTAGAGATTTGTAGATAGTAACCTCTTTAATTAATTAATAATTATTTTTCTAATTGCCTTTCAGATTCAGTTATAAGTTATTGCATTGTTGTTGCCAAAGCGGATCGATTGTGATATCTCATCGGCGGGGGTTTTTCTTATCACTTGAGTTATCACTAACCTTTCTTCCATTTTTATTTCTCTGGGGCTATTTTTTTTTTCCTTTTTCTCCGTCAATTTTATTCAGGTGGGTTTTTTTTTGTCAGCTTCGCCATTTGATGTGATTTGATGATATTCTCATGGGATATGCAATAGATATTATTCTTTCAGTTTTTAATTGATGAGATACTTGTCCTCGATTGTGATCCTTTTTTTCCCTCAAAGTTCTGCCTTTTTTTGATTTTTTTGCTCTGGTAAATATTTGATCATCTTGAGGGGATTTCGCAAGATTTCGGTTGGATCCAAATATATAAGAAAAAAAGAGAAAGAATGGTTTTTTTGAAGTCGGATTGATGGAATAATTGGAAAAGGGTGGGCCGATGAGCTCGTCGGTGGGTTCGGCGTCGGCGGAAGACGTCGAGGATTGGCTCGACATCGGCGACACCGGATCCCTGCCCTCCTTGTCACTAGACGACGTCCTCAACGAGGTTTGAAATCTGAAAAAAACACCGAGATTTTTCTAATTTTTTTCAATGTTTGGAAAAAAATGCAGCTTTCGTGTTTCAAGTCATTTATAAAATTTACAAATTCAAAGATTTTCAATCAAGCTCTATTGCGATGGGGAAATGTAGCTTTTCAAATTTATTTTTTTGATCTATTTTTTTCTTGATTTTTTTGTGATCTTGACGAGAATGATTCTTTTCATTCAAAATTTCTTCCATGGAAAAAAATCGGTTATCTTCAAAATATGGATCGCGCAAACTTTCGAACCCGTAAAAGGTCAGGTAAGCACATGGAATTTTCAGAAACTTCGATTTCCGCGAAAATCGAAAAATTTCTCCGTCTTTATATATCAAATCGTTATATTTATCTTATTATCTAAATATGAATCATAAAATTCTCGAATTTTAGTTGATTCGTTCGAAATTTTCCAGTTTTTTTCTTTTCAAACTGCTTAAGTGACTTTTTTTACTTTTTTTCTTCCAAGTTGAATGAAAATTATTCGAATAACTGGCTTCAAAATAAATTTTTTAAAAAAATTTATCTTTACAATTATCTTCTCAATAACCCAGTTTTGTTCGTTTTGAAGCCATTTTTTAATTTGTTATGAGACTTTTTTTCATCCAGGCTGTAAAACTTTAAATTTAATTGATGAATCGATTTTAAACAGAACGAATCTCGGGTGTTTAGAAAAAATAGTCTCAACATTTTACACTCGAAACTTTACAATCATCATTCTCAATGACCAGGTTTTCTTCCTTTTGAGCTCATTTTTTTTGATTTTTACGATAAGTTCTCGTCCAGGTTGTCCACCTCAAAATTTAAACTAATAACTGGCTTCAAAATGAAACGATTGAAATTTGGTTGTTATAGAAAAATTAATTATAAAGTTCTGGGCCTTTTTTTGGATCATTTTGAAGCAGATCATTCGATCAGTCTCGTAACAATCGAATAATTGGGTTCGAAATGAACAAAACTGACCAATTATTTGGAAAAATGAGAGTAAGGTGCAGAAAGTTAAACTTCAAACTTCAAATTTATCTTTCTCAATAAAAAAAAACTGTTTATTGCATCTTCAATGTAAGAATACATGTGCAATCGACTTTCATTGATTTAACTGTGTTTTAAGGGCGGCAGGAGCTGTGGCTTAGACAGAAAAATTGTGAATTTCGCAACGTCAGGTACACGAGAGGTCGTAGGAAGAATTGCGGTGCCGGCTTTCCAAAGGCCGATGGCAGAGATTGAGCCTTTTCGCTGCATGCAGCTCCCAATTTTATCTACCCCGGAGGGATGAAAGGCTTGGTCGACCTCGGGGGGACTCGAACCTACGACCTTGCGGGCGTTAGAAATGAGTTTTACCAGCTGAGCTATGCCGCCCCTTTCTCAATAATCATTTTTAATTCAGTTAAATAATTAAATTTGATTTCAAGGTGGACAACCTGGACGAAGGCGTCTCGTTGATCGACGACGGCGGCGACGATTCTTCGCTCTCGCTTCTCTGCGTCTCCACGACGCCCACCTCTCCCACCACCTATCAGTTGGATTCCGTAGTCGTTGTGAATAGGAATCGTGCGTTTCCGAAAAATCTTGAATTTTATACTTTTCTTCAGAATCCATATCACACCAGCTTCAATCAGCCAAAGCGAAATCTGGAACGGCGCTCGCCTTGGCCGAAAATGCGGGAAAAATCGCGGTTGTTACCAGTAAAGGCCACGCTTTGCTCTTCGATCAGGATGTTGGTTTGGTGGTTTTTGAAGAATTTTTTTGAAAGGAAAAAGAAAAATCCCGCTTTTCAACTGTAGTCAGCTCATACTGCCTTGACCAAAAATACGGAATCCTTGAAAAGCTTGAAAAAAAAACTGAAAGCTTCGAGAATTTATGCCGTGTCCGATTCCGCAAAATCCAAAATAGCCGTCAGAGAAAGCAAAAGATAACGAAATTTTTGGAGAGTCAGATATAGATCTTTCGCGCAAAAATTACTTCGACCACGACTAAATTTTTTGAACACCTGAAAATAAATTTTTGAAACGGCCTCTTTTTGAGACTTCAAGCTTTTTCTTCTGAATCGAAATCCTATGCGAGAAAATTTTCAATCAAGCTCTTCATTTTGAAAGAAAAAAAGCAAAATTAATGAAAAAAATTTTCAAAAAGAAAACAACCTTAAAAAAATTTACATTCGATCAAAATTTTTTGTGATTACTCACTTCATTAATGAAGTTTTCTTTTTAAAAAAAGCTGTGAAAATAGTTTCCAGCGCAGCTCCATAATAATAACATTATTAAAAAAAACCACACAAAAATGTCATTCAAATTGAACTTTCAGAGAACTTTTAAGACAATCATGTTTCGAATAATGAAAAAAATGTCGGAGCTCTTCGAAATATTTCTCTAATTATTTTTTTGATTCTTTCTTTTAAGTGTTTATTAAGAACCGATCTTTCTTCCATTTTTGAAGAATTCAATGAAAATATCAAATAGAAACTTCGCTTTTTTTATAGAAAATTTGTTCAGTTTTTTTGTTCTACCAGAGAAAAAAATGAGGATAAAAAAATTTTTTTAAAAAAGCCTATTTTTCCTTTTTTTATAAAGTTTTTTTAATTTTTCTTAAATTTTTGGCCTGTTCAGAAAGATCATAATGGGAACAAAGTTAAAATTTAAAAAAACAAAATTTAGGGAAAACTCGACCGGTTTTTCAACGGAGAAGAATGGATGGGATCCGCCTCTTGTGTCACTTTTTCTCCAGACGGCAGATTTATAGCGATTGGTTTCAGTAAAGGTGTTGTGAAGGTAAACATTATATTAAAAATCCACATTTTTTTCAAAAATTTTTTTCATCACTTACAAAAAAATTTGAATGAAATCTCCAGATTTTTGAACGCGAAATCCGGATCCGTGCATCAAGTGGAGAAGGAAGCCGTCCAGCCTGGCCTCGGCGTCTTGCAAATCCAATATTTGAGGTTTTTGACGCAGTTCCGAAGCAAATTTCCAAGATTTTTCCAGTTCGAGCTCGATTTTGACGTTGGACAGTGGTGGATCCGTGTATGAAATTCGGTTTTCTGCGAGAATTATCGGCGGAAAAGATAGCAGGGTTCGTTTGGAATGAAATTAAGAAATTTTAGAGTTTATTTCAAGAAAAAAAAAAGGAGTTTCAAGCTTTAAAATGATGGAAAAATCCTTGAAACGAGTCTGCGGCTTGAAAAAGGCCTTAAACTGTATTTTGAAACGGGAATCCTATGTTTTCCGAATTTGAATGTCAAGTTCAAAATGACGTCATTCAAATCTTTGGTTGGTTCGCTCTCTGATTGGTTTATCGCGTCATTAGGGGCGGAGCTTGAAAATTTGAAAATCTGAACAGACTATAAGCCGCGTAAAAAGTTAAGAATTATCTCTGACTCTCCAAAAATTAGTTATCTTTTTCTTTTCTCTAACTGCTATTTTGCATTTCGAGGAATCATTTTGGGATAGAAATTATGAGCAGGAATTTTTCGTAATTTTTATCTCAAGTTTTTTTAAAGTTCATTTTCGATCTTTTTCAAACTTTTTTAATGGATTCATCTGTAAATTTTTTTTTAAATATATTTTTTTGTTTTTTTCAATATTTTCTCTATGATGACTGAGTAGCCGAGATTTTGAAAAATTAGCGTGGAAAATTAAATTATTTCTCTTATTTCAGATGAGATGCGTCTTTTTCGGGCTGTAACGGCGAGGTTGTAAATATGAAAGTGTTGCCGCATTCCCTTCTAGCTCTACTTACAATTTCGAAGGTAATATTTAAAGATCTCATTTGTAATTTTCAAGGTTAAAATTGAGCATTGGTAACTCTAACCGGACTTTCTGAGCTCTAGTGACCTCTTTAGTGACGTCAGAACCCTTAAGTGATCCCTTAGAGTTTCTCAGAAACGTCTGGTTTTGGTTAAAGAACAACATTAGAGCGGGAAGCAGTAGGGTTTATTGAATCTTTATTTTTAAGTTCTTAAGAACGCCGGAGGGGTCACTAGAGGGGTCTTGTAGGCTCCCCTCTAGGGACTCCCTTTAGGGGTCACTAAAGCTGACAAAAGTGGCCCCTCTAGGAGAAAATTGTATGGTCCCTTCTATACGTCTTTTCAACTTTCAAATCCGAATAGATAAAAAAAAAAGGAAAGACCACTGGAGGGACCACTTAAGCTTTAGAGTCCAGAATTTGAACCCCTCTAGGGACCACTCGAGTTTCAGCCCTCTAGGGACCACCTTTTTCGGTCTCCATAGTGGCTTTTTCCCCCTAACCCCTTTAGTGATCCCTTGGGAGTTCCTAACAGCTTCAGAAGGCCTTCAAGAGTTCAAGTGGCCACTATAGAGGTCCCTAAAATCAAAAAAAAAAAATAATAATTTTTCATTTTTTTTTTTGCATTTTTTGCACTCCAATGTTTCCTTCTCCCATTTTTTTCACTCTCAAAATTTCACCTTGCTTTTTTTCCAGGTACTCCTGGTATCGACAAGATTCGGTGGAACCGTCCTCGGTTCTTTCCCCCTACAGTTTAGTTATCATTATCCGCCCGTGTTCGGTCATTGGATTGGAAGGCCCTCGGTTAGTTCCGAGCCATTCCAAATGCGGCCCAAAAAAAGATATTCCAGAGCTCAAAAGTCAAGGAAAGGATCCCTGCGAGACTTTCGGATATGTATCTCAAGGGGCGACAAATTGATCATTTTTCGGCTTCATGTCATGAATTTCGGGACAAAACATGTGAGTTTCGGCAGGCTTTCTGAAAGGAACTGAATGAAAAAAAGGCTCTCTTTTCCAAGAAAATGCGCTCCATGGAATCAAATTTGATTCTAGGTTATTTAAAATTCAATAATTTCAGAATAATGAGTGTTCTTTCAATAGAGACTTTTCCCAATATTTTTGGCCACTTTCCCTTTTTCTCATCAATTTTTCGATTTTTTTTTTTGAAAAACTGGAAATTTCTAGTGGCCACTTTAAGGTTTTGACGTTTTAGTGGCCATTACAGTGGTCCAATTAGTGGCCACTATAGAGGTCTTAGTGCTACTACTAGGCCACTAAAAAGTTTAGTGGTCACTTTAGGGGTCAATGGAACAACATACATAACTGGTCCAATCTGATTGTTATTAAAAGAGTCACTGGAAGAAATATTGGATGAAAAACTACTGAAGTGGCCACTAAATAGAAAACCTCTATAGTGGCCACTAAAACGGAAATTAGAGGCCACTATAATGGTGGGTTTAGTGGCCACTTTAGTGCCCTCTCCAAGTAGTCCTTGAGCAAGCTCTTAAGAAGCCACTGAAGTGTTTTTCAGTCCGGATTTTCTAGCTCCAATTTCATGATCCACTAAAATTCTCTGAATAAAGATTAAAATTTTGAATTTCCGAAGTTTTTCGAAGTTTCTACTATTATTTTAATTGAAAAAAATGGAAAAAAACTGGGATAAATATCTTGTAAAAAAATAAACTTATACACATTTTTAGCTTTTTTAATTTTTACAAGACCATATTCGGTTTGAAAACTCTCCAAAATCTGGATTTCGAACAGCTTAGATTTCTCAGAAGTCGGCAACGCTCCACCGAAACGTCCAACTACCGGTCGCCTTGGTCAATCTGACCTGGCTGACGGATCACTTGATCGTCGGCGTCGATTCCCAAGGCGGCATCTGGCAGATCGACCCCGAAAAAGGCGTCGTCTCCAAGGCGGCCGTCGATGATCTTCAGGTCGTCTTCGCCACTTCCGATTACAAAGTGAGTGGGGAAGTCAAGGCCAGAAAAGTATTACGTGTTTTTTAAAAGGGTAGGTGAAAAATCACCCTACAAGGAAGGTCATTATTTTACTTTGTGGTTGGAAGTTTATTGGAAATTGTCCAGAGTAAAAAAAAAAAAGGTCGCACTTTCGGGGGTAGGCCGCAGTTTGAGGGGGCGCCGCACCTCGGGGTGGGACCTAGCCGACGTATGGCCCCTTTTCAGGACTCATTTCTCAAAAACTAGAAATACTTGTGAGTAGACTTCAAAATAAATCACAGAACCTTTTTTATGAACCCGAAATTCTACTGAAAATTTTTCAAAACTTTTTAGTTTTGAGCTCAAAAAAATCAGAAATTAATTTTTGTGACCTTGTTTTTTTGAAGATAATTTTTGAAAGAAGTTATTTCTCGGATTTGAGGGTCTGGCGACTGGCGGAAGAGTGAGCGAAGCGATGCGATGTTTGGCCGAACATGCGTGTTTCCAGTCGATGACCCAGGGTAGCGCGGAAAAGTGGCTCGTACTGGCTCATGATGGACTCTTCACTGTCCAGCGGGTCACTGAGTTCGAGCAACTCGAAAAGTTCATGGAGAGGTTGGTTCGGAAGTCTTTCAAGGATTGGGACGTTTGGAAATGACAGTTTGAAATAAATGGAGTTACTAATTCGTTCCTTGTAGATTCTAGTAAGATCTTCTTGATTTTGATTCCCTCCAGAGGCGACGAAGTCTCAGCCACCTTGTACCTTCTTGACGTCATCAACGGCCGGATTCGGGCCAGCGACGTCTTCAAAAACGAAGCGCCGAAGCTCCTCGTCGGTGCCGCGCGACGTCTTCTCGACGTCACCATGGACGGCTGCAAGGAGGGGAAAGTCGCCCAGCTCGTTGCTCATTATAAGGTGTCTTTTGAGCGTAGGAGTTTGAAATGATTCATTCACTTCTGGCTTAAGCATTTGAGTGAATTTTGCGCGGGGAAGTTATAGGTTTGTATTTACAGTAACCTTTTAGTTATAGCTGATTCACGGCTGGCTTGAGCCATCGAAAAAAAAGGGTCCTGACACGATAATGCACGAGATAGCGCCTGGCTCCTGGAGAGTGCAGACAAGCCACGCCCCCTTAGCGTCTAAGCTGGCCGTGAATCAGCTATATCGACGGAGTGACTTTAAGAAAAGTTCAAGTAAAAATTGTTTGAATTTTTAAATTTAAGAATCAGTTATTTTTTTCAAGCTAGATGGGATTGTAACAATAGCTCATTCGCCAAAACCTGAAACAGTCTGATTTCTCTGCGCTCTCTTTTCTCTCGAAAATAATATGATTTTCTACAGTAACCCCTGAGACAGTGGTGAATTTAGTATAGGCAAAGTTGGAGTAAAAATTTGATTTTTAGCTTCAATTTAGATGATTTTTTGGTTTATAGTGTACTGATCATCCACCACAACTTGTCTGATTTCTCTGCCCTCTCTTTTCTTTTTAAAAAGTAATATAATTTTTTTCTACAGTAACCCCTGAGACGGCGGTGAATCGAGTTTAGACAGAGTTGGAGTAAAAATTTGATTTTTAGCTTCAAGTTTGAAAATTTAGATGATTTTTTTGGTTTACAGTGTATTGATCATTCACCACAACTTGATACAGTCTGCTTTCTTCGCGCTCTTTTCTCCCTCGACGCTTCAAGCTCTTTTTTTACGATTCTATGATTTAGTCGGTTAAAGAGAAGAGACGCAGACTGGTCAGACGTTTCCAAGTCGTGACGAATGGACTATACACTTTCAGAAAGGGTTTTTCCTATAACATCATGAATCTCCAGAAATACATCCGAATCCTGCTGCAAGTCTGCATCAGCGGCAAGCTTTTCGGACTCCTCTACGACGAGGTCTGGACGCGACTCTCGCAGGACGTCCTCTCACGAGGCGTCCTTCTGGAGTCGCTCGACGAGTGGGTCCTCGACGGAGGCCCTCGTCGAGCCTCCGCCGACGGTCGTCAGCGAGTACTTGACGCATTTAGGTCAGTTCTAAACAAAACAAATACTAGGTGAAGGAGAGCAGAAGCGGCGTTAGAGCCCTTAAGTTATCACTAGAAAATCCTCCTTTTAGTGGCGTTAGAGCGCTTAAGTTATCACTAGAAAAACCTCACTTTAGCCGTGTCAAAGCCTTCAAGTTATCACTGAAAAACTCTCACTTTAAGGGCCTCAGAGCTCTTAAGTTATCACTAGGATAGCCTCGCATAAGCGGCGTCAAAGCCCTTGAGTTATCACTGGGAAATCCTCAAAATAGCGGTGTCAGATCCCTCAAGTTGTCACTAGGAAAGCTTTAATTTCGCGTCGGCAGAGCCCTTTAGTCATCACTGGAAAATCCTCACTCTAGCAGCCCTTAAGTTATCACTAGAAAAGCCTCATTTTAGCGGCGTCGGAGCCCTTAAGTTGTCACTAGAAAACGCTCACTCTAGCGGCGTCAGAGCACTCAAGTTATCACTATAAAATCCTTACTTGAGCGGCGTCCGAACCCTTAAGTTATCACTAGGACAGCCTCACTTTTACGGCGTCAGATCCCTAAAGTTAACACTTAGAAAAGCTTCACTTTTACGACGTCAGGGCCCTTAAGTTGTCACTAGAAAATCCTTACTTTAGTCGCTTCTGAGCCCTGAAGTTATCACTAGAAAAGCCTCGATATAGCAGCGTCAGAGCAGTTAAGTTATCACTAAAAAATCATCACTTTAGCGGAGTCAGAGCTCTTAAGTTATCACTGGAAAAACCTCACTCTAGCAGCCCTTAAGTTTTCACTAGGAAAGCCTCACTTTAGCGGCGTCAGAGCCTTTAAGTTATCACTAAAAAAGCCTCAGAAACATATTATGACGTCATTGTGCTTGACATTCGAAATCTGAGCAGATCTAACACTATTAAAAAGAGTTTTTCTGCTTCGAATTTTTAAAAAAAGTTTCTGATATTCAGTCTTAACTGTTAACCACGTTCAAAGAAGCTTTTTCTAGTTTTCCCAACCTGTGGTTATTTTTTTATTCTTTTTGGAGTTTCCAGCCTCGGAAGGGCATTTTTCGCAGCTGCAGGCGGCTGTCGTCCGGTTTCCGATCCACACGATCGACTTGCACAGTGTTCGTTTTTCTTCTGAAAAAAAGTCCCTTCAATTTTTCAATTTTTCAATCAATTCAATTTTTTTCGACTTTTTTTTCTCCAATTTTTTTCAGGTCATGTCAACTTGTCGACAAAACGGGCTCTATGACGGTATTATCTACATAATGAACAATGCGCTCGACGATTTTATAACACCATTGGAAGTAAGAAAAAGGGAATACAACTTTTAGACAAATGAAACTGAACTTTGGTTGAAAATCCAATTTTTTTTGAAGTCTCTTTTAAACAAAAATCAGAAATTTGTAGAGAAGTGGCGGCCTGAAGAGACGCCAGAGATAGCAGAGCTTTTTTTCTCTGGCGTCTCTTCAAGCCGCTGTTCTCTTTCTGAACGACTAGGCTGTAGGAGAGAATAGTGACTTTCTGAAGAGACGCCAGAGAAATTAGAAATCTGTCTTTCTCTGGCGTCTCTTCAGGCCGCTACTGATCTCTCTAATTGACTAGAAAAAAAAAACTAGGAGCGAGGGATCGTGGTTTCCTGCAGAGACGCCAGAGAAAAATATTTTTGCCATCTTCGGTCCCTTTGTCAAAAATAAAATGAAAACCGAAAAGTGAGAGATCAGGTGCCCGGAAGAGACGCCAGAGAAGCTAGATTTATCTCTTTTTCTAGCGTCTCTTATGATCTTTCTCAGTTACAAAAAAGGCAGAAGTGAGAGAGTAGGGCCTTTTGAAGAGACGCTAGAGAAAACATAACTTTTTCAAGCTTTTCTCATACCGCTACTTGAATGTCTGCTTCTCTCTGTTCCCTCACCGGCGAGGTCAGAGAAACATGAAAATAGCACGTAAACATAAGATGGTCGCCGAGACATGAGGAGGGCGCAGAGAAGCCCTTCAAGTCGCGGAAAACGGACTATAGTCTGTTCAGATTTTGAATGTCAAGTGCAATGACGTCATTCAAAAACGCTCTGTGGATGGCTCGCTCTCTGATTGGTTTATCAAGTCATTAGGGGGCGGAGCTTGAGCGAGGATTTGACATTTGAAATCTGAACAGACTATATAAAAACAGAAATTTTTTTGGATTATAACTCGGACCTCGGTAACAAAAACCAGACGTTTCTGAGCATTTCTAGGGATCACTTTAGAGTTTTGACGCTACTAAAGTTGTCCCTAGAAACGTCCGAAGCACGTCCGATTCGCGTTACCAATGTCAAGAAGCTTTTGAGAATTTGTTCAGGAAATGCTCGACGCCGTCAGAGAATTCGCTGGCCACGAAGTAATGTCGGATGCTGAAATCGACACTGGAAACCGGCTTTTGCTGTACCTCCACTGTTGCCTCGCCGGTCGAGCTTATCCTTTCGGAGCTCTCAATGAGAAACAAGCCAAGAGGGTGCCCAAAGAGGTACTATAGGGGCTAAATTTGGACGTTTGGGGGCATAAGTCGGCTGGATCCCACCCCGCCCCCCCACATTTTTTTCCACGCGCAAAAGGGTGGGATCCAGCCCACCAATGTTGAGAGGGCGTGGCCTGTCTGCGCTCTCCACCAACCAGGCACTATTTCTTTTTATTATCGTGCCAGGACCCTTTTTTCGATGGCTCAAGCCAGATACAGCTGTTCTTAAAAAAAGAAAAATCATAAAATGAGAATTATTTCCTAAGCCGTACATTTTTAAAACTTATACCGCTATATATTTTTTTATTTCAATTAAAAATCGTTTTTTTTTTTCATAAAAAATAACTTGTCTTTAGTTTAAAACTATAAGTTTGAAGAACGGATTTGTAGACTATAAAAAGCAGCCAACTTTTTGAATGGAATATGTAAGTAAGTGCTTGAAGATATTTATAATTGAAATGGAACGTATCTGAAATTATTTTGTCGGAAGCAAAAAATAATAATTTTCACGTTAATTATCTTTTTTTTGAGTTCACGGGCAAAGTTCAAAAGGTCAAAGGCGCCTTTTTTCTAGACCTTTTTCTGAAAAGGATCTTTTGAGGAGTTCTAGAAAAAATAAGGCGGAAAAAAGGAGATTCTGAGGAACTTTTGACACCGTTTTAGGGACTAAAAAAGGGGCTTTAAACTCATCTTTCAAGACCTTTTTGAGGTCGTTTGGATTTTTCCTGTGTTGGAGGCTGCTCTATTGAATATGAATTAGATCAAAAAGAAAAAATCCTGGTTCCCGGATTTTTTTAAAATTTTTTCGAGTACTTTCGTCCTTGTATTATACACGGTGTTGAAAAATATTCAATTTTTCCGATAGTTTTCGTTTTTATTTTCTCATTGAATAGTTTTTTTCTGATGATACCTTATCTCAAAAAGCTTGAAACTTCCTCCGTCATCCAAATAAAAAAAGAATAATTTCAAAGCTCAGGTTATTAAATTTGAGGAAAAATTAGTCGCTAGAAGTATTTCTAACCAGAAAAAAATCTTCAAAAAAATGACTGATCCTTTGGAAATTCTAGATTTTTTTCCAGGTCTACTGTTGCATTTCCTCTTTAAAAGGCAAGGACGGAAGCTCCAGCGAGGAGAAATATCCGTACCTCCGTCTTCTCCTCCAATTCGACCCACAGCAGTTCGTCCATGTGATTTATACCTGCGCCGACGCCAATATTTTCCAAACCGATGGACGGTTACAAAGGCTCACTGATACGGTAGGTATATGGTAGTTTTTTGGGAGAGATTTTTCAGATTTTCAGATAAAAAAGATAGTTTTCAACGCAGTTTATCGGTTTCAAATTCTGTTCAAATTTTATTTATTTTCATATTTTTATTCAAATATCCTTTCGAAAGCTTTTCATGACTAAAGAGCCGCACTGGGAATGGCTCAATGCGTCAAAAAAAAAAAAGATTCATCCGACCATAAACCGACTTACGCGCGCCGACGTTGAGAAGCTAATAAACAGCATCACTTGCTTCGGAACTTCTGAGGGGTCCCTATCGGGGCTACCTTAGAGGCCCCTGGAGGGTCATCTCTAGAGAGATATTTACCAACCCCTATAGGAGCCACTAAAGCTAGCAAAAGTGGTCCCTATAGGGGACATTTTTTTTGAACTCTAAGCGAAGAAGCATTTCCACGGGAAAAACTGAATGAAATTGAAAGACCCCTACAGGGTCCACTTGAGGTTTGGAGGCTAAGGAGACCGTCAATTCCTATAGGGACCCCCTAAATTTTACCCCTATAGCAACCACTTTTAACTAACCACTATAGGGATCACTCTGGATTACCTAAGTGAAAGTCAAAATTTTCCAAAAAATTCTCAATTTTGTTGAGCCGCCGCGCGACCGTGCCGCATTGAGCCATTCCACGTGCGACCAGAGTTTTTCAAGTCTCATAAATAATAAAATTGAAAAATAGTATTCAGTTAGATAGAGTGAGGAGTGTTGAAAAATGGAGTTTTTTAGAGCGATATTTCGGTTTTTTCAGGTTTCTCAACATTTCTATCTTATTAAAAAAGGTTCATCCGACCATAAACCGACTTACGCCGTCCGGGAAATTTGGAACATCTTTCTATGTTTCAGATAGGACTTCTCTCGGTGATGATGCGAAGGGAACCGCCTCTGCTCCATTTCCTCCTTTTAGTCGTTCAATTAACGGAAAATGGACTCATTGTCCCACCTGTAGAGTATGTCCAGGATGTAAGAAATCATTAAAAAATCGATAATGCTCTGAATTTTGTTTCAAGGCGGTCATTTCCCTGCTAAGACTGCCGACCTGGCTACACTCGGCCACGGAGTCGGTGATCGTGACGGCGTTGAGAGTTGTGCCCGACCTGAACCGGTCTGACGTCCTGCGCTCCGCCCAGTCGCCCTTGAGGTTGAATTCGACTCGCTTTTCTCTTGAATAAATATTACTTGCCTGCTAAAAATGTATTGGCGTTTTTGTTAGTGGAATAAAAAACCAAAAATTATAGTTTGTTCAGATTTTAAATGTCAAGTCGTCGCTTAAGCTCCGCCCATAATGGTGCGATAAACCAATCAGAGAGCGAGCCATCCACAGAGCATTTTCGAATGACGTCATTCTACTTGACATTCAAAATCTGAACAGACTATATAAAGGGCGTGGTCAAAACCTCCGCCGTCCCCATGTGACGTCATGGGAAAAACGCGTAAACAACAGGAAATATTAAAGGCACATTCAATGGGTCATGAGACGAATCTATTTCTCATTTTAAAAACGCGATTTTTATGTTTTTTTTTGTTGTTTTAAAACACATGCCGTGTTGAAAGTAATTCCGCGAAATTCTAAATAGCCACCAGAGATTGAGAAATATAACTGATTTTCAGAAATGCAGATATTATTTTGAACTTCGCGAGAATTACGTTTAACGCGGCGTGTGGCAGAGCGTTTGCACACGACATACTATACTTTAGGGAAAAAATATGAACGGGTCGTCGAAAAAAAAAGTCATGCTCATCGTCGTAAAATACAGATAGATTTAATAACTTTTTAAAAAACCAAAACGGACAGCTTCTCTTCGAAATTCTAAATCGGGAGGCTTCTCAAGCTTCTTAATGGAATTTTCCACCACAAAAAGCCAAAAGGGGCGTGTCCGGCCAATCAGAGACACTGTTCGTTAGAGCGAACTTTGACAACTCGACAGGCTCAAAGAAAACTTGTCAAAATAATTCCCGTTACTCATTTTTGCTTACTGTCTCCCTGATCGCTTCAGGACCCGTTTCTTGAAATATTGATGGTCCTTTCAAATTTCTCGAAAGGAAATTTAGAAGCAGATTCGGTGTTGTGTGAAAAAAATATATTAACCAGAAGAAAAATATATAACGTATACCGTACCGTTTACCGTATTTGTTAGTACTCATCACTTATAAAAAAAGATATTAGTTGAACTCAAATTTTTCATAAATTGTAAGATCGACGAAACATTGATCCGATATCATAGCAACAAAAAAATAAAAAAATAAAATTCAAAAACAGAACGATTATTTTTTTCACAAAGTTAAATGTCTTCAATGTTACAGATCATGTTCAAATTTAGTTTTTCGTGTTTTTCTTTGATAGCTTGCGTTTTTTTAATTAATCTATTATAAAGTTGAATGAAATAAAATTTTTCTTTCAATTTTTTTAAAGTCATAAACATTTTCCTCATTTTTTTCAAAACGATTATTTTTTTCAGACCCGCCATCTGCAGCTTCATTTTTCCTCAATGAAAGACGCTTCGTTGAACTCATTAATTGTTATTTGCTCGACTCTAAAAATAAGGTAAGTTTTGGAAAATTTTTTTATTTAAAAAATAAAAATTTCTAGGAAGTTTTCAACGCAATCGATCGCATAATCAGAACAGGCGATTTGAATGCGATTGAATCGGCCAAATTCTCGGCTTTTGTCCGGTCTTCCCTTCCTGTAAGTGGTTACGGTGGCTTTTCGTGGCAGGACCTATAGTGAACTTTTTGGAAAAAAATATTTCTCGAAATCTGTAGTTTTATAAGCAAAAATAGCCATAAATGACGAAGATAGGATAATAGATGAATATAAATAACCTACAGTAGAACACAGAATAATTGATACCGTAACCCAAAATACTGTAGCGATTAGTTGGCCTAATTACTACAGTAACCTGATTTTCCTACTGTAACTACCGTATCGTTGGAAATTTTATTCATATAACGAAAATTTCTTGATTATTAGAGCCTTAGGATAAATGTTTCACAGTAACCCGATTTTCCTACCGTAATTATTGTATCGTTGGAAATTTTATACATATACTCGAAATTTCGTGATTATTAGAGTCGGAAAAAGAGACTACAGTAACCCGATTTCCCTACAGTAATCTTTTCAGTCCTTGCTGAAAACTTTATACATATTTTGCAAATATCGAGATCGTTAATGCCGGAAAAAGAGACTACAGTAACCCGATTTCCCTACAGTAATCTTTTCAGTCCTTGCTGAAAGTGGACAGTAGTCTCTGTGCAAGTTTGATCATTGAACACTACGCGGATTATCTGAAACTGATGGCCAGGAAGGACGAAAAAGGACGGAGAGAGTTTTTCCCGGCACTCAAGGCGATCCTGGAGATACGGTAAGGTTTGGAGGTTCGCATTTGGAATGGCTTTTCGGTCAAGAAGAGCAGCCGAGCAATGTTGTCAATGATTTTTCCGATGACAAGGTTTTTTGTGACCTTCGGAAGCCATTCCAAATGCGACCCAAAGCTCCCTTTCCACTTGGGAATTCATTTCTGACTTAATTTGTTTCAGAAGGGAGAGAAAACAGTCGATGATCATGTTGGACGACGAGCTCGACGAGTCTCTCTTTGGGATCGTTTTCGAAGGAATTTCCAAGCGATGGGCCTCGAATTCGGATGAAATCCCGAGACCTTCTTCATCATTCTCTTCTTCCTCTTCAACGTCATCATCCTCGACGTCTTCTGATGAGGATGACGTCGACGGACAGCTTCTGGATCTCCTGTCTTTTTGGCTGCCGATCGGCGCGAGGACCGACTTTTGTCTGAACCAAGCCGCCGCCGGAGGGTTCATAAGAACGATGGTCGAGCTTCTGAACGCGAGGGGATTCGAACAACGAGCTTTCGACGTCCTTTTCGAGCAGTTGGAGAAGTTCAGCGGGTGCGACGAGGCCAAGACTGGTTGGTTTTTTTCCATTCCGAGAAATTTTCTTGGACATCTGCCAGTTATTCAAAGATATATGGGTTGATGCTAGTTCAGAAAAATGTGTTCCCACTTCCTTTTCTGGAAAATTAATGGAAAATTACTTTGAGAAGATCCTGAGCCATTGAGTGGCCCCTAAAGCGGTTTTCGTGTCTCTTAAGTGCCCACTAGAAAATTCACTGCAACAGAAAGTGAAAAAAAAAATTGATGGATCTTTGAATTTTCAATAATTTGAATAGTAGGAACATTTTATTAAAAATGAAGGATGAATCGAGGCGAAAATCGACACGAAACATTCCTGTTTTGTAAGATATTTATAACCCTCTATATTTATTTTTTAGTGTTCCTGTTGTAATCTGTTTGAGAATCATTAAAAAAAGAATATTTTATTTTTCAGTTCATTGGCTGGACGAAGCGCTCACCTACTGTTCAAGGAGAAGTTCATCTCCAGAATCCCGGAATTGGATGATGCGAGTTTTCCGATTCGTCGCCCAGTTTGCCGCCCAATCTGGATCTACTACTTTGGGTTGGCTTTGAATTCAGGAACAATTGAAAATAGGAAAAAAATATGAAGAATAGTTTGAAGTTGAAAAACCGCATAATTTTTTTGTTTTTTTCGCTGAAACTCGAGTGGTCCCTTGAGGGGTCTCTTATTTTTTTATTTTTTTGTTCAGGTTTAAAAATTAAAAAAACACGTATTTCGAAATACTTGATGGGATAATCCTCTGTTGACATTTATCCATTAAAAACACTAATTTATCAAGTTTTCCGCATGAAAATGCTTCTCCTCGTACAGATCATAATAATAAAAGACCAGCATGTCCCCTAGAGGGGCCACTTTTGCAAGCTTAATGATCCATTCAGAAGTGAGGTGGCCCCTAGAGGGAGCCTTCAATTGCCCCCAAAGCTGCCCCTCTAGGGACCACTCTGGCGCTCCGAAGATCGTTTAAATTTTTTTAGTCCCATTGAAAACTTAAAGAATCTTTGTTTAAAAAGAAAAAATCTACACGATGCCGAGGTTTGATATAAAATTTTCTAAAAAGAAACGTCTTCAGAAAAACTTTTCAAAACCAATGATATTTAAATAATTTTCACCATTTTCAGTACTGAACCAAAGACTGATTCTGCTGTGCCGAAGAATACTTGACACTGGAACTGAACATGCTGCTCAGCTCGTTGACTCATTACTGGAGTGTCCGTCTTTTCGAGAAGCCTCTTATTGGTTTAGAAATTCTGGAAATTTTTCGAAAAGTTCACTTTTTCAGTGAAACTGCGAGCATTTTCAAGGAAATCTTGTCTTCGTGTGATTATGAGAAGAAGCTTCTCAATGACGTCTTGGCGGTTATTGTGAGTTTTACGGTAATAAAATGAAGCTGAAAATTGGAAAAAGGACCGAAAAGTCGTTTTAAAAGGATTATTTAGGGGTCATATCGTCTAGAAGAAAGTTCTTCTACTGAAAATTTTTACAAAAACCGATGGTAGGACGAAAAATTTGATCCGCAAAAATACGTCGCGTGAAAATTGCGACCACATAACTTATGAGCCACGAAAAATTTTTAAGCCTTCAAAAATTTTTTTCTTAAAATTTTTAAAATTGCTCAGATGATGACTTTCTGAATTTCTTTCTTTTTCCTTTTTCAATTTTTCTCTTTATTCTTGATATTGATTAATTCCAGAGCTAGAGCCACTGTTTTCGGTAGGTTTCTAGAAATTTCAATCATTATCATCAATAAGAAGTCTGTCATTTTTTTGTTATAAACATGGAAAACGTATTTAGTTGACAGATTTTTCAAATCCTGGGATCGCCGGGATAACTCAACGCAGAAATGAGAATCAGTACTAGAGCAAAAAGTTTGAAGGAGACCAGAACAAAGAAAAAAACAGAAAAATACAGAAATTGAAAGCCTTATATGCAAGTAATTTCTAATTTAAAATGGACAAAATTTTTAAAGGCTTAAAATTTTCGTGGCTCATAAGTTATGTGGTCGCAATTTTCACGCGACGTATTTTTTTGCGGATCAAATTTTTTTCGTCCTACCATCCAAAAAAACCGTATACGATTTTTCAATTTTCAGTTGTGGCATATTTCCTCATGGTTTTGTTTTTTTCTAATTTTCCAGTTTTAAGATTATTATAAGAAAAAAAGATGATAAAAAAACTATTAATATTTGCCTTTTGTTAAAATTAGAACTTAAATTTTTTTCTTAGTGAAATTTCGAAATTTCTCCTTTTAAATTTCATGCGTCCTTTTTTTCAGAGTTTTACATTATTTTTTTATATTTAGAATTCGGAATGCTCAGACAACGTCCAAACGATGCGGAAAACAGATCGCGCGTCGATTCGAGCTAACTTCATCGATGGAATGTATTCGATGCGGCGGCCCCCCACAATAAAGCCGCCTTTGTTTTCAGGTTTATATTTTGTAATAATTTGATTGAAAACTAAAGTTTAGTTGCGGCCACCTCGTTCATCTGGATTGCGATGATGGAAAGAAAAATCTGCCCATGTGATGGGAAACTCAAACTTTTGCCTGGCCGACGACCGGAATCTCAGTTGCCGCGAAAGCGCGACATTTTCAAAGAATGGAAGAAACCTCTGAATCTAGTGCCTGATACCCCTTGATATCATATCAAAAAAAAAGAAACATATCATACATTCTATTCACATACTTATTTATCAAAAATATAGGGTCGATTCTGTGATACTTTGAGCAAATGTGCATTATTAATGAGATGTAATTACAAATATATACTTCACCTGTGATAACTTATTGCGAAACCTCTGGTGCTATTTTGTGATTTTGAACACGCCTTATTTGGTGCTTTCGAGATCTAGTCAATTCACCAACTACTTGAACCACGTTAACGCTACAGAAACGCTATAATAATTTTTTCCCAAATCTCTTTAAGGTGGAACAATGCGGTGGTGAATCGACGGACTATCTAATGAAAAAAATAATAAAATTTTCCCAATGCTTGCGTGAGTTTCAACAAAACGGAATGATAACAAAGCTGATTATTGCTGTTATTTCTTTGGTTGAAGCTCGACTCAATGAACCATTTGCACTATCAATGGTGTGTTGAGCTCAGCCCTTATATGCCGCCATTGCCGTGCGGGTGAGTGCTCCAAACCGAAGAAACACTGGAGAAAAACTCACTTTCAGAGAATCCTCTGATTTACATATTGTTGCACCATTTTTGTTGACCCAGTATTTTCCTTCAGGACCTATCGATCCACTACAATTCTCATTTTGCCCAAAAGTTCGGCTCCTGATCCTATTCATCGGTTAAATGTGGAGTTTCAGGCTTCGCGTAATATTGAGTTTATGACGCGCTGCAGTCGCGTCCTTCACCGTATTGATAAGCTAGTGAAGTATGCCACTTCAAGAAAAAGAAATTCAAAAGACAGTCCAGGTCAAAAGATCTGTTCCGTCACACATGTCTCATACTTCAAGCTGGATCCCAAGCCACTATGCGCTTGGCTCTCTTCAAAAATGTGCGTCCCGAGTGGAATACAGCTGTAGAAATCCCATTTTGTCTTCATATCACCAAGGTCAGGCTATAATCCGCCAAAAAAGAGAATAAGAAATATGTAGGCGGGAAGATGTCCAAGACTCCTCGAAGCTGATGAACTCGAACTACATGAGCAATGGCTTCCTTTTGTTGGAAGAAATTTTGCGGCCTATGCAGGCCGTTGAGCAGAAATTTATCCCATTAATTGCACCTCACCAAACAAGCAAACTCGCTAAAGATGCTATGCAGGTTAAAAAAATTTTCCGTTTTCACGAGCAAAAAAATTGTTTAGAAGCAAAAACAGTCTGCGAAAATTAAACCGACAGCTTTTGAGCAGAAAAGTGAAAGTACAACGTCTTCGTCGAGCGGTTATCGCTCTGCCTAATATTTTTATACACCAAAGATTTATCCACGAAAAATAAGATATATATCGTGTTTATCTTGCTTTGGACAAAAAGATTAAAGTAATAACAATTTTTTTATAATAAGAAAAAAACAACAAACAGCGGTTTATTCGGGCTTGCCCTTCTGCTTGAGAACCTTGTTGACAATCTTCTGCTCTTCAATGAGGAAGGCACGGGTAATTCGCTCCTTGACGGCGTTGGCCGAAAGGCATCCTCCGTAAGCGCGCGAAACCGTTCGCTCGTTCTTCTTCAACAAAGTAAGGGCACGTGGGCGAGCGGGAGTGATCTGAATGAAATTATCATCAGAAAAGACTTGTGTATATTTAAAATATGAAATTGGCTGAACATGAATTATGGGGAGATAATTTTTTTATGAGATCTTTTTTCCATTTTTCCGGTTAAGAGCTTTTGAAAAAAATAAATTTGGATTTTACTTGATCCAAATTTATTTTTTTCAAAGAAAAATTGAAATTTTAGAAGAATAAATTAAAGGAATTCACGTTTTACTAAATTTAAACTTCAATTTATTGCGTTTATATAATCTTGTGAACTTACTTATGCCATGTTCAAAGTGATTCCGCGAAACGCAAAATAGCCTTCAGAGAAAGAAAAAGATAACGAAAATTTTGGAGAGTCAGAGATAATTTTGCGTTTTGCGGAAACTACTTTGAACATGACATTATAACACTATTATCAAGTGAAAAACTATCTGAAACTGACTTTATAGTTTATTAATTGGAAAAAAATGCAAAAAAAAATATGGGAAAAAAATTTATTATAAAACCTCTTTTGATTGGCCTGAGAATCTTTGCAATCGTCAAATTCTTTTTCATTTATCATAACGAAATAAATTTCCATCGAACAAAGTCTTTTCTTGCTTTCAGGAAATTCAAGAAGCCCTTCAAAACACAAAAAAATATGAAAAAAAATAGATTAAACTTACTCCGTGGAGCTTGACTCCGGTGTCTCTGCACTTGGGGATAGTACCGCGCTTCTTAAGGTAGTGGTAGACAAGACGGCCTCCGGGCGTCTTCACGATTGTCCTTCTGTTGGACTTGGTGTTGTAGGACAGACGGCGTCTGTAGGTTACCCTCTGCGACATTTTACCTAGAAATTAGAAATTGAAAATTGATGACAGAAAAAAAAATGAAAGACAACGTTAAAAAAAAAGAAAGATCATTCAATACGGCAATACTCAGTATCCGAAATTATTGCAATAATCAAACTTTTTAAAAAAATGGACGATTACTCACTCATCGAGCGAGTACTCAAAAAGAATATAATGCTGAAATACATGCAAAACGAATTATTTTTCAAAAACAACAGCAAAAATTCAACTTTTTTTGTTAACTTTTTTTCGATTTTTTTAATCAACTTGTTCAAAACTAAAAAAACAGAGACATCAAAAATGAAGTTGGTTCCTATCAAACTACGTTCATTCCGGAGGTTGATGTAATGAAAAAAAGCTTGCAAAAAAACCGAGAAAAACTTTCAAAAAAATTCAAATTTTTCCAAGATACAGATTTTTCTCACTTTTCGTTCATTTTACAATAAACTTAAAAATTTCTTTTTTTCAAAAATTTTAAAAAAATTGATAGGATACAGATTGGAAATTTTCAACAAAAAAATCAACAAAAAAATCGCAGAAAATGGGTGATCGGTGAAATCAGGCCATGCGAAAAAAATCTCAGCTTATAATACATGCTTAATTATCAAATTTCAATTAAAAACAATTAAAAAACAAATAGAAAAAACGTAGGCCACGAATTAAAAAGAGAAACGAGAGAAATGAGGCTCCCGCAACGCGCGGTGGGTTACTGTGGCTGAACGTCGCGTGTACAATCTGAGATTAGACTTGCTTTGACTGCTATTACGGAATCGATAGACGAGAATGGGAGCCGGAAGCTCAAGAGGAAGGCATTTTGCACTGAAACACGATGTTCCAACTTTCAATTAAGCTTGTCCGAAGTATTATTAATGTCTCCGTTTGACTTCAATAAGCAAGTTCTCGTCTTTTAAAAGCGGCATTTACAATTTTGAGCTCAATTCGTTTGTTTGTTGGGCTCCATTGGGGAGTAAACAGCTTGATTCGATAAATTAATTAGGCCATTAGGGATGGAGCTGGCGGCTCGCGTGATGTCTGTTGTTAATCGTTCTTCTGGCTCCGAAGAAAGAACACCTGCGGCCCCAGTACCGCCACGAATAGGCATGGTCGTCGACGTCAGCGATTCTGCCTTTATCGGAGGCTTTATTCCCTGTAACTCAGCCCAACAAATCAAAATCTCTATTCCAAATGTTAAGCCCTGACGGAGAAGCGCAAATATCCATACAGCCGACCAGAATTCCTTTATTTTTCCGATGAAGAAACGGCTCTTTCTGCGGATCAGTCAGTCCGACCTGTTATTTGTCCGAAATTCCCTACTCGTATGCCATTATTCGCTGGTTATGCTGAAGCTATCAATGCCGGTGAGAAATTCGATTTGCAGAAGAGTTTTAAAATTGAAAAGTGTAGGAAAAACGTCGCACAACGAGGATCAAGCTTCGGCGCGGCTTTTGAGTCTGGCCCAGCAAGGCTACGAACCAGAACCGGCTAGGGAAATTGAGAGAAGGACTTCTTTCTCGAATGGCAATGGAATGAGGTAAGAATCTGAAACTTATTGGGCTAAAATAGCTAAGAAATATATCCGTATTTTCGTTTTAAAAAAATTTTAAGCTCTTCAAACGACGATGAACCACTTCTTTCACCTGGTACCGATGATGGAGTGAGTGATATTTTTTATATTTCTCTTTTTCAATGTTTCTGTTTTGTTTTCGTTTATTTTCTAACCGAATTCACAATCAAAAAACGCTGAAATTTGCAGGACAGAAGCCCGATTTGCATTCCGAGGGCCGACGCGGCGCTTTTCAGCATTTTCGACGGTCATGCCGGTTCGGCGGTGGCCATCGTCGCCAGTAAATGTCTACATGAACATGTGAAGGTAAAATAACCTGGAATTGATGTGGATTTGTATAAGATGAGAACAAAAAAACAAGTGAACTTATAGAAAAGTCTTGAAAATTAGTTTTTTCAGACCTAAATTGCTCCTTAGACAAAAAAAAAAATGAATTTTTCAGTCCCGCCTTTGCGAGGTCCTCGAGCTAGTACTAAATTTGGACCGGCAGGAAGGCTTGAATTTCGGAAAGCATCGCTCCGAATCTTCCTACAGTATGACCAAGGTACTGTAATTGAATTATAGTGATAATTTAGTTGAAAATGTTCAGTTTCCCGATGAACGAGTGACAATTCGGAGCGATCATTTGGTGAAAGGAGCCCTGGAAACGGCGTTTGTCGATATGGTTTGAAATTTCGTGATTAAAAAAAAAGTCCAGGCTTGAATACGTTTCATTAAACGTATGAAAGGTAGGAAATGCCGGAAGTTGATAATCTCTGTTCCACAAATGCACAATAACTTTCTTTTTTTTTCCCTTTTTTCACCCGTTTTTTTGCTGTTTTTAGAGGATATTTTCCATTTTTTCGCGGCATTCAATTGTGTTTTTTTTGATGGAAAGCGACAAAATTGAGCCATTTAAACTCTACTTTGTAACATTTTCCTTCCAGGACGAACAAATATCCGAAGACAAGCAAGTTTGGCGGCTTCCCGGTGGTTGTGCGGTTATTTCGGTTCTGGTGCTTTTGGGTAAATTGTACGTTGGTGAGTAATTAACTAATTTTTATTCATTAGTTCAAACCATTTTCAGCAAACGCGGGAGATTGTCGAGCCATTTTGGTTACTTCTAACGGAACCAAAGCTCTGTCAAAAGATCTGACCCCGGCGACAGAAAGGAGGAGGCTTCAAGAATTGGTGAGCATTACCTAGGATTGGATAAGTGATCCCTATAGAGGACGAAAAAGTTTCCACTCAAGGGATAAAGTTCAAGTGGTCCCTAAGGGGTTTAGAGTCATACCCCTTGTACGTATAAAGACACAAAAAGCAGGTCGAACTTGATCCTCTGTTGATTTTCTTTCATTCAAGCTGTAGTTAGGGACCGCAGACCAATTTTCAAAAAATTTTTTTCAGCATTGAGCTTTGTATGGTTTGATAGCTGTTTCGATTCAAAACTCAGAACCGTTTAGTTTTTCGAAAAAGATTGAGGATGAAAAAAGTTATGACGAAAAATGTGGCGCGCCGCGCACCATTTTTTTAGTACTGAAATTTTGGTATTATCCATTTTGACATTTTTCTCGATTTTTCTTCTAGAACAAGTTTTGATACTGGTCTATTATGATGTAACAAATCATAATAGAGTGCTAAAATGATGCTCATCAGCTAGTTTGCCGAAAAAGTCGGTATTTTCCAGAAAACAAAAAACTGACGCTTGCGGGCATCGAACTCGCGACCTCAAAATGAAAAATCGCAGCGCACGCGCTGCGCCAAGCTGCTAGGTCTAGCAAGGGGAGCTTCCATCCGCCTTACCCTTGAGCCGTTTAGATAGCACAGATTGCCTATTTCAAAAATAAAAACTTGAAGTAATTCAGCTATTTTTTTATCAGAATATGTTCGCAAATCTTTACTCAAACTTTCCGTGAAAAATTCACTTCGAAAAAAACTGTTTTTTTAGTGCTTTTTTTCCTCGTTTAACGATCGCTGCCTTAAAACGGCCCCGTAAATTTTTTTGGCAAAGACGAATTTTTTTATTTTATTCTTTTTAATTGAAAGATTTTTTTCACTAATAAATGTATATAATCGTTTAAAAAAACCTGCGTTCGGCCGCTTTCTGTGTGATAAACGCCGCTAATTTTATTCTCTAGTTTCAAGAGCATTTTTTTGCGTATTAAACAACTATTTCAAGCACAGATACTGTGAAGAAAAAAATTTAAGTAAGGCCATGATCTAAATTTTTTTAAAAAAACAAAAAAACTTGATTATATTCGCTTATTAACGATATTTTGAATTATGACTTTCGGCGCTCCCTAAAAATTTTTTTGGCAAAGACGAATTTTTTTATTTTATTGTTTTAAAATTTTCGTTACTTGAATCAAAAATCATTATTTAAAAAAAGAAAAGAGTGCGTTCGACCTGAAAACACATGAAAAAAAGCAAAAAAATGACAAAAATTTTTTTAGTTCCATTCACGTTTTTTTGTACGACATTCCGCGAGAACGCATCAAAAAAAGCGTGAAATATTTTTTTAAACGAAAGAGGAAGCTTTTTCTGTACATGTGTGTCAAATTTTATTCGCCAGTTCCACATATTTTTGCAACTACAACAAAATGAAAGTTGAAAACCAAAAAAAAGCCACTTTTTCTATCGCGAAAAGGGGCGTGGCTTTGCGGTCCCTAGCTGTAGTGGCCCCTATAGGGGGAGTGGTCCTCAGAGGGAATTTTTAGACGGCCCTATAGGGACCACTCTTGAACCCTTAAATATTTCATCTTAACACCCGGATTAAAATTGAAGCTTCACCACTCTCTTAAGAAAATATTCAAAAAGGGTCTTTTTTCGATCCGAAAGTCAGTGCACAAAGAAAAAAGTTCAAAATTCTTTGTTTTTGGCCCAAGCTAGCCTTGAATGCACTATAATTGAAAAAAAAAGGCTGAAAACAGCAAATTTTTAGGCCTACCACAGTCCAGAACTTATCGGAAGTTCCTTTTCTCGGCTGGAATATTCTAGAAGATTGACCAAAAAGGATCTAAAAAGCCGAGTTTTGTACAGGTTTTATTAAAATATCTATTTCACTTTTAATAACGATTTAAAGGGACTGGTTTATGGACGGCTGGGCGGCGAAAACCGTCAAGGAGACGGATCTTCGACCGCCGTTGATCAGCGACAGTCTCAGGAAGGTCTCCTTTTTTTGACCCTTGAAAATCTTGAATTTATGGATTTTTGATCAATCTGAACGTTTCAGAAACGATTGCTGAACACCATCGGGGTTTCTCGAGGCTTTGGGGATCATCACCTCATGACGGTCGACGAGAGACTCAGTATCAAGCCATTCCTTTCCGCTGTTCCTGAGGTGACCTGTCCTTATTTGAACTTTATTTTTTTTCCGGCTAGAAATTCCAGAAGATTGACCAAGAACGATTTGAAAAACAGGTCTCAGTAAAAACTGAGTTGAGCCATCAAAAAAAGGGTCCTGAGACGAAAAGGGAGACAGTGCTTGACTAGTGGAGAGCGCAGACAGGCCACGCCCCTAGCGTCCCAAGTTAGTCTAGCTTGTGACGCAAAAAGGCATGGCCTGTCTGAACGCTCCACCAACCAGGGCACTGTCTCGTCTCTTTTCGTCGCAGGACCCTTTTTTCGATGGCTCAAGGCAGCCGTGAATAAGCTATATAACTCCACATCCGCGGCTTCAACACCGTTCGCGTCAAATTTTTTTATTGCCCATGACGATGCTCCTTTACTAGCGCTACGTTTTCCGACTTTTTCAAGCTTTTAGATCAGAAAGGAGTCCTCTGCTTGACATTCAAATTCTACACTCTTTCTTCAAACTTTTCCAATCCTACCGGTCAAAATTTGTTGGGAATTTCATCATTCTGACTGCTTGGTGAGCTTTGAAGTACGGTCTTGTGATTTTGTCATGAAGTGACACCCAATGACCGCACTTGGAATGGCTCAAAACGTAACGGCTTCTACAAAAAAGGTTCATCCGACCATAAAACGGCTTGCGCGTCGACATTGAAAATCTGATAACTCGGACTCCGGTAACGGAAACGGGACGTTTCTGAGCGATTCTAGGGATTACTCAAGGCTACTTACGTTACTAAAGTGGTCACTATACATGCTCCGAGACGTCCGGTTCGAGTCTAGTGAAAAAGATCAACCAGTTTCAGATTATGTGCACTTCACAAATGAATTCTGATTTTTCCAGGTGTCCGTGACGAACCTCCGCGAGCTGGACACTCTGACGGACAAAGACGTCGTCGTCGTGGCTTCAGATGGACTTTGGGACGTCCTAACCAACGAAGACGCCGGATTGATCGTCAGAAGTTCTCTGGGCTCCACTGAGCCTTCGGATCCGTCCAGGTTCGCTTCAGATCTTGAAAATTCAAAAATCTCTTCTGACTTGACTTTTTTGCCTTAATGAAAGTATATTCTCTTAAATTATCAAGCTTGTAACTCAATTTTCCAGGTACTGCCTAGCCGCCCAGGATCTCCTGATCGCCGCCCGAGGCAATTCCAACGGTAATAATCCTCACAAATGGTCGATGAACAGTGGCGGCCACGCCTCCTGCGACGATATTACGGTAGGTTTTGTTTTAAAACATTTTAAGTAGCTCACGGTTCAAAAATATTTGTTTCAAGCTTCATTATCTTGAAAAAACGTATATTTTCAGGTTTTTGTCATCCCTTTGAAATACTGCGCCGCACCCCCGACTAATCTGGAAGAAGAAGAAGACGACGAAATGATAAGTCTTTCTTGATTGGAGTATTCGGGCTGGTTTTGCAAGGAAAATGCGCTCCACGGCAACAAGAAGGCTGTTATTTTGTCCGTGGAGCGCAATTTCTGGTAAATTGAAGCTTTATTCGTGTATTTTAATTTTTTTGGTTTTTTTTTCTTTTCACTTCGTGTCTCGGACCTCGGTAACGCAAACCGGACGTTTCTGAGTATTCCTAGTGATCCCTTTAGCGGGTTCAAGCCCCTTAAGCGGCTACTTAAAATGTCCAGCTTGCGTTACTGAAAACCCCAATTATTGCACGGATTTGCCTTGGAGCAAACTTGCTGAAAGATTTCTTGTGCAATTTTAATTTATTCTGTTTTGCCATTTGCATTTCAAGGATTAACCTTGGAGCGTACTTGTGAAAAAATCAAAGCTTTTGGTTTGTATTTAGGAAAATTTTATTGTTTCTTTTAATTTTTCTGTATTTATTTGTTTTTTTTTTTCTCATTCTCCGACATCGGTAAAGTGAACCGGACGTTTCTGGACACTTCAAGTGAACACTTAAGAGTTCTGAAGTCGCTAAAGGGACCCCTAGAAATGCGTCAGGTTTCCGTTACCGAGGTCCACGGATAAAAAATTATCCATGGAGCACACTTGTCGAAAAATTGAAGCTTTTCGTGGCTTTTGTGATTTTCCTTTTTCTCTTTCCTTTTCCGGTTCTTTCTGTTCACTTGTGGTTGTTGATCCTATTTTCAGATATGAAAAATATATTTCTCTTGAAATTGCTCCGATTCGGTTAGGTCTCTACGTTTCACTTGTGATTGTCATGCCATCTCCAAAAATGAATAGATAAAATTAACTTTTTTTGGAAAATAAATAAATGCAGTATATTTTTGAAGTGAAGGAGTAGGATCACATGAGAGCAGAACCCGAGAATCAAGTGTGCAGTTCAAGGAACAAAGATGGAAAAAAACCCAGATAACCAAATGGAATGGTACAGGAACCCCCAGAAAACCCATCGATAATGACTAGGTACTCATAAATCAGGAAATACAAAGAAAAATTCAACAAGAACAAGGAAATTCTGATTTCAATCAATTTGATTAATAAAGCTTATAGAAGGAGAAAAAGGACATCAAATGCCTGAAAATGGAGATAAAAAGGAGATTTTTTCGATTTTTAATCCGTTTCCAGCGGTTCTTTCTTCTGCCGCTCGTCCAACAAAGCTTTGTCAATGGTCTGAAATGAAAATAATTACTTTTCGTCATTTTTAGCTTCAAATACCTGCCAAGTCCATTGTTGTGCTTTGGACTGACTATCACATCTGACCATGTAGGCGAATCCTTGGCCGTTTGCTTCAGCGGCTAAGCATTGGCCAGAGATCTTGAAAATGAAGTCTTTTTTCAGAAATTTCTTTCTTTAGACATCTTAGAGCTCGTCAAAGTCATTGAGACTTTGAAAAAGTCACCATCCACCTACTGAAAGCTTTAATAGCAATTTGTTGGTGGTCCTTGGAAAAAAAATAGACTCGTTAAAACTCGGACATTGGTAACGCAAAACGGACGTGCTCCGGACGTTTCTGGGCGATTCTAGGGATCATTTAAGGGGGCTAAAACGGGCGTGCTCCGGACGTTTCTAGGGATCACTTAAGAGGGCAAAAACGGACGTGTTTAGGAAGTTTCATGGCGATTCTAGGGATCACTTAAGAGGTCTAAAACGGACGTTCTGGGCGATTCTAGGGATCACTTAAGAGGGCTAAAACGGACGTGCTGGGGACGTTTCTGGACGATTCTAGGGATCACTTAAGAGGGCTAAAACGGACGTTCTGGGCGGTTCTAGGGATCACTTTAGTACTTTAGTTTTAGCCCTCTTAAGTGATCATTAGCATCGCCCAGAAATGTCCGGAGCACGTCCAGTTATAGTTAATAATGTCCGAAAAGAAAAAAATCATTCTCAACTTGAAAAAAAATTAAGGTCATGAAAACTTTTCACAGACTTTCAACCGCGTTTTCTTTTCTTCTAAATCCTTCAGAAATTGGTCTTTTTTTAATCTTATATGACGACTTTTTCATTTCGCGTAGACCCTTTCAACACAAATTTAACTTGAAATCGTGTTATAATTTTTCTACAGATTTTCAAAACGGTTTTTTTTCTTAAAATCTCAAAGATTCCGATCCCAAAAACATCACCAACCGGATGATAAATTTGCTTCTGCTCGGGTCGATATTTGAAAAGTTGGTTTCCTTTCATCGAATGGCTATAATTCGATTAATTAATTAGGATAAGTCCTACGAATTTCGACTACCAATCAAAAAGGACAACGGGAGCCTTGTCAACACTCGTCGAGGCGTCGAAACAGACATTCCTTCCTTTTGGCCGAATGTCGTGCCATCTCGTCAGGCGGAGATCCTAAAAAGAACTTTCGAATTTTAACAGTTTTCACAAAATATCAATTTTCAAAAGTTGCAGTGACTAATTTAAATAGATCAAGTCGCATTATAAAACTTATTGGAAACGTATTTCAAACGGGAAATTCACAGGCAAAGTCCAAACGACCTCAAAAAGGCGTCAAAAATAAGAGCCCAAAGCTCCTTTTTAAGTTCCTAAAAAGGCGTCAAAAGTTTCTCCAAATCTCCTTTTTTCCGCCTTCTTTTTTACACTTCCTTAAAAGGTCCTTTTCAGAAAAGAAATTTAGAAAAAAAGGCGCTTTTTTCCAAAAGACCTTTTCGAGACCTTTTGGACTTTGCCCGTGTTATTTTTGGAAATTATTTTTTTATTCTCTTTCACAGAAAAATTCTTTCAGAATTGGAGCCTTGGAATTTGAATTTTACCGTTCTAAACCTTATTCCGACCATTTTTCGTCTCATTTTCAGCTTCTTGAAAATCTACAAACGTTGAAAAAAGACGTAACTCTTTGGAATGCAAGTTTTCAATTTTCAAAACGTTTTTCTATTTTTTTTTCTGCACAACTTCAGCTTTTAAAAAACCCAAATACCCAAAAAAAAGGACTTTTTTAAACATTTTCTTTCAATTTCACCTATTTTTGAAAAACCTGTTCCCTACCTGTTCACCACCGCCTTGCGGATCCTCACTGATGCATTTTCTCAAGCCAAATCGTTGATTCGATTGCTTGAACTGCGCATCGATACACATCCCAGAAGCGCCGTGCTTCACCTCACCTGGAAAAAATTATTTTCTTTCAAATTCCAAATTATTTTTTTATATATTCAAGTTCAGTCCAGAAACCCAATAGGAAAGTTTGAAAATAGAGATTTTATCGTTTATTTCCTCGTAGCATTATTTTCAGAGAAATTAAAACATCGATCTCCTTTTTTTCTGGGGCTCATTTTTCAAATTAATTTTTTTCGGGCATTATCAGTGGAGCAGTTTTAACAACAATGTAAATTTGAGCTGATTTTTCCATAGGTTTGCTAATATTACTGTAAATTTGCAAATCTTCAATTCATTCCCCTTCAGTGAAAAGCGGCAGTTTAGCAGTCGCAAAAAAACTCCAAAAATTCAAATTTACTTTTTCGCGGGCTTTGACCGTAGAGTAGGTTTTTCAAAGTTCAAAAATGGAGTTTAAAGATTTTTCTCATGGCTATGATATCCCTTTTTCCACGAAAAGATAATTTCAAGGCGTCGCGAAATGATAATTTCAAAAAAATGATTTGGACCTCGGTAAAGAAAACAGGACGTTTTTGAGCGATTCTAGGGATCACTTAAGGGTGCTGACGCTACTAAAGTGGTCACTATAAATGCTCCGACACGTCCAGAGCGCGTCCGGTCTGCGTTACCAGAATCCGAGGATGTTCATCTATTAACGAGCTTTATCAGTAAACATACATGAGATGACCATGACTGGCGACAGCCCCCCCCCCTTTTTTTTTATCTTTATTTTTCCCGATCACTTTTAATAGAGAAAAAAATCACTTCTGCCAATCAATTTAACTTTTAAAAAGAATAATTTTTCGATTTTTTTATTATAAGAGTCCAACGCGCACCCCGAACCCCCCCCTCGTTTTTTTGCCAAGTCTCCCATCTAACTATTTGTTATGGTCGTAAATTCTTTTGAATGCCTCTCCAATCACCTTGAGTAGACGGCGGCGGCTCGACGGCCGGATAGTACTTATCCTGATCAAAAGCTATCTCTTTCATGAACCAATCGAACGACTTGCACTGCAGCCGTTCTCTCACAGCCTTCTGACGGCTGATATCGCCTGGAAGATCTCCAGAAGTTATTTTCACGTCGATAAATCACCAGTGTCGGCGCCGCCGACACCTTGTCGATGAGCGTAGAGATGTTCCTTGTATTCGTCCATCCAGACCTGGGGAAAAACGGTGGAATTTCAGGAGATTTGAGGGGAAAAAACTTCGGCGACACGTTTGTAGTTTCGCGAGATGAAATCGCCCATTCCGGCGTTCTTGAAGGGCATGTACTTGCAGCGGTAGATGTGGGCGACGCGGGAGCACGGCGCGTCCACCATTCTTCCGTGACATTGCCAGACCTACCAAAGTATAAATTAACTAGTGCGGTCTTTATCCCCCCGTTGAACTTGAAAATCGGCTTAAGATGTGCAAACAGGGTACTTCCGGAACAGGGTACTTCCGGACCTTCAAAGTTGCTCCAAAAAAATGACAGCGAACTATTTTTTTAAAAAAATTTCACTTTTTTTCGTACTGATTTTTAAAAAGTTTCCTCATAAAAATGTAAAAAAAATTCCTTTACTGAAAAAAAGAAAATGAAATCTACAATTCTTCTATCATTGCTAAACCCACCAAAATATAAATTCTTGAGCAAACTTTTTCAGCCCCAGTAGAATCAACCCAAGAAGGAAAACTGTGAACAAATGAGAAAAAGAACAAAATTTTCAATTATTTGTCTCTATTTTTTTACTTTCAACTTTATTTTTAAAAACCAGAAAAACAACTATGAGCTACTTCTTTTCATACACAAATGCTCCCGTTGTAGGTCCTTTTTTCCACATTTCCAACCTTGAAACTCAGTTCGTACTGCTCCCCGCCCCAGATGTCAAGTCCTTCGTCGTAGCCTCCGAGTTCCCAGAACCATTTCGTCGAAATCGCAAAATATCCGCCGGCCATCACCGGCGACGGGAACGGCTTCGTCGGGTCTTGTTTGTCCTGGAAAAACGGTTTTTCAATGAACCTTCGGCCTAACTAGGAGTGCTCCTCAAAAGGTTCTTTAAAAAAATTTGCTTCCCAGAGTCCCGAAAAGATTTTTTTTTTGATTTTTGCATCTTTTTCACTTATTTTTTGAGAAAGATGTTGGAAATATGCTAAAAATGTCCCAGCTGATTCAAAAAGGTTCCTCGGTGGCTATTTAGAAAAATGAGAAGCTCAAAAGATTTTTTACCATTATTTTAGGAGCTTTTAGCGGAACCTTTTCAGCTCTTTCTCACAAGGTCATTTTTTTGAAGTTTAGGATTTATTGAAAATTGGCTAGAACACTTTTTGATAAACCAGAAGAAGATCCTGAAAGCCTTAAACTGCACAACTTCCTAGTTTTCGAGAAACAAGGACTCAAAGTCCCAAAATAGATTATTTTCGGGGTTTTGAGGGTTTTTTTTCGACTTTAAGGTGTCCTATCTCGAAAAATAGACAGTTTTGCAGGTTGAGACTCTTAGGACCTTTTTAGGTACATCGAGGAGGCGTTCTGACCAATTTTTAAGAAAATCCAAACCGCAAAGTGAAAGGAACTTCTTTGTAAATGACCGAAAAACATGAATTTCAAGAAAATATACTAATTTCGAAATTCGGAATATTAAAAACTCAGTTTAAAAAAAATTGGGAAAAAAAGGAAATTTTTAGAAAAAAAGTAGAAAAAAACAGAAAAAAATCAAGAAGTTTCAAGATCATTTCGGCTTCCTGGTTTTCTATTCTTAGTATAAAAATTTTTGAAAGATTATTTTTTTGAAAAGAAGAGGAAATTCAAAAAAAATCCACACTTTACAGTTGCTTAAAAAAACATTCAACTAGAAACCATAAGATTTATTAGAAATATTTGGATTATTGAAACCGTGAACTCATTTATTTTCAAATAATACACTTTTCGAAAAAATTCCCACCTTCTTTGTCAACGGCAAGCGTTTATAGTTAAAAGCCCAATCGAAAGAGCCTGAAAAATGGAAATTTTTGTAAAAATCTTTGCAAATCCTCAGAAAAACCTCGTGCTCCTTCATCCTGAGGCTTGATCTCATAGGTTTCGCAGTCGATAACGTCCACAAAAGGACAGACAACCGTTCTGAAGGATTTTTATTTCTTTCTTTGAAATTCAGAGACAAAAAACCGATAATCTTCAGCGATTGGGTCAATCAAAGGTGGGAGCCAGTTGTAATTGGCCTCCGAGTGAGCGTCAAGGAAGATGAGGACCTTGAAAAAGTTAAAAATAATATTTTATTATCATTTTTTTCTTCATTTTTTTAAAAAAATCTTCTTTACACTCGAACATTCCAATTAGATCTTATAATCGTTTTTCCTTTTTTTAATAATGGTTCCTCAAAATGATGGTTCCTCAAAAATCCTCAAAAAAATCCTGAAAAAAAGTTTCCAAATGGATGAAAAAAATTGAATCCAAAAAAATCAAATCCTATTAATAAAATTGAGATCTTTATAATAACGGTGATTTCAAAAAAATTCCAAGTTTTGGAAACATTTTTGCTACAATTTTATGTTCAAAATGATTCCGCGAAATTAAAAAAAGCCGTCAGAGACTGAAAAAGATAACTAAATTTTTGGAGGATGAGAGATAATTTTTGAATTTCGTGGAAATTACTTTAACTATCGTATATGGAAAAATTTTTCTATCGTCACTTTTTTAAGAGATCAATTTGTAGGAATTTATTCTTTATTCCTAATTTTACAACTTAATTATTGTAAAAACCTTTCTTTCCTTTCGTAAAAAAATAATAATTTTAAGATCGAAAAAAAGCTTCAAAAAAACCAGCTAGAAGTCAAAAAAAGCTCAAAATCATCTTCTTTTTTTCAGTTTTAGGGAAGCAAATCCAATGAATGAAAAACTGTCAACTTTAATTAATGAAGATTTCCCTCTTTTTTTCGAATCCCTAAGAAAAATTTGTGCTAGCGGTAAAAGATAAAATTTAAAAAAATTATGGTAGCTATTTGAGTAAGTTTCAGGAAGAATAAGTTGTTTCCAAACACCAAAAAAACTTGCAAAAAAATGAAGAAAAATGGATTTTCTAAACGGTTCCAGACAAAAATAAAAATGAAACAAACCTCCCCGACAGCATTTTCAGCCCCAAGTTGTCGTGCCCGGATCAAACCTTCTCGTTTTCTTAAAAAATTTCGTATGAATCCTGGATTTTTAACTGATTCCCACTTGGTTCTGACAACTTTGACGATATCGTCAATTTTGGCGCGGACCAGGAAATCTTCCAGAGGTTTGCCCAGAAAAGGCTTTTCGCTGAAATCGTCGACCAGAATGATTTCTTTCAGGAGTTCCTTGGGCGATCTGTTGATGATGGAGTACACCGAGCGGAGCAAGGTGGAATTGTGCTGAAAAAAGACAAAAATTGAGTTTTTCCAACAAGAATTTATGTGTTCAAAGTAGTTTCACGACGTTCAAAATAGCCGTCAGAGTGAAGAAGATAACTAAATTTTGGATTTTGCGAAAATTACGCTGAAAAAGGCCTTTTTAATGAAAATCTGTAACTTCCACTGATGTAGACGAAAGAGAGATTTTAGTGAGGAACAACAAAAATGATCAAAATCACCTCCTCATGAAACGGGAAAATGACGGAGACGGTGGGCAACTTGGCGGAATACTTGACGGTCCGACAGTCCCGATGTCGGAGATCTTTGATCGAACGATTCAAAGGAATCAGATCGGATACGTAGGCGTTGTAGCCGTTCGCTTTGTACAGGGCTAGCTGGAAAAATCGAAAAAATGCAAAGTGCTTACTAGGGGACGTTTTTTTATTTCTCGCAATATATCTTTTATCGAGTTTAAACGCTTCAAAGACCGCAAAATACGCAAAATATGACAAAAAAGCGCTAATTCAAGCTTTTGAAAAGTTTTAACTCAAAAACGAGATTTATTGCGAAAATTTTTTTCCTTGTTCTGGCATCAGGAGGCCCTAAAGTACACTTTCCAACAATTTTTTTCAATAAAAAAGTGGAAAAAAACTTTTCGGGACTCTAAGGAGCTAATTTTTTTCTTTAAAGAACCTTTTTGAGGAGCATTTTATTTTTTGCTACAGAAGATGATTTCAAGAAAAAAATGCCACGTTAGAAAAAAATTTTCGGAAAAAAACTTTGAAAAGCCTTTTTTTCACCGCCTAGAACGTTCCAATAGTAGTTTATGGTTAAAAAAATAAATTAATTAATAGTGGGAAAAAAATCAAAATTGTTCTCCGTTCTTTCCAGATAATTTATAAAAAAATGTGAGCAAGATAAAAAAAGTTAAAAAAACATTTTTTTGGGAGCCTCAGAAGCTGTTTTTTTCAAAAGAACCTTTCAAGGAGCTTTTTACTGTTTTTTTCCCAAGTCTCAAAAAAATTTTTGAAAAATTCATATTTTTTTATTGAAGAATAAAACAAACCGCTTCTCTCTGCAGATCTGTATCGTTAGCCGGTAAGATTACTGGTTTTCCTTGTTCCCCAGCTCCTTGCCGATTCTGTTCCTCCGAGTACTTTTCCTTGTCTTCCCAGTCCTTAAAGAAAAAAACTGGAAAAAAATGAAAGAGTACAAGAAAAATTTTTATTTTAGACAATTTCTGAGGTTTGAAGAATGTAAAAATACGAAATTTTCAAAGCGTATACTAGTAAATGTTCCAAAATTACACAAAATCAATGAATTTACGTTGAAATTCATCTCTGTACCGTGTTGAAATGCTTGAAATTTTCTTTCTTTGCAATTTTTTCGAGTATCTGGAGTTTGTGAACTTTAAAAAACTACGAATTTTTCAAAGCGTATAGCTCTAAATGTTCCAAAACTACACAAAATCGGTGAATTTGCTTCAAAATTCAACCGTCTTCTACAGTTTCCGACCTTTCAAATGCTTCGAATTTGCCTAATTTACGATCTTTCAAGTATCTGGAGTTTAAAAAATCTTTAAGTGGGTAAAATTTGACTTTTTTCCAAACTAGTTTATAGTCTGACCTTGAACATAATTTTGAGGTTCTGACTGAAAATGGGACATAATAGAACCTTTTTTCAGGAGAAAAGGGAAATGTTTAACCGACAGTTTTTGAAAATATCCTCTTTAGGAAGAATTCGAGCATTTTTGCTTTTTAAAACGATAAAAATTCGAAAATTGTAAAAATGACAGTTTTTGGAAAAAATCAGCCTAGCGCAATTGTCGAAGCAGCGGAATAGAAATCACTTTTTTGTAATATATTGAAGTAACGAAACAGCAAAGTCTGTTAATTATTCGCTTTTACTTCAAAAAAATAATAGAAAAAAGACACAAAAAACTGACAATTTTCGGCTGTCCTCGGTACTTCTCGAAAACGTCCTCCATGGCCTGTGGCGGCGGCTTTTTTCTCGACTTTTCCAGGTTCATGAGCTTCCTGTTTCAGTGGCTCTGCTGGAAAAAAAGTTAAGAATCTTCAAAAATTTTTAGATTCAAGCTGTTGAAAAATCATAGGAATCCCAGAAAAAAAGATTTTTTTACTACCAAAGTTTTTGATCATAATTAGCAGAATCAAAAAAATTAAAATTTCAGAAAAAAATTTCAAACAAACTAAAAAAATATCGAAATCCGAAAGCGAAAAACCTCTTTCTCTAGGTCCTAAACAAGGGCCAAAAGCTTTTTTAAAAATCGTTTTACTACGATTTCAATGATTTTTATTACCAAAAACTATTAATTTTTCAATCTACCTAAAACCGATTTTTTTTTTTCTCAGTTCTTATTTTCTTCCCCCCGGAACCACACAACACAGCCCCCAATTTTCCTCATTCCAACAAAAATTATATAATTTTATGATTTCCTTCAAAAAAAAAAATAGAGTATCATTCAACTCCAACCTGGTTTCCGCCATCGTTCGGCCAAATCAGAATCGATATTCGAATAAGTGCTCCGACTATCTTTCCCAACGATACAATAAATTAAATATAGTGCGAAAAGAAGGCCGAGGTACTGGGCCAGCCAAACGTACCGCCGACTGATGTACCGGCTTAAGCCCATGTCACTACAAAAAGAAAAATATCAAGAAATAAGAGGAAAGGCGACTTCTTAGGAGCTATTAATGAAAAAAAGATACGATGACACCTTGAACCGTGCACTGAACACGTTCGACAGGAGAGGGGCCAAGGTAAACAGAGAAAAAATTGCCACGCATGGAGAATTCTCCACAACCACGTATTACGTTGGCAACCAAGGGAGAGACACGAAAAAATTCTAGTCAGAGCTTTGAATTTGCGGACGTTTTCGAGATTTTAAACGAGTTCCAAGGTTGAGAATCAATCTCTACTGAATTGAACAAATGCGCGTTCGGGCATCGAGAGAAAAACGAAGGCGCGCTTCGAGGTCGACTAAACGTAAAAAAGCACCTACTGCACTAGGGACCATAATTACCACGAAAAAATTGGGTCAATTCCCATAAGTTGAAGGTTGTACCAGAGGATATTTTAACCTTGCTTTCGTTCAAAAAGTATATAATTTATCGACAAATGTTTATTACGATTATAATTATCGCAATGCAACAATAACAATAACAAATTAGTTCTTGTATCCTCGCGACGCTCTGCGACCACGGGCGCGCTCGAACTTGCGTCCCTTTGATCGAACGTATGGCTTGGTGTGGCTGTGAGGTACACCAGGAGCAGGTCCGAAATGACGCTCAGCTTCACGAGCCTTGCGTGGTCCCTAAAAACGAGACATTGTGAAAAAGAAACGAAAAAAAGAAAAAAAATAATAATTTCGCTCTATGAACGAATAGAAAATGTTTCCGATTTTCTCAGAGCTCATCAATTATTCATTCAGACTATTTATCAAGGGACCTAAAAGAAATATATAAAAAAAGACTTTCCCTATCAAAAGTTTTACATGAAGAGGTTCAATAATAAAAAAATTTCTTTCACGTAGTGTATGCGAATTCAAAATGGCTGTCAAAGAGTGAAAAAGGTAATTAAATCTTGAAGAATCAGCGATAATCTTCCATTTCGCGGAAATAACTTTGAACACGGCATCAAATCATCAAAATGGGCACGAAAAAACCAGCAAGGACTACTGATAAAAAGATACTAAATTGCTACGAATGAATTTTCAGTTTTACGGCAAAAAAAAAATAAGACAACAGTTAGAAACACTTCCAAAAAAAAAAATCGAGATCGAAGTAACGGAAAAAAAATTTAGACATTCCTTTATTCGATATATATTCTTTTTTTTATTTATGCATGATCTAACCAGTGTGAATTTTCGTTTAAGCTTCAGTAATGGCGTGTTCAACGGACAAACAAAAATTGTTACGAAACGCAAAAATTGCTCCAAAACAAACAGTAGCACTGTTTTGGGGCAACTTTGTGGATCGATGAATACGCTTTCAAGTTTTGAAACATATTCCGTTTCTCCAATGAACACGCCGCCATAAATTCCGAGTGGATTAGACGAGAATCAAAGAGCACGAATTATTATTCAAAATATGAATAGACGAAAAATAAAGTCTAGAACTTATTTTTTTTATTCAGTCATTCAAATTTTTATTCTAAAAAAAATCATCAAAAAAAGATGTTCTTCACATTCAGTTCATACCGATAAAAAGAAGAGATGACTAATTCAAAAATTTCTGACCTGGATGAGAAGCGTGTTCTCTCCCTTCGGGGCTCGGAGAGCGAGTTGGTCCAAAGTGATGACTTCTCCTCCGGCCTTAAGAATACGAGCGCGAGCACCCTCGGTGACGTGAAGAGCAGCAACCTGAAAGCGAGCAAATAAATTTAACATAAAAATCATGAATACTAGGAAAGGTGAATAAAAGCTGATTGTATCAAAAGAAAAAGAAGGTTTAGCCTAGTTCAGAATGAATTTGAGACACCGTGTATCGAAACTAAATCATTTCCGAGCGATTTGGTTACAATCCAAGATAAAATTGTTGAAAGATCAACAAATAACTCACGGTGAACTTCGGGACAGTGTAGAGACGAGCATCATCCGTGACGGTGGAGAGGGTAACAACAAGCTTGTTGGCGTTGCCTTCCTTGGACAAGTTGCGAGCGATTCTGGCGATGGAAATCGGCTGACGGAAACGCTTGGACATGTTCAACCGCTTGAGAACAATGCTGTTGAACTTCTCACCGGTGCGACGGGCAAGGAAAGTGTACAGCTGCGAGGAAAAATAAGTAAAAAGTAATAAGAATAGAACTAACCTTAGACAAAATACGAAGGTACGGATCTTCACTGCGTGGGGCCGTGCGGCGGGCCTTGCGATCATGCTTGTGGTTGATATCAATACCCTGAAATGAAATATTGAAAACAAAAAAAAGCAAATAATGAAGGAAAAAAAAAATTGAAAAGAGAACTCACCATTTTGACCTTTTAGTCGGATATACCCTGTAAATTCATCATTAGTGAGGCACGAGTGTCGAAAAGCGAAATAAGAAATTTAGAAGTAGGAACATAAATTAGACATTCAAAAGCAGAGCAAAAAGAAAACTCATGAAAAGATTTTTGCAATTAAAAATAGACCAAAACATAATTTCGTTGAACAAATTTCAAAAAATGCATAAAAATAAGAACAATCTAATATTGAGAAAGTTTTACAACATTAAAAATGCTTCAAATTTCGGAAAAATCGAAATCATCTTAAAAAAGCTGTAAAAATGCTGAAAATCAAGTGAAACTAAAAGAAAAATGTCAAAAAAGTCCTATGAATCAATTTTTCACAATTTTCAACAAGAATCAAACGCTAACTTGGTGTAAAAATTCACCGTATTAAGTTAATCATGAGAAACACTTTTAATTAATCGAAAATTTGAAAAATAATACAGAAATAGAAATTAAAAAGAAAAGAAAAAAATAAAAAAATTTTTAGGCGAAGCCACGAAAGGACCTCGTTATTAAAGGCGCATAAGAAATCGCTGCGAGACACAACGTTGTTCCGTTGAAAAAAAGGTGTTTTCGCATCTTTTTTGTGGATCTTTTTCGCAGATTCGGTTTTATTCAGCTTTTGTTTTATGTTGAATAGGTTCAAATGGAGAATCGAATTTAAAAAAAACCTTTTCTCTTGGAGACTTTCTTAAAAAGGAAGCAAAAAGGTTTACAAGAAAAAGCAGAGTTCCTAAATTTTGTTCGATATATATAGCTAATCTACTTTTATATCGGATTCAGATTAAAAGTAAGAAAAAAAAAGGAAAAAAAAAGGAAAAAAAGCAAAATTATTTTAAGAAAGCATCATTTCGGTATAAAAATAAAAGTCGTGGTTTTCATGTAGCTTTTTTTCGACTTGAGACGACTGAGAACTCGGCACGCATTTTTGAGACAGTACTACGACGGCCGGTGACCGGTCAATGTTGCGCAGTCAGTTTCGGAGCCAGGAAATTTTTTTTATTTTCTTTCTTTTGTGCAATTCGTCAAGGACCTATTTCTCGAGGTTAAAAGGTAAGTTACGTCACAAAAATTACACAAGATTTCATTTTCTTATTGAAAAACTTATCCAAACTACCGTAATACGATTTCATTTTATTATTGAAAAACCTATCCAAACTACCGTAATACGAGCCACCTTAAACAGGCGTGTCGGGCAAAACTGTAAACTCCTCAAAAGCTTCTCTCAAAAAAAGATCTTGTAAGGGTCCCAGCAGATCTTTTGTATCTCATTTTATTTCAAATCCTTTAACAAAAAGGATGCTGGGAAGCAACTAAAAAGAATCGAGCGGATTCGAATAGGATGCGCTCATGATATGAAAAAGTAGCTCAAAACTTTTTTACACCATTTCAGGAGCTTTTAGAGGAACCTTTTTAGCTCCCTCTCAACTCGCTCAATAGAACTTTTCAGTTTCACCTATGAGAAGTATTTTGTGATGAATCATTAGATATTTTAAACGGAGTTGAAATTTGCAACAGTCCCCCAATTAACACATGTTTCCGACCTCTTTAAATTTCACGCGTATCGTGGCTGATGAAAAACGAAAGCCCATGCGTCGGTCGGAGCTTTGTTTCAGAAGGTCTGACCCATTGAGAGTGCGTTTTGTTGCGATAAAACACATTCACTGGTGGCTGACCCAATTTGCACTCAAAAAATCTCGCTAAAAATCCTTTCACGGGTTTATCTCGATTTTTATCAGCAGCTGTCGCTGTACTCTGCTTCCGTGCAAGACGTTGGGGAACCGGTTGAACGTGTCACGATTGAAATAATTTAGCAATTAGAGATACTGCTGCCATATGTTTGAAGAGAAGTGAATCTGTGATTCCATTAGTTTTCGAAAAATAGTAATGTCTCTCCAAAGTTTTATGAAGTAGAAGAAAAAACTTTATTAGAAATTTTGATGAATTTAACAAAAACAGTGAAACTAGTACGTCTCACTGAATTTTGACAAAACGACTTTTTTTCGAATTTTCAAAAATTTCAAGTCTGAGCATAGAGTGAAGTTAACATCCTATTAACGCGAATCAAGAGAAGAGGAGCGGGACAAAATTTCAAACAAATTTACCAGAAAGTGTGAATAGTCTGAAAGATAAAACGAAGCTCAACATATAAATTGAATTTTTTCATAATATTCTATTGATAACCGGAAATAGTGCTACATCGTTGCAATTTAAAAAATTAATTTCAATAGTAGTCCCCCGGAGTCGTTCTTGATGTCGTCAAAAAGCACACCAGCACCTGCAAAACGGGTCTTTCAGCATATTTTTGTCGAAGAAGAGACATCGTCTCGATCTGAACGAACAGGAAGAATGAACGGGGAAGAAAAGAAACAGAAAAAAGAAAGAAGCTTCGCGGGGAATGGCCAAAAAATGACATAGATACGGTAGGTCCGATACGACTTCGGCACGTGAGGAAAATAGGTGTTGAGAAAGAATCGATGTGAAAAATCATAGAATTATTTTTTTATTATCTCAGAATAGATCGTGATGAGTGGGATTTTTGAATAAAAGTTCGGTTTTTGAAGTTTTTCTTGATTTTTTTACAGTTTACCGAGTTTTTCAAAAAAAAATATGAACGTCTTTTTATTTCTGTTAGATAAATTCCAAAAAAGTTCTTTCTGAGATTTTTGAAAGAACCAGGGATAAAAAAAATTTTTGAAAATGTGGAGGCAAAGAGTTTCTCTGTGTATATTCTGGGCCTTGCAAGATCTCCGCGCTTTAAAAAGTCTTGAGAGGATTTTTTTAAAAGTATTTCGCGACTAAACTTTGATGAAAGCACGGAAAATCCAGAAAATTAGAGAGCAAGCTTAATTTTTTCGTTGAATTGATGAACAGATAAAGTTTTTTCAACTTCAAAAATGAGAGTGAAAAATCGGCGCTTCTGAAAATTATTAACGTTTTTCAAACAGAAACTTTCAGTCGATATCATAAATAAGAACAAAGAATGGGAATTTTGATTGGTACCAGAAAATAAGAGTTGCAAATTAAAGCGAAGGAAGAAAAATTTTGAAAAAAATTGAAAAATCTAATGCTAAAAAGTACAAAAAAGGTAGAAAAATCAAAGCATAAATATGAGAAAATGATAATTTTGTACCAAAAGCTGCACTTTCTTGAATGAAAAGCATGAAAGAGCGAATTAAAAAAACCGAGGTTCGTCAAAATATAACAAAAAAAAGCCAGAAAATTAACGAACAGTACAGGAATATCAGTAATAAGAATAGAAAGAAGACTTCAGAAGACGTCGTCTTGGATGGAAATGAAGAAGAAGCGGAGCGGAGGCCATATATGTAGACGGGCCGGACTCGATCCTTTTAAGTTTCGATGTGAAAAGGGGCGCCTCGGCCGTTGTACGAGGTGTACTCTATACACGAGAACTCGATATTCGCCCATTCCAATTTTTCAACACTTCTTCTCTGTTTTCTTGTCTTATCAGTTGTTTAGTCACTTCATAGAGAGAGAGCTCGTCGGAAAATTTCCAGGTTACTGTAGATTAATGGGGCGCGTTTGTGAATGAACTTTTTTAGAAATTTCATATTTTTCGGTTCTTGAAAAATAATTTTTGAATTTTTGAAAGAATGGGTAATTTAATTAAGAGCGATTACAGGATAGAAAAACAAAAAAAGTAAAAAAATTTTTGAACATTTTTTTAAATTGAGAAAGAAAGATCAAACTCGTATTTTTCCTTTGTAGAGAGTTATTTTGACTTCAAAATTCAGAATTCTCGGGTCCAAAGTACTCTGATGAACTTCCTGAATGTTTCATCTGACACAGTTTTTCTGATTTTTCAGAATTTTTCAGTATAAAAAGATGCCAAAGTGAAGTTTCAGCATATAAAAGTCAAGAAAAGATTTCTTAACGTTTTTTTATGTTGAAAAAACTTTAAAGACAGTAGAAAAATTTGAAATTTTTGAAGAAAAGAAAAAAAAAAGCGAAAATTCGAAAAATGGCGAAACGTGTTGTCCGTGGAGCAACTTTGCTGCGAAGCGCGCTTTCGACGGGAATCAATTTTTTTTTTCTCATTTACTTCTATTCAAGAATAGGAACTTTTGTACAGTTTTAAGTATACCTCCGATCGAAAAGCAAGAAAGAACTCTTCAAATTTAAACTTTCATCTTAAACCCCACTTTTTACTGCCCATATGCCTTTGAAGTATTTCAGTGAAATTCATACTTTCTCAAAATTCCCCAGCCAAAAAGTGAAATGACCTCCTTTGTCAGGTCAACTGGCAAGAGTAGATCAAAAAAGCCATTCCGCCTTGAACGACTTGCCCAGGTCAGCTGATGACAATCAACTTGCCCCATTGTCAACTTTCCCTGAAGACAATGCCGGTCATCAGGCGTTTGACCGTGCGTGGCGGCACAGGTGAGAGGCGGCGAAGGGCGTGTCCGAAGCCGTGATGCGACTGGCGGCTGCCCCTCCGCATCCAGGACTTGGTCTTCTTCCATCGAGAAATGAACGCTGGAGGCGGAGGCGAGGCCGAAACCCCCGTCGCCGTCCATCAGCTCCACTACGGAACTGCTGCCGGCAGTGCCTCCGTCCTGCACCATCACCACCACCATCATCACGTCCATCCTCATGCTCACTATCACCATGAACTCATGCATTTCGCTCCCACCATCGCTTTCCCGCACCTCGACCAGCTCACCAATAGCTGGTGCGGCAATCCATTCACTGCCACGACTGCCACGGCGGCTAGTTATCCGGAGATGCAGCCTGTTGAGCAACAGACTTATGAGGCTGAGGTGAGAATTTTTGACCTGAAATCAATTTTGATACTTTCAATGGTCTTGGTGCGAAAATTTTTTTTCCTTTTTTTCTCGTTTTTTCAAAAACTATATAGAAGTTCATATTATTAAGTGTTTTTTTAAATCTTTTTCCAGTTATTATAAAGGTTCCCTGAGTTTTTGAAAAAGAAAGAAACACTTTCCTGCGACTCATTAAAAAAATACATAAGTACCATTTAAAAAGTTTTTTTCTTATCATTTTTTTCTCTAATATTAATTTTTTTATAAAAAAACAAAAGTTCTTGCTTTCCCTATTCAAAAAAACCCCAACAAAATTTACGTTCTTTCAAATTTATTATGCGCGTATTTCTGTAAGATTGCGTCGTTCCGCAACTTTGTTGTGTTTTTAACCTGGAGAATTTTTTCAATTTAAAATTTCCTTTTTTTATTTTTCTGCAACGATATGAGTTGAGGTTTGTTTCCTTCTAATATGTTTATTTATTTTGTTGGTGGAAAGCTTGAAAAGATACGTGAAGTTAAACTTTAAAAAGTTCAGATTGTTTCGAAAGAAAAAAGGCTCGTAAAAAATGTCTGACATTTTTGAAAATTCAGGCTTTTTGTTAATGTTGATTTTAAACTAATTTCCGGCTTTCCAAATCTAAGATTTTGATAGTTTATAAATAATTTTATTGATTTTTCAGTGTTGGATCTCTTTCTAGGAAGCAACAGACTGGATCGATTTTTTTTTCAGGTAGCCTTGCTGAACTACCAGCAATTAACAGCTGCTCCCAAGTATGATGCGATGAAATACGAGTATGCCAAACAGTACGATGAGCCTTCCCAATCGATTATTTACCCAAAGGTGAGGATTTATCTGAAATTTTTTTATAGGGCGGTTTCTTTTTGAATATTTTTAATGTCTGGTTTTTCGAGTCCTTGATTGACTTAAAAAAATTTTTTTGATATTTATAACTTTTTTTGTCGGATTTATCTTATTCTCTATTTGCACTTTCTGTCAGATTTTTTGTAGATTTTTGGTTTTTTTGTCGAAAAACCTAATAAGCTTTTTGAGAGCTCTACTTAGCTCCTTAAAAAGTGAAAAAAACTAATTTTTCTTATGAATTAATTTCAAAAAGTCGAGATATTTTTTTCATTTTGAATCCCACCTGACTGTTTCTTGTTTTTCAAGAAAAAGATCAATAAATGTGCCAGTTTTTTTGTAGATTTTTCCAAAAAGCGATTTTAGATTCTTACTATTTTTTTGACAATAGAACTATGTGAAGTCTGAAATTTTCAGGATATTCAGATTTTCCAACAAAAAGAGGGGGAAAAAAAAGAGTTTTTGAGCCAAATCACAGGAAAATCTGAAGTTTCAAGAAAAAGAGAAAAACCACATTCTTTATCTTCCGCAGTCCTTTTTCGATTTCTTTCTGCACCCCAAAAGAAAAATGATCTTTCCATCTACACGGTACCTTCCATCGCAGTCCGAATAATCAAATCTTCACCAAAAACACCTCAAAAAGCGGATCGATACGGAAAAAACAGGCGCCGGTCACGACCGAACCTTACAGCAGCTGCCAAAAAAACCGCCCATTCGATCATGTGTCTTTTCTGCTTGCAATCAAAAACAAAACAAGGCGCTACTATTCTTGGGAAAAAAAAAACGAACTAGCCACTTACACTTTTCCGCCAATCGGTTACTTACCTGTTGCTTTGGTTTGCCTTTTTGGTTCCTGTAATTGGGCTAGGTTCCTTGGGAATGGGTCTTTCCGAATTCAGAATTGATCCGGATTAGGATATCACATAGGAAGCTTAAAATCTTCTTGCTATCCTAAGGGTTTTGGTAGTTTTACGAGATTTTTTAAAGGTTTGTAGTTCAGATAATGTACCCCCAGACTTACTAGATTTTCAGAAAAATAAAAAAAACGGCTTTTTAAAGTCCTTTTTGAGGCGTTTTTGACCCTAGGATTTTCAGAAAAGCTTATTGATTAGATATTGAGATGAAGTCACTAAGCTGTACAACTGAACGCACAGAAAATTCAAGTTTTTTTGTTCGAAATCGAAACATCAAATTCGTATCAGATTTTCTGATTTTTCTAATCAAGAAAGTTTTCATTAGAATCGTTTAGTTTTCAAAAAACTGACAAGTATAATCAAAGTTCCTCACATTATTGATCCATCACCGAGTTTATAACTTTGGAAAATATTAGCAATAGGTCCATTAAATGATCTCATTAAACCGATTTGCCATAAGAAATAATTTCATCTTTGAAAACCAATCCAGGCTTTTGTCTCATTTCCACTTACAAACAATTCTTCAAATCACGAAAGTAATTTTGGCTTGCCGATAGGAGTAGAAGTTGAACGGTTACAACAGTTTCCAATTTTTCCGTTTCACGTCACTCCAAAAATAGAACCTAGGCAATTTGATAAAGAAAATTCGTAAATTAAAATAACCAAGTGAAGTTTAAAAGATTGTCAATAAAATACAAAGGCAAGCTCTTTTTTATCTCCGAAAGTTTCTGTAAAATTCAAGTTTTCTTAAATACCACTTGAATTACCATTGGAATTGAATAGTGGGGTCTGAGCAGTTTTTCAAAAATTCCAATGGAGGCCCGCGAAAGTAGTTTTAGGGTCGGGAGCATGTTTGACAAAATAATGAGTTATCAAGCCCCTTCTTCAAAAATGGACTCGTGAATCCAAGTTTTCTCCTCAGGGATATTCCGTGAAAATGGTAGCTCCGGTAGTCGATTTAAAATAAAAACAATGTTATTTGAGTAGAGCCGGCTTGAAGTATCCAATAGAGGCACGCGGAAGTAGTTTTGAGGTCTGGCGCATGTTTAAAGTAGTCTTACAGTGTTCTATTCTACTACAGATTGACTCAAGACTCGAAATTCCCCTCAAGACCCGAAATTTCCTTCTCACGAGCCATCGGTGATAACGGTAGCGCCGACAGTCTGAGTAGTGCTTTAGGACCTTCAATATAAGCTCGCGAAAATCTTTTTGTGGTCGGGCGCATGTTTAAAGTAGTCTTACTGTCTTCCATTGTATCAAAATTGACTCGTGACTCGAAATTCCACTCAAGACCCGAAATTTCTCTCTCAGGAGCCATCGGTGATAACGGTAGTACCGACAGTCGGAGTAGTGCTTTAGGACCTTCAATATAAGCTCGCGAAAATCGTTTCATGGTCGGGCGCATGTTTAAAGTAATCTTACGGTCTTCTATTCTACTACAGATTGACTCAAGACTTGAAATTCCACTCAAAACTCGAAATTCCACTCAAGACCCGAAATTCCCTTCTCAGGAGCCATCGGTGATAACGGTAGCGCCGAAGGCCTCCTCGCCGTGCTCCGAACAGCAAGAGCCGTCGAAACCGACGACGCCCACGCCTCCTCTCTACGACGACAAGCAGATGGTGACGTCGACGTCGGGCGAAGATCTGCCAATAATGCCGCCGGCGAAGCGAGGTCGACCCACGGAGAATCCTTGCTGGAACTACTTCAACCGAATCGATGATCAGCTGGTCCGCTGCCGGCTTTGCGGCAAGGTGAGACGATTTGTGATCTTTTTGGGCGGTGTAGACAGTAAGTTGGAAGCGTTGATCTTTTTTTGGGTTGGTTGGGAGGGTAGGCAGATTATTATTTTTTGTTAAAGTTGGTCAAGTCCAAAAGAAGTTTAGGAGCTTTTAAGGAAGTTTAGAAGCTTTTAAAGAAGTTTAAGAAGCTTTTAAGGAAGTTTAGGAGCTTTTAAGGAAGTTCAGAAGTTTTTAAGGAAGTTTAGGAGCTTTTAAGGAAGTTTAGGAGCTTTTAAGGAAGTTTAGAAGCTTTTAAGGAAGTTTAGGAGCTTTTAAGATACTATTAGGCGATAAAAATGACCTGATAAGGTCTCCTGAGGTCTTACCATCACTCCAAATGAAAGTGGACACTCTGAAAAGCTGAGAAAAGTTGATTTTACCCAAATCTGAGCTTTTTGACCTGAGTTATAATTTTTTTTTCGATTTGGGATTGGGTTTGATCGCTTCAAGGGCTTTGAATACTGCTGGAAAGCTAAAAAACTATATTTTTTACGGATTTGTTCAGTAGGGAGGCATTGAATTTTTCTCAGAAGTTTGGATCCGATTTTATAGAAAATTTGGTTGATATGAAAGGTTAGAAGTGATGAATAAGGATGAAAATTAGGACCATCTACGAAATTTGGAAAAAAAAACCAAAAAAAAAGGTCAAAAGTATAGGTTCTCCGATTATTTTGTCTTTAGGGCACACTTTCAGGTAGTATAATCATTTTTTAAGGCTGAATTTAGTTTGAACTTCTTTTCTTTAAGGTCAATTCTCCAATAAAACTTTCATAAAAATTCTCCAGGATCCCAAAAAACGCCATTTTCCCCTTCAAAAATTCCCCCGTCTCCGTTCCACGACTCTTAATGAAGAATAAAACGCAAACCTATACGTATATAGATAAAAAAACGCTAGGCTTACTGTAGCTTTCCACCTGAAACCTGTTCCTTCAAGGGGAAAGAGAAGCTTGCGACATTCGTTCGCCGAAAAAAAAAGACGCCCCAAACAAAGGTGGGCCGTTATACGGAAGTGGCCCTTTCTATTGTCTGGCCGTCGTTCAAATTTGATTTTTCACTTCTGGAGAAAAGTTGACGCCATTTTTATGGCTGGGAAAATAGAAGTTTGGCGGTTGATTAGCTGATGTTTGCTTGGAAATTCTTGGAGAGGTGATAGGAAAAGAAGAAGAGTGTTTGTGGAGAATTTTTGAGAAGGAAAAATGGACGAAGGTTAGACTTTTTTGCGGTTTAGCTTGGGACAAAAGACGGGATTTTTTTTTTCAAGGTTTTTGGATTATTGAAATAAGACGGTGTTGAATGAACTAGATCAACTTTGGTTGAAAAATGAAGAAATTCAAAACAAAAAAAGAAACTGTAACTTCATTTAAATAATAAAAAAACACCTAATATGTTGCTTTAAATCACAACAAAAAAATATTATGAACTTTCCCAGATATTTCTTACTTCTTACGGTTAGTGAATTCCATAATCTACAACTTTTTCAAGTCCTCAAACTACAAATAAACACATTTCCGAGATAATTTAGCTACAAACTACGCATAAAATTGAATGTCTCAAACACAAAAAAGATGATTTTCCGAAAATTGCGAGTTTCCAGACGTTTCCTATTGACAAAGTTCAATGTTGAGCAATCTAAACTTCAAAAAAATATTTATAGCTTCAGTAATTATGGTCTGTTTCAACTTTTTTTCTGAAAGGTTATAGTAAAATCATAGTTTCCTTTAAAAAGAATCAGGTGACTTCAGAAAAGAGATTTTTTTTTCTGAAATTTTGGTTTAACTTTTTTGCCAGCTTCCTAATTAATACAGGTGGTTTTCTTATTTTTCGGAATAAATGAAGTGAATAGAAGACCCTCAAATTTCAATAATTTATGACTAGAATAAATGAATAAAATTCGTTAGGTTTTTTTGTAATTTTTTTCTCAGAAAATAACAACTTTTTTAGAATTACTCTGAATTTTTTTCCTTTAAAGTTGCTTCGAAAATTTTCAAATTTCGTTAACTTAAAGCTCAAAATATTCGAAACACAAAATTGACGCGTTAGAACTAAAAGCAGCGGTTGATTTTTCGTCGCTATTCCTGTCCTTGGCCCCCTAACCCGTATTGTTTCAAATACCAACGCTCCTTCTTCTTTTTTCTCGCTCCCTTAATGAACTTTCTCTCCGGGTCGAGCGCCAAATTTCCGAGATTTTTTCCCGCTAAAGATAAGAACTTGAATCGTACTTTGAAGAAGTGGGGACGGAAAAAGAAGAGAAGAATGTTTAGGGAGAAAGACAAGAATGTTATAGTCATTTTTCTCGACTTGAAAAACGAGATGGGTAGATCGGGAAAGGTGACGCGTTGCGTGTGCGACGCGGCTTTTGGTGGAGAACTTGAAGTAAAACGATAATCATCATTTTTTTCTCCTTTTTTTCGACAGTTTTTTTCAATAACTTAATTATTTTGGGCTTTGAAGAGAAGACAAACGCAATCCTTGCAAAAAAATTGAAAAAAACTAGTTTTTTTAAATTTTTGAACGTTCATTCGTTCAAATCAGTCTTTTCAAAAATTTTTAAAAAAAATCAAATATTACCGTGAAAAAAGAAGAAAAAAACTTGAAAAGTGGCTACTCGGGTTTGAATTCAAGCTTCCCGCCGAAAAGCCGCGTCACCCTACCCATTTTGCCTACCGAATGGATTGACTAAATCTGCGGAAATTTAAAAAGACAGAATTTGCAATTGCAGGTCGTCAAGTCGGCTTGCGCCACAAATATGACCAAACACTTGGAAAGACATCACCAGACGGATTATCACAAGCTTTTGATCCAAGTTCGGGCTTATCGACAAATCGAGAATATTCGGTTGGTTTTCGAACCAAAATTTCCACGAATTTGAGATTTTTAGGACTTTTTCTCTTTATGCTATGCCGTGTTCAAAGTGATTCCGCGAAACCCAAAAAAGTCGTTAGAGAAAGAAAAAGATAATCGAATTTTGGAGGGTCAGAGATAATTTTGCATTTCGCGGAATTTACTTTGAACACGGCATTAGTCTCTCATCTGGAGAGTCTATTTGAAAATTATTTCCTTCAAAAATCGGTTGAATCAGAGAAAAAGAACCGAAGTTCATATCGGGTCTAAAGATTCAATTTCAGGCCACCTATTCACCAAACTCTTTCTTTTTCGAATAGGTCAACTATCATTATGAGTCACAGTTGTTTGTAGTTTCACTTCCTCGTTGACTTGCTGAATAAAGTAGACAAGTAGATAAATTCTGTTCGCTGAAAAAAAGGTAGTTTGGTCGGTACCCTGGTTTGCTTAACAGATCATTTATTTTTTCGAAAAAATTGCTACTAGGGCTACGTTCACTAAAGACAAACTCCTTGAAAACCGTTTAAAAAACTTTTTGATCATAAATGGGACACTACAGAACTGAATAGGTCCAGGAGGAGGGGTTGACTTACAAAAAAATTTGATAGTGGGGGGCGTAAACCGGGGTGAGATCCAGCCGACGTATGTTTCAAGCCCCACGTAATTTTTTTTTCTTTAGAGGTATTACTGTCTTTCACTAATCGTGAGAAGGACTCGTCGGCCTTTGAAAGTAGTCTACCCATGCATACTTCTGATATTCTCAGAGGATCCCCGAAGCCGTCGTGCCCCTCTTCGTCCTCTTCGTCGCAGAATCCGCCGTCTCCGAGCGGCTACAACGTCGGCGACATTTACGACGGCATGGAGCAATACGTCGTCGGCGTCGGAGTCGGAGTCGGAGTTGGAGTTGGAGTTGGGCCAGCTCAGGACGCCTTCCAGCACCAACAAGGCTTTGATCCTCAGGTAGAGCGAAAGAAGAAGAAGGGAATATGGATTTTTAGATGTTGTATAATGGATTTATGTTGAAATAAATTGTTCTGGTTCTGCATTCACTTAATTGGTCGCATTTGGAATGGCTCGTTGCGTAACGGTCTGAAAGAAAAAATTGGAGCATAGAAAAACTATGAAGATCGATGAAAAGTTCGACTGCAACGCGTCCGCATCGCTTTGAGCCATTCCAAATGCGACCATGTTTTTTTTTTTGAGGTTTTCAAGATTTTCAAGTGTTTTGTCCAAAACTTTAAACTTCCACACACTATTTGATATTGATCTTTTCCCTTTTCCTCAAAATAAAATCGATAGAATAGTGACGTAACCAAAACCCCAAATAGATGACGTCATTCCTAGGATGTCTCTACCTGATCGGTGGCATTTGGAATGGCTCGACGCGGGGCGGTCGCGAAGCGGTCTGAAAAAACACACAAGCCCAGAAGATTTTGTAATAGGTGAAAAGTTCGACCGCGACGCGTCCGCATCGCTTTGAGCCATTCCAAATGCGACCGCGTTTTTTTTAGAATTCCCTTTTCTTTTTTCTTTTTTTTCTCAAGTTTTCAACTTCTCCACACTCATTGATATTGATCTTTTCTCGTTTCAAAATAAAAATCTTTAAAAATGACCTCATCAAAACCCAAAATATAAATGACGTCATTTCCAGGATGCGACCTGGCAATTATCCCACGATTGGCGACATCAACAACAACAGCCACAATCGACTGTGGCACCTCAGAACTGGCATCAGTGTAACGAGCCGACGTCATCGGCTAGCTGTGACGTCAGTGGAGGTTGATGACGTCACCAATTTCATCCTCATGAAGTCATATTTCCAGGCTCTTTAGTCCAAAAACCTACGAGCACGTCGTCGTATTCTTCTGGCTATCCACAGGAAAAGTCCTACATGAAACGAAATAGGTAACTTTTGCAACTCAACCTGGCCGCATGGAGAATGGCTTGAATTAAAGCGCGTCCGACCTAAAACGACTTTCGCGCGGTCGCATTCAATAGTATTAGATCTCATAACTGAGCCATTCCACGTGCGACCACGACGCTTCCAGAAATTTTTTAAAGATTTTCTAATTCTTAGGAAAACGGAGCATCCGGTCTGGGAATACTTCAAAAGAACTGCAGACGGGAACGCTCAATGTACGATTTGCGCGGCTGTTGGTCAGTTTAATATTAGTTAACATGAGCAATATGTTCATTTTCTGAGTAATTTGAGCTGAACTAATTTTTTTTCCTTCAAAGACCGTAACCCGGTCTTTACAGTACCTTGCGATTTTTTTTCTCAAAAATTACATTTATTGAAAAATGTCTCGAACGGGTATTGTACAATCTTCGCTCTCAAAAATTCCCTTTTTTATTCCTCTCAAGTACCGTAACCTGACTTCGCTTTAAGACCCAAAAATCACAATTTAATCGATTCCAACTTTGAAAAATCAATAATCCAACTGATGACGTCATCAATCAATAATCTTTCAGTGAAAAGCCCGTGTTCATCGAATTTCATGCGTCATTTGATGCGACACCACGGCGCCGAATATCACGACGTCTACGTGAAATGGGTTCAGAAAAGGGGCGGAGTCAAGGGTGTTTTGCCACATTGAAAATGACGTCATTAATCTCCTAGATACTGTAATCATTTTTTCGTTTTGAAAGCTCAGTTAGTCGTATTTATGTAATATTTAGAATCGGATTACGGTAGATCAGAGATTCTGGATGCGTCTAACATTCCTTGCGCTTTGAGACCCATTTTTTTTTTCGTTGTCAGGTAATCAAGGTTACTGTAACCTAATCGTGCCAGGACCATTATTGAAAAAAAAAAATCATTGATCCTTTAATCTTTTTGACAAGCTGACGGTAATTTTTCACTAAATTCAAAATAAGAGCTGTGCTCGACCCTTTTTTGTATAACTTATTCCTCATATTTCATATTTTTCAGTGTCTTTCTGAACTTTTTGTACATTTTAATGCCTGGTGAAACAATCGGAAAGCGGGTCCCTTTTCTCTTTCTTTTTTCTCTCTGATTTCTGAAAATCCCGGTCTTTCAATGCGAATTATGTACAAGTATTGTCCCCGTGGTTCTTTCAAACTTTTGACTTTTTCTATGTACCGATTGAAATAAAAAACTTTTTTATGTGGTTGAAAGAAAAAGATCTTTGGTTTTGAAGAGGTCATGGGAAAATGTGGAGCTTTGGTTTGGTAAAGAAAATCAAAAAAGTCTAGAATTCGCTATAAAAAGTGCGTTAAAGGGTATTCTTCAGATCAGTTTGAATTCGAAAATATTGCACCAAGTGATATAATTAATCAAAAAAACTCATATAAAAAAAGTCTTGGCTTAAAGCTTTTAAAAAAAGAGAAGAGAAGAATAAAATTCACAAGAAAATTCAAAGCGAAAAAAACAATTAGTACATAAAAATACAAGAAAAACGATTAACAATTTTTATACAAGAAAGAAAAATTATTTCAACCAGGTGTACCTTTTGATTCGCTGCAATTTCTGTATTAAAATGTAGAGGGCGGCGAGAGATAATGAGAAAAGGTAAAGGTAGAGCTGAGAAAATCTTCTGGGTAACCATAAAACGGAATAATTTACAGTAACACTTCCATCGGCGGCACAGATCGACAGCATACCGTAGCCCATGTTCGCGACTCCCATTCTGTAATTTTTAGTTTTTTGTTTTTAAATAAAAGGCAAAGTTGGAGGTTATTTTGAAGTTTGTCGAAAAAAAAAATTCAGGAAACTAATGGTTTCAAAAAAAAAGAAAATCAAAAAAAAATCAAAATGTTTTTTTAAAGAACAGCAGAAAAAGAGCCATCTCCTTCTTGCTCTTAATATCTATAAAAACTGCTGAAAGCAAAGGTCTTGAAGCGAAGTGATCCGTTTCGGTCAGAGTCTTTTTGGCATGAAAAAAACTTGACGAAATGAAAAACTTCGAAAAAAGATCAGAATTTCCTTTTTTGATCGTCGACACGCTGTTTTGATCAACTCTAAACTTTTATTTGCGTTTTATTTTCCAATTAGTGAAAATTCTTGTATTTTGGTTATCTTTCCGTTCACAAAAAGCTCACCTTTTATTTCTAAAATTTTCCTACTCAATCAATTTTTTTAATAGCTTATTCCGAGTCAGCTTGTCAACATTTCCGTTTTCCTTTGAGCGACAGAACCCTTTTGGCTTTTATTTGATGCGCGCGGCCTTTCTGAGTGCATGCGCCTTCAATTCAGCGAAAATTTTGAAAAAAAGGAAAAAAGGCCAAATTAAAGGCGCATGCACACGAACAGTCCGCTCGTTTTGAACAAAATTATTCTGTAGCTCGAAAGGAAAAAAAACTGTGACAAGCTGGCCTATACAAACGAACGAGAGTCCAGGCAAATTTTCAGCTATTCTAACTTTCTTCAATTCGCCAGATTTTTTGGCCCAAAACTCTGATTATTCCCTTTCAAAACCAATCTAAAATCACTCAACGAACCTATAAGAGCAAGTAGGAACTTTCAACTCGACGAGGGGTTCTTTTGGTCCGATAATTTTCTGATAATTCGGCGAGTTCAATAAAATTTCTGATGTGACCAGTGCTTGGGGCTGTCCTCGTTGGATTTCATAGATCGCGGCCTGAAATTGAAATTTCTTAGTTTTCATAGTTTATTCAGATTTTGAATATTAAGTCTTCGTTCAAGCTCCGCCCCCTAATAATTCGATAAACCAATCAGTGAGCGAGCCACTCACAGAGCTTTTTCGAATGACGTCATTCTACTTGACATACAAAATCTTGGGATGCAAAAAGGCTTGGCCTGTCTGCGCCCTCCATCAATCAGACGCTGTTTCTTTTATTATCGTGTCAGGAGCCATTTTTTGACGGCTCTATCCGGATCAGCTGTATAAAAAACTAACTAACCGTATGATCGTGTGCAGAAATGATGAAATCCATTGAATGACCCTAGAAAAATTCATATTTTTCAAATCGAACTTTTCGCGAAACTTACCACATCCGTGTAAAAATAGGGAGCTTTCAGATAAGGTACATGGGTCAACATGATTTTCGCCGCAGGGTTCGCTGTTCCCGTACTTGGCGTCAGCGGTCTTTTGTTCTTTTCTTCGAAGAGGTACGTCTGGAAATAAAACTGGTTCTTGATAAGTACCAAAAAGTTAAAAACACTTGAAATAATGATTAAAAATAGCTCGAGATTCATTCCGTTTTTCATAAGACTTAATTTTTGAAATAAGTTCTGCGACTCATTTAAAAAAAAAGCAAAGTCGGAAGGACCCTCCGAGTGTCCATAAAGGTCCACAGAAATTTTCCTTTTAGGGTGATTAAAGCTCCCTTTTTGCGCCATTTTCTCAGCCTTTATGCACCATTTTTGCTGCCTCTCTCTTTCTCCAGCATTTCTCAATCCTTTGAAATCCAAGAAAAATGAAAAGCTCGATAAAGGGACTCTCTTTGCTGTCTTTTCCCTCCCTTTCTGCGGCCTTTTTTGAGCCTCTCCCTGTCAGCGGTCATTATCCACCATTCCGACTTTGAAAAAACGTTCCAAATTGAGATTTCCAGTTTTTCAAAGTCTTTGGGCGGAATTTAAGTTTACAAATCGTAATAAATTTCATCAATTCGCGCAATATTTTTTCAGTAATCACAAGAAAAGCTAACAAGAACCGTAAAAAAATGGAAGTTTTAAATCATTTAATTTTTTTCTCTGAATCCTCAAAACGCACTATGCGAATTACAAAAATATCCTCGCAATTTTTAAATTTTCTAAAATTTCACAGAAAGGTTGTTAAGATCAATTCACAAAACAGAATAATAGAAGTTCTATTGAAGTTTCGTCAGAAAAAAATGATCGAAAAAAAAATTTTTTTGCTCTTCACCTCCTTGCATCTCAATCTTTCGAAAAATTTCTGAAGCTGCTTATTTTTTCGCGAACTGAAAGTCCAGCAAAATTTTAAAAATAACAGTGATAACAAATCCCGAAATTTCCAGAAAGATCATACTCCATACAATAAAGTTACCATCAAAAAAGGGTGTACCTTTTCTGACTGTATATATTTTCAAAGAATCTTAAAGAGCACCTGAAAAAAGTACCTGTCTAGTTTTGAAAAAGGCTTGGAAAAGAGTTTTTTTTTAAATAAAAACCCCCTTTTTGATAATTTCTCACCTCAATGACCATGTACTTCTTGGCAATATTCGTCAAATTTGTCTTGAAAAATCGGCCAAATCGGTCTTTTGCCTGTTGGCTGACCGGCTCCATTTCTCCGCCAATATCATTGTCACCAAAGATATAGGCAACGTCCTGAAAAATATCAACTTACAATCTTGAAGGCCTTAGAATTCCTACTTGGCCGTCATCGATCGGAAAAACTTCTTCGAAACGTTGATACGTGTCGAGCCATTCGCCGTGCGAGGCCTCCATTCCTTCGTCAAAAAGGTCGCCAAGGAAGAAAATGGCGTCCGGATTGACGTGAGACTTGGCGGCGTGGTAACCGGAGGACAGGTATCTAAAAGCAAGAGAAAAATTTAGGGTTTTTCAAATAATGACATCAAAATACTAGATTTTAAAGATTTTTTGAAGAGTTTTCAGTTTTTTAAAGGGTTCTCAGGCACTGGCGGGGGACGCGCAGGGATTCCGGCTCTTAGTTTTGCCTTTGGGGTGCAAAAACCTGTCCAAATGCGCTTTTTTTCATCTTTATGATGCTTTGTAGCAATCTTGCTCATTTTTTTAACCTTCCATGCCGTGGAATTCAAAAAAAAGATTTAAAAAAGGCGTCGGCAGTGCTTGTATTCACGCATTTTCAAGTTTTATGAACTAATTTTGTTTTGAAACATTGTGAAAAGCCCTGAAGGAAATCGGAACATGTTGAAAAACTATATAGCCTTCTGAAAAAGATGCAACGGGCTTTTCTTTCACTTTTTTAAACAAAAACGGCTTTTTCCCGCATTTTTCAAAGCTCCTCTTTTTTTTTCAAAATTAGAAGTTTATTTAATTTCGACCTTTTCTTCATTTTTTTCATATTCAGCACGCGAGGCATGGCCAAACTTTCTAAATTTCTTATTATTGTAGGAAAAAGCAAGAAAAATTGAACAGGATTTGTTAGGAAACTTGTAATTTTTTTCTCTGCTTCCTTGTTTTTTAGGAAAACTTAGGCGTCAAAACCTTGAATTTTTCTTTTTAAAATATTTCTGCTAGTTCAATCGCCACTTAGAAATATTAATTTTGAAACTATTTCAAGAATTATTCTGAGAATAGTCCCTAATTTTTTTCGAATTTTGGAGGCCACAAAAAATGAACATATTTTTTTCAAAGCTATTTAACTTCAGCTTCTTCTCACCTATCGGAGTCCCATCTGGCCAAAAACCCGTAGTTTGAGGGTTCATGTCGGTAGCCGATGAGCTGCGGATCGGCCACGAGGAGCACCTTCGTGCAGCTGACGTCATCAGAAGCGCTGGGCCACGTCGTCGCCGCCCACCAATAGGACGCCTTCTCGTTCCAAAGAACCGTCAGAAACAGCAGGAACGCTTGAATTTTGAGCATTTGCAACATTTTTAATAGAAAATGTGACAATTTGAGAGGTTTCCATGGCTTTTTTGAAGCTTTTGAATAGAAAATAAGGCTTTTTTCTTAAAGATTTCAGTCTTTTAAAAATGATCCTTGGTGCTTTTGAGAGCGCAGAAGCCTTGAACGACCTAAAAAGACAATGAAAATAGCTCTTCGCCTTGAAATTTGAATTTGATTCGCCTATGAGCCTTTAAAAAGCTGAACAAGTAGTTTTAAACTACATTTTTATTCTTTACGTCGAAAAATCTGGAGAAACCTAGCTATTTTTCGAGTAAGTGCATTTTTTTTTCTAGATTGAATGAAATGAAAAAAAAAACGGAGAATTTCAAGATTCTTATCGCAGTCTGTATAAAGAGGTCGCAAAACGTGCGAAAAATTCGGTTTTGGAGAAATTAGTCTGAATTGGAAATTATAATTGTTTTTAATAAAATTCATGGTTTTATCAAATTTAGTTTCTCTTAGCTTTCCTGTTCGCAAAACCCTTCCAATTATTTTGATTAAATTATCAGATATTTTTGAAATTTTAAAAGAATTACCGGGAAATCCGAGCAACTGCCGCCATTTGTGCCTCATGTCAGCATTTCCAACTGAAAAAAATTAGAAATGAATCTATATTATCGACGTAGATTTTATAAATTTATAAACTACGCTTTGAACCATTTTTTCAAAATGAATATGAGAATTTAAAAGATGATAGAAAAAAAATCGGAAGAATTATTCCTGGTAAAAAAAGCACAATTTCAAGGTTTCATATGAAGTTTTTCGATTATTTTTTTCGATCTGAAAAAAATTTAAAACAGAAGGAAGAATAAAGGAGGGAAGAAAATTTCTTGAAAAAGGGGCGTGGCCACTATGGCACACGGAGCAGGCGGATTTTTGCACTCTTGGTGCACGGGGCCTGAGTGGCGGAACCTTGAAAAGGAAAAGCTCCTAGGAAACTGCGGAAATTGGTTCATTCCGTTTGATAAAATGATTCTCTGATAACTCATGGTTATAGTGGATTCGATGCATTTGAATTTTTTTCCAATCTCTGATTTTAGCTACGCAAGAAAGTTTCTTAAAAAATTGGCAATAAATTCATTAAATTTAATTCATTAAACTCAACGTGAAAAAAATAACTTATTGATTCAGTGAGATAAGATGTCGAATATAAAAGCGAGAAATCAACAGTTTCTTCAAAGACCATGCCGAATCCGCCGCCGAAAGAGGACACCTGGGCTTTCCAGCCCATCGGGGCGCCTTTTCCGCCGAGCCCTGTCAAGGTTTGTTTCGGAAAGTCACGAAGAACACGGAATTATGTTTTCAGTGCATGGGTGAGCAAAACATGTACGTGGCGCTGTGGTACAAGCACGGGAAGCCGATCCACGGCCGCTCCTGGAACAACGGAGGAGTGGTCGAGTGCTCGTTCCCCTACAAACAGGCCGAGCTGACGACGAAGCAACAGCTCGAGGGCCAGATCCAGGTGCTGCAGTACGTCGGAGACCACAACGTCCCAGGGCTTCTGGTACGAGTGGATCAAGTACAAGGATCGTCTGGAGAAGCTCGACGACAAGCACACGCTCGTCAAGTGCGGCGACTCCTTCCCCATCTTCTGGAAGAGGCCTGAGGTTTTTTTTTGACTTTGACTTCCTATTTTGTCTAGAAGGATCGCTGCAATTCACTGAGGCTAACACAACCGATACTTCTAGGTTTTCTAGGTTGTAAGAGCTCGCAGGAGAAAAAATTATTTTACAAGATTTTTGAGGTTAGGTCAAGTAATTGAAAAATTAAAGCTACCTTGCTTTTTGAAAAAAAGATTATTCCAGTTCAGTTTTGCTTATGATAGTTTAGGATTATCAGAAGGTGGGAGTTTTCTAGGCATTTTTATCAACTTTTTGAAGAGCGTCGCAATTTTTTCTTCTATTTTTTAAGCTAGGCTTATCTAGCAATAATCCAAGAGAGACTTGCTAGAAGATCATTAGATAGTTCATTTTAATTTTGACGATTAGCCTTTCTGAGAATTCAGGTCCTTCTAGTTTTCCTGTCTTGCCGGTCCAAAAACTTTGTCTGGGATTTTTTTTAGTTGTGGTATGCAAATGCTACGCTAGTCATACTGAAGACTCCCTAGCTATCTTTTTTGTTTAGACTTTTTTAGCTTGAAGGAGTTTGGAGGAAATTCCAGGGCAACCTGCTCGGCTACGTCGACAACAAGACTGAAATCGCTCTGTTCTCCTCCAACGGCAAAGTTCATGAGCGCAAGGGAGGCGACCTTCAGGACATGTACATCATCACCCGCAACTGCGTCGGAGGCCCGCCATTCTGCGAGTGTCCCAGCTGTCCCAAGCCGCCTCCTCCGCCTCCAGTCCCACCACCAGGACCGCCTCCTCCGCGTGTCATGATCGACGAATGGGTCGACATACGAGAGGGAGACGCCTGGCCGACTCGCTCTCTGGTCAGAGCTCTGGACAAGAGTCTGGACACTCTTCCCGGAGTCGCTGCCGACCAATACGTCGCCCTCTGGTACATGCAGGGAGAACCTGTCATGGGACGCGTCTGGAACGAGAATGGGAAGGTATAAATACATCCTTGGGCTTCAGAAGAACATTGGTTTCAGGTCGCGGCCAACTTCTCGTGGTTCAACAACGAGTACTGCAAGAACGTCGGATCCATCCAGCTTCTGGTCCACCTTTCGGAGCATGTCCGTGGTTTCGACTACGGATGGATTCCGTTCGCGGAGGTTTGATTTGTATAAGAAGAAGACTATTCACGACTTTTCAGGCGGCCAAGTTCGGAGAGAAGGTCTGGCATCCGGTGCACGTCAACAACCACAAGGGCGACATCTCCGTCGGAGTCGTCAACCTTCCCGGCGGCAAGCAGATCCTCGCCAAGGTCGACGTCCGCAACGAGAAGACCGGCTATGGTTACCAAGGAAAGGAGCACACGTCGGCCGGTCCCGCCTGCGCTTCCAATACCATCGTCCTTTGCCGCAAGCCCAAGCCCGGCTACAAGCTCGACGGATAAACTCTTCTCTTTTGCTTTGCTATGTCTCAATAAAATGGGTGATAATGATCTATAATCGTTTTTTTTTGTTTCTGAGGGTTGAAGTGCCTTTTTCGGAAAGGCTATGAAGCGTAAACTGGAAATATTGAATTTTTTTTTTGCTATGAAACTGACCACAACAACGGCTACCAAATAATGTTCTCGGGCCACGGTAACGTTTTAGGGCATTTCTAGTGACCACTTTAGTAGCTTCAGCCTTCTTTAGTGATCCTCAGACTGCTGAAAATCGTCGGAAGCGCGTCCGATTTTTGTTACCTAGGTCTGAGTTAGGAAAACTACACAATTTTTGAAAACAATGTCCGACTCTTACTCCACGTGAAAATTTGAATTAAACAAAATTGAAATCCACATCATGTCAAGATCGAAACGTGCTGATATAAAATCTATTTAAGACGGAATCTATTCAATTTAAACCATTAGCTACATCGTTTCGACACCAACGATGCCGAATCCGCCGCCGAAGGAAGACACCTGGGCTTTCCAGCCCATCGGGGCGCCTTTTCCGCCGAGCCCTGTCAAGGTCTGACTTCTTTCAGTCGTTCAGAAGCTCAAAAAAGAATTTTTCAGTGCATGGGTGAGCAAAACATGTACGTGGCGCTGTGGTACAAGCACGGGAAGCCGATCCACGGCCGCTCCTGGAACAACGGAGGAGTGGTCGAGTGCTCGTTCCCCTACAAACAGGCCGAGCTGACGACGAAGCAACAGCTCGAGGGCCAGATCCAGGTGCTGCAGTACGTCGGAGACCACAACGCCCAGGGCTTCTGGTACGAGTGGATCAAGTACAAGGACCGTCTGGAGAAGCTCGACGACAAGCACACGCTCGTCAAGTGCGGCGACTCCTTCCCCATCTTCTGGAAGAGACCTGAGGTTTCTATTTTCGGCTTCACTTTGGCTTTTTGGGTTGTCTGGAAGTATGGCCATGGGCTGTTAGGTAGACCAACGGTGGTTTATTGAGTCCTTTACTCAGACGTACAAAAGCTTCAGCCTTTCATTTTAACTTAAACACCGGATTTTCCCTTTTTCTAAGTTTGACTGATGTTCTGCTCCTTCTCGGCTTTTAAAAGTATAATCTGTGTGCCACGACTGGAAATTTCACCGAACGACATTCCGCTAATCCGCTGCGTGCGTTCGCGAAGCGTCTTTCGAATCTAGGTCACGCTTTCAATTGATTCTTATTGCTGTGTGAGCACATGAAAGTAGAGTACCTTGAACAAGAAAAAAAAAAAATTAAAAGCGCGACCAAGGTTCGCAAAGGCGCGCAGCGGCACAGCGGAATGTCGTTCGGTGAAATTCCAAGTCGTGGTACACAGGCTATATCAGTACAGGACGTTGACCGTGAAATTTTTTTTTTACGTTTGTGCTTTTTTTGTGGCGAAGAATCTTTGAAAAACTAAAAAATAGTTTGTTTTGAAATCTCGATAAAGCTGGTAATGAACTTTCAAGACATCTCTTGATAAGTCTGATTTTGATTCGATGCTTTGAACTCTTCCAGAAGCTAGTCTGGCTTAGAAAGAGCTAGTTTTCAGCGGTTTTAATGGAATCCACTAACTTTTTTTTCAATTTTTTCTGTACAACTTGACTGAGACTAAACTATGAATCTCTTCTTAATATTCTTTTAGGGCAACCTGCTCGGCTACGTCGACAACAAGACTGAAATCGCTCTGTTCTCCTCCAACGGCAAGGTCTATGAGCGAAAGGGAGGCGACCTTCAGGACATGTACATCATCACCCGCAACTGCGTCGGAGGCCCACCTTTCTGCGAGTGTCCTGGCTGCGCGAAGGCTCCGCCGCCGCCTGGACCTCTGCCTCCGAAAGTCCTGATCGACGAATGGGTCGACATCCGAGAGGGAGACGCCTGGCCGACTCGCTCTCTGGTCAGAGCTCTGGACAAGAGTCTGGACACTCTTCCCGGAGTCGCTGCCGACCAATACGTCGCCCTCTGGTACATGCAGGGAGAACCTGTCATGGGACGCGTCTGGAACGAGAACGGGAAGGTATAAATACATCCTTGGGCTTCAGAAGAACATTGGTTTCAGGTCGCGGCCAACTTCTCGTGGTTCAACAACGAGTACTGCAAGAACGTCGGATCCATCCAGCTTCTGGTCCACCTTTCGGAGCATGTCCGTGGTTTCGACTACGGATGGATTCCGTTCGCGGAGGTTTGATTTTGTATAAGAAGAAGACTATTCACGACTTTTCAGGCGGCCAAGTTCGGAGAGAAGAGTCGGCATCCGGTGCACGTCAACAACCACAAGGGCGACATCTCCGTCGGAGTCGTCAACCTTCCCGGCGGCAAGCAGATCCTCGCCAAGGTCGACGTCCGCAACGAGAAGACCGGCTATGGTTACCAAGGAAAGGAGCACACGTCGGCCGGTCCCGCCTGCGCTTCCAATACCATCGTCCTTTGCCGCAAGCCCAAGCCCGGCTACAAGCTCGACGGATAAACATTCTTCCTTCCGTCGGCACTTTTATTTTCTCTTTTCTCTTACCGCTTTTATAAACGTCGGTTTGAATGCGTGTTCATTGCTACAATTTGAATTTCGAATGTCGTTAGAAAACCGCTAAATTATATTGTCTTGTACTCTTGGCTCTGTCAATCCTTTCAAGAATGAAAAAAAACTGAATTTGTCCTAAATGTCTAAAAATATTCCTGCGGGACACTTTAAAAAGCAAGAAGTTCGAATTCGCCTTTTTCAAAAACTGAAAATTTCAACTTCTTTTTTTCAGTTTATACTCTTGAGAAATTTTTTTAAGTTTTTAAAAAAATTTTAAACGACTCAAAAATCCCTGATTCGAAACGTTTAATTTTTTTATTGAAAAAAAGGAAACTGTGAAAATAACGGCGAATTTCATCGGATTCTTATTCCCATCATCTTTAAAACGTTTGATACGTTGAAATCAGCATTATTATCCAAATTACGGCAATTTGTCGGTAGTGCAAACGAGCCAATTTGTCCGACGAGCGCAGTGGTGCCAGTTCCTTCCAACGCGGCGCGGTCGCGTCGCGCTGCTCACCCGCTGCTTTTTCTCACTTCAACTCGTATTTCTCGGCTCCTCCCAAAAAAAAGAACCCGCTTGCTCTCAGTTATTTATCGTTCAATCTCTCTCATTTTTCAATTGAAAATGTTTCTCGTGAGCTGTTGTCGATCGTAGAAAACGACGACGACTCTTTTCTCGCCTCAACCAAAAGTCCAAACTTTGTTGTAATTTCGTCAACTGAGATTTGTGTGTTTTTTTTTAAATTGTAGAGAACCGCTCCCTTTTTTTATTTGATATATTTTTCAATGTGTTTCTTCATATATTTTACGTTTCGGTGTGAATTTTGCATGATTGCTTTCGCAATGATGTGAAATATGTCAGATAACTCACAAGTTTGTTTTGTTGTTTTCTGCTCAAAAGGATGACTTTATTTTTCCAGATTGCGCAAGTTGTAGATCATGTTTGAGATTTACGAAATATCAGCATGTAATGGTTTTCCAAATAAGTTCAGTTTACTTTTTGTTGCACTGAAATTTTATGTGATTTTTTTAATGCGTTTTTCCCATGAAAGAATATTTTTTCAAAGGCGCAGGGATCAAGTTTTGTAGATCATCATGCGAAAAGAAGCTTCATTTGCTTATTTTTTGAAAACGTATTACTTTTTTTTTATTTTACTAGAAACTTTTCGCTTTTGCCTGGCTTTTTGGCAGTTCTCATTAAGTCATAATGTTTGAAGTACTGAGTAGCACTTCTCTACGAAGAATGTTCAATTTTTCGGTTCTAGAAATAAAAAAAGAGAACTTATTTGACCTTTATCATAATGTGTAACGTATTTTTTGCGCTCTGGGTTCTGTTTAGTATCCATCGAGCTTTAATTTCTTCATTGTCATTTTTCAATCAATTTTTGAGCCGCACTCCAATCTGTTTTATCAGTCGTCAACGTACGACGAATCTGCGAAAAATCAGAGAAAAGTAGATGGAAAAACACTTGGCAATTTTTGTGTCGAGGCGAAATCGCCTGTTTTTTTTTTTTCGTGTACGCGTTATATTTGAGGCGTCCCGATGCCGTGCGAAACGGTATGATTAATAGGCCGCTCTTTAGTTCGGCCGTTTTTTGTTTTTCGTTGTCGTCGGCCCCACTCTCTCCATTCTTTCTTCATTTCGCCGGGGCTGTCCTGCAATTTGTTCCGACGCGCCTTTTCGGCTTCTCCGGCACGGATTTGCGCGGGGCTTTTTCTTGTTTTCTGTATCTTTACATACGTCTCGGAAATGTCGACGCCGGCTCCAGCAAATGCGGATCAAGCAGGTAGTTTTGCGTCGGAAAATTGTCATTTTTGGCTTTTTAATGCTTTCCAAACGCTTCTATGATTTAAAAAAGCTTGCGAAAGGGGCATGGGAAAAAGCAGGGAATTTTTGGCGCGAAAATTTAAATTTCTAAATATTCTAAGTGCTGGTTGGTGCGTTTTCAAATGTGTCAGGGAACTGTTAGGAAAGGATCCTTATATTTTTTGGGGCGTTTTTGATTTTAGATCAATTTTCAGTGCGTAGAATTAATAGTTTGATTACAAAATCCGTTAAAAAGGTGCGAAATAGAGCGGAACTTTTTGAGAAACAAATTTTTTAAAGCATTGGTCTTGCAACGATCCTAATTATACTTTGCGCTCTTACGGCGTGTTTAAAGTTATTCCGCGAAATTCAAAATAAGCGTCAGAGAAAGAAAAAGACTACTAAATTTTAGATGGCCAGAGATAATTTGGCGGAAATTACTTTGAACACGGCATTAATGTTAGCGAAACATTCGTATAAATGAAAGTTTATTTTTAAAAAATGGTTTTTGTGTTTTTCTCGGGGTCTAATATGTTTGCATTGTGCCTAAAAGGTAATCAAAGGATTAATGCATTGTTTTCTGTGATATTCTTTTTTTTCTGGTTCTTATAGAATTTCTAACAAAAGTAATGAACAGCAAACTAAATGTAGAAGTTTGTATGTCACACTTTTTTAAAAACTAATATAGAGAAGGAACTAGAAATCATAATCAGAGCAAGTAAAAAGTGACTAATGAGTATGGAAGTATCCTTCAGGATTCATTTAATCGTATAAACCTGAGCGTGTTTTGAGAATTTTTCGATTTATATTCATAAGAAAATATTTATTCAGATCTAAATATCGAGTTAAATGCCTTTTTTGGACTAGAAAAATGTCACGAACTACATTTTTAATCTCTAGTCTGGGACACAAATCTCTGTCGGTTTTTCCGTGCTTTTTTTAAAACCGATCGTGATTTATCACGTAGTTATAGATCTTTCATTTTCCAGCTACTGAAAAAGACGATTTTTTTTCGGGGAAAATAAATTTTAGGAGAAAAATCAAAAGCTTCCATTTTTTGTGGTTTTCTGTTGATTTATGGAGGAAAATCGTGGGTTTTCATCAGCTTACATTTAATTACTAACCCGTACGGCTCACACTATGAAAAATGCTTTTTTCCTTCCTCAAAAGCCGCCATTTTTCAAACGAGAGAAAAAAATCTCTCCTTTGACATTTAGCTTTTTTCCCTCGAGACAATTTCGCGGGTAAAAAATTGTTTTGAGTTTTCTCTCTTGATATCCGTTTTGTCGTTTCGCCAATTACATTTGTCCATGTTTTAACAGCTCATCTTCGCTTTTTCTTCAGATTTCTGTCTTTTATGTCGCTTCACTAACGACGTTCCATGTTATTCTTGTTGGATTTGTATTTTGAAAATGTGTTTTTTGCAGCAGAGAAAAGGGTAATGACGGAATACAAGTTGGTGGTGGTCGGCGATGGAGGCGTCGGAAAGTCGGCGCTGACCATCCAACTCATTCAGAACCACTTCGTCGAGGAGTACGACCCCACCATTGAAGACAGTTATAGGAAACAGGCGAGTTGAGGAGTTTCAGGGTTATTAATGATTATTTCGGGATAAACGGTTTAAAAATGGTCTCTGCGCATAGAGCAGCACTAGCAGCAGTTTCAGTGCGGAAATTAATGTAATTTTTATCTGGGGTCTGGATGATTTTTGAGGTCTGGGGGGGGATTTTTTTAAGAAACATAAAGTTCTTTACGTAAAAAAATAAAAGAGCCGTCGAAAACTTTTCGACAATAAAGATTTGGCAGAATGAAAGGTCTAACAAGGCTTTTTATTGTCAAAAAAACAATTCGCAATAATTTTTTTCACGTTTAAATGAGATTTTTTTAGACTGAAATGCTTTGATCATGGGTAAATTTTTAAGCTTTTATGAGCTTTACAAATTTTCTTTCAATCCAGGAAAGTTTGCGTATTCAAAAAAAGTATTCCAGAAAAAAAGTTTTTTTATCAATTTTTCAGAGATGTTTTTTTAAAAGTTTTTTTGGAGTCTTTTTTTCTGGTGGCTATACTTTTTGTCATCAGTTTGGTGCGAGAGAATAAAAAAATGGTTCGAAAATTTGATTTTTTTCACTTTTTTTGCTCATATCAAAATTTAATTGAAGATATTTTTCATAGGCATTGAGAAGTAAATTTCATTATAAATTTTTTTCTAAATTTCGCTTTCAACCTTTTTTTAATGATAATATGCTGTGGTTTTTTTGAAATATGAAAAAAATTCTCCTTATCAAAGATTAATGTAAGTATTTCATAATGATGACCAAGTAATGTTTTTCAGCTTCTGAAAGCTTTTTAACTAGATAATTTCACGATTAGTCATCCGTTATTTCTGTAGGAATTTAATGAATCACACTTGCCTTGATATTACTAATAAAGATAGATAAAAAGTTGAGGATGATTATTTGTTCAATTGCGGAGTAATTCCTATTATAATTTCCGTTTTTTGCAACTAGACATTCGCCTTGGCAAAAGACGATTCTTAAAGAAAGTCGATGATAAGCGGAACCGGTTTTCTGAAAAGAAAAAAGTGACCGAGAATCGAGAAAATGAGCGTTCAAACGCTTAGATTGCAGTTTTCGTTTTAATTTGCAGAGAAGACAGAAACATGTCAATTTTGAGAATATTTTCTGGACAAAAGATATTTCACAATACTTTTAAAGTACTGGTAGTAGAGACGGAGCTGCGAAAAAAAAAAAAAACCTCAAATACCGAAATTTCAGTTTGTTCTCACTTGGCGCCAACTTTTCCTGGAAAATTCCTTGCGCAAACAGTTGTAATTGTCTCTTTCCATCTTTTCTTTCACTTTTCTTGGAGTCTATCGTTTTCGAACTGATAAGAGAGGGGTTCTTTGCAGTTTTTTGTTAAATAATTGTTCGTGCAATGAACTACAAAACGAATTGGAATGATGTTGGGTTCTTAGAAATTTATCTTCTCGGCCGATAGAACATGGGGATAGGAAGAGGAGTTATTATAAGCTTTTGGGGGTTGGAAAATATTTAGAGTTAAAGAGGTAGTTTTAGTGTATTCTTCGTTTTTCTGAAAATAGTCTGAAAATAAGCTTTTGGAATGCCAAAGTAGTCCCTATAGGAGCTAGGAGAAACAACAGTCATCATGAGACGGGAAAGTGCCCACTATAGGGTAAAACTCCCTATGTCCCTATAAGGACTGTCCCCTGACTTCTAAAGCTTGAGTGGTCCCTAGTTAGGAATCTTCGAGGGCCCCTAAGAATGCCCCTATAGAGGCCTCTTTGGAGAAAAACGGAAAAGGGCGCACTATAGGTGTAAAATTGAAGGGATCCTTATAGGGGTTTACGAACTTTTTCCTGGCCACTAAAGGTCAAGTGGCCCCTAGAGGGAAACCTTCAAGGGCCCTTAAGACTGCCTCTATATAGAATTCTTTGCAGTTTCTGGAAGTAAATTGAGTTTCTAAGCCAGAACCGAAAGAGATGAATTTTGGGAAAATCCTGAGGCGAAAAAATTTTCCGCCATTTTCCTGAAAATAGAGAAAGCCTGAAACTTCTTCGTTTATTAAAAAATTCAAAGAGGGAAGAAAAAATGGGGAGATTTTTAAGTTCCAAGAAGATCACAAAAACCATTTTCCACTTCATTTTATTGCATACGGAAAAACGTTTCCAAAAATCATTCCCTGTTTTTTTCCGGGTTTTCCATCATCTGCCTCGTTTTCTTGCACTTTTGCCGCGTGACGCACATTTTCCAACGGGTCGGTCGCGGGCTTTTCCAGCTCGCGAACGACTTTTTGTTGATCTGAGTCGGAAGGGATGAGGAAAGGGCACGGATTTCGCAAGGATCAGGTGCACTGCGTGAAGGAGGGAATTATGAGGGAAGATTAGGGCTTTTGGGGGGATTTGGAATGCCGCACGGATGTGCGATACAGTGGAGTTGCATGGTTATTTATAGATGTATATGGGGAAGGTATTAGAGTACTTTTTATGATATACGTGATGAAGAGGAGAATGTTCTTTTTAAATTATTCTGGAGGAAAAACTAGAATTGACGAACTTTGGGAAATTTCAAGCTTTTATGGTGAAAAGGTTCACATAAAATTGAAAAAGAAGAGTTTACGCACAAAAATAATAATTCAATCTTTGAAAAAAAAAATATACACTACTAACTCTCATGCTGAGGAGGTTAACTAACCGGGCTGACCCGGGGTCTCGGCGGGTGTACCCGTAGCCCGAATAAGCACTGTTATTAGAACTTTTGGCATGCTTTATCAAAACTGAACGCCCGTTTCAGCCCATTTTGGTCCAAGATTTCCTATTTCTTCTTGCGCCCGTTTTAGCCCGACTGAGACTCAAATAGCGTGAAAAGTACGGATACACCCGTAGAGACACCTGGTCAACATGAGAGAAGGAACCAACTTTGACATTATTTCACTGGGAAAATTTTTAGAGGTCATTATAGAGGCTCGCCAAGGATTACTTGGAGAGGACTCTAAAATGGCCACTAAAACCACCTCTTAAGTGGCTACTATAGTAGTTTCAGTGCGTCTTGTAGTAGCACTTAGACCTCTATAGTGGCCACTAATTTTTAAGCCCTGAAGTGGCCACTAATTTGACTACTACAGTGGCCACTAAAACGGCAAAACCCTATAGGGGCCACTAAAAATTTTTATTTTTTTAACCGTGCAATGAATCTTCTACCTTTATAAAAAATCTCAGAAAATAATGATAATTATTAATTTTTTTTTTCTCTTTTTATTCTAGTGACCTTTTTTTCATTACTCTTATTTTTCCAGGTGGTGATCGATGGCGAAACGTGCCTTCTGGACATTCTGGACACGGCCGGACAGGAAGAATACTCCGCCATGAGGGATCAGTACATGAGAACTGGTGATTTTGAAAAAAAAAATCCATTTTATAGAATATTTTCCAGGCGAAGGATTCCTGTTGGTCTTCGCCGTCAACGAGTCGAAGTCGTTCGAGAACGTGGCCAATTATCGCGAACAGATCCGGAGGGTCAAGGATAGCGATGATGTTGGATTTTGAATCGATTTCATGGAAAAAATTGGGAAATCTTAGAAAAATAATTTTCTTGAGTTTTTCCGATTTTTCCGATTTTTCGAAAATTTGTGGTTGATATTCTTTGAAGCTTGGAAATAGAACTGGCTAAAAGCAAAAGTTGTGAAAATTTAGGTTAGTGGCCACTTTAGGGTTTTGAAATTGTAGTGGCCACTATAGTAGTCCATTTAACTGCCACTCAAGGGGCTAAAAATTTTTCGTCTCTATAAAAATTTACGTGATACTACTAGGCCGCTGAAAAACTACTAAAGTGGCCGCTTAGACGCAAATTTTGACATCTATAGGTGGTTTTAGTGGCCACTTCAGTGTCCTCTTCATGAAGTCCTTGAGGAACCCCTTAAGGGGACACCAAAATTTTTTTTACCGTAATTTGAACGAAAACCCAGTGTTTAGAGGCCATTTTAAAGTTGCAATAAGGAAAAGTTTGTCACAGATAAAACAGATTTTGATTGTTTTTTTTTTCTCTTTTATATGATTTATAAAAATTCCTATATTATAAATTGCGTGTCTTTGTTTTAAAATAAACTTATATTTGTCCATTCTCAGTAAATATACTTTAATTCAGGTTCCAATGGTTCTTGTCGGCAACAAGTGTGATTTGCAATCGCGCGCCGTGGATAATCGTACGGTCAGCGATACTGCTAAAGGATACGGTAGAAAATTCTTTTTTTCTTGAAGTAAAATGAGAATTTTTAGGAATCCCAAGCGTTGATACGTCGGCGAAAACACGAATGGGCGTCGATGACGCTTTTTACACGCTTGTTAGGGAAATTCGGAAGGTAAATTTGTTGGTTTTATCCTGGAAAAACGGGAAAACCCGTATTTGACGCGAAAATTTCATCAAAAAGGATGGAAAACGTTTGAGAGATCACTATAGGGCTTTGAGGCTTTAGTGACCACTATAGCATTCGAATTAAGGAACACTTAAGTGGCTAAAATGTAGTGGCCTCTCTAGAAAGTACTGCTAAGACACTTACAGCTACTATGGGGACCACTACGGCGCAAATTAGCGCCTTCTTTGTGATTTTAGTGGCCTCTTTAGTGCCCACTCCGAGAAGTCGTTGAGGAACCTCTTAAGTGGCCACTAAAGCTTTTAGTACCTACTTTTTATTTTGAAAATGATGCTTAGGCTTAGGCTGAAAAGATAGTTTAACTATGAATTAGGTAAAAAAAATAAAATAAAAGGACGACTCGATTTTTGCGAGTTTTACTTTCAATAGTTCTTTCAACTGAATACTGGGTTTCTTTTGGGACATAACTCGGAAAATAATTTTCTTCCCCTCTCAGGATGATTTTGAACTGTTTCAGTGTGTTTGTAAAACCCTTGTGAGAGAGTTTGAAGTCGCAGAAGCCTTTATTGAAGTCAAATAGCACGAAAACGTCGTTTCGCATCGAAAACTTCTTAGAATCAGACCATTCGCCTTTAAAAACCCCTAACAATGACATTTGAGTCGCTGCGCAGCGAAATTCTGACACGAGATGATGAAAAAAGTGCATTTTTCAGCACCGCGAACGCCACGATAACAACCGGCCGCAGAAGAAGAAGAAGTGCTCAATACTGTAAATTCGATAAATAATCATATTTACTCCCAAATCATGCAGTTCCTGGTGTTTCTCCTCATTTTTCCGAGCATTTCCCGAATCCTCCCAAGTTTTTCTACTACTGAAAAATGTTCCCCTGAAATCGAACTCCATCAACGAAATCGTTTAGTAATTTGATACGTCTTTTTTGTTTTTTTCAGTTATGATTGTTCACAAATCGTGATCTTATGCATTGATTCGTTTGTTTTCCAATGTTCACTTTAGGACTTTAGGTAGGCTTTTTTTCTAAATTTCGTTCTCTTTTTCTTATCGTGTTTATACGTCCTTTCGCTTCTCTTTTCGCTGCTTTTCTGAGGGAATAGCCGCTTTAAATTGTGATTTTTCCCGCTTCCCAGTCGTTTTTTGGAAGTTTTGAGCCGATATTTGAAGCCCCCATATCAAGTTCTTTTTTTGGGTATTTGAGAATGAGAGTTGGGAAATTGAGCCATGGATAAGTGCGCTCCATTGATAATTTTTTCATGGAGCCCAATATTTTTCAATTTATCCTCTTCTCCCTAAAATGAGCAGTTTATGAAAAGGTTCAGCTGATTGGTAAGGAAGTTGAAGGTCAATTGTGCTCTATTGATAAAATAAGCATTTTCGGGTTTTAGAACTTTTTTACCTCCAAAATTTGTAAAGTTTAAGTTGGTAAAATTTAATAATTCAAAATAGGCTCAATTTGAAGCGTTTTTTGTGCTCCATGGATAAAAAAAGCTTCAATTTGACATCATACACTGGTGCCGCTAGCGGAACGTTTCTTCGTACATCAAGTGATCACTAAAGAGGCAGGAACAACTCTTGAGTGATTACTCGACGACTGAGAACCGTCCGAAACCCTTGAAGAACACCTGACTCTCCCGCTGGATGTAAGAGAGAATGAAACATTTTCCAGCGATCTTGTACTTTTCCAGCTCTTTTTCCCGGCTCGAAACTCAGCTCAATGCCCACAGTTCTTTTATTTTCGTTAATTTTCTCCCACTTTTCAATTTGTTTGTTTTTTGTGTAAATTCCCAACGCCTGAACTTCTCTGCAACGTGTCGTCGGGAAGCTTTTCGCTTCTTCGGCTCTCTTTTAGCGCTCTTTTCATTCTTCCCCTTATCTTTTTTGCTTCTTTAGGTTTCTAGGTTTTATTGTGATGATTTTTGAGAAATTTCTTCTTCCCAAAATGTTCTGACAATATAAAGAAGCGAGTTTTTCAATCTCCCACAAGAAATCCTAGTTCTCGACGCTTTATATCCATTTTTTTCCGTCTTTTTTCAGTGCATTTTACCTGGAAAATCACCGAATCAACGCGGATTCCTGTTCGAATGATTATTTTATTTCTCATCGTTTGTTTTATGTTTGATTTTTTTTAATAAGAAGAAAAAAAAGCATGTTGAATTATTCCCTCCGATCACAATTCGTTCCCCCGTTGCCCTCTCTTTCGCGCTAACTTTTTCTTTTCTTATCGATCATCACTAAATAAACTTATTTTATTGAAAATGGGTAAAACGTTTCAAATTTTGGCTCTACCGACCATTTTTCATATTATGGATCATTTGAGAAGTTGCTTGATTTATGAAAGATTGATAAAAAAAAGAAAAATTGTTTTTTTAAGTTTCAAATATAGGCCTTTATTCTCGAACAAGTGTGCTCGGTTGATAATTTTTCCTATTTTTTTCAAAAATTATAATTGAAGCTAGTTGATAATTTCTTATAAAGTTACTCATTGAAGGATTTTTATTTTATTTTAATGACTGAAAAAAAAATAATGCGAAAAAGGCTTGTTGTTTTTGAATTTCTATTAAAAAAATCGAAACAAAGAGAAAAAAAGTTTTTTTAAGTTTGTTCGTTTTTGTTTGAAGCTTGAAGGAATCTACTGAAAAATTAATCAATCTACATTTACAAAATCAAGGAACTGATTGCTGTTTTTGAATTTAATATTTAAATTATTTTTCTTATCATTAGGTAATACTAGACGGGTGTTATTCAGATAAAATGTTCAAATTTTTAGAGAAACGTTTTTCAATGTAATTTATTAAATTGATACTCTTTCACGCAATCGTTTCTTCACACTTGATTGTGAGATTTGTGAATTTCGAGGCGTTTTGAATACTTTTTTTGGTGAATATCAATTTTTCCAACGATTAAAAAGAATGAGCTTTTTCAATTCAAATCCAATAAGGTAAAAGTTTTTCGCAATATTGAAATTCACTTTTTTTGTGGAATACAGCAAAAAGTATATTTTTTTAATAACAGACGATGATTTCTGTTTCTAAACCAGTTTTCCAATAATTTTCTACAATCGCCAAACAATTTGCTCAGATCCAAAATGGAAAATATTTATTCCTCGTTCAAAAAAAGAATTTCCGCGAAATTAAAAATTAGGGATTCAACCGGGCTTAAACAAGGCCAAAAAATGCCGAAAGCTCTACGAGTTGTGCTTAAACGGGCTTAGTACGGGTACACCCGCTGAGAGCCCGGGTTTTTAGCTTTTTTTGATTCTCTTCTAGCTTGAGTCAAAAATCGTTTTTTGATTCAATTTTCATTTATTCAAGCAGAGTCATTGTATAGCATTCGAAGAAAGGGTCCTGACACGATAAGGAGAGAAATAATGCCTAGTTGGTGGAGGGCGCAGACATTTCACGCCCCCTTTTGTCCCAAGCTAGCCGTGAATCAGTTATAACTGAATTTTGGACACTTAGAGAAAATTTTGAATTTTGCGACATATACAAAAGCTTCCAAGTTTCTGAAAATCCGCTCGAAAGTATCTTTTTCCGTTCAGAAATGACGCGAAAGCGGAAAAACGTTGAGAACGGGGACGAGGGCGGGACGATCCCGGGCTACGGATACGTCGGCCCGAAAAACGAAGATCCTCCGTTGGAAGACCAATCCGAACAGTACGAACAGTGGAGGTCTCAACAGGAACGGAGGCCTTTCCCCAACAAAAATCATCGGCTTGGAGGAGCTCCATATGGAGAAAGGGCTTCTTGGAACGAGAAGGTGGGAATTTTGAAGTTTTGGAAAAGTTTTTAGTGGCCGCTATAGAGGCTCGCCAACGACACTAAAGTGGCCACTAAACCGACCTCTTAAGTGGTCACTATTTTACGTTTGAGTGGCCACTTCAGTAGATTTTTATCCAGTAACTATGATATTTTAAAAAAGAAACAGATTGGACCAGTTTTGTTGATCCACTGACCCCTAAAGAGGCCACTCAAATTTTTAAGTGGTCTAGTAGTCCTTAGACCTCTATAGTGGCCACTAGATTGACTACTATAGTGGCCATTAAAACGTCAAAACCCTATAGTGACGACTGAAAATTCTCCCAATTTCTCAACGGAATTTAGGTATTTTTTTAATTGAAAATCGAAAAAAATCATATGTTTTTACCATTGATAAAAGGACCAGTTATACGGAATTTTTATGATTATTTTACTTGTAGGAAAAAGAAATATTTTTTCTTTCTTCCCAACATTTTCATACTTTAAGTTGATTCAAGCGGTTTATAAAAATCGAATAAATTCGCAAAAATTATTTTTTTTTTACCTTAAAAACTTCCTTTAAGGCCTTGAAAAACTGAAAATATTACTTCTAATTGATTTTTAACTGATTTGTTGAAAAATTTGAATTGAAAATCCACCGGCTCTGAGCTGAAACTTCTGAAGTTTCGGAAAGAAATTTGGATGGTTTTCGATGAAAATCGTGAATAGCAGCATTTTTTTAAAAGTTTTTTTACGACATAAAAAAGCGACCAAACCGCCCAACTTTCCCATGTCACTACCATCAAGCTTTCAACAATCTTATAAGTTCCACCTGAAAAGCCAAAGTTGTGATATTCACGAACTTCCAGAAATCCAACTTTGACCAGCGACAAGACTTCCAGCAGTTTGGCCGACAGGAGGAACGAAAATACAGGGAATTCCCCAAAGAAGTCGTCAGCTACCTGAGGAAGATGGAGCAGCTCAAAAAAGAGCAGAAACTGGGTGAGGACTGGAAAATGACATGGGAGTGGAAAAAATTTTGAATTTGAAAATCTCATGATTTTGAGGGACACGAGCCAAACAAATTGAAAATAGCTTTAAAAAAAATAATTTACGAAATGATTAGAAGGCTCCTTGGCAAGACCTGTGACACATTTCAACATTATCTGAAAACGATTTGGATTTTTCGAATTTTTATGAGAAAAATCTGAAAATCATCTCCGTTATGCCACAATAAAGACGAATTTTCCTTTTGAAAACTGTTTTGACGTCATCGGTTCAGAAGACGTGATGTTGGAGACGTGCGCCCGAGAAATCGCCGGAATGGAAACGCAGCTTCTGGAGTTCCGCGAAGCGTGTACCGTGGTTCGTTTTGAACTCTTCTTTTTTTGAAAAAAATAATCGCAGCTTAAATTCATTTAAAAACGTGTTTGAATTTCATTTCCTGAATATTCGTCGAAATTATTCCGAAACATCCATCTTTTTTTAAAGAACTGCTTTTTGAACTATTCGATTACATGGCATAAGTTTATTTTTTTAATCAACTGTTTAAAAAAAGTGAAAGTTCATTTGAAAAAAATTGAAGAATTTGGTTTATAAATTGTGTTTATTCAATTCCTAGAGTGGACATGAAACACAGGTTTTGTCCTAAAAAGGGAGCACAAAAAAAAAATCGAAAAAATAGATTTTGAAACGTTTTCAAACTTCTTTTTTGTTTGCTGGTCGGATGTTAGAGAAACTTCATATCAAGAATGTTTATAAAGAAGATCTTCTGGGGTTGTGAAAAAAGGAACTCAAATGACTTTTCCTAACATTTTTGGAGGTTTTAGAGGAACTTTTCAGCTTCTTCTAGGGATCCTCAAAGGAAACTTCCCGTCTTGCATATAAATAAAATACCTTGCCAGGTGGAGAACGTGTTCGGAAGCAGCGCCAGCGGAGCCGTCCTTTTCCTGTCGGCTCTGACGAGACTGAAACACAAGCAACTGCTCGAGTTGCTCTTCACTGGAACCTCCGCCAGAACCGTCGAAAAATTGATATTTTGTATGCATCCTGTGGCTAGTATCGAACATGTTCAGGTAAAGTTTGACGTATCTTAAAAAAAATAGGGACTTCTAATGTCTATGCAGAAAAATTGATAGTTTCTTCTAAATAGATGTGAAAATTCACTTCCAAAGTCGGAAGTGCGGAAAACAGGTGCAAAAAGTAAGTGACTGCAAAGTAGTCGCTAAAAGGGTTCCGTTTCGCGGCCTTTTTTGAGCCTTTCTTTCTTGATGAGCTGAAAAGCCTTAAAAGAAGGGAGAAATAAAATGCCGCAAGAAGGGTGAAGAAAGAGTGAGGGTGCAAAAAGACTCTGAAAGTCTCCGCTATAGATGATTCCCGTTTTTTTTTTACTGTTGCTTATTTTGGTTCATACACAGTCGCTGATAAAGATTGTTCTCAATCAAAAGATTGTATTTCTTGAAAGGGTCCAAAAAGGGTGGATAAAGGCTAATGAAAGGGCGGAAAAGGCAGTAAAAAGGAAACTCTTGCCACCCGTTTAGGAACAATTAATGGAAACCTTCATAGGCAAAGTCGGAAGAACCCTCCACGGGCCCTTTGAGCGTCCGTTACGGATCCGTCTGTTTCCATTAATTGTTCCTAAACGGGTGTCAAAGGTTTCTTTTTTACTGCCTTTTTCCGTCCTTTCATCGGCCTTCGTCCAGCCTTTTTGGACCCTTTTGAGAAATACAATTTTTTTTTAAAATTAGGAATAATTTTTACAAGGGGCTGTGTATAAACCGAAATGTGCTAGGGTAATAAAATCGGAAATCATCAATAGCAGAGACTGTCAGAACCTTTTTGCACCCTCACTCTTCCTTCCCCCTTGTTGCGGCCTCTCCCTTTTTTCGCCTTTTTATGACTCTTTTCAGCCCACAAAGAAAGAAAGGCTCAGTAGAGGTCGTAAAAAGGACCCTTTTAGCGGCCATTTTGCAGTCACTCCCTTTTTGCACCCGTTTTCCGCACTTCCGACTTTGGCAGTGTTTTGCACCCATAACGGCATAGGCAAAGTCGGAAAGACCCTCCGAGGGTCCATAAAGGACCATAGAAATGTTCCTTTTAGGGTGAGGAAGGCTCTCTTTTTGCTGCCTTTTTGCACCGTTTTCTCAGCCCTTATGCACCATTTTTGCTGCCTCTCCCTTTCTCCACCATTTCTCGAGCCTTTAAAATTGCAGAAAAATGGAAGGCTCGATAAAGGGAGTCTCTTTGCTGCCTCTTTGCTGCCTTTTTGCTGCCTGTTTGTGGCCTTTTTTGAACCTCTCCCTTTTGGCAGCCATTATCCACCATTCCGACTTTGCCCGAGGGACCCTAAAAGGGTGTTTTTGACTTTGTCTATGTTGTATCAATAAATATCAAGAAAAGATCAAATCCAGGTGATTGCCAAGTTCGCGGATCTGCTCTGCGACAACTGGAAAGACACGATCTTCGACCAATCGGCGTCCTTCGTCATGCGCTGTATCGTCCGCGTCGTTTCCGGCCTGGGTCCCCGGAAGAATGCGGTTTTCCTCGAATCAAATAAAGAATAAAGGAGTTTTCTCGTTTTCAGACGTTAGGATTTATGTTAGAGGAGGCCGAATTCACGAATAATGAGGTGAAGGCCGAGCTGAAGTCGATCTACGAGAAGATCGCCCAGCTCGCCTTCGATTTTAAGTTGAACTCGGGTTGGTTTTTTTGTTGGATAATCTTGGAAAATGGGAGATTTATAACGTGAATTTTTTTGAAGAGGGGGAGGGAAGTTGAGTAAGTAAAAAAAGAGTATATTTACGAAAAAGAAATTTGAGAATTTTCAAAATTCTATAAATTTGATCAGTTTTGTCATTTCTTAACAGTTTTTTTCATAGTTTTTGTGGTACTGGATTTTTCTAATTTTGACCTCAAAAATGATTAAAATTGCTTTTTTTCCTCACATCTTTTTAATTTTATTCAAAAAAATTAATTTTGAGAGGGTTTTTTTCAATCTTTTTTTCATAAAGATTTTGCCAGGAAAATTTAGAAGATTTTTTTAAAGTTTTTCTTTTTCGTTTTTTTCTTGCAATTTTCAGTTCGACCAATAACCATTAATTTAGGAAATTTCATTTTTATTATTTTTTTGTTTTGTAATATTTTTGAATCATCAAATTTCAATAATTTCATTTGTTTAGTATTGTCCCATAACGTGGCTTGGTTTTTGATAATTTAGAAATTTTTGGTTTTTTGAGCTCGTAGCTCTGATTCCTGTTTCTACTCAGGGATCATAAAGTTTCAACTTTTTTGTTTTGTTATTCGACGTTTCAGTTGGGAGGTATACTGGAAAAGTCGGCCAGTTCGGTCGGTTTGGTAAACTAGGCCACGCCGCAATTTTGCTCCATGAAAAACGAATTTCCGACTTTTTTTTTCCTTTCTTTTATCAGTTTTCTAGGATATAAGACACATGCTCCTCACTTCGAACCAAACCGTTCCTTATTTATAATTGTTTCCCTAGGTATAGTCTGTTCAGATTTTGAATGTCAAGAAGCTAACTCCGCCCCTGCCGAGACGGTACCCTTTCGCGTCGATGTTTCATCGCGCGGGACTAATTTTGATCTTTTTCAATCTAAAAGATAGAAAAAGAAGTCAAAAAAGCAGCCTTATTAAAGGTCCATTGGCATATGTAGCTAAAACATTGACGCGAAAGATATTATAGCCTTGGGGGTGAAGTTAGCTGCTTGACATTCAAAATCTGAACAGACTATAATGTTTTACCTTTTGTTGGAGGTAATTTTGTTTCTTGCCTTTTCTTTGTTTTCTATTTTACACATTATCTCATTTTTCGATTGCTTATGATTTTTAATTTCGCTCGTTTGGTTATATGTAGTTCTTGGTATCCAAAAAATAAATAAGAATTTTCAAAAATTGAATCAGTTTATAATTTTAAATGTAGTAACCATCGTATTTTGCTCGCGTGAAAGATACAGTTGAATGAAAAAAATATAAAACCTTCTTAGTAAAGTTTAAAAAGAAAGAAAAAAATTCAGAAAAGAAAAAAACAGTTCGAAATTTTAAGTGTTCCATGGAGCAATATTGCGGCGTGGCCTTGTTTTCCAAACTGACCGACCGACTTTTCCAGCATGCCCGATTGCGATCCATATGATGCCGTGTTATTCCGCGAAATCCAAAACATATATCCGTCAGAGAAAGAATAAGACAATTGAATTTTGGAGGGGCAGAGATAAGAATATCGGCTTTCGCGAAAATCACATTGAACATGATGATTTGAATAGAATTCAGAAAATTATTTATTCAATTCAATCATTTTTTAAAAGTAATTTTCGACTTTTGCAGGCGAGGAGAACGAAATGATGGTTTCTTTCGTTCTTCAAGGAGTCGCCAATGCCGAGGCGAACTGGAAAAGCGGCCGTGTCGATGAATATGTCCAGAATATCGTCTCCAAAGAACATGCTGGTTTGGAGTTTGCTGTAGAAAAAAATATAAAGATGGAATTTTTTTGGTTTAAGAATGGTGCCGTCGCTGTCCTAAAAATGTCGCGATTTGCGTTTTTATTTATATACAGTAGCGAGAATGGGAGAGGCAACAAACGGCTTTTTAACGATATCTCCGCTGAAATTGATTGGTTTGAGCTGAAATTTCGCAGGATTGTATTAATCAGAGTGACCAAAAAGGAAGTATGGAAGGGAATCCCACGAAACGACCTTGATGAACTCATCGACTTCCTGGCACGTCGATGTCAGGCGGTTCTTGATGAAAATGGTCACGCAACAAAATATTAACTCTATTTCTCAGATTTTTAAATAAAAATGTATTTTGCTCATCATATATTTCTTTCTACGCATGTTTATTGTTGTACAGCAGTTTTTCGATTTCATGAATTTTTTTGAAAAACGTTTTTCTCAGCCTTGTCTTCGAGTAGGATGACTATTTTTTTCGCAATATCGTTGGTCACTCTGATTAATACAATCCTGCAAAATTTCAGCTCAAACCAATCAATTTCAGCGGAGTTGTCGTTAAAAAACCGTTTGTTGCCTCACCCATTCTCGCTACTGTAGATGAAAATTCAGAGTTCAATAAAGAGGCTAAAGGAAGGAAAAGAAGAAATGAAAGCTCAGATTCAAAAAGCTTTTATAGAATTCAATTATGATCCACATTGCTCATGTTGTTTTTCAAAGGGTCGATGCAAATTTTTCTACCTCGTTATTTTTTTAATTTGGTTCAGAAATTGTGGTGCGAAAAGAAAATTTGTATGAATCATTAAAAAATCGCCCAAATTTTGAGGATGTGTTGGAGAATTATGGACGCTCTATAACGGAAAAAGAATATTAGGATGTAAATATTTATTGCGAAATAGTTTTTAAAAGAAGGTACAGAGAAAGAATATTTATTAAATCTATAACGAATTCATCAGTTTATTGAGAACCAGGTAGCATTGTTAATGTATTTTTTTCAGCCGAATCGATCCAGAAACTGTGGTGCGGGAAGAACAGCTCCCGGTTCTGGGAGTGCATCGTGGCGGTGTGTCGGGAAGAAACGCGGTCCGCCATCTGGATGGCCTCCCTCGCCGACAACTTCCATTTCTATTGCACCCACGAGTTCGCCAACTTCCCCCTCCAGCACTTCATGATCAACGCCACGTCTTTTGAATTGGTCATTTTTCGAAAAATGATACGAAAAAGTCATAGGAAAAATGGAAAAGTTCCTTCTAGGGCCTTTAGAAGGAGCTTAAAAGGTCCCTTTCAAAGGCCTTAAATTTATGGAAAATGATTTATTGAGCTCCCTTTTCATAGCTTCCAAGAATCCTTTTTTAATATCCTGTAGCCTTTTTTAGGTTATTTTGAGCAATTTTTTTATCAGAAGAAGTGAAAAATATCTTTTGGGGGACCCTTAGAAATTCTTTTTTTGAAAGAATCTTCTGAGAAACATTCAAAAAGAGCCTCAAGGGTTCCCGCCACTTTTTCTACGGTTAAAAAAATCAAAAGTTGAACATAATTTACTCCAGGCCAACGAGATAGCCGACGGAATCTTTGGACAAATCCCCGAACTCCTGGCCAACCATCGGGAAGGCGTCGTCCGGGCTGCCCTCCATTGTGTGGCGCGTCATGAATCCCTTCAGGAGCCCATTTTGAAACAGCTTCGCACGGTTTTCAGGGCTAATAAGGTGAATAAAGGGGATAAATTTGTTGCAAAATTCACTTCAAGAAAATGCTAATTGAAGTTTTGGGGCGAGATGAAGCGGCATTTGTGTGAAAAAAATCAAGTGAGCGTTTAAAAAAAGTTATTATGAGTTTTAAGTGCTCCAAGGTCAAGGCCAAACAAGCATGATTTTTTCAAAAAGGCCCGTTTTAAAAACAGAACAAGTTTTTTTTGCTCCAAAGTACCGTTTTGCTCATTTTTAAGCTGCTTTTTTGTCTGTGAAGCTCAAAATTATTGGATTATTCTTCATATGGAGACTGGAATTTCCAGCTTTGAGTTTTCGTTTTTTCATGTTATACTGGGAAGTATTTTAGTGGCCACTATAGGGTTTTGATGTTTTAGTGGCCACTATAGAGGTCTAAGTGCTACTACTAGACCACTAAAAGTTTTAGTGGCCAATTTAGGGGTCAAAGGATCAACATAACTAGTCCAACCTGTTTGTTTCGAAATTATCAGAGTTACTGGAAGGAATACTGGATGAAAAACTACTGTAGTGACCACTAAAACGGGAAATAGTGGTCACTGTAGAGGTGGGTTTAGTGGCCACTTTAGTGTCCTCTCCAAGTAGTCCTTGCGAGCCTCTACAGTGGCCGCTAAACATTTTCCCAGAGCGATTAATTAAAAACTGATGATTTGTGAAGTCAGTCTCAAAAAAAAAGAAGGAACATACAAATCATAGAAGCCGTTAGAATTTTGTATTGCAGGTCTCTAATAAAACCTCGTTTCTGTACAACGTCCTGACGAATAATCGGTACGACGGAGAGGTTTTCGACGTCGAAAAGAGTACTTTACAGGTTCTTGAATTGATTTGATAGCAAATCAAGAAATTTTTAATGTTCAGGGAAGTCTATTGTTGGCCTTGCTTCTGAGGTTCACGAAAACGAAGACTTTGAGCGCCTGTATCGATATTATTCCGCCGGAGACGGTCAGGGAAATGGTAATTTCTTTTTATTTATTCAAAATACGTTTAGAGAATCTCGTCTGAAAGTTGAGAAAATTTTCTAAAAATGTTTATTGATGGTTTTTTGGTTTTGCTAGAATTTTCTAGGTTTCTAAAATCGCTTTCCTCAACATTCTAGGTCCCTAAATTTAAATAGAAAATTTCGAGCTTTTTTTAGTGGTCTGGCGTTTTTTGTTTAAGAAAAAGGAGAAAAATAGCATGAAGAGTGAATTTTTGGGGATTTCTTTGAAATTTCAAACTCATATTCTTTCTTGAGCTCATTGAGGTTTTTTTGGAACCTTCCAAATTTTTAAATCGGTGAAATGGGTAATTCAAAGTATTTTTTATCAGCGTAGCGTTTTTTTCGAGTTCAAAGTTGAGAAAAAGAGAAGCATAACTGGCTTCTGAAGACTTTTTTGTGTCAATTATAAAATTTAAAAGTTTAGAACGGGCTGATAAAAGCAAATTTTACCGATTTATTTGTAATTTTTTTGCAAAATGGTTTTTTATTGAAAGAATGGTGAATTTTTATTTTTTTGGTTTTTGTGCTTTCGCTAATATTCAATGAAAAGATCTAATATTTTTGATATTACGTTGGTTTTTTTCAAATAAAGGGTTTTTAATAGTTTGTGAATATTTTTCAGATAAAGCCTTATTTTAAAGTTTCAAATTGCGTTGATGAAATAATTAAGAGATCTTCACTTTGATATCAAATTTTTCTTTTTGATGAATTTAAAAAAATGTTTCAGCTCACAGTTTCTCGCAAAGGTTAAAGAGAACGTTTCAATTTCTTTTCATTAATTAAAACTGAATGTTTTTCTCTATTTTTTTCTCTATTTTTGTAGGCCACCAACAAGACGGCGAATCACGTGATTCAGGAGATTTTCCTGAGCAAAACGCTGGATTCCGAGACGAAAACTAAAGTTGCCGATTCACTTCAGGTATTTATGCGGAGAAAAGGACGATTGGATAATTTTAGAATGGTCTAGGAGGACTGGGAATCGGTTATCAACACAACTTATGGAAGTTTCGTGTTCGAGAAAGTTTGGGAATGGTACGAAGTCCGGAAGAAAATCGAAGTGATGCAGAAGCTTTCCCAGGCTAAGGTAATCATCATAGGGAAAATCTCCAGTGGGCACTTAAGGGATTCCAAAAGGACTACTTGGGAAGGACTCTAAAGTGGTCACTAAAACCCCTACTATAGGAAATTTAGTATGTCCAGAAGGTCTTTGAAGGTCTTAGAAAACTCTAGTGGCTACTTAAGTGGTTCCTCAAGGAGCATTGGGAGAGGACACTAAAGTGGCCACTAAACCCACCTCTATAGTGGCCACTATTTTCCGTTTTGGTGGCCACTTCAGTAGTTTTTCATCCAGTGTTCCTTCCAGTAACTCTGATAATTTTAAAACAAACAGATTGGACCAGTTATGTTGATTCATTGACCCCTAAAGTAGCCACTAAAATTTTCAGTGGTTTAGTAGTAGCACTTCGACCTCTATAGTGACCACTAATTTTCAACCCCTTAAGTGGCCTCTCATTTGACTACTATAGTGGTCACTGGAACGTCAAAACCCTATAGTGGCCATTAGAATTTTACCCAGTCAGTTCATAACTTTGTTAAGAATGGTATAGTGGTCCCTAGAGAGGCTAGAGAAAAAAAAATCAGGCGTTAAAGTAGCCCCTGGAGGGTTTAAATTGAGTGGTCCCTATAGGGGTCTAGGGTCTGACCTTTAAGCCCCTGAAGTTTAAGTGTACCTTATAGTGGTTTTTTTGTTTTTGTTCATAAGATGAAAGGGATAAATACGTATCTGATAATACTCGATCGTTTTCTTGATATGTTTTTTTATTCAAAAAACGCTAATTTATTCATTTTTTTGCATGGAAATGTTTCTCCTTGGTGAGTTGAAATTTAAAAAAATGAGAAATTATTCCCTAGAGTGGCCCCTTGCAATCTTTGGTGCCCCTTATAGAGATAATGTGGCCTTTAAAAGGGCAACCTTCAAATGCCTCTTTGGATTTCTGGCAAAAAGGGTCCTTTTTTCGAAATTTGGCGATTTTTAACTGAAATTTTCGATTTTCCCAAATTTTTTCAACTTTTTCATATTTTTTTTCCCTGTAGGGCTCGACAAAGTTCTTCAAATTCGCCATGTTGAAATGCGACCTGCAGCTGTTCCGCAAGAATCGCGTCGAATGGATCAATAAATGGAAGAAAAAGAAATGAACATTTTCTTCCTAAAATCTGTTTTACCGTTGTTTTTTCTGTTATCTGTTATTGTACTGTTTGTTGTGTGTTTGTTTTGTTTTTTCTTTGGTTCAAAATTGAAAATTTCCCTTGCCTTTTCCTTACTTTTGGCGCTTTCGAAGCGATTTCGGGAAAATTGATTAAGTGACCACTTGGAAATGTGGTATGTTCAGGTTTTGAAGGTCTAGTGACCGCTTAAGAGGATCTCAAGGAGTATTTGGAGAGGACACTATAGTGGCCACTATTTTCCGTCTTAGTGGCCACTATAGTAGTTTTTTTCATCCAGTATTCCTTCCAGTAACTCCAATAATTTTAAAGTAAACATATTGGACCAGTTATGTTGATCCATTGATCCCTAAAGTGGCCACTAAAAGTAGCACTTAGAACTCTAGAGTGGCCATTGCTTTGACTGCTGTAGTGGCCACTAAAACGTCAGAACCCTCAAGTGACCACTAAAAGTATTTTTAGGCAGGTCCTAGCTCAAGTCCCGCCCCTAAAACCGTGACAAAATTTTTCGAATGACGTCATTTCACTTGATATCCAAAATCTGAACAGACTATTCTCACAAAAACCCTCCAGGGAATCCTCAATTTTGTTCCGAACCCCCCGCGAAATCACTTTCAAGTGCCTTCCCCTGTTGAACTTTTTTCCAAATTCTATGTATTCGCTAGACTTTTTTTCTCTTCTCATTTTGTGCTTTATGAAGTTTTTCGTTACAGGTTGGAATGTATGAAAAAAAAAGGAACCGCAGAAATTTTTTCGGTCGCAAATACTGGAAGAACGAGTCGCGTAGTATGCACTGTGTACATGTAAACGCGAAAAGAAGAAAAAAAACTGAACACTTGAACGGTTGAGAAAGGTTTTTTGGACTATTTGTAAGCAAAAGAGTGGTTTATTTGCTCTTTTTTGGATAGAAAAAGGCTGATAATGACGTCATTTATATGTGAAAAATGACGTCACTTCTTACGAGAGAAAAATGACGTCATTAAAGCATTTATTAAAGAAATATGACGTCAATAGAACAAGTCAACAGAAGTATATGAAGTCATTTAATAGCCCTTAACGATACATTTTCAAAATTTTAATGACTTGTGAGCTAGAGAGTTAAGGGAAAGAAGAGACGCAGAGAAAAGTATTCCCGCCGTCTCCAATTTTTACACACTCTCTAGCTTGAAGTTATTACTCATGTTCTTATCAAATAAATCGATTTGAGTTCTAATGACGTCATCAGAGCCCAAAAATGATTTTTCAAACTTCACGCTGACGTCTTTTTGAGAAAATATGACGTCATACGGATTTTTTTCGATTCACAACGTTTTTTTTCCGGGCTGGAAATTTGGTCCTGTTCATTTCAGAGGTTTTTAAATTTCATTGAAAAATTAATTGTTTTCAGGATGATGACGTCATTTCTTTGCGGGTTTTCTGACGAATTATGACGTCATCGAAACTCCAATTCAAAGAGGAATGAGAAAAAAATGACGTCATCTTTAAAATAGTGAGTTTTTTGCCCTGGAAATTATGTGAGTTTTGAGAACTTGTTGAGCTTTTCTGAATAAAATTGGAAAAGACTTTTCGTTTCGATATATTTTTGTAAACTACACTTTTTCTTCTTAGAATTGAAAAAAACGAAAAAAATGACAATATATTGTGTCCTTCCAAAGAAAAGTGAGTTTAGCGTTTCAGGGAAAGTATGATTTTTCAATACTCATTTTTGTTTTTTGTTCACAGATCTAACACGGGAAGTGCGAAAGGTCGAGGTATTGGAATTTAATGAAACTTGGTATATAGGTACTTCCGAACACCCTGAATCCAAAAAAGTTGAAAAAAAGTGCGCCTTTTTTGTTTTAGTCGAGTTAGGGCGCCTCAAAGTTTGCACGCAAAAATGCATTGGAAGGGAGGAGGAAATGTGTTGCGGCGGCTAACTCTAGCTGCCAGCAGGCGGCGTGGTGTAGTGGCTAGCGGCCTTGCGTTGTGAAACCTATGATGCAGGTTCGGCCCCTTTTTGGTGAAATTTTATTTTTTTGCCAATTTTTAATTGAAAAATGAAGAAGTTTTGATGATGGAGTGAAAGAACAGCTCAAAATTTTGAAATTCACCATTTTATGCCCATCTGAGAAAGAATTTCGACAAAAAATTTTTTTGCTCCATTTTTCCTTGCCTAACCATAAGGCTTATGGTCGACCCATTCTTTCAAAAAATTTCTGATGAACCAATATAATCAAAAGTTTTATGAGATTTTTTCTTCTTTCCTTCCTTTATGACGTTATGTGTAAAAAAATGTGTATCAAAGCCCAGCTTCACTTCATTTTCACAATCGAGATGATATGGCGATGCTGCATGGAATGAAAAAAAAGACAAGGAAAAGGGTTAACTAGCCGCCATCTTTGAAGAAAAAGATCGTTTGATGAATAAGAATAGAAGCATAGAACTACAATAAGTTGTTATTTATATCACAAACCTATGAACTCTCGCAAGAATAATCTCGAGGCCCAAATTTCCTGCACAGAGCAGGAAAAAGACTAAAAAAATTTTTGTTGAAAGTCTTTCTCAAAAACGACATAAAATAGTGAATTTTAACACTTTGGACGGTATTTTTTTCGTTCCATCTTAAAAATTCATCAATTTTTTTCGAAAAAAACTTCATGGCAAAAATTTCACCAAAAAGGATCCGAACCTGCATCATAGGTTTCACAGCGCAAGGCCTCTAGCCACTACACCACGCCGCCTGCTGGCAGCTACAGTTAGCCGCCGCAACACATTCCCTCCTCCCTTCCAATGCAATTTTTGCGTGCAAACTTTGAGGCGCCCTAACTCGACAAAAACCAAAAAGGCGCACTTTTTTTCAACTGTTTTGGATTCAGGGTGTTCGGAAGTACCTATATACCAAGTTTCATTAAATTCCAATACCTCGACCTTTCGCACTTCCCGTGTAAGAGAGCTCGAGCGAATAACCTCTGCTTCCGGAAATGAGTTAATAAATAGATATTTGAAATCTGTGCGAAGTTTCAAGTCATCCGAACCTTTTTCAAAGAATTTTTGCTCGAATAACCATTTTTAAATACCTTTATGGCCAGTACTGCACATAAATTACTCTCATTTGAACGTTTGAGAAAATCGGTGATATTTCTACCTTTTTTCTCGATTTTTACGAACTCTTTTTTTGGTTTTTGACTGGACTCAAAGTCGGAAAATCAAAAAAAAAAAATTAGGATAGTCTCTGAAAAACTCAAGTTTGCGGAACAATTTTCGTTTCAGAGCGTTTTTTGTTCCGTTTTGAAGAGAAATCCGGACTCTACGTCATAAATAATGTCATATAGCACCTATCTTTTTGTCCTTTAAAAGAAATAGATAAAGAAAAAAAAAATGACCTGAACTATAAAAAAACGTTCGCAAAAAGTGGGCGGAGCTTTGGGGGCCCTACCTACTTTTTGGATTTTTTTCGGAGTCTAGAGGCTATTTTTTTCTTTTTCACACTTTTTTCTTGTCTATACTTTTTTAAAAAGTCGTCTATGCTTCTTTAAATAAAAGTATCGAAAAGAAAAAAAAATCAACCATTTCTACGGTGATCAGCCCACAGTATCAGAAGCTAGCGGAACATAAAAAGTTCCTCTGATTTTTTTTTCTTTTTGAAAACTAGTTTCCGTGTTCCAATCCAGTAGTCTAAACCAAAATTCACACTTGTTTCTTGTCTTTCCTCTACGCTCCCTTAAATAAAAGTATCAAAAAAAGATCAACCATTTCTACGGTGATCAGCCCACAGTATCAGAAGCTAGCGGAACATAAAAAGTTCCTCTGATTTTTTTTTCTTTTTGAAAACTAGTTTCCGTGTTCCAATCCAGTAGCCTAAACCAAAATTCACACTTGTTTCTTGTCTTTTCTCTACGCTCCTTTGAATAAAAATTGTCGAAAAGAAATGAAAATCAAGCTTCTACGGTCATCCGCACACAGTATCAGAAGCTAGCGGAACATAAAAACTAGTTCTGCTGGTTATTTTTCCCTTTTTGGAAACTAGTTTTAGTGTTCCAATGCAGTAGACTGAACCAGTCGCGTCAACACTCGAAATGGAACGCTATCCGTACATTTCTCTAGTACCCGACAACAATAGTCGTATACACGAAACGTGTGCCGATGGAAAAGAACACGGCGGCGCGAAAATCTCCACGTGAACCGGCGGCGGCTCTTCCCGGCGTGAAAAACCAGCGGCGCCGGACCGATTAGCCGCCGGCGGCTTAGGCGCCACGGGGAGAGTTCTGTTGCCCCAACCATCTTTTCCTCGTTACCTGTCTTTTTTCTCACTTTGATTGGTTTTAATGGAATATTTTCCTTTGCTTTCATAAAACACTGGGAAAATTCTTAGTGGCCACTATAGAGGCTCGCCAAGGACCCTGAAGTGGCCACTAAAACACACCTCTATGGTGCCCACTATTTTCCGTTTTAGTGCCCTCTTCAGTAGTTTTTCACCCAGTATTCCTCCCAGTAACTCTGATAATTTTAAAACAAACAAATTGGACCAGTTATATTATTCCATTGACCCCTAAAGTGGCCACTAAAATTTCTAGTAGTAGCACTTAAACCTCTATAGTGGCCCCTAATTTTTAATCCCTTAAGTGGCCACTAATTTGAATACTACAGTGGCCACTAAAACGTCAAATCCCTATAGTGGACACTAAAAATTTTCCCAGCAGACGTCAGAGAATAGAAAAGATAACTGAATTTCGGAGAGGCAGAGATAAATTTGAGTTCCGCGCAAATTATTTTCAGTACGGCTTGAGTTTTAGGACATGTTCAAATCGCCACAACTTGATTTTGAGCTTTTTTTGATACATTTTAGGATATTCAAAGACTTGCTTCAATATAACGTTTATTTCAACTAAAAGTCCAGCCAAAATAAAAATTGTCCTTTTTCGCAAACACGCAGTTGTCCCGGCTCAAATTCGGACTTTCACAGCAAACTTCAAAACCTTTATCTGAAACTGAAGAAGTAGGACCAAGTCAAATATTTTTTTCTTACCATAGTATGGATTTTTTTGTCAAAAGGTTCATATAAAAGTTCTTTTTTTCTAGGTTTTTTTGTCGATTTTTTTGAGCTTTTCATTTGCTCATTCAAATTTTCCGTTATAAGCTTTTTCTTTCTAGGTCAACAATCTTCGCTTTGGAAGAAGAAGTTCATTTTTTTGACAAAAAGGGAAATTTTAACTTGAAAAAAATAGCTCCAATGTTGGAAATTCCCATTTATTTGCTTTTTTTCAAAAAAATTTTTAATAGTACAGGTCGACTAGAAAAATGGTTCTGGAAGATTCATTTTACTAGGAAATTTGAAATATTTTAATTTTTGCTCGAATACTTGGCTGAAGTCCCTGAAAATCGTGATTTGAACAGATTTGAAATCGTTGAAAAAAACAAATTTGATTATCAGTTTGCTTACTAGGGAACGTTTTTCACACCAGTAGATCTTGTTTTCGAGTTAGGACGCTTCAAAAGCTTGAAAGAGCGCTCTTTTGTCTTAATTTGCGTATTTTGGAGACTTTGAAGCTTCTTAACTCGAAAAAGAGATCTATTGCGAAAAATTTTTTTTTGTTCTGGAATCAGAAGCTCCTAAAGTACAATTCAGCAGGGTTTCATCAAAAGCTCAAGGGGGTTAAAAACGTTTTCTAGTAAGCAAACTGATCATCAAATTTGAATTTTTCAACGATATAAGGATTTCAAATCTGTTCAGATTACGATTTTCAGAAACTTCGGTCGAATATCGAGCTAAAATTTAGAAAAATTTAAAATTTCCTAGTGGAGTGAATCTTCTAAACGTTTTCTAGTCGACCTGTACTATTGAAAGTTTTTAAAAAGCAAATAAATCGGAATTTTTTTAACATTGAAGCTAATTGTTCAAATTAAAATTTCCCTTTTCGTCAAAAGAATTGAACTTCTTTTTTTCAAAGCGGAGGCGGAGCTTGAAAAAAAGCTAGGATCGAAAAACCGCGTAAAAATCAAGAAAACAGATTTTTTTATATGAAGCTTCTGGCAAAATTTCAACTTTAAAAATTTTCCATACTACGGTAAGAAAAATATTTGCCTTGGTCCTACTTTTTCAGTTTCAGTCACAGGTTTTAAAGTTTGCTGTGAAGTCCGAATTTGATCCGGGACAACTGCGTGTTTGCGAAAAAGGACAATTTTTATTTTGGCTGGTCTTTGAGTGTGGTAAAAAATGTTCCTTTTAAGACTTTGGTTTTTTCAGAAAAACAATTTTCCTTTTTAAAAAAACTAAGAACTCAGGATTTTTCCATCAATGAAAATCCCAACTTTCAGTGTTAAATAACTATTTTTTTCAATACTAACAATACTGTTGAAAATTTTTTTGATTTTGTGATTTTTTTCAAGCTTCCAAAATTCGCTCCAATGAACTATTCTTCTGATTGGCTGGCCACGCCCTTTTTCTTCAGTTAATCGAAAACCGTGTTCGTTAGAGCGAATTTCATAAGACCATGCTCAAAATGAACAAGCAAACTATACGTACAAGCGAATCGCTTCCGCAGAACAGTACGTTCAAGCTGCGGAAACCACGCCCCCTCTGGAAATCTGTTTGCGTGTGCTCTCTTGCTCCGATATTTCCTGTGTTTGTGTATTTGTCTCTCTCTCTCCCTCTCACTTGAATCTTTTTTTCTTCCGTTTTTCGACTGCAACCGACCGAGAGACTGACTCACTGACTGACTGACTGACGGTTTCATTTCGACACGCCGATTTTTCAATGCGCGCCGAAACGACCACGCAGCCGCACCAGCAACAGCTTCATCTCGTTCTTCCCGAACAGTAAGCCTTTTTTTTGGATTTTCTGGAATTTTTTTGAAATTTTTTCCGAATGGAAAAGCACTCAGAAATACTGTGGAAAACGTTTTTTTCGTCCAAGTCCAAGGCACTTCTTTCTTCCTGAACAGTTAGCCCTTTGTTTTTGGAATTTTCTGGAATTTCTCTCAAGTTAGGGAGCGTTTTTTTGAAAGAACGGGTCTAGATCAAGGACCTCGGACTTTTTGAACAGTTAGCCTTTTTTTTTTTGGATTTTCTGGAGTTTTTTTGAAAGTTTTTTCGAATGGAAAAGCACTCAGAAATACTGTAGAAAGCGTTTTGAGAAAAAAAGAGCTGGAGAAAATTTAACACACCTCTTCCCGAACAGTTAGTCTTTTTTCGTATTTTTCCCTGATTTTATTTGAAATTTCTACTCTTAAAAAAAAACTAAAAATTGTTTGCTTTTAAACAGTTAGCCCTTTTTTCGGATTTCTTAAAATTTTTTTCAAGTTAGGGAGCGTTTTTTGAAAGAAATGCGCGGTTAAAAATGTGTAGAAAATTTTTTCGTGATTTTTATCTTTTTTTTTCAAGGTGAGCATTTTTTCAACAGGAAAAAGCAATTAGAATAGCTGTAGAAGGTTTATTCTTGCCTGATTTTCGATTGTTTTTTCCACCTTTTTTGTTTTTTACAGTTAGAGAGAATTTTTTGAAAAAAGGAGCACTTAAGGTTTTTTCGTCGGAACCTATGCATTCTTCCTGAAAAATTAACTTTTTTTTTTCTGATTCTCTCCTTTTTATTTCGAATCAGAGAGCATTTTTCAGAAGGAAAAGGCGCTATTTTTTTTTCAAAAGGTGTTGTTCAAAAGTTCGTCTGTAGGAATATATTGAAGCTTATAAGTTTTTCTTTGTCACTTTTGAGACCGTTTCGAAAATTAAAAGCACCCAAAACAGCTCTATCTCGTTTTTGCTCAAAAGTTTGTCATTATTGGATTTTTACCTTTTTATTAGAGAAAACTTTTTGAAAGGAATAGCTAACTTAGGAACGTTTTTTTTCCTCACTCTCCCCTCCTTAAAATTATGGCGAAGGGGGGCGGGGACAAAAACGTTCCCTATTATGGAAGATTTTCTTTTTTGGCTTAAGCCTCAGCCACCTCTTTCTCTCTGAGCCATTTTTTGAATTTATTGGTGTTTCTTTAATTCAATTTTTTCCGGAAAGTCTTGAAAGGGGGTTTTTTCGTTTTCTCTCTTAATTTTGAATTTTTCTTGTAACTCCGCCTTTCATCGACTCGATAAAAATGTCCTTCATAGAAAATAACTTCATCAAAAAATTTCCAAGGGTTTTTTTTGAATACATATATGCTATTTGTTTAACCCCAAAAAAATTATAAATCAATTTATTTCCAGTAAATATTGACCAAGAGAAGTTTCTTGAATTTACTTTCCTTGTCCAGAATACCTATATTGCTTGCAAAAGCAAACATCTTCAAAATCTAGTTTCGGTACTCGAAAACAACCGTGAAAAGAAGAAATCGAAGCATAAAAGTTTCAGTTTGTTTTGTTCAAAATGACTTTAAAATAATATTTGAATTTTTGATGATTTAAGTATAAGTTGATTGATCCAATCCATCGAAATTGTTGAGTTTATTTTTCCTTTATTATCCACAAAAACTTGATAGGTGAAGGATTTTAACGTTTTTTTCGTAATCCCGTTCAGAGACTTTTATTAAAAATTTATTTTTTTTTTTTTATAGGACCTTAATTTCTTACCAAGGTCAGGAATCTCGATTCCCATAGGCTTCACTTTTTCATACGGCTTTATCTTCTTCGCTCAGTCAAGTCGTTCAAGAGCACGAACTAGAGAACGTTTTTACCCCCGTTCAATTTTTAATAAACTTTGCTAAAGTGTACTTTAGGACCCCCTGATTCCAGATCAAGAAGAAAATTTCTCCCAATAGATCTCTTTCTCGAGTTAGGACTCTTCAAAAGCTTGAAATAGCGTTTTTTGTCGTTATTTGTGTATTTTGAAGCTTCATAACTCGAAAAAAAGATCTATTTCGAGACATTTTTTCTTGTTCTGCAATCAGGAAGTCTTAAAGTACACTTGAGCATGGTTTCAGCAAAAGTTCAACCCGGGGGGAAAAACGTTCCCTAGACAAACCCACGACTCTCGACCAGACAAACGACAAGAAATGACTTTTAAAAAAGGAAAAATGATAGCTTTGCGTCTTATCTTTTGATCTCCAAGTGGTCCTTCTCGGGTTACTGCTTTGGAAAATGACCCCTTGGATGCCTACTCATTTTTACTCCTTCCCTACAAGGGCCACTTCACGTTTTTTCCAGAAAGTAGCCAAGAATTAATTGTTGAGTATGTAGAATAATAGATCACGTAAAAGATAAAACTACTATATAAAGGGCTGTCTTCCCAGAACCTCACAGATCAACTCGCTCTCCCTCGACCAGCCGGTCGAGGTCCCGCCCTCGCCTACGGACCCGAACCTCGATCTGAGATCTCATCCTGATCGCCATTAAGTATGGGTGGGAATAAGAATATGGTCTGTTCAGGTTTTGAAGTTCAAGTGGTCGCTCAAGCTCCGCCCCCTAATGGTGCGATAAACCAATCATCCACAGAGCGTTTTCGAATGAACTCATTCTACTTGACATTCAAAATCTGAACGGACTATACCGGAACAAAATTTCTACAACATTCTTTATGTAAACCTCTTTGAAAGAATGGAAAAGCTCTAACAAAAATGAGGGTGTACCCCGAAAAAAGTGGAAGTTGATGTTTCCGGTGCACCCCGCGTTGTACCAGGATGGCGTCCACCCCTGGGGCAACCGGTCGGACTGGTAAAAAATTTTTTAAGCTACATTTCTAACAGCCTGGACTGTAGAAAATGTTATTGGGAAACAAATTGTTTAGAAACCGTGTACGGAATAAGTACCTTAATAGGATCTAAAGCTAAACGGGTGTACCCCTGGTTACTGCGGGGTGCGCTGAGGGTCTGACGCGGGGTGCAGCGAGGGTCCGACGCGGGGTGCGCCGAGAGTTCCACGCGGGACGTCGGTCGGGGCCGAGGAGGAGAGCGAGTTGAACAAAAGTTGTGAGGACAGACCTTCATATAGTAGTTATCTTTCACGTGATCTATCATACATACCCAAAAAAAAATTGAAAAAAGGAAAAATTCCTTGAACATCTTGTTCACCAAGAAGAGACGGGAAAAATTGCTACGGATTAAAAATTAATGCCGTGTTCATCGGAGAAACGGAACACGCTTCAAAACGAAACCCTTCCCTTCTAGACACGTGGTCTGTCTCCCTGCATGCGCCTTCAATAAAGCTTCTTATTAAAGGCGCATGCAGAGAGACGGTCCGCGCGCATCGAAGCGAAGAGTCCTGTAGCTCGGGGATGGATGGCGAAAATTAAAAGGCGAAAAAATGTTTCTTTTCCAAGAGATCTTGAAGTACCATAAAAGTAATTTTCATTAGAAGTTCGTTTTCAGGAATGTCGACTATCTGCCGCTTCAAGTGATCGACGACGGCGAGGTCGTCGTCCTCGACGAACATCACAAGTGTGACGACGTCTTCTCCGCCGTCCAGAATCGGCATCTCAGCTGTTTGGCCAAGTTGGTTTCTTTTGAATTTCCTGGGGAAGTTTGGAGTGGCCACTAAAACGTTTTGACGTTTCGGTGGCCACTATAGTGGTCAAGTTAGTGGCCACTATAGAGGTCTAAGTGCTACTACTAGACCACTAAAAATTTTAGTGGCCAGTTTAGGGGTCAATGGATCAAAATAATTGGTCCAATCTGTTGTTTTTAATTTTCAGAGTCACTGGAAGGAATACTGGTGGGAAAATACTGGTGGCCACTAGAACGGAAAATAGTGGTGGGTTTAGTGGCCACTTTAGTGTCCTCTCCAAGTAGTCCTTGGCCAGCCTCTATAGTGGCGACTAAAAATTTATATGGGGAAATATGCAAAGTATATGTCCTCCGTACTCAAAAACACGACCTTGAGGACGCCAGAGTGGTCCCCATAGGGCTTAGAGAGAAAATTTGACTTCTATAACACAATAATGGAAGCAAGAGGAGACTTGGGGGAAAAAATAGTGCTCCCTATAGAAATTTGGGTGGTCCCTGTAGTGATAAGGATTTGACTTTCAGTACCTGGGATTCGAGTGGTTACTTCAGGGATAAGGATCTGACTCCTAGTAAGTGAGACTCAAGTGGTTCCTATAGGGTCCTTTAATCTTGGAAAAGGAATGAATTTCAAACTTTTTTTCAGTTGTATAGTTTTTTCCGCTGCTTATCATTTATTTTATTCAAATTTCAGACGCTTTGCGATTTTTTTGGACCTTGAATGAGTTTTTCAAAACGAATTTTGAAGGTTCTCGAACAACGATTTGCTGACGAAAGACACATTCGGCCAGACTTCTCTTCACCACGCGGCAAAAGTCGGCGATCAAAGGACTATCAAGTTGGTTTTCTCTTGGATATTCACTAGAATTTTGTCCGAAGTGATGTCGGTGCGGCACTTTGACGATATCGCGAATCAACCGCGTCAGGCTCGCATTTTTCTAGCTTTTCTCACGTAGAAAATATTTGAAACTTTCTAAAATGCGATATCGCCAGGGAAAATTCAAGCGGAACACTTTTACGATTTCGTCAATGTGCCGCGTCATTTTTACGATGACGCCATATTACCGCACCATTTTTGCGATATCGCCATATTACCGCACCACTTTAGCGAGATCGCCAGTGTACAGCAGCACTTTAGCGATGTCGTAAATGTACCGCACCGCTTTTGCGATGTCGATAAATCACCGCATCACTTTAGCGATATCGCCAATGTGCCGCAAGAGACCTCGTGCACATCTTAACAGTGCTTAAAAGAAATCAAAATTTTTTCATTTTTTTGCCTTTCCTGCTTTAAAATTTTGCTAAAAATGAAAATTAATGAAGGTTTTGGTTGTTCTTAGAAGATGACTGAATAAATACGGATGGCTGAAATTTTTTCATAAAAACAGTACTTTTTCATAGCCGGGAATTTAGTGGTGGCATTTGGAATGGTTCGAAGCGTTTTTTCTCCACGAGAAGAGAGTCGTTTGTCGGTGGATTTTAAGGTCATAGGAACCGCTCCGCAGCCGCGACGCGTGAAGCCATTCCAAATGCGGCCATTTAAGAATTTTCGCTGTTTTCAAAGTTTCTTTATTATTTCCTCTTTCTTCGGACGACCACTGGTGAACTCTGAAATTGAAACAAATATTGCAAATAGGCTGATTTTGAAAGCGGATTTTTTGAATTCCTCAAAAGAATTTTATGATCCCGGTTTCACATCAAGCATAAATGAAAAGAAGGTTTGTATAAAAATTTATACCGACAATTTAATTTTAAATATCAAAGCAGATTTCGAGGTCCTGGAACGATTCAGAAATATCTACAGTAAACGAATTTTTTTCAAACTTGAAAATTTACTGATAATGATTTGAAGGCTTATAGAAATCATCTTATATGGGGGAAAATTTTCCAAGCAGATTTTGAAGAAACTTTCATTTACCATATTTTCAAAAAAAAATTCTTTTTTTCACGCCATGTAGCCTGGACATCAGAAACCCAGACAGAACCGTCTGTTTTTTTTTTCCAAGAAAAAAAAAGTTTGACGCATTATACGGTCCGAAGGATGTTATGCGGCTGTTTCAAGTGGCGTCCGCCCGGATATTTGCTCGCTTTTTCTCCTCTCGATTTCAGCGGCCACAACGGCAGCTGAAAAAAAAAGGAGAAAGGAAACGAGCCGGACACTTTTGAGCCGCAGAATGGGGGATGAGTGGCCGGATAGGTGCGCTCCAATCAACACCTCAGAAGCTTCTTCGTCTTTTTGAAGCTTTTGGGGGGATTGGAGGGGTCGGAAGCTGAAGAAATGTCTGGAAAATTGTAGTTTTTGGCCTTTTCCATACGGAAAAGGGACTATTTTAGGTACAGATATAGGTTAATCAAAGATATAGGTACCGGGCAAGTGCGCTCCAATCAACACCTCAGAAGCTTCTTCGTCTTTTTGAAGCTTTTGGGGGGATTGGAGGGGTTGGAAGGCTGAGTAATGTCTGGAAAATTGTAGTTTTTGGCCTTTTCCATACGGAAAAGGGACTATTTTAGGTACAGATATAGGTTAATCAAAGATATAGGTACCGGGCAAGTGCGCTCCAATCAACACCTCAGAAGCTTCTTCGTCTTTTTGAAGCTTTTGGGGGGATTGGAGGGGTCGGAAGCTGAAGAAATGTCTGGAAAATTGTAGTTTTTGGCCTTTTCCATACGGAAAAGGGACTATTTTAGGTACAGATATAGGTTAATCAAAGATATAGGTACCGGGCAAGTGCGCTCCAATCAACACCTCAGAAGCTTCTTCGTCTTTTTGAAGCTTTTGGGGGGATTGGAGGGGTTGGAAGGCTGAGTAATGTCTGGAGAAACGTAGTTTTGATAGTTTTACATAGAAAAAGGACTGTTTTAGGTAATTTATATATAGGTATAGGTATTTTCTATCGATTGGAAATATTTTCACGATTTGGCTGAAAAATGCCAGAAACACTGTATTTTCGGTAGTTTCCAGATAATAAATATCTTTTGGAGTATTCACTTAAGTGGAAGCTTGAGAAATGTCTAAAAATTGTAGTTTTTGGCATTTTTCATACGGAGAAGGGAATATTTGGGTATAGCTTATAGGTAATTTATTAAAAAAAAATTTTTATCCATTGGAAATATTTTCACGATTTGGCTCGATGAGAAGTGTCTGGAAAGTTGTAGTTCTGATATTTTTTACATAGAAAAAAGACTATTTTAGGTAGAGGTATGTACTGTATTTTTTAACATTTTTCATAAGGGAAAGTACTACTTTTTCGTATACAGATGGGTAGGTTGAAGACAAAAGTAATAAACGGACAACTGCGCTCCAATGAACACCTTAGCTTCTTCTTCTTTTTTTGAAGCTTTTGGGGGATTGGTAGCTTGAAAAATGTCTGGAAAAACTGCGTTTTCTGGCATTTTTTTATATGGCAAAAGAACTATTCAAGATTTTTTTAATTTATGAAATTTTTTTATCGATTGACAATATTTTTCCCCATTTATGGCAGAAACACTGTATTTCCGGTTTTTTTCAAATAATAAAGATTTTTTTGGAGTAGTCACTTAAGAATCCGGACAACTGCGCTCCAATGAACACCTATTTTTTTAATGAAGGACTGGAAGGAGGATAAATTCTAAAAAGAACTGGAATTTTGATGCTATTCACAAAAAAATGACTTTTTTTAGATACAGTTAAATTAATTTTTTTCTTCTTATTTTTTTCAAATTTGAATGTATTAGAATGATGAAAAATTATCAAGAATAGTGTATTTTTTTTATAAATTTTTTTGTTGAAAAAAATGATTTTTTTAGGTATAGATATTGTACAAGATCTATAAAAAACGTTGTATCAAGCCCCTATTTGAGTATTTTCGTCGAAATTAGGGACGTGGGAAAAAAATTAGACCTTCTGGAGAAATAAGAAATGTCAGGAATACCGTATTTTTTTGCGCCTTTCATTGAAAAAAATGAATATTTTAGTGATAAGATTTTGTGTGAATTTCTTTTTTTCACGAATTTGCTGCTGTAGATGATTCACGGCTTGCTTGAGGCAAAAAAATGGGTCCTGACACGATAATAAAAAGAGATGGGCGCAGACAGGCAAATTATAAGAAAAAAATTCATTCAAAGAAGGTTATTTTTTTCTGTTTCTCTTTATTCTTTTAATATCTCAAGTTTTGGGCGGAAATTGATATAATGCAGTAAGAATCGTTCATAAAAGCTCTAGAAATTTCCTTTTCTCGGAAAATTCTTAGTAGCCACTATAGGGTTTTGACGTTTTAGGGGCTACTATAGTAGTCAAATTAGTGGCCACGTAAGGGATTAAAAACTAGTGGCCACTATAGAGGTCTAAGTGCTACTACTAGACCACAAAAATTTTAGTGGCCACTTTAGGGGTCAATGGATCAACATAACAGGTCCAATCTATTTGTTCTCAAATTATCAGAGTTGCTGGAAGTGATCCTGGATGAAAAACTACTGAAGTGGCCACTAAAACGGAAAATAGTGGCCACTATAGAGGTGGGTTTAGTGGCCACTTTAGTGTCCTCTCCAAGCTGTCCTTGGCGAGCATCTATAGAGGCCACTAAAAACTTTCCCAGTTATGGTTTTTTTTTTCTTTTCTTTTCTGAACGACAGTTCAAACCAACTTCCGTAATTTGTGTGCTCCTGAGCCGTTCTCCAACTTATTTCTGTTCGAAGTTCTGTTTAACTTGTTGGTTTGACTAATTTGCACAGTCAAGCAAAATGATTCAAACGGCGAACGACAGGAAAAAAAATGAAGAAAAGAAAAAAGGGGCCGCCGACGTGTACGTGTTTGTTGTGTGCAGAAATGCTCGCCCCCCGCCCGAACAAACAAATTTTCTCAAAGGATTTTGGTCTTAATCTTTTTTTTTGTTCTCATGTGAAATGAGGGGTTCTTCAAAAATTAGAACCGGTGATAAAAAATTGGAAAAAGTTGAAAAAACAGTCATTTTTTTAGGGTGTTTCGTGTGATTTTTTCGTGTAGCTTTCTTATCAGATCGAAAAAAAAGATTAGAAAATATTTAAAATTGGTTTCGAAGTATAGTTTAGTTGACGGAAATCAGAAAAATGGCAGAAAAAATTTTAAAAGTAGGGTGAAAAAAAAAGCAGCAGGAGGAATGAGCTTGTGCGCTCTATGGATAAGGAACGAAATTATGACTTGATATCAGTTTAATTAGTTAGGAAACGTGAATAGGGGATCAAAAATTTAGAAAAAATGAGTCTTTTATACGCTGGGATCTTTTGCGCTCCATGGAGAATAATCATGTTCTTCATGATTTTACTCGGACCTTGGTAACGCGAAAAAATTTTGAGTATGTCTAGGGACCACTTTAGTAGCGTCTGTCCTCTTAAGTGAACCCTAGAATCGCTCAGAAACGTCCGGAGCGCGTCCGGTTTCCTCAGGAAAAAACCAAAATTTAGAAAAAATCGCTTCACCCAAGCCGGAGGTAGTTGTGCTCTATTGAGAATACACTTTTTTTTTGTCGATTCTGTTTTCAACCTTCTACTTTTTCAGATGCCTGATCGATCGAGTCCCAGATCTAAAAGATATTCAGTCTTCGAATGGAGAAACTCCCGCTCATATCAGCGCGGCTCATGGAGGTTTTTTAAAAATATTTCTTGAAGTAAGCATGAACATTTACTTCGTAAATGTAAATGTAAAGCGTAAATGCATGATTTAAAGCATGAAATAAAGTAAATGTAAAGCGTAAATGCGAATAAATCTGAAAAAAAAATATTACTGTTTCTTTCACTTTCACTCAGCACTTCAAGCATACAAAATTGAAAAAAATGTAGAAGAAATTCAAGTTTTCTTGCTTGAAACTCATTCAGCTTCTGCTGTAGAAAAAAATCTCCCGGTAAATAATAATAATTTAAATCATTTGAGATATGCGCGCCGTTGAGCTTCTCCTTGGTGGATCGCTGAGAAACGCGATGAAAACCGCCATGTTGACGTGAGTTTTCAAAAAACGCGTTCGAGCCGCGACGCGTGTCCGTGTTTCAGTGACGTCAACGGAACTTCCGTCCTGATGGCTTCGGTGGCCCGCGGCGACAATGAACTGGCCCTGTGGCTCTTGAAAAGGTTTTTTTTAAAATTATGGTTCTCAATGGTTTTTGGGTTTTTCTGAAGTTTTTTTTTTGGAATTTTTTGGAATTTTTACGGCCATCCAGTCTTCAACAACACTTCATATTCATACCAGCTTAAAAATGCCAAAGTGGTCGCTTTAGGGGCAACCTTAGGGCCCCTGGAAGCTTCCCCTATAGGAACCACTTCCCTTCTCCCTATAGCCGATTCACGACTAGCTTAGGGTGCAAAAGGGGCGTGGCCTGTCTGTGCTCTCCACCAACCAGGCACTGTCTCCTTTTTTGTCTTGTCAGGACCCATTTTTCGATGGCTCAAGCAAGTCGTGAATCAGCTATACACTGCGACCCATAATTATAGACCCACCCTAATTTCTCCGATTTTAAGAAAGATTGAAAAACTTTGAGCCACCAAACTTTTTTTGTGATAAACCTTGTTGATAAGGAACATAATCATAATATAATTATCAATCACCCAGTTGAAAAGTTTTTCAAGATACGAGAAAATCTGATTTTTGACCGACCCAGAATTATAGACCCACTATAAGTAATCAACAAAATTCATTTCACAAAGTCAACAAAGTATAACAAAAAGATTAATTAATAATGTGTGATGCCTCCTTGTTTCTGAGCGACTTCGAAAATCCTGTTCGGCATGCTGCCAACGAGTGATTGCAGCAGTGACTTGTCCAAACCATCCCACTCGGCACGAATCGCTCTTTTCAGATCGTTGACCGTTGTATACTGCTTGGCATTCGCGTAGACCTTCGTACAAGGACTGACCATAAATTCTCTACAGGTTTGAGGTCAGGACTGCACGCGAGCCAGTCCAGAAGAACCACGTTCTTGGCCGCAACCCAAGCCAATGGAGTTGCTCGCGTGAACAGATGCATTGTCTTGTTGGTAAATCATATTAGCACGTCGTCGGCGACGGAGATAGGGCAGGAGATGCTGGGCAAGCAGTTGCTGGTAGTCTTGCGAATTCGTTCTGGTCCCAATAAAAGAAAGAGCTACCGTCCCGTTGCCGCAGAAAGCCGCCCAGACCATGAGGCTGCCGCCGCCGAAGTTTCTCTTGGAGAAGTACATCGGATCTTTCCTCAAATCTCTCCAGTAGTGAGCGTACCCATCTGGCCCATCAAGGTTGTATTTCTTCTCGTCGCTGAAGATGATCTGAACAGAAATTGGGAATCATAAGGTGATAGAAAACATTGATACCTCATTCCATTCCGTGGCCATGTTGGAGCGTGCAAACTGGAGCCGTTCATTCTTATGGCGTTGCTGTAGACGAGGTGCTGCCTTCATTGGAGTATTCACAAGTCGACCGGACCGATGAATTGTTCGTAAGATGGTGTTCTTCGAGACGTTTTCAGGAATTTCGGATCTGATTTGGTTGGCGGACTTCGTAGAGTTTGATTCTTTTCGACAGACGTCTCGTTCAGCTTGAACCGATAGCAGCCTGTGCCGTCCAGAATGTATTGCTGTGCCGTATTCTTGCGGATTCCTTGCATAACGGTCAATAGTTCGTCTTGAGCGACCCGTCTGACGAGCGATTTCCCGATGGGACAAGCCGTTGTTGAGTAGAGCATCGATTACCGCTTTTTTTCGGTATTATCAAGTTGAGTAGATTTATGCATTATGGCTTATAGTGATACACGAGGACTTTTCTCTTATATACCACTGAAAAAACAGGAAAAACGTGTTACCTGAAACGAAAAACTCGGAAAAACTCTGGGGTGGGTCTATAATTCTGGGTCGGTCAAAAATCAGATTTTCTCGTATCTTGAAAAAAACTTTTTCAACTGGGTGATTGATAATTATGATATAATTATGTTCCTTATCAACAAGGTTTAATACAAAAAAAGTTTGGTGGTTGAAAGTTTTTTTCAATCTTTCTTAAAAATCGGAGAAATTAGGGTGGGTCTATAATTATGGTTCGCAGTGTATAAGGGTCACTGCATCTTACAAAAGTGACCCCTCTAGGGACTCCTCGCTTTTCCCTATAGGGGCCACTGCCGCTAAAAAAAGCGGCCCCTTTAGAAGGGCGTGTACTTCTAAAGACCCTTTTTCATTGGACTTGAAATATTGCAATTTTTTTCAAGGTTCGGAAAAGCTCTGGCGATGCTGCCCAACAATTGCAAAATGCTGCCGTTGCACGTCGCGTCGGCCCAAGGTTTTGTGATTATAGTTATGGTGCTGGCCAGGGATCTCAACGGGTGTACCCGTGTTAAACCCGCATTTTTTCGAAGGCTATATACGTCCCAGTCGGGCTAAAACGGAGAAAAATCTTTTTTTTAGAGTAAAAGGCAAAGGCCTAGAAGCGAAGCGTGTTAATTTTCGTTTACAGAATGCCAAAACATTGAAAAAGACTCATTGACCTTGAAAATATTATCAATTATTACATACATTGAAGTTTATTATACATAAAAATACTATCAATATACCCATAAAAAAAGAGGTTTGATTCATTTTTCAGGCAACATTGAGTTCATTCGTGCCGCCACAAAATTCGACAATCAGATGGTCAATTCTCGGGACGAATTTGGTCAGTTTTTGCTGGGTATCACGATCCTTTAAAGGTAGGAAAAAATTCTAAATAAATTTTGACACGAAGAGGTTTTTCATTGTTGTAAAAGACCGCGATCAATAGCTGAACCTACAAAAAAGGAAAATGAGATTAAGGGTTTATGAATCAAATTGAAAATAAAAAGAAAAAGAATCATTATAATTTTTTTATTTTCGATGATTCAGATATTTTGGAGCTTTTTCAAGTTTTATTTGGTCTGAAAAAATGAGATCAAAAAGAGAGAAACATCGCTTTTTTATTCCTTTGATTTTTTTAAACCTATCCCGCAGCATTATCACGGCTTTCTTTTTCCTCCGAGCTACAGAACCATTCTTTTTGAGACACGCGGCCTGTCTCTGTGCATGCGCCTTCAATTTAGCTGAAAAGTTTCCGTTAATGTAAAGGCGCATGCACAGAGACAGGCCGTGCATTACGAAGGGAATGGTTCTGTAGCTCGGAGGAAAGCAAGAAGCGCGACAATCTGCTCAGGATGGCCATACTGGTCATTGAAGAGTAATCTTAGGGGGCAATAAAGCAAGCAAAAGTGTCCACTATAGGGATTTTCCAGGATGTACCCCATGTGTTTACGCGGTTCAAGGAGGCTGTCTGAGCAGCGTAAGGTATTTGGTCGAAAAGGCGCGCAGCGAAATGGGCAGCGTCAGTAATCGAGGTACTTCTTTTTACCGTTTCAGCGAAAACAGTTTAGAAAATAGTTCTGAAGTTTTAATAATTTATTTTTGGGTCCGGATGTTAATAATTACAAGCTTGAGTTTTTTTCAAGTCTGATACTTATTCTTCGAAGTCTTTTTTTAGACTGAGAGATAAAAAAATTTCATATTTTCTTTAAAAATAAACTGAATTTTAAGTCCAATTTTTCGCTTTAATTACAAAAAAATCAGCCTTTTTTTCCACCAAAAAGGATCTTTTTCCTCGTTTTTTTCGAAGTCTTTCTCAACTGGGAGATGAAGATCAAATGCTTTTTTTGGAATGAACCGTATTTTTCGCACTATTTTTCCTTGCGAAATGCCTAAAATCTAGGCGCTCAGAGTCTCCTCCATCTGGGAAAAGGGAAAATGTATACTTTCCAGAGAATAAACTTAATTTTTGGACCCAAAGTACGTTTTTCCGTCAGGAGCAAGGCTTTCCCAACCAGGACACGACGGACAAAATTTCAATTTTTTTTTCTTCCGAACTACGGAATTTTCAGGCCAATCCCTGCTCCACATCGCTTCTCTGTGTGGTCATGACCATATTGCCCGTTGGATTTTGCACAGGACTGGAAGCGACGCGATCCTTTGGACGACCAATGATCGGAGCCCAACGCTGTTCATTGTGCTGCTTGTGGGTCTTTGAATTGTTTTATAGTCTGTGTGCCACATCTTGAAAGAGTCGAAAATGAGTAAGCTTTAAATGATCCTTGAAGGAACGATTAAACTGGGTTTTATTGATTTTTCAAATTATGAAAACACACCTGCGAAAATTCGAACGACTTTTCCAATTTTTGCATATCGTTAGGGAACTTTCCGACGAAATTTTTTCGACTTTTTCGACTTTTTCCCTTATGTTTTTCGGTTTATAAAACATTCATAAACTTTTTTTTCTTATTTCTTTGTGTTTTAAAGATGAACCAACTACATACTTTATATAGGAAGTTTTTAAAAACGAAGATTTTATTGAGAAAAAGAGTCGGAAAAAAAGATTCGTCGGAAAGTTCCGTAGCGATATGAAAAAATCGGAAAAGCCGCTGTATGAATTTTTCGCTGGTGTTTTTTTTTAGCACCGCTGGAAGTAACAAGTGAATTTTTTTCTTTGAAATGGTTTAACTTGAGTATGAAACACAGATTCGAGGTTATAAAAATGGAATTTTTCAAAGTTTTTTTGTGTTGAATTTCTCCCGATTTTTTTCAACGATCGTGTTGTTTTTTTGATCATTTATTCCCTGTTTGTAGTCTCATTTTGCAGTTGCGGGTTCGGTTCCGGTCCTCGCCCAACTTCTCGCTTCTTTCGGGAAGAAAAGACGACAGCAGGTCCTGGCCATTCGGGATTCTCGGTACATTTTTCGTTTGAAAAAATGTTGATTGGATTTTTTTAAACCTTAATAACTTTAAAAGACGTGATTGTATTTGAAAATTTCTCTAGTATTAAAAATAAGCGTTGAAACAGGAAAATCACACAAAATTAAGTTTGACCCCTAGAGGGGAACCTTCTAGAACCTTTTACCTTTTAAGGAACCTTTGAAGACTTTCAAGGTTGCCCCTCTAGGGACCGCTCTACCTTTCTTTAGTATCTTATAACTGAATTTAAAAGATAAACGAAAAAAAAATAGTAGGAAAGCTGAAAAATAGATTAGAAAAAGGGGCGTGGCCTGTCTGCGCTCTCCACGAGACATGGACTATCTCGTTTTTTCTAAAATCGTGTTAAGACCCATTTTTCAATGGTTTAAACCAACCGTGAATAACCTAGTTTAATTTTATTTTTTATTTCAGTGGAAATACGCCCCTTCATCTCGCAGCCATCAATAATCACTTGGATGCTGCTCTTTTCTTGGTTCGTTTTTTTTGTTCATTTTTTCTTGAAAAAGAGATTTTCAGTTGGAAAACGGAGCAGATTCCCAATTGGTCAACTCGACCGGCAACAGCCCTCAAGCCATTGCCGCGATGAGGGGACACCGTCAAATGGAGCGTCTTGTGGCGGGTTATAATGGTAGGATTGCTGTTTTTCTAGCTGTTGATAATAGAATTATACTATTTCCAGTGGTTAATGAACACTTTGCAGTAAAGTTCCCCCGTACTATTTATTTGAAAAGAGGTCGTTGCTTCGTTGCTTTTCAGTGAAATAGTTCGTTTTTAGTTGCTCTGGTGATTAAAAAAATATGAAAAAAATGGAGGGGGACTAATGCGGACAAGAGTTGTCAAAGTTAGGTAGGCGGGACTTTCTTGAAGATTACCTGATTACCTAAGCAATCTAGAATCGTTGGGCGAGGAGGGGGTTTTAGTTCTAGAATAAGAAATAGCCCCCATCAAAAGGTTTAGTTTTCAACTTGTCGAATTTCGGCGGGGGGACTTTTTTTCTTTCCTAAATGTTAATAACCTTCCTTGAGAGCAAAATCGAAAAAATTCGAAAACTTTTCAAAATGCCACTAAAACCGAACTGCAAATGGCGCACCGTTTCAACACCAAAAATCAATTTTTCATATAGTTTAAAGAAATTCCAGGAAAGAAAAAGAAGACGAAGGCGAAAAAGGCGCAATCCCTCCACGATCTGACCCAACACCCGTCCCTTCGCTCGGCCCCCTTGAGTCCCGGGCCGAGGAGCCCGGGCGGGTTCACCACCTTTTCCAATGGAACCAGTGCTGGTCGGCGTTCTCCTTGAATAGTTTTATATTTGATTTTTCTAGGATTTGAAGAGAGAACTTTGTCCCCGAGAGCCCTCAGTTCTGGATATTCGAGCAACGGCGACGCCGCTGATTCTTTGTGAGTTTCTAGCTGAATTTCAAGAATGTTTCGTGCATTTCGCTCACCAGATCAGTCAGAAAAGCATGCTGAACAAATTGCCCTTTAGTTCAGAATTTTAAATTTTTGAAGAGTAGTTCAAAATTGTGTCCTCTTTAAAATTTGTACGATTTTCAAGTTTCAAGGCGTTTTTGTTAGTGGAAAAAAAATGCGAAACCAAAAACACGGTCGGCGGAATCAAAATACCCGCCGTTCCCACGTGACGTCATGATTTTGGCTCCAAAAGCCTAAATAACAGGACACATTAAAGGCGCAGGCCGCCGTATTGCCAGAGGTCTTTGAGACGAATCGAAATTTCTCTACATAAATGCAAATCTGTGCGCGAAAGCGGCGCAGTGCATGCACACGACACACAACACTTTACGGAGAAAAAGTGGGCGTGGCGTTGTCGAAAAACGCCGTGGCTTGATTTATCGAAAGATTCAAAAAAAAAATATTGTCGGCTTAAAAAAAGTTTGACTTTTTTTTGAGTCAAATTTTCTGAAATGAAACATTTTTAGGACCAGCGAAAGTGTGGAAATCGTTCGCCATCGGTTACGGTATGTCGAAGATGGAGCCGATTCGTTGCGGGACTCGGCCGCTCAAACCGATGTTGATTCGCTTCAAGATCACATCAAGGTAATGTCTACAGTAATTTTGGCAATTTCGAAATTGAAGCGTTATTCGCAAAAATACGCAAAGTGGACCGACATGATTCATCGACTTTGAGATACATTTCAAAAATATTAAATTTTCAGGTGATCGACGATAAAACTTGGGCCGGCTTGGGCCTTTCGGCCGTCGAACACATCGATCGGGTTCTCGACGAAGTTGGCATCAGCGATTGAAACGAAAAATCAAGAAAACTTCCCTCATTTCACTTCAGTTATATATTCCGAACCATTCATTCGTCAGTTTCCAGCGGCACTTCTCGAACATTTTCACTGCACTTAGATTTTTTCGATCTCTCGAACTTGATTGATACAAAACATGATATTTTCTCGCACGTATTTCAATGTATATTTTGTCAATAAAGGGTTTTCGATTGAACAAAATGGATGGTGTTAAGGTGAAAAACCAAAGTTATTGAAAGTTCGAACCGCGTTTATATTTAATTTGAAACATGCGGCGAACGAAAAGCCATTTGAAGAGGCTGAGAAAGTTCTACAGACGACTTTAGAATCTATTAAACTATTTTCATGGGTATAAACAACGTTTAGAAAGTGTTCAAATTTATTTAGCGTATTTTCCGACTGACTGAAAAGCTCAAAAAAACCACCAAAGTAAACTAAAAAAATGCCTTCAGGAAAGGCCTTCTATCTGAAATACTAATTTATAAAATCAGTTTGAACTTGGAAACATAAAAATGAAAAGAAAATGATAAAAACTTCTAAATCTGCAAATTTCGACCTTGAAGGCACTATGAATTGGGCGAGTCTTATTTTGCAAGCCTGGGGCATACTTTTCTATTTTGGTTTTGAAAATTTTCGTATTTTTTTGAAAATTTTATCTTTTAGTCCTTTTTTCATTGTTTATAGAGATATTTACAGATTTTCAAACGTCGGGATGGTTAGTAAAAATAAGCAAAAACAAAAAGCAAGAAAACGGCAACGTTCGGAGACGAAAACGACCGATGATCTTGAGGTTTTGTTAATTTTATCGGGTTTCTCATCATTATCCATTCTGTTTGAGGTGATTGAAGTGACGAAACAAAGGAAAGTTGCTCAAGATGTGAAAGTCATCGAAGTTGCTCCGAAAAAAGAAGAATTTGTTGTGTCTGGTGATTTTAATGAAGAAGTTTTGTGAGAATTTTGGGATTTCAGACGAATCTACGAGTATTCTGCCTACACGGGAAGTGCTAGTGGCTCAGTTAGTTGCAGCCTTGAATAATAAAAATTTCGCCATTGTTGAGGTGAGAAAAATAAGGATGGATTTTGAAATGATAATTTTTTAAGGGTCCTCTCGGTTCGGGAAAGACATTTTTAGTTTCTCATGCTTCGAAAAGCCTTTCTTTGCCGATGAATGTGATGCAAATGGGTGATCAGATTGATTCGAAGGTGAGGGGAAATAAATATTGGAAATTTATTTGTTTTTAAGACACTTTTTGGTTGTTATCATTGCACGGAAGTGGCTGGCCAATTTGTTTGGAAGCCTTCAAAGTTTGCCGAGGTTAGTATTTTATATCTTTTCAGTTGATTTTAAGATAATTCCTGATAAAATGATGAAAAAATGCATTTCCTAATCAACTTTCATTATTTTTTCGTTCAAAAATTGTATTTTTATATACCGTTATCAAAATCATTTCCGCGAAATTCAAAATTATCTCTAACTCTCCAAAATTTAGTTATATTTTCTTTCTCTGATGGCTATTTTGGATTTTTGCGGATCATTGTGAATACGACAGTAGAAAAATGTTTCAATTTTTGGGTTTTTTTGAAGATTTTACATTGAGTTTTTTTCAAAATAGGATGTTTTTATTCGATTTTCTATTTCAAATCGCGAATTTCTCTACATTTTTTGCTAAAATTTCGAGTTTTTCATCATTTGTTCCATAATTTTTTTTTCTCCAGTGGCTCAAAATTCCATGCGTGATTCTCCTGGAAGACGTCGACACGGCCAACGCCGACGTCATTTCACAAATAGTCGGAATCAGCGCTTCGAGAAATTTTTGGAAATTCCCGGGAATTTTTTTCCATAAAGATGTTCGAATCGTGGCAACGATTTCGTTAGTAGAAATCTGATTTTATTTCAAAAAAATAGTAATTTTTTTAGAGGAAAAAGGGAAGAAAAAAACGTGGTTTTGGACGGAGTTCCGGTGAAAATCCGTCTCGGCGCTTTGACCGATGAGGAATTGAAGCGATTGGCTTCCAAGGTAACAAACATTCCTGTTTCATAATAAATATATTTCTTAAACAGGCGAATTTCTGTATTTTTGAGATTGTATGTTTCCATATGGAACTTCAAAATTAAGGAAGAGAATTACTTGAAATCAAGAATTTCTGTGACAAAACTCATTTATTCAGCTCAAAAGTAGAAAAAAAAACGTGAAAAATTCTCAAAATCTATCAGATTTCTTCGATTTCCAGGCTTTCCCCCGGATTTCCCACCTCTCAAAGTCGCTGATTTCCATCTTCCGTTCTGTGGAAACGGCTCCCGGAACTTCCAATTCTCGTCATCTCACATCGACGTAAATATGCAGAAATAGGCTCATGGCTGATTTTTTTGCGCCGGACTAAAAATAACTTCGCAAAAAGGCATTGTAAAACACGGGGCGTGTTGATTAGATCTGGGAAAATTTTTAGTGGCCACTATAGGGTTTTGACGTTTCAGTGTCCACTATAGTAGTCGAATTAGTGGCCATTTAAGGGGTTAAAAATTAATGGCCACTTTAGGGGTCAATGGATCAACATAACTGGTCGAATCTGTTTGTTTTAAAATTATCAGAGTCTCTGGAAGGAAAAACTACTGAAGTGGCCACTAAAACGGAAAATAGTGTCCACTATAGAGGTGGGTTTAGTGGCCACTTAAGTGTCCTCTCCGAGTAGTTCTTGGCGAGCCTCGATAGTGGCCACTAGAAATTTGCCCAGTAAACTTGGAGGTTTTTGGAAGAACAACTGAAAGAAATTGAAGGGGTTGTAAAATAACCCCCTATAGAGGTCCCTTGAACAATGCGCCTTGCTTCGAAACAGTAATAAGATCGTTTCTGAGAAATTTTGTCGCGCTTCGAAAATTTTTCGCCTTATCGAAACGCCAAAATCATTCGAGCCTTTCCAAGCGCGACCTCGCTTTTTTCCGATTCAAAAAAAAAAAAAATGTTTTTCAGCGATTTCCTGCGCGGATGTGCCCGCTTGGAGAAGCTCCAAGATATTTCTTCGAATTTGAAGATTTTCGCCGAACTCGTCGATGTCTGGTGCTTGGCCGATCCGAAAGATCGATCTCAGGAATTGTGCAAAAAAGTTTTTATTCCCTTCTTGGTTCATAATTAACATGAATGAAGACCAAAAAAGGAAATTAATTAAAAATGATGGAAACTGAGAACTTTTAAAAGAGTTTTCTTTCATATCAAAAAAAGTTTCACTGAATGTTTTCAAAAATTCAAAAAAAGTGTTCGTTTCATGTTTAACTATAAATTGATGCTTTCGCATTTTTTTCCAGGTTTTTGAAGTTTTTTTAAGGACAGTAGTTGGATTAAAATAAATGCATTGAGGCGATTTTTTTGTTGGGATCAAATTCGGGGGGCAGAAAGTTAGAGACGAAATTTTTTTAGATTCAGGGGGAAGCAAAAAAATTAAACACGAAATTTTCAAAAAGTTTATCGAATTGATTATTTTCCAGTTCTCATATTACTTGATTGAGAATCTGTAAGGTGGATTAAACGCCCAAATTTGGTGATTTTCTCAAAGAAAATACGGAAATTGAGGTGGCGAACGCCCTGTCGATGACGGAAGATCAGGTGAATTTCCATTTGTCGGTCCGACAGCCGGATATTTCCCACGACGACCGATCCGTGGCCATCGGAAGAGGGAATTTAACCAAGAAAATCTCGTTTTCCAGGGGTTCCCGGCATCGGTTGGGCCATACCAGGTGATTAATGAGAAGATTTTGTCGATAAATTTAGAAAAAAATCATTATTTTGAAAAAAAGAAGGTCGAATTTCCAGAGACGTTGTCCAGCTCATGGAGCGAATCGCTGTCAGCGTTCAGGTAAAAATCAATTTCGAAATTATTCAATATTTTCTGGTCGATTCTAGAAAGTTGGAAAAGGTGTTTGTAATAAACTTAGATAATATTTTTTTGTGACTTGTCAAAAATTAATTTTTTTGCTTTTTTTGAAAAAAATCTGAAAAATTTGTGCTCTTTTATATCGATTTTCACTACTTTTTAAAAAAACGAAATTTTTTTCGAAAATTAGATTTTTTTAACTGAAAAAAAGGCCCTGTTTAGTCTCCAGATTGAAATCAGATATCAGTTCAAAAAAATAAATATTACTTTAATAAGGAAAAAAACTGCGTAAAATGTCAATTTCAAAAAAATCGAATGGAATAACTTGTTCATTTTTGTTACCCTAGCGGGGGAGTTTTTATGGGAAATCTGTGAACTCAACACGATTTTTCGCAAATAAAGCTCTTTTTTTCCATTAATAAGATTTTTCTTCACAGTGTAGATACGCTTTTTATTTCCCCAAAGATGCATTTTTTTTTCCCTACAATCAGGCATTTTTTTTTGAAAATAATCTTCTTTTTTACAAATAAGTTATTTTTCCTCTTATTTACGCTTTTTTCAGCTTTAAACTCGATTTTTCACTATTTCCCTTCCCCATTAATGATTTTTTTTTTTGCCTTGAATACGCATTTTTTTCTTGAATACAGTTTTTTCAGCTTTAAACTCGATTTTTCATCATCAGTAACGCTGTATTTTCATAAAACACTTTTTTTTTTACCACAACCAAGTTATTTTTCCTCTCAAATACGCTTTTTTTTTGAACAATTGAGCTTTTTCTTTTAATATCAGCTTTTTCTAGGCCCGAGAATCGGTTCTGCTTGTCGGCGAGACGGGTGTCGGAAAGACTTCTGTGGTCCAAGCGGTCGCCGATCTGATCGGCGCCACTCTTTCCGTCGTCAATTTGAGCCCGACTTCCGATTCCGATGAACTTATCCAAGGGTTTCTCAGGAAAAATCAAAAGAAAGTCCAAGAAAATCATTTTAGTTACAAGCCGACGACGATTGGACAGATCCTGGAGCCTTTCACCAAGTTTTATTTGGAAGTTTTCGGGTCGCATTTCGATTTGAAGAAGAACTCGAAGTTCATTGAAAATATTGAGGTCGGAAAGGGGAGATAAAGAAAAATTTCCTTGTTTTATAGATTATTAATTGTATTGTTAATAAATCAGATTTATTTTTCGAGTTTTTCGAATTTTCTGATATTCTAGGTTGAATATGGAGCTTTTCTCAAAATTTCAAGTTTAAGTGTAATTTTTTTCGAACTTAATATTTAATATTAAATTTTGGATTCGTACACAAAAGATTTATTTAGAAATTTTAGTCAGACTTTAGTTTTTTTGAAAAAAATAATTCGATCTCAATTTTTTTGAATTTTTTTCAGTTGAATAAGTATAATTTCAAGAGAAGGGGAATGAATTATATGCAAAAAGAAAAAAAAAAAAAGTTTTTAAAGGTTTTTTTATTCCAGATTATTTCATGATTAGAGCGTGAAATGTGAAAATGAAACAGGAAGATTGTATTTTTTTAAATTTTTTTAGGGTCCAGATATTGACCTCTTGATAGTTAGGAAGGTCTTGAAAAAAATTTGAAATTTCAAGAAATTCTGATTTTTTTCACATTTTCCAAGGTTTTTTTCTTCAGTGATTCTTACCTAATTTCTAGATTTTTATGTTGAAAATTTTGGGCAGAATGAGATTTTCAATTTATGAAATCATAAATAAACTTTTAAAAGCTGTTTTTATAAATTCGGCTGTATAGAATTTCAAGAAATTCATCGGAAAATTGCAGAAATGCCTGTCATCTGGCCGATTCCGCGACTATCTTTCGGTCGTTGAAACGACGGCCAACAAGGCCCTCAACAATAAATCGTCGAAAAAGGTTTCTGGAGCTAATTTCAGAAGAAAAATCGTTTATTTTAGGATGAAAGATGGGCCGAGCTTTTGGTCAGGGCGAGAAGAATTCGCGACGGTCTCGACAAAGGAGCTTCTCCCTTTGCTCTTCAGAAAGGAGCTGTCCTGGAAGCGGCCCAGAAAGGACATTGGCTACTGGTGGATGAGGTATGAAGCGCGCTCAGGAAAGATACCGACACAAGCCCCCCTTTGTACTATCTAAATGACTTTGAAAGCCGCTGCAAAGCTTTCAAACTTCATTCAGCTTTTTTGAACCTTTTGCCTTTCAAATTAATGAACAATATTGAAGTCCTGACCGCCTGAAACGGCTAAAACACAGTGTTCCCAAACGAGCGGCAGCTGTGGTCAGTAGGCGTGGCTGACTGCAACAGCGGCACGGTTTATTGCAATAGGGGCGCGGGAATGAGAGTCAAGTTTTGTGGATTTAGTGGTTGGAAAAAGACCATTAAATGATGTTTTTCCTAGGTTCTCGCAAGTTTTCAAAGATTTTTTTAATGTGTATTAAATTATAACGAACAAATTTAAATGAAAAAAAGAGACGAAAAAAAGTTTTTTTGCAAAAACAAAATATCTCCCAAAAATGTCGTTTTTTTAGGAAAAACTCGTCAAATCGAACTTCCAAAGGGAAAAATTGAGAAAAAAAGCTCAAAGCACTTCTCTTAAGAAATACCATTTGAACGTTTTAAAAACAAAAAAACAGATACATAATAGCTTGTACGAATGAAGTTGTCACCCAAAAATGACATTTTCAAGAATAAATTCGTCGAATACTGCCTCGAAAAAATTTTTGAGAAAAAAATCTCACATCGTTTCTACTAAGAAAGTCTATTTGAAAATTCTAAAACAAAAAAACAAACGAAATATCTTATGCGAAATAAGTTGTCATCAAAAATGTCATTTTAATGCAAAATTCTGTGACGAGAACAATCGAAAATCACTTCAAATCTCTGGAAACGCGATAAACACGTTTTAAGAACACATACAGCGTGAAAAAATACGAAAGAATGGTAAAATACGCAAGAAAAAGAGAAAAACCCGTATTAAAAGTGAATGAAATTTTGTAGGGGTGACACGCGCCGCACCGCGTTGCGTTAGAAAAAACTCGCGTTTTCGCCCCATTGCGACGACCTTTTTTTCGCTTGCCGCCGTCTCTTTTGGAACACTGTGAAAAATTGAAGTCTTGAAATTGGAAAAGCGAATTTTCTTACATTTTAACGTTTGAAGTTAAGGCGTGTTGATTTTTAACGTGAAAAACTCTAAATTTTTTGAATTTTTTTTTGCTGACCTAAAATTTTGTCAGATTTTAGAATTTTCAATATTTTTAAAACTTCCTGTATCATTTATTTTTCAAAATACTGGCAAATTTTGAGCTTCTTGGAAAGAGCCGGTCCCGTTTCATGAGGGAAAAAACAACCCTTTGAAAACAGAAAACAATTGTTTTTTTATTTCAAACAACTTGCTCGACTTTTAAAGGAGCATAGGCAAAACTTTCGTATATATCGAGACGAAAAGGATTTTATTGTCATGTTCTGTTCCAAAAAGAAGCGAGTTCTGAACAGAATATGTAACAAAAATCATTTCAGATCAACCTGGCCCCTCCGGAATGCCTCGACGCCATCGTCCACGCCATTTCGGCCCCAGATACCCATTCCGATTTCCGACTCTTCGCCTGTATGAATCCCGCAACGGATGCCGGGAAAAGAAGACTGCCCGCCGGAGTCAGAACGAGGTCTCCTTGAAACGAAAACCCCCTCAAGTGGCTCCTTTCTTGAAGATTCTCCGAGATTTTCGTCTCCGAAACCTCGGATCCGCACCAATTGGCGTTGATCGTCTCGGCCTATCTGCCCTCCATGAGATCTTCGGCCGTCGAGAATTTGGTCAACTTTTATCTGGCCGCCAAACAACAGTATCCGGCTAGTTATAGGTGAATTTTTGGGGATCCAGCTAAAATTGAAGTTGAAATTCTGAGAAATATCAATTTTTCATGCTGATTGAGAAAATGAGGGTATTTTCCAGGGGCCACTTTAGTAGCCAAATAAGTTTTAGGGTGTAATTTATCGAGCTACTTGAGAACAATGCGAAAACTTTAAGTGGCCACTTTAGGGATCAAAGCAACATTATCCGGCTAGTTATAGGTGAAAATTTGGGAAGAAGTTTTTAGAAAATGGTCTGAAGTCAAAATTAGACTTTTCAATCAATAAATCAATATTTTATTTTGTTTTTTTCGTTCATAAATGCATTCTGAGAAAGGATAAGGCGTTGAATGTCATTTTTCATGCTGAGTAAGAGTACTGCGATAACTTATAAGTGGCCATTTTAGGGTTTGGACGTTTTGTTTTTCTATAGTAGTCGAAATAAGTGGCCACTTAAGAGGCTAAGATCGTGGAAGTCGCAGAAAAACTGCGAGAAAAATTTAGGAATATTTGAAAAGGCAGTTTTTTTATAATTAGCTAGTCTCTTGGCCGCGAAAAACCGCATTTTTCAGAAAAATATATTTTTAAGGCCTTTTTGAAGCTTTCCATGAAAAATTGAGGTTATCAGGCTCCATTCTTATACATACTAATGGATATTTGAAATATATGCAATACTGCCTTCTTTTTTTAAAGACCTATAGGAAAGTTTCAGGAACAAAACTTTGAAATCGGCTAAAAAAATGATAGTTTTTTTATTTTTTTATGAAAAAAAATTTTTTGACCTTCCGATTTGTCGAATTTATAAAGCTTTGTTTTTATCCAGATATCCAATTTTTATTCAAAAAAATAACCGTTTTTCAAAAAAATGTTTTTACCAAATTTGAAATCAGCTTCGAAACAGGAATTTTCCTCTCATTCAGAAGCCTTACTGAGGTTCTAGACCGTTCCCAAAACGTTTTCTAGCCAATAAACTACATTTTAATTCAATTAATATCTTTAGTTTACGAACACTTTGCCGAGCTCTGCTCTTCACAGCTGATAACTTATTCGGAAGCGAAGATCGGTCACTTTATGAGGCGGTTCGTGACTTTTCTATCCTTTCTTCTTCAGATTTTGCTTCCAAATGATCATCTACAACTTCCAGGTCAACATGGCGTTCCTCACCAACCTCGACATCGACGAGAAAACAACGATGAGTGCAAAAATCGCGGCGAAATTCCGCGTCGCGACCAATATTCCCCTGCCGACGCCGACGAATTCTGAAGATTTTGTCAAAGTCGGCGGGTATTGGATCGAAAAAGGCGAGGAAACGCCGAGGGAAGACGTCAAGTACGTCGTCACCAAGACGGTCAACCAGAACCTCGGCGAAATCGCGAGGATCGTCTGCAGTGGAAGGTTCGTTCGGGCCTCACACAAACGGGATCCCCCCTTTTCGGGGTGCGGCCTAACTTCCTCAAACTGCGGTCTAGCCCCCCCTCCCCCTTCCCCAAAAGCGCCGCCTACCCCCCGAAAAAGTGCGGCCTATGCGCTCTATCGATAAAGATATTCGACTTGAAGAAAATTCGAGTTTTTGGGCCGCCCATTTTTTTTGAGGCTTCCTGAACTTAGAAAATGGCCGGGGGGAGCAGGAGCCAACCCTCACACAAGCCTGGACCGCGGTCACGATAAATGGACGTTTCTGAGAGATTCTAGGGATCACTTAAGATTTCTGACGCTACTGAAGTTGTCACTAGGAATGCTTACAAACGTCCAAATCGCGTTGCGTAAAAAGGAGGAAGCATTGCATCTTTTCCTGTCTCTGAAAAGTTTTTTGGGTGGAGTTGAACATTTCTCATTTTTCTCTATTGAATCTAGCTCTGCTCAAAGATCAAATTCGTTTTGAAAAATTTTTAAAAATTGTTGAAAAGGATTAATTTCAGATTCCCTATCCTACTCGAAGGAGAAACATCGGCCGGAAAGACCTCGATCGTTTGTCATTTGGCGAAAATAACTGGACACAAGATCGTTCGCATCAATAATCATGAGCATACCGACGTCCAGGAGTTCGTTTTGAAGAATAAATTGAAGATTTTTTTCCAAGAATGAAGCAAAAAAAAAGTAAACTATGATAAAAATAATAATGAAAAAAAGCAAAAATTTTTGAGGGAGAAGATCAAAAAAAAAGTTCAAAAAAGTTTTGGTGGGTTTTTTTTTTAGCCAGATCCAATCTATAACTTATTGCAAGTCACTGATCCTCGGAGAATGAAAAAAATTCAAAAAAATCAAAAATTCATAGATGACTTAAGATACATGGGCTCCTACGTGGCAGATTCTGGAGGCCGATTGGTTTTCCGAGAAGGAGCTCTGGTCCGAGCTGTCAGAGAAGGCGCCTGGGTCATTCTCGACGAGTTGAACTTGGCCCCGACTGACGTCATCGAAGCTCTCAATCGGGTATTTAATAAAAAGAGTTTTATAAATTGTTTGAAAGTTTCAAATATCACAGAATATCCTTTCTCGCTGTCTCTTCTTCTTCTTCTTCCTACGCCTTTGAACCAGAAATTCTCTTTGCAAATTGATTTTTTATTCGAAAATCGTCATGAAACCCTATCTCAAGCTAGTGTTGAACTAACTATGGATAGACCTTTTCTTGCAATTCTTCCTGAGTTAGAGCCAAAATTACCTCCATGAAGTTGAAAATCGGCTCTTCTTGCCAAAATTTTGCTTCGAAACTTCTTTTTCACCGCCTAGTCGATTAGATGTATGCCTGGAACAGAAAATGAAAATTTTTGATTGTCTGATTCAACACTGCCCTGCCCATAAGGTTAAAAGTCATGTTTATTCCTTTTTTTCGAACTTTGGGAAAAAAAAATCCTTCTTCATGGATTAATCGAGTTTTGTAATTGTTCATGTACGATAATAATAGAAAAAAGGTCGAAAAACGATGTTGCAAAGGAGTTTTTCAAGCTTCAGTTTTTTCAGAATTTTTGTTTTAAAGATGGAGTTTACTGGTAACTAGATGGTCCTCATCATACGTCGGCTGGAACCCACCCCGGGGTACCCCCCTCAAATTGCGGCCCACCCCTAGGAAAGTGCGGCCCACTTCAGTACATTTTCAAATTTTTTTTTTGCGCGCAAAAGGCTGGGGTGGGACCTAGCCGGCGTATGATCCTCATTGAATAAAACAAACTTCAAAAAATGAATTTTTTCATCATTTTCAGATCTTTTTTGCAGAAAAAGTTCAAAAAAAGAAAAATTTTAAGTTGATCATTTTGAAGTATTTTTTGCTCCAAAAAAATGAATTTACTATAACTAATTGAATAATACAAGCTGATAAGCTGATTTCCAGCTTCTCGACGACAATCGCGAGCTTTTCGTCCCAGAAATCAATGAAACGATCAAAGCGCACAGGAAATTCCGCCTCTTCGCCACACAAAATCCGGCTGGAACTTATTCTGGAAGGTTCTTGGGAAGATCTAGCAAGGTAATCACGAAAAATGAATTTCAGAAAGAAGCTCTCGAGGGCTCTTTTGTCCAGATTCATCGTTCTTCGGTTCCATCACCTGCCAATGGATGAATTGTCTGAAATGGTAGGGTTTTTGGGCTGCTTCTTGGCTGGAAAAATCGAAAAAAATTATGAAGTTTTATAGAGGAGAAAAATATTTATTAGAAAGGAAAAAAATGAGTTTTTTTCAAGTTTCAGAAAGGAAATTTCAGGATTTTTAGAAGAAATTATGTCCAGAAATATGAAAAAATTTGTTTTTTTCAAGGATTTTTTCTTTCAAGATAGATCAATTTACTATAAAAAACAGTAAGTACCCCAAAAATCTTCAAAAAACGTTGAATTTTGAACCATTTTTCAAAGAAAAAATCAACGAAAATCTCGAAAATAACTTTTTTTTTAATGGGATTTTTTTTTAGGAAATCTTTAGGTTTTTTAAGATTTGCAAAACAAAATATGAAGGGGGCGGAGCCAAAACTCCGCCGTTCTCATGTGCCGTCATGGGAAACAAGCGTAGGGTTAAAGGCGCATGTTCAATGGGTCATGAGACGAATCTATTTCTCCTTTTAGAAAAACGCAATTTTTCTGTTTTTTTTTTTGTTTTAAAACACATGCCGTGATGAGAGTAATTCCGCGTAATTCAAAATAGCCACCAGAGAAAGAAAAAGATAACTGCATTTTGGAAAATTTGAGAAGATTCCGAATATTTCGCGAAAATAACTTTTAACGTGGCGTGTGCGAGAGCGCCGAGGTGCATGCACACGACACACTAAGCTTTACGGAAAAAATATGGGCGGGGCGACACTAAGAATAACTGCCGAGATAAACGCGAGACACTGGCGGTACATTGACGAGCTCGCAAACATCTCGCATTTTTTCTCGCGCCGGTCTCGCTTTTTTCTGGGCGCCAGCTCGCACTTTTCTAGGCGCGAGCTCGCATTTCTCTCGCAATTTGAAAATTTCCGAAATGCAATATAAATGCGAGGTCGCGCCTAGAAAAAAGCGACATGTTTGCGAGTTCGTCAATGTACCGCCACCGACCTCGCGTTCATCTCGTCAGTTATTCTTGGTGGTCGTCGAAAAAATGCCGTGTTGCGATATTTTTTGAATTGGTGCCGGTACGCATCGCACAATAGCCGCATATTTTAGTCGAGAAAAATGAGTCAAACAATTTTAAATCCAATTTTCAGGTCTGTACAAGATGCGACGTTCCTCCATCGGCCGCGAAGAAAATGATCGACGTTTTGTCGGAACTGAGGATCAAAAGAAGTCTGAGTGGACTTTTCTCGGCTCGCGACGGTCTGATGACCCTCCGAGACGTCTTCCGATGGGCCAAGAGACTGGCCACTGACGAGACTTGTGACGATTGGCTTCAGGTCTTTACAGAGAATCGTTCGAAAGAAAAATTGAATTTAAAATGGGAAATATGGATTTTTGGAAATTAACGTTGATATGGTGGTCTGGAATGAGGGGGGCTAATTCCGATAAGGGTTCCAATTCTTATTCCAAAGTTAGGGGGGACTTTGAAGATTTAATAGGCATTCTAGATTAGTCTGTGCGGACCTTGTTCGGGCGTGGTGAGGGATGGGAGGGGGGGATTCTGAAATTTTTTTCCGAAATATTTTTTTAAGATCTTGAATGAAAAATAGAGAATTTTTTTCAAAAATATTGATGACTTTTTACGTTGCTAAACTACTACAGGTTCTCGTGAACCACGGCTATTTCCTGTTGGCTGGACGTTGTCGAAATGCCAAAGATGAACAAACCGTCGTTGAAACTCTGCAGAAGATCATTCGAAGGGATATCGATGTAATTTTTTATTCTATGGCTTGAAATCCTTGATTTTTTTTTTAGAAGGAAAAGCTTTTCGCCATGAATTCGCTGTATATGCCGAAAGATATCGACACGAAAAATATCGTCTTGACTACCGGTATGAGAAGAATGCTGGTTTTCACGGAACAGGTGGGAAAATGGCTCGAAAATAGCTTGAGAATGGAAAATTTGGCTTGAATTTTTGAATAATTCGTTATTTTTTGTTGAAATTTGACGTTTTCTCTTGAAAAAGCGAAATAAATAGTCAGCTTAGCTTAAGAACCCAGAAATGGTCCTTTAAGAGGCATTTTTTAGGACCCTTGAAGGTTCCATTTAGGGGCGACCCTATCTCCCCCTAGAGAGGAAGGGGGGCTAATGCTTGTAAAAGTGGGCACTATAGGGGTTTATTAAGGTCCGGTTCTTAAAAATTGGGAAAAAATTCCGAAATCAAAAGAAGTTTTGAGGCTTGGCTCCGAAATGAAGCCGTGCTCCTGGTCGGTGAAACTGGCGGCGGTAAAACTTCGCTGGCCGAAGTCGTTGGGCGAGGAAAGCTGAGGAGTATCAACTGTCACGAAAGAACCGAGACGGCGGACCTTCTCGGAAGATTGAGACCCAAACAGGATGGAGGGTAATTTTTGGCTAAAATGAATGGAAAATAAAAAAAATTGGTGGAAAGTGAGATTTTCGCCAGCTTGTCACGTTTTTTTGAGCCAAAATACCGTATACTTTTTATATTGTAGGTCTTGAGGCGAAGAGCTCAAAAAATGTCTGCATGCTGTTTTTTTTTCGACTGAAATACCGTATACCTGTAGATTGCAGGCCTTGAAGCGAATCGGACAAAAATTCTATGTGTACTGTAGTTTAAAATATAGTATACCTTTAGTTCGTTTTTTTTTTTCGGAAACCGTATAGATTATAGAACTTGAAGCAAAACGCTAAAAAAAAATCTGCATACTGTGGTTGTTTTTCGACAAAAATACAGTATACTTGTAGATCGCAGGTCCTAAAGCGAATCGGACAAAATGCAATGTATACTGTGTTTTTTTCGATTCAAATACCGTATACCTGTACATCATAGGTTTCGAGGAGAAGCGCCTGAAAAAAATCTCTGTAAACTGTGGTTTTTTTCGAGTGAAATACCGTATACCTTTAGATTATAGATCTTGAGGTTAAGCGCTCAAAAAAAATGTTTGCATAATGCGGTTTTTTCGTGGGAAACACCGTATATCTGTAGATCGCAGGTCTTGAAACGAAGCGGTGAGAAAATCTACGTATACTGTGGTTTTTTCACACACCGTATACCTTGAAGTTGAAAAGCGAAGCGCGGAAAAAGCTATGTATAGTGTGGCTTTTCCTAACCATAATACCTGATAACTTCAGAACATAGGTCTTGAGGCGAAAAGCTGTGTATGCTGTAGTTTTTCCTCGTTGTATTTAAAAAAATGGGACGATTTTGCGCGGAATACGCTATAGAGAATCGAAGAAAAATTATTTAAAAAAAAGGAAAATTTCGTAGGCATCGAAAAAAATCGATTTTTTTCTGTTTTTTTAGGAGAATATAGGGTTGTTTTAGGCTGTATGAATTTCAAAAAGTGCAGCTGAAAAAGTTGAAAAAAATAATGTTGTTTGAAGAATTTTTTCCAGTGAAACGAAGAAATTGAAGTTTGAAAGAGGGCTTTGGATTTTTTTTTTGTTTTTCTCGGAATATTATCTCATTTTTACGACCTTTGCGAGGGCTCTAGAAATATTGAACTGAATTTACAAAAGCTTCTTATTTTTAATTTAATTTTTGAGTTTTCCTTTTTCAAGTGGTTTTTCATTTCATTCGTTTCAAAGGATATTAAAAATTATTATTCAAGATTTGAATGGTCGGATGGAGTTGTGATCTCAGCAATGAGAGACGGTTTCCCATTGTTGGTCGATGAAATATCGTTGGCCGAAGATTCGGTTCTGGAAAGACTGAACCCGTTGTTCGAAGAAGTATTGATTTTCACAGAAAAACAGAGAAAAAGGGGATATTTAGGATCGAACTCTGTTGTTGTCAGATGCTGGGGTTGAGACGCAAATCGTCCATTCCTCTGAAGGTTTTCAATTGGTCGCCACGATGAATCCCGGCGGGGATTATGGAAAAAAGGAGGTTGGTACGGAGTTGATGGAAAAATCATCTTTTTAATAAATTTGAGGGAAAAACGATAGGAAATGAAGAAAAAGGTTATAAGAGTTGAAAAATTCAAAATCGATATAAGATCCTTATTCAGACTCTTCGAGGTTACTTAGAAACGCCAGAGTGGTCCCTAGAGGGGCAACCGTAGTGGCCCTTAAGGTTGCTCTTTAGGGACCTCTTTAGCTTCCCCTATATGGGGCACTAATGCCTGAAATAAGTGAAATACATTATTTTGTCCACTGTAGGGGCTTTTTTATTCCTAACCCCTCTAGGGGCCACTCTGGCGTCCCTAGTATCTTTTAACCGAATTTGAGAGAAATTTTAAAAAAATGAGTTTTGATCAGACTTTTCAAGGTATCTTAGAAACGCCAGAGATGTCCCTAGAGGGGCAACAATAGCGGCTCTTAAGGTTCCTCTTTAGAGAGCACTTTAGCTTCTGCAATAGGGGCACTGAAGCTTGCGATAGTAGCCATTCTAGAAAAGCATGGCTCCTCTCCGTCACACTTACTCATAAAACAGAACCAAAAATTAATTGACCACTGTAGGGGCCCCTTTAAGAGGGGTCTAAATTTCAGAACCTCTGTATAAACAATCAAAATTTCATTAGAAAAAAAGGCGTGGCCTGTCTGTGCTCTCCACCAACCAGACAATGTCTCTTTTTTTCGTGTCAGGACCCATTTTTCGATGGCTTAAGCCAGCCGTGAATTAGCTATATGAAGCCTTTACTAATTAATTTTTTCAATCTCTTCAAGGTATTTACTAATTCTTTTGAAATCAAGATCGACTCAGGTGATTACATTCAGTTCGAAAGTATAAGGATTTCCGTCTAATAAGAAAAAATAACTCAAGTTTGAAAAATTTAATTATACGTATATTTTTCTCTTCCTCCGGTCAAAGTTACGTTTCCAAAAATCTTTATCTTTTATTAAAATGAGTCTCGCGTGTTCATGTGTCCTCTCGTTCTAATTATCGAAATTTCGCACTTTTCCAGCTTTCCAAAGCGCTCCGGAACCGTTTCACGGAAGTCTGGACGGCGAGCGACTACTCAGGAGATGAACTTTTGTCGATTTTCGACGCTCGACTGACGAAAAACGAAGCGACTCGGGATGAAGCTCGCGTGACGCCCACGCAAGCCTCCAAGGTCGTCGTCGCATGGATCGCCGAGTTCTTCGAGAAGTACTCGCACGTCTTCCGGTAGGAAACTTCGAGTGTCTGCGTCTCTCTGTTCCCTCACCGGCGAGGTCAGAGATATAGGAAAACAGCACGAAAACAGGAGAGAGTCGCCGAGAGAAGAGGAGGGTGCAGAGAAGTCCCGCATTTTCAAGTCGCCAAAAAAGGAGTGTATCTCGGAAAATTTTTAGTGCTTACTGTAGAGGTTCCTAAGGACTACTTGGAGAGGACACTGAAGTGGCCATCAAACCAACCTCTATAGGAGCCATTTTTGAGTCTTAATGACGACTATAGTAGGTTTTAGTGGCCTAGTAGTTCCACTTAGACCTCTATATTGACCACTTATTTTCAACCCCTCAAGTGGCCACCGATTCGACTACTATAGTGCCCACTAAATCGTCGAAACCCTTAAGTCCCAGATAGACGATCAGAGGTAGAGATCAAAATCTGAAAACGAGTCCGATTTCAAATCAATCGATAGAGAAGATCAGAAAATCAAGGGGTACTTCAAAACCATCGGAAAAAGGTGTACAGTTTGTTCATATAGTCTGTTCAGATTTCAAATGTCAAGTCCTCGCTCAAGCTCCGCCCCTAATGGTGCGATAAACCAATCAGAGAGCGAGCCATCCACAGAGTGTTTTTGAATGACGTCATTGCACTTGGCATTGAAAATCTGAACAGACTATATTCCGAATGTCATGTACAATGACGTCATTAAATAGAGCTCTGGCTGCCTCGCTCTCTGATTGGTTTATCGGGTCATTAGGGGCGGTGCTTAGGCGAGAACTTGACAAAATCTGAACAAACTTTGATTATTCTAGCTTCCAAGCTGGATGCGACTTGTATTTTCCAATCATATGGCTCAATTCAGACACGCTCCGTCAGTCCGAGACGTCGTCGCCTGCGCGGAACTGTACTCATCGGCGGTGGCAGCCGACGTGTCCCGACCTTTCGCGGTTCGCGACGCCTTGTCCGCCGTCTTTCTCGACTCCCTCAGCGGCCTCACCACCAGGCTGGCCATCGATGCGGATGTCGTTCTGCAAGATGCTCTCAAAATGGTTTTTTCTTCAGATTTTCCTCGCCATGGGGTTGGTCCTAGCTGTGAGACCTTCCTAGGAACGCCAGAGTGGTCCCTAGAGGGTTTAGGAGAAAACAGCCCTTATAGGGGGACAAAATAGGATTGAGTAGTCTTATAAGGTTGTAGGGTCGCACTTTTAGGCCTCTAAAGCTTAAGGGGTCCCTTTAGGGTTACAGGATCGCATCTCGGAGGCTCTAAAGCTAGAGGGGTCCCTATAGGGGTCTTTTGATCTTTTTTTTTCTTTTTTTGAAAGTTAAAAAAAGCTTAACAAATGAAAAATTCATGGGTTAATCTTCTGAATAAATCAATAGCATGTTTCCCTAAAGGGACCACTAACTGAAACTTCTAGGATGGCCACTTTTGCAAGTGGTAGTGAACTAATATAGGGGGAATTAGGATAGAAACCTCGATAGAAGATCTTTGGATAGACCTTTGAAAATTACTTAGGAACTCCAGAGTGGCCCCTAGAGGGAAAACTTCAAGATCCCTTAACGTAGGCTCTCTAGGGACCACTGTGATGATGTGGGAAACTGAAAAAACTCCTCAAAATAGAAAAGTGTTCGTTTAGTGATCAACAGAGCCTTATCTTCCATCCAAGATTGAGAACAAGCCAAAAAATAAATGTTTTGACTTTAACTGATTAATTAAACTGTGTGTAAAGGCTTTTTTGACAGTTTTTAAGCAAAAATTCAAATGAAAGAACAGTTTTTTTCACTCAGTGATAATCAGAAAGTATCGCTGTGAGATCAGACACCTCCTGGTTAGATTTGAAGCCTTAAAAAAGCTTTTCCAGCTCTCTTCCCACCTTCACAAAGTCTCGATAGTGGAAAATGCGGAGAAGTTCCTGGCCGAAGCGACGGCGACGACCTCGAATGCGTTGATCCATCAGACGGCTGATTATCTGCAAATCGGCCATTTGAAAGTGGAATACGGAAAGAAAGAGCCGACGATTCCCCGGGGATTCTCACTGAAGGCGCCGACTTGCGTCGAGAACTTCTACAGAATCGCGAGGTGAGAGAAAATTAATACTAATCAAGATAATTGTGCTCTTGAAACAGAAGTTTTTTTGAACCTTTGTTGAAATTTTTCAGATTTTAGAAAAAAATTAGCGCGAAATGTTGACTTTCTAACGCATTTTTTTGCCGCTCGAAAAGCGAGATTTTTTTCCCATTTTTTTGAAATAATAACCATTTATTGAACGAAAGTTTTATAGAATCGCAAGATGAGATAAAAAAATATTAAAAATAATTGAGAAAAATCAATTTCGATATGTAGATAGCTCCCTTCAAACTGGATTTTTTTAGAACCTTGTTAGGAGCCCCAGAGGGGTCCCTTTAGGGGTTAAGGAAAGCCATTAAACTTGATCCTTTAGTGACCACTTCCTGAATTTCTTCAAACTTTCACTTCTTCTGAGCTTTCAAAAAGTTTAGCCTGATTTATAGAATTTCAACGCATTTTCTCCGCTTGAAAAGCAAGATTTTTTATATTTTTTGAGTAAATATTTCTTTTCAGATTTTTAAAAACGAAAAGGTTCAGTTTCCCCACAAAAACGGCTTTCCCTCAGCTTTTTGATAGAGAAAAATCAATCAGGATTCAAAAAAATGGCTAAAAAAAGGGCTGCATGTGCGCTCCATGGAGAGATTTCGTTTTCTTTCTATTTCTCTATATTTTTTTGAATTTTTTTGATAGAGTTGTTTCGGCACAAAAAAATTTCACCTTTATTTTTTTCTGGATCTTTGAATTTTTGACGTCTTGATTCAGGAATTTTAGCTTACAACTCTCAAAAAGCTCCTCACTAAGTTTAAAAAAACGGTCCAAAAATTGGTAATATGCTTTAATTTTTGATCTTTTTTTGATTGATTTGATAAAAATTCATGAATTTTAAAGAGGAATGCTCATCAACAAGCCGATTTTACTGGAAGGAGCCCCCGGATGTGGAAAAATCGAGCACAGTCATGGCCTTGGCTCAACTCACCGGAAATGCTATCACACGGCTCAATCTTAGTGATCAGACGGTAGAAATCCCAAAAAAATAACTGAAAAAAGAGGATTTTCAGGACCTCTCGGACTTGTTCGGTAGTGATGTTCCAGTGATTTCTGACAGTGGAAATATCACTTTCCGATGGGAGGATGGCCCGGTTTTGAGGGCTATCAAGAACGGGGAATGGGTCCTTCTTGATGAGGTGGGCAAAACGGCGTCTTTTACAGAAAAATTGAGAAAAAGGGATTTAAAAAAATTTTTTTTCACAGAAAAAAATAAAAAAACAACAGCTACTTTTACAAAAAAATTGAGGAAAAAAATAATAAAAAATGAACGGTTTTTACAGAAAAAAATTAGAAAAAGCTTTTTTTACAGAAATTTGAGGAAAAAAACAATGTAAAAAAATGAATTTTTTCACAGAAAAAAATGTACGAAAATTTGGAAAAAAATTTTTTTTGATTTTTTTATTTTTTTTAATGTGAGAGTTTCTAGTTGCCATTCCAAAAAAACTTCTTTTTCAGAAAAATAATGAGGAAAAAAATGCTCGATTTCTATGATAAAAAGGAGCCCAAATTTGGGAAAATTGACGATTTTTATCCTTCTCAAGCAAAAACTTTTTATTGAAACGTTAAAAAAATAATCCTTGCCATGATTTGAAGTCCATGAGATGCGGCTGAAATGTGAATTTTGAAAAACTTGCATTTAAAAATAATGCTGGATTTGGTATTTTATATGTCAAATCGCGCAAGTCGCTTTTGGTCGGGCGCAACTTCAAAAAGCCGCATTTACATCCCCATGCGACGGATTTTTTTCAAGAAAAAGGAGATTTGTTTGTGAAAAATGGGCTTTTTCTGAAGAGAATTGTCTTGAAAAATTTTTGAAAAAAATAGGAGAATAATATAAATATTTTTCGGAGTCTTGAGAAGGCTTTTTTCGAATGAGGATTCACCCAAAGTTTTTTTCAGAAAAGTAGGTTTTTTTTAAGAGATGAGTTTGACTCGAACCGCCACATTTGGGATATGACTGTTTTTGAAAAATGGAAAAAATTCGAAGATTTTCCAGATGAATCTGGCTTCTCAATCGGTCCTTGAAGGTCTGAACGCCTGTTTCGACCACAGAAGGATACTTTACATTGCCGAGTTGAATAGGTTTTGTGGCCAAAAAATAGAAACCTCATCGATTTTTATCGATTCAGATCTTTCGAAATCCCCTCGACGTCGAATTGTCGCTTCTTCGCTTGCCAAAACCCGAGAGTTCAAGGCGGAAATCGACGGGCCCTGCCCAAGTCTTTCGTCAATCGATTCACCAATGTGAGATATTATGGGGATTCGCTGTTTCAGAAGCATAACGAAAGAAAGAAAATTGCTCTGTTTTTACTTTCGTTATAGTAAAAACAGAGCAATTTTCTTTCTTTCGTTATAGTTAATTTTTTGTTTGGTCCTTATTTGGAAAAATAGGCCGTATTATCCATTTGTAAAATACGACCTTCACTGTAATTAGCCAATTTTGCTCTGTTTTCTCCCGATTTGGTTGAAATTTCTTGCTCTTTTTTCTTCTTCTTTCCCTTTTCTTCAGATTTTTCTTCATGGTTTTTGAAAATCTGTTCTTTTAGCGTTTTTGGAAAAATAATCGTCCTATTTAACGCCAAGGCCGTATTTCACAAATGGAAGACGGCCTAATTTTCCAAAAAGAAAAAGATGAACTTTAATAGTTGTCTTCGTCAAATTTAGTCCTACAAAGCAGAGAAAAAAAATTTTCCGAAGAAAAATTTTTGAAAAAAATAATGAAAAAAACATCCTTTCTTGAAATTTTGTATTCAAAATTTCGTTTGAGAGTTTTTTTTTATTTGTTGTTCAACATTTTTTGATTTTTTGCCCTTTTTTCAATAGCCGAGGTTTTTCTTCAATCAAAGAACACAAATCATGAGAATAAAAATTAGGGAATTAGGTCGGTTTTTCAGAATTCATAGCACTAAAGATTTGGATTTTAGTTGGTTTTTATGATTAAAAAAATGGGACTAGTTCTTTTTTTTTCTGTTCTTAATCTGCTCCTTCGGGTTTTTGAGCTTTTTATGAGATTCAAGAATCCCTTAAAATTCATTTTTTTACACTTTTTTTGAAAAAAACTGTTTTTAATTTTTCCGCTTCATTCATGAATAAAGTCGTAGTGAAAGTTTGAAATTTGAAAAAAACATATTTTCTTGATTTCAGATCTACACGAACGACCTGACAAGTGGAGACGTGGAGATGATCCTGGAAGGAATTGACGTCGGTCGGAAGTTGTCCGGAGAAGAAAGAAGAAGAATGGTGGCGGTGAACGAAGAATGCGCCAGGCTCGCCGAGATTGGCGCTTTTGTCGGCGGACCGCATTCATTCAATCTCAGGGACTTGCTCCGCTGGTTCGAGCTCACCGCTAGTGTCAGTTTTCGAGGAAAAATGAAAAAAAGAAAAACTTTGATATAAATGATTTTTTTGAAAAAAATAATCCTTCAGAGAACTTTTTTTAACAAAGAAAAAAATGCATTTTTTTCATTTTGAAACATCAGAGATAGACTTACAGACCTTAATAGTGAATTTTTGTCCAGGAATTTTCAGTTATTACTTTATTCAGCAATAGAAAAAGGGAAATTTAAAAGTTTTACTATTATTTATGACTGGAAATAGCTATAAATGCAGTTCAAAAAATCGGGTAAATGACGAATTTTGAAGCTGAAATAAGTATTTTTTCGAAAAGCTATCCTCACTCTATTCTAGAAGAAATCAATTAAAAAAAATATAGTCATATGCAAATTTAATATCGGTCTCAAAAAAGAATACCTTTTTTGGGGCTTTTTCGCAGATTTCTGCGCTTTTTAACACTTTAGCAAATATTAAAAAAATATTATATGAAAAACGATTTATTTTTGAAAAAAAGGTGTCTTTTTAAAAAGGCGTATTACTTTTTTTGGACCCTTCTCGGCGTCTTTAAAAAAACTCGAAAAAAATCTGTCGAAATCCTGCAATCTACCAGTTTTTGTGAACATTTTTTTCATAGTAGATCGAAAAAAACGTCGATTTTTTTCTCCCCGTCTGTGAGCTGGGTTGTTTGAAATCTGGTCTCGAGGAGAAATTATTCCGTCTCGAAATGACTCGAGACCAAGTTCTTTCGTTACGAGACCAAAATGACGTTTTTAGGCCGAAATCGCGAGTTTTGAGCTTTTTTCCTTGAGATATCTCGAAAAAATTGATCTTTATCGATTTTTAAAAAGCATATTTCGATAAAAACTCTGGTTCTCACTGAATAATTTCCTTCTAACCTTTTTTTAAGAAAAAAGTCGAAAACAGGAATGTGCGGAAATCCTGATTTTCAGACTTCTGATTTTACGGTTGGATTCGAAATCGTCTATGTCAGCCGGATGCGTAGGGAAGAAGATCGGGATCAGGTTTCCCATCCAAAATAGTCATTTAAATAAGAAATAATAAATTCAGCTCCATTCTGTTTTCGAAAAATTGATGATGATGAAGGCGATTTATCCGCCCGTTCAGCTGCAGTTGGACCAGAATTTTTTGAGAATCGGAAAGGTTTTTGGAGATTTTTCCATGAGATCAATGGAAAAAGAGGATTCTTCAGGCGGATATTGTCAGAAAACCCCTGAAATCGGACCAAAATCTGGCGAATTCTCGACTTTTGCCAAGCCAAATGAAGGTTTTCCACGAATTGGCGACCTGTGTGCAGATGAACTGGCTGGCGTTGATCGTTGGGCAGAGGTAATTTTGGAAAATATGAAAACTTTGCGTTTCAATTTCGAAACATGGTTCAATAATCAGAAATTTTGCTAAAAACAGAAATTTTCGAACTAGCAAATATTGACTTTTTTTGGACGATTTTCAATCCAAAGAAGAACTTACTTAAGTAATTTGACAAGAAAAATTAAAAAATTAATCATTTTGCTGACTGACGTTCGATTTAAAATTCTCAAGGGTCTCGAAGCGAAAAGCCATTTTCAGTGTCATTTTAGGACATTTTCGTCTTTAAAAACTTGGTCAAGAGTTTTTGAATCAGTCTCGTTTGATTCTTGATTAAAATTCTTCTTCCCATGCTGATGAGAGCTTAGCCAGCTGAAACTAGCTCACCTCGGGCGTACCCGTAAAAGTATACTTGGTAGAACTTTTCGGCATTTGTTACCTTAGCTGAGACATCATTTTTAGCAAAGTTGGGACCAGATTTTCGAAATGAACACCGCTGGGTCACCTATCTCTTCTTCTACCCGTTTTTGTCCGAATGACACTCAAATAGCCTGAAAATACACGGGTATACCCGTTGAGATACCTGGTTAGCATGAGAATTGGTTTCCTGTTTCACAAAAACATAAATTAAAATTAAGAAAGTCAAAGAATTTGCTGGAAACCCCAAAATGTTGGAGTATAAAGGAGAAAGTACATAACTTGATTGGTCCAGGAGGAGAGGTTGACTTACAAAAATTATAAGAAACTCGGTAAACGGGGTACACCCGTTGAGACATCGGGCCAACACGAGAGTTGGGATTTTCAAGCAAATAATTATGAACTTTTTTGACCTCACGAATATTTTTTTCATGTTTTTTCTTTGGTCACTATCAAAACATGTTCAAAAAAAGTGGATCCAGAGAAAAATAATACCTGCTCAGCATGAGACTTGGTTTCCTGTTTCACGCAGAGATTTTCAATAGATAAAATCAAAGAAATAGCTGGTATTTCGAAACGAATAATTTTGAACATGAATAAGAAAGTAAAAAACTCAATTGGTCCACGATGAATCACGAAAATTTTGAGAAAATCGGTTTAAAAAAATTGGTTTCAAGCCCAAGAGCTCACTCGGGCTTTCAGCGGGTGTACGAGCGTTGAAACGCTGTTCCGGCGGGCGTGCCCGCTTTAAGCCCGTAAAAGCGCAGGCGGTAGAAGTTTCGGCATTTTTTCTATAACTGAGGTGCCGTTTTTGCACGGTTGGGTCTCAGTTTTCCGAAATAAACCCGGGAAGGCAGTAATATAGTCCGTCCGCTGCGACTTGACACTTTTCGCGTGTCTGCGCCTCTCTGTTCCCTCACCGACGAGGTCAGAGAAACATGGAAATATCAAGTAAACATGAGAGAGACGTCGAGAGATGAGGAGGGCGCAGAGAAGTCCCGCCCTTTCAAGTCGCGAAAAACAGACTATAAGAAAAAAAAAAAATTACTTTTTGGAGAACTTTAATTCATGGAAACTCGGAGGAGAGCTTGACGGCGTCTCAACTATGAAAAAAAAGCCGAAAGTTCTATCAATTTTGCTTTCATGGGCTTGATATGGGTACGCCCGCCAAGACAGTGTGTTGATACGGGGGCCCCGGTGAAAGCCCGTGTTAGCTCCCGAGCTTGAAAATAATTTTTTTAACCGATTTTCTCAAAAATTTTTAGGAATCCTCCCCTCATCGTGGATCTATTGAGTTATTTACTTTCTCATTTGTGTTCACAAGGGCTTGTTTCGGAATATCAAAAATCCTTTGATTTTGATTATTTAAAATCTCTGCGTGAAACAGGAAACCAACTCACATGATATCCAAGTTTCTTTTTTTTTGATCTCTATATTCCTTTTTCCTGGATGTTTTTCGATAGTGACCGAGAAAAAAGAAGGAAAAAACGAAATAACTCTTTGCTTGAAAATCACTTTCAACGCCGCGAAAATGAACTCTCGTGTTGGCCAAATGGCTCAACGGGTATGCCCTATTTAAACCCGCTTTTTTTGAAAGGTCATTTAACTTTGCGATGGGGAATTCCCTGAAAATTGGCCAGAAGACTTCTATTTGTACCAGATGACGATCCTAAAGACCTAATTTGCAAAACTTCCTGGTTTTCGAGAAATTAAGGCTGAAAATCACAAAAAAGCCTATTTTTCTGGATTTTCTTTGAACTTGCAGCTTCTTTTCTCAAAACGAGGAAGTTGTGTAGGTTGAGACTTCTAGAACCTTCTTCTGATACATCAAGGAGTGTTCTGGCCAATTTTCTGGAAATTCCCAACCACAAAGTATTAGGTTGTTAATAAACGGATTCATCATCATCAGTTTATTCATTTTACAATAAATAAAACATTTCTAAGGGCCATTTCATTTTTTTAAATAAATCATTTCTAAGGGCCATTTCATTTTGGATTTTATTTTTTCAATAGTTGACTTCAGACAGTCATAACTCGTTTCAGAAGACGTTTTTTTGACTGATCTGAAATCTATGAATTACTTCGAAACCTTGAATACTTGAATTTATATAATAAAATGAATGAACGACGTGCCTAAGTTTCCAAAACTTATGAATTCATTTGGACATCGTATTGAATTTAAGGGCATTTCTCACTGATAAAAATTTCAAGGTTACCTTAAAAAGTAAGAGGTGCTCCCTAAGCAAAAATATTGAATTTTTCCTTCTGTTTATTTTCGATTCTTTTTCTTCTATTTTTATGCTCGGTTTTCGGGCTCGAACGAAAAAATTATGAAAAATTGCAACTTTTTGAACGACGGAAAAAAAATTCACTCAGTTTTTTTCCGAGAAAATCTTTTACGCTTACAATTTGAAGAACAGACATCGAGTTTCAAAATGATATATATGTTGGAATTTTGAGAAACGGAGGAAAACGGACGATTGTGGAGAACTTGGCGACCTTGTCTGGTAGGACTTTACAAACGATTTCTTTGAACGCCGACACGGACGCCCAGGAACTCATCGGATCCTATGAACAGGTTAATGGGAAAAAAATGAACCGTTGAAAAATGGAAAATCATTTTTTTTTCGGAAAAATCAATGGGATTAAGAAATGACCTCACTGAATAAAGAAAAAAAAATTTTATTTTTTGATCCTGCTTCATCCAGTGTGATAGCCCATTATTAGAAACGTGCACATAAATTTTTAAGTCCCTTCCGGTTACGGTAGGCCCCTGCGTATCTGAATACCGAAGAGCTTTTACTAGGCAAGTGATATATCAATCGATAGGTAATCCAATCTTGGGAATTTTTACAGTAAACACTAGCTTGAATTACTGTAGAAATTTTTGAGTTCCGGTACTTTTTTCGAAAAATTTATAAAAGTGATGCCGTGTTCAACGTAATTCTCGCGAAATTCAGAATTTTCTCTGATCCTCCAAATTTTAGTTATCTTTTTCACTGTTTGACACGCTTTTTCGAAATAACGGCAATAATTTTTGACTCAAAATAGTTTAGATGAAAAAAAAATTGTTGGAAATACTGTAAAAGTCAGTTTTATCAGAATATTGGTTCATTTTTGTAATCAGGAAATGCGGAAAGCTTGTTTCTATGAAAAAGCTCAAATTTTTTTCGAGAAGAGAAAAATTATTTTCAGCCTTTTTTCGATATTCATTCTGAAAATACTCGATTTTTCCGAAGTTGAAAAATAATTTTCAGCCTTTCTTTGATATTTTTTCCAAAAAGGAACGAATTTTTGGTTCAGATCGTCGATGAAAACGTTGTCGGCGAGGCGAAAAAGCAGCTCTATCAATTGCTGGAACCCAAAATTTCCGACGAATCAACTCTGAAGAAAATCCTGGCCTCTGGTGAACTTCTCGACCTGGAAACAGCGACGGAAATGGCCCTGGCCCAATGTGAAGATCAGAAAACGGTGACGTCATGCCGGGAAGTGTTGTCGGACGCGAGCGGCTCTGCGATGCGGTTCGAGTGGATCGACTCGGTCTTCGTGAGGGCCTACTTAAGTGGCCACTGGCTTCTGATTGAAGACGTCAATTTGTGCAGGTCGGGGAGAAAAGAGGGGATATTTAGGGAATTTATCTGTCAGATACGAAAAACTCCAAAATTCATCGGTTTTTTTTTCGAGAGATCCAAAAAAGGACATTTTAACTATCAAATAACGTATAGAAATTCATATTTTCATATATTTTTGAAAAATAAAAGCCAGAAAATTCGTTTATTGTAATTTGGTTAGAAAGAAGCATAAAATTGTGCGAATTAGAGAAGAAAAAAAAGTTTCGAGTTTTTTTGATGATGATTAGACCTGCGAGAACGATTAATCACTTTTTTTGTTGTTTCAGAAGCGGTTTTTTTCAAATTTTTCTAGGGTTTTTTTACAATTCACCAAGTAACCTGAATGAGCATTTTTTTTTAAATTAATTAATATTTTTTTCATCGAGACTCAATGGAAAAAAATTCATGAAACTTGTGAAATTTACATTTTGAAGCGTGCGGTTGCGGAACGGCTGGCCTGCACATCTAACTTTCCGCGCGAAATTCAAGCAAAGACTTTATTCAGTTGATTTTTTTGATTAGGACTTCAAGACTTACCAGCAGGCGACGAAAAAAAAAAAAAATTGAATAAAATGGAGGATTTTTTTGGAACCGCATGCGTTCAAAAAAAATGGAAAAAAATTTGACTCCGTTTTTTTCGTCTAAATTTTATTTAAACCTCAAAGTTTTTTTCAAACGTAAAACTTCCATATTTATTTCGAATTCATAGACGATTAACAGGCTTCCAGAAATTTTTAAAGTTATGGCTTGAAATACAGTACCCTTAGCTTAGCTTAATGTTGAAAAAGAACGTTTTGATCTTTTTGAATGGAAAAAGACTGTTTCAAATAGAAGAAAACGTTTCAGTGCTGCCGTTCTGGACCGGCTGAATTCTTGCCTGGAAAGCGGCGGAAAACTTGTCGTCGCCGAACGACAAAACTCCTACGAACCTCTTTCCCCTCATCCCGATTTTAGGTTGAAAAGTCGAAGATCTTTTCCAAAAATACAAAAAAAAATCCAGAGTTTTCCTGTCACTGGACTCGCGAGCCGGGGAAATCTCAAGAGCCATGCGAAATCGAAGTGTCGAAATTTTCATGGACGAGACGTCCAGGTTTGGACTTGAAAAGCTCAAAAAAAAAATTTTTTTGTCATAGAATAGCTTTTCGAATCGAAAATTGTAGATTTTCGGCAAGTTTTGACTCGAGATAACAAACTTTCAAGGTGGCACACCAGCGTCGACGATGTCGCGTCGGTAGTTAGCCGCGAGGAATTGACGATGTCGCAGGAAATCGCGACAAACGTGTCGCGTCTCTCAACGGAAGATCAGCTCCATCTGGCTGTTCTACTCCGGGAAATGCCCCTGGAAATCGCTTGTCGCTACATCGGCGTCGAAGAATCGATGGAAGACGAAGACGAAGAAGAACTCCTTCGGCCTGTCTGTTCAACGACAAAAGCCGTCTTGGTCCGGGAAATCGCCGCACTGGGATTGGCTTACGATACGTGGCTCGCCAATAACTGGAGAAAAGCCGCCGCGGATCAGATTGGTGTGGAATATTTGCTTCTCCCGTTCTTGTCCTCCACGTCTTCCGGGGTTGCCAATCGAGTTCTTGAGAAGGTCTTCGGAAGAGTTTCAGGTGAGTTTTGGGGTGAAAAAAATGTCTTTAAATAAAAAAGAGGAGTTTAAATGAAGAAATTGTTCAATTATGCGAAAAAACCAACTCTTCCTTTTTTTCTAATATTTGATTGTTATAGACCGCTTCTTTTGGTGATTTTCGAGGAAAAGTTTCAAAAAATGCTCAGAAAAAGTGTCCATTACAAGAAAAAAATCGATATTTTTTTATTGACGAGTTTCAAGTATCTATAACTATAACATTCAACCAGAACTGAAAATGAAAATTCGATCCTTCAGAAAAATTTGTTCAACCGAAGTTAAAAATCAAGAATTTTTCAACTAGGCGCTATAATGGTAGGAAGAAATTTTGGGTCCGCAAATATTCGTGAGCGTGAATTGTGCATACACCAATCTTGGGGAATCTTCGCAAGTTCAAATTTTGGAAAGCGATTAACCGATAAAAATCAAAAAAGAGGTGAATATTTCCAAAAATCGCTTTCCAAGACTCAAATTTGCAAAGATTCGAATCCCCAAGATTGGTGTATGCACAATTCACGCTCACGAATATTCGCGGACCCAAAATGCTTTTGTCCATAGACGCAATATTTTACGAGAAGCTTCCAGTTAATTTTCAGATTTTTTCTTAAATTGAAACAAAAATTTGAGATTCAACGCCATCATTTTCCCTTCAGAATCTTTCTACACCCGAGTCCTTCCCCTTTTGCCTTCCCCATCACATCGTCTCATCGATTCTACCTTCAACGCAGGTCGGAAGTCTTGGAACAAGGAAAAAGAGACTGAAAAGTGAAATTTCAAGAAAAATTGGAGAAAAATCATAATTTCAAGGTTCACCAATAACGTCGTTTTTGAATGGGCTCTACAACTCGCCCAGAAAATCGAAGTTCTTCATGGATCGGCTGAACATCTTTGCAGGACCATGACCAAGTGTAAGTGATCGAAAATCGGCTGTTTGACTGTAGTTTGAAATTTTGGTCTTATCTAAAAATCTCAGGTAGTTGGGTGAAAAATGAGATTTGAAAAAGACGCACCCAACACAACTTTATAGCAAATTGCAAGCGATATCGCCAAGGATTCATGCTGCGATATCGCTCCTTCTAAAAAATTTGAGATCAAAAATTATTTTCCATTTTGACTTTTTTGAGGAAATGACAAAAAAACAGAGCATCGTCAAAGTCTCGCTGCGATATCGCTCCCTCCAAAAAATTTGAGAGCAAAACATTTTTTTTAACTTTTGACTTTCAGCGATATCGCCAAAATGTAGCCGCTATATCGCTCCCTCGTATGAATTTTGATTCGATGGAATGGAAAAAAATTAACGAAAAAAATAGCTAAGACTTCTTGCTGCGATATCGTCAAAGTCTCGCTGCGATATCGCTCCCTCTAAAAAAAAATTGAGATTGAAAGTTATGTTCCATTCTTGACTTTCATGTTGAAATCGAACAAACTGGAAGAAAAAAAAACTTAAAAGAGCGATAAAGCGCAAGATTTTTGCGATGTCGCGCCGAGAGGTGAGCTATATCGCTCGCGACATAGCGTCATTGTCGTTGAGATATAGTCCATAAAAAAGAGGCCAAATTTGGAAATTTCGTGACTCATTTTTGCAAAAAACTGTGAAGTTCAGGCTTAACTCCCGCTAATTATGTGTTGATTTTTGCTAAAAATGAGTTTTCACAACAAAGATTCAAGCCAAGCGAGTTTTTTTTGCCCTCAATAACCATCCAGTCATATGAGCTTCATTGAAAAAAAAAAATCAAAAAGTGAAGATTTTTGTGAAATTAGGTTCCAGTTGAGTTAACGCGCTTTACGGTTACAGTTTGTGATTTTATTCTGTCTCACTTCTCATATCTCACTATGGTTGGATCATCGCGTACGTTGTTAAAAAAAAACAAAATTTTTTTTGCAATTTTTAAATTCTATCATTGAATCACTTTCTGGCTGTATTTCACGGCTTTTTTTGTGAAACAGTAATTTATTTTCCGACTTGAAAAAAATTCAAAAACAGTTGTATGAGCTTCATTTTAAAAAAAAGTTATTGACCCCTAAAGTGGCTACTAAAACTTTTAGTCGTCTAGTAGTAGCACTTAGACCTCTATAGTGGCCACTAATTTTTAACCCCTTGAGTGGTCACTAAGTTGACTACTACAGTGACTAATAAAACGTCAAAACCCTATAGTGGCCACTAAAAATTTTCCCATACCGGCAGTTTCTTGAGCAATGAAGTTTTCCACAAAAACTTTCTCTCTAGGTTTTTTTTTTCCTTTTTCGCTCAGAAACTCAAATTTCAGACGAAATGGCCACCAGTGAACTCGGTTTTGCGAATTTGCCTCATATCGCTCCAATTATCGATGCGATTTTGAAAACTCTGAAGGATGGATCGATCAAAGGAGATAGGGAATCGGTAGCTTCAAAAAAAATTAGGAAAAACAATTTTAAAAAATCTTAAATTCAGATTTTCTTATTGGCGCTAACTTTCCTGCTGATGACGTCAGCGGCCCGACGTCAACTGACGCCACGCGCCGGCTGCGCCCCACTGTACTTGGTCTGGAACGACGTTCAAAAAGCGCTCTCTTCCCAGAATATTGCATTGTTAGCTTTTATATCTGAATTCTTTGGCTTGAGAAAAAAAATTACTAAAAATTGTATGAACTGTAGTTCACGGAATTTGGAGTTCAAAGCTTGAAACTTTAAACTAATTACTGTAAATTTTGAAAATGTTATTTTCAATTTTTCTTAATAATGCTCTTAGGTACAGTTCATTGAAAGAAAAAAAGAGCAAAAAAATATTGATTTTTAGAAAAAAATTGAAGAAATCGATGATTGAATGATTCCGGTTTCAAAAACTTAAAGTTCAATCAAAAAGTCCAATTTTTGTTTTATGTAACCTTGATCCCAGCAGAATAATATTTTGGATAAGTTTGTTTTGTAGGTGAATCAAATTTTCGGTTACAGTAGGTCGTTGAAAAATTTTTTTTGAAAGTTTGGTTTTAAGCGGTTTTTTTTCAGAATATTCCCTAAGAAGACGTTTTTTAAGTCTCAAGTCAGTGGTTATTGAACTGAACCCGAAATTCAGAAAAAAAAATCATCTTTTTTCTAGACCTTCACAACTCGCAATCATCGCCGAAAAGTTGGACAAAGGCTGGTCCTCAGAAGCTCACGATTCTTTTTCGAAAGATTATTTGGTCCGATGGCGACGGAATGCTCTGGTGAAACCGTTTGACAACAAGAATCAGTGCGAAAGGTTGGTGACCTAGTGGGATGCTTAGGAACGCCAGAGTGGTCCCTAGAGGGATGAGAGGAAAAACAGCCCCTATAGAGAGAATTCAGTTGTTCCCTATATGGGTTTAAGTCTGAGACCTACGCCTCTAAAGCTTGAGTGGTCCCTATAGGGATAAGAGGAAACAGCCCCTATAGAGGGAAAAAATAGACCTCTGTAAATGGTGAAACTTAGTTGAACCCTGTAGAGGTTCAGGGACTGAGCTTAGAGCCCCTAAAGCTTAAGTGGTCCCTATAGGGGTTTCTAAGTTTTTGTTCAGATTTGAAAATTTGAAAAACAAACGATAATTTATTCACAATTAAAAAAATGCTTATTAATTGAGGATTTCTTTAAAAATTACATCTTCTAATAGAGTTCTTAACAATAATCGACTTGTATGCTCCCCTATAGGGGCCACTTTTGCAAGCTTTAATGCCTCTATATAGACACGTAAAGTGGTCCTCAGCAAAAAAAAGTGTCCCAGTTTTCATAAAGAAAAAAACGCTGGCTTTTTTTTTCTTATTTTTTGGTATTCCCTTGGAATTTTCGCTTTTCAACAAGTTTAGCTCCGTACTTGACCAAATATGATTGATTTTAACGATATTCCAGATATTCCAATCAACTGGAGGAAGCTATCTCAGCCGCTGCGGCTCAAAACTCAGAAGAAACTGAAGATGTTCACATGAACGAGGAGAATGAAGAAGAACAAAAGGTGGTGATTCCGAAATCGCCGGTCGACGAGTCGTTGAGATTGGCCGCCAGTGTCCAAGCTCTCCACGCCTTCTTTTCGGCTGGAGTTGTGGATTTTGTGAGTTTCAGAGGTTTTCCAAAGGGAGAGGGTCTTTAAGTGTAAGTAAGGGAAAATGAGTAGGAAAATAGGAAATGGTATGTGGAATTTAACGAAAAGTTGTATTTTATGTAGAAAAAAAGACAAAAAAGTCGTAGTTCTGGTAAAAATTAACAAAAAATATCGCATTATCCAAAAAAAAACAGGTCAAGCTTTATATTTCTCTATTTCTTCCTTTTTTTAGAAGGGACTCGATTTCTGAAAAATACAGCAGCAAAATAATGAATTTTAAAAATTAACGAAAAAAAGTGGCATTTTATGTAGAAAAAAAGACAAAAAAAGTCGTATTTCTGGTACAAATTAACAAAAAAATGGTATTATTTTTGAAAAAAACAACAGGTCAAGCATTATATTTCTCTTTTTTTTCCCTTTTTTTAGAAGGATCTCGATTTTTTTCAAAAATACAGCAGCAAAAATAACGAAAAAAACTGGATTAAAAAAATGCCGAGATTTTTTTGAAAAAAATCATAATTTTTAGGCTTTTCTTCAAAGTTCTTGCGATTTTTTTGAGCTCCAAATTCAAACTTCGCTCAAAAATTCATCATTTTGGTTAATTTAAAAAAATTTGAATACTTGAGAACCCGTAAAAAAAGAATGGTAGCTCGAGATAATATTCTCGAAGGTCTCGACGCGATTAGCAGAATAGCGTGTAAAAAAATAAGAGGTTTAGACGTATTTTTCCAGTTTCAGAGTGAATTGATCTTTTAAATTAAAAATATTTCCATGATGTTTCCATGATTGACCGATTCATACAGACTTACTATTATATAACTAAAGCCAATTTTCAGAGCAATCCAGTCTTCGTGAAGCTCCGCCCCTTCGACGGACTCAACTGGAGTGACCCCTCGGCGGCACGATGGCTTCAGATGGCGGCGGCGATGTCGACGACCCTCCGCACGTCTTCTGAAGACTCCGACGTCTGCGTCTTGCCTAGTTCTACCGGCGGAGCCCATTCTCTCATCTCGCATTCCTTCTTCACCGCCTTGTCTTTTGATCCGACTCTACAACTTCTGGCCGTGGCTCATCTTCAGAATCTGACCATGAAAGAGCTTCGGACAAGGCTGTGGAGATTTTCGCTGAATTCGACGCCGTTTTCGGATTCTTTGGGGTGAGGAGAAGCTGATAAGGAAGGTCATTTCACTTTGGGGGAAGTAAGTGGAATGAAAAGTTTTCTGGGGATCGAGCGAAAATTTACCTGAATTCTCAACACTTTTTGGAAAGTATGGGCTAGAAATAGACCATGTTAGCGTTTTTGTTGGTTTTTCTTCAGCTTGAGGTGAAATTCCTCGAAAATTAGGTAGTTCTGCTTTTAGGGCATTCATCTGGTAAATTGAGAAGTTCTCTGGCCAATTTTAAAGAAATCCATGACCCCAAACTAAAATGACCTTTTTTGTAAATTCCATACGGCTTTTTCCAGAAACGCTCTGTTGAAACTTCAAAATGGATTGGCTGGCTGGAACGAGCCGAAAGAAGCCGTCAGTTGTTGGACTGAAAGAATAAATTCCGGGTTGGAGATGATGAGAAAAGTTTGATAACTCCAATAAAAAGAAAAAAAAATGAGGATTCAGGCTCTTCCACCGATGGACACTCTGGACCCGGTCGTCTTCGAAGAAGAACGCCTTCTTTTTGTTCAAAAGAAAAGAGAAATCGTCGAGAATCAACTGCAGCTTCTGGCCAGTTATAGGAAGCTCGTGTCGAGGTGAGAAAGAAGAATGAGACAAAAATAATATTTAGACATATTAAGAAGTTCATGACGATTCAAAAAAAAAAAATGATAAAATCCCAAAAAAATGTTTGTTAGTAAAAGGATAGAGATAGAAGACAAAAAGTGGAGATTCCAGAGAAGTGAGAGCCTCTCTTTCTCTGCCGTCTCTTCAGAGCGCCGCTGTTCTTGCTTTCAATTTTTTTTTTTCTCAGCCCTCACAGAACAAAAATGATTTGCATTTCGTATAGTGCTCTTTTGAACAAGGGAGATCATTTTAAAGTGAAGTTTTATATTACCGAAAATATTGATTTTAGTAGAAAAGTCTAGAAGGTTTTATGAACTTTTGAAGTTTGGTTTCAACTTCTTTTTTACCCGGAACTCTCAGAATCTAACGTTTTGGTGAGGAAGAAACTATGAGGAAGCATAATTCAGACTTTTAAAGAATATTTGAACGAATTTTTCCAGGAAAAATTTCAAAGTTAATCCTGAAATTATCTTATTTTTTTGAGTATTTACTTATCCCAAAAAAATTTTTATTATGTTCAAATCATCTTTTTGAGACATTGAGTTTATTTTGAAGACCACAGAAAAATAAAAAAATTTTTTTTTCAAAGAAACCCTATGAAATTTTCCAGTCGAAAAACGTCGATTTTTTTAAAAAAATTTTTTTCTAAGTTTTCCATGTTTCAGGCAGTCCCCAGAATGCGATTCCATGTCCTCCCATCCCATCATTCGTCGTCTGAATCAATTGAGACAAGAACTCGTTGCTGCAGAAAAAGACCACAACGAAGAAGTTGAGCAGAACAAGGAAGCCGTTTACCGACAATCTGCCAATCAAGTTTCATAGTGAAAATTGTGAAAAATAATACCAAAATTTAGTACTCTGCCCTCTGCGCCGAAATGCGATCTTTCTTCGACGTCGCCCTGACGACGTCGTCAGAAGCGTCGAAGGAAAGAACAGAAGAAGATGATCAGATGGCTTCTTTGGCCATTCGAACGGCCCAGCTGACCTCCTTCCTCATGAGCGCTCAGAGCTTCCGACAGGTTTTTCTGAAAAATAAAACAGACTAGCATCAAGAAGAACAGTAGCATGTAAAAATGGTTCAAGAGCACCTTTTTCAAAATTAGGTTTCAAATTTCTATGTCGTGGCTCCAAAATTACCTAGAATAATTTTATCAATCATGTATCAGTGTATCAGGCCTTGTTATAACCGATTTACGGCTAACCTGAGACAAAAGGGGGCGTGGCCTCTCTGCGCTCTCCACTAACCAAACACTCTCTCTGTTTTTATCGTGTCAGGACCATTTTTTTCTGATGTCTCAAGCCAGCCATGAATCAGCTATAACCAAGAACGGACGCCCCCCGGCGTTTCTAAGCATTTCTAGGGATCCCTTTAGCGGCTTCAAACCTCTTAAGTGACTACTTGAAATGCTCAGAAACGTCCGCTTACCGAAAACAAAGTACCCTCTTTTCAGAGTTTTGAAAGCGAGCTTTACAGTTTTTCGAGCCGTATAAATTTGCTTCACTGAGCTTTCCCAATGCTCGGCTGGCTGAATTAAATTAAATTTTGATTTTTTGAGTAAGAACCGCGGGTTTTTTGAAAATGTACTGGAAAAGGTGCTGAGAAAAAAGAAAACGTTTGTCAATTTTTTTATAAATAGTTTACTGCGAGACTAGAGTTTCACTGTCACTTTTTGGTTCATCTCTCGAAATAGTCTGATTTCTCTGCGCTCTCGTATCCCTATGCGGCAAGGGAAAAGAGCGCAGACAGATCAGACTGTTAAAAATCGAGATAATGCTATATAACTGGTTCCCGACAAGCATGGAGCTCAAAGTGGGCGTGGCCTGACTGTGCTCTCCATCAACCAGGCTTTGTCTTGTTTCATATCCTGGCATGACCCTTTTTTCGATGGCTCAAGCCGCCAATCAGCTCCATATCTGTTCTACACCCAATGACTTGATTTCAGACGTTGCTCCGCAAGTACACCTCCTTCGTTGACGTCACTTCTCCGTTCATCGCCGGCGTCATGTTGATCGAGTGCGCCTTGAGAGAATCTTCCAGGAAGTTGGCTGGAGAACAACGCGGACTCGAGCTCGCCACTGTGGCCTTCCCGAAGTTCTTGAAGGTGCCTAGAACAAGAAAAAAGTTAAATGGGGAGGGGGGTTGGCTGAAATGTTCTATTTTTTTGTTCCTTTTTCATGTTTTTCATTTTCACATAGCCGACAGAAACCAGAATTAGTCTCACTAGTCGTCTTACTCTAATTATAAAAGATATCGTCCTAGTTAAGAAAATTCTGAGGGGTTCAGGTGCAACCGACGGTCGACGGGCCGCTCAGCCCTGAAGTGACCGCTTGGGCCCTTCGTGACGCCTCTCCCATGCCGCTCCGTCTGAAAGCGACTCTCGTCACGAGAAGACTCACCGATGACGTCACTCCTCGAGATTCCGCAGTTATAAGCGGAGAACCCATCTTCGACCTGCAATGGACCCGACTTCAGTGGAAGAAATGGTGGCTCAAAATAACTAAAATTGAGAATTTCTGAGCTCTAGGTACGAAAGAAACGTGGCCAAAGCGGCCGAGAAGGACTTCGTGTACCGATCGAAGACCGAAGAAGAAAAAGATGAATTGGACGTCGTCGAGTTCTTCTCAAATGTAGATTCCAACGGAAGAAACATGGAGTTTAAGAGATTTTCTTGTAGGAAAATCAAGAGAAGGAAATTCTGCCCGCTTCTGACGTTTCTCTGATGCTCGAGGCGGTTGAAGACGTTGGAAAAGGGTGATTTTTTGAAGGGAAAACGACGAAAATGTCCTTTTTTGTGAATTTGAAGGTTTTAGAATTGAAAAAAGTTGATAGAAATACAAATCGAGTAAAAAGTTTCACTACAATTTTCCAATAATTGGTTAGTTCCAGATCACTCGTCGAAGAATCCGAACAAAAAGCCTCAGTTTTGCGATATCGCATGGCTCTCGCCTGGATCCGACACGTCATCGGAGGCGTTGACAAAATGCCAAACGATGACGTCACGGCTCTATTGAACATTGGTTTAACTTAAAATGGAGATGATCCATCAAGTTGGACGAGTTCAGACAGTGATCAGACGCTTCTGGAGTTGATCTCAAAGCGAGAAGGACTGTGTGACGACGGCGGGAAGGAGGAAATCATCGATGTTTATAGGTGAGAAGGGATTTTAAATGGATTTGAGAAGCGGTTCCATTTTTTCTTTTTTTTAATGAATTTTTCGCCTTTTTTATCATTTTTAGGTGTAGTCAAAGTCGACTAAAAACGGGGTTAAACAAGAAAAATTATTGATTTTTGCCGATAACTTGCGAATGAATGTAGTTTGAACTCTAAAAAATACATAATGAACATCTTTTTTATACCCTCAGAGGGGTGGGCTTTTAAACTCCTGTGGAATTTTTTAGATGTTTTCTAGCTTTTACTTGATCAAGGAAAGTTTATAAACTCATTCAGAAGTTCTTTTTTTCTGTTCTAAAAATAATTTGCATTTCAGATAATTTTTTTCTTGCCAAATTGTATATTTTTTTCTCAAACCGATTTCTTATAGAAACTCGTCATTGAGAGAATGTCGCCGAGCGGCTGAAATTCTCGAAAAATTGGCCGTGAGGACCAGGGAAGTCCAAGAACGATGGTCCGAGGTTTGAAATATTTACAATATTGATAAAAAAATTTATAGAGTGTGAAAAATTACATTATGAAGAATCGGAAAAATAACTTAAAGAAATCAAAAAAACCTAAAAATCTGAAAAAAAGGGGTCTGAGAGGAAGATACGATAATATTCCAAATTAAAAAAAGGCCTATGAAAAAGCTTTTTGAAAAAAATTAAATTTTTCCAAATTTCTACATACTTTTATGAGTTACTTCCAAATTGAGGAATTCAAATTTTTTTCGTTGTGTAGTTTTGAAAAACATTGTGAAATCTCGATTCTACTCAAAAATTTGTCAAAAAAATAAATTCAAAAAAATTTTTTTTTGAGCTTGGAAGGTACATTAGTTGAATGTACATGAAAAAGGCACGCTGAGAAGCTAAAAAAAGTTGGTTTTTTTCTCAATTCCGATAATTTTTGCGGTGCAAGAAAGTTGGAGAAAAACTGAAAATTTTCGATAAAACGAAAAAATTTAATCTTTTCTTTACTTTTTTTGTTCATTCACTGTAAGAACCAGAATAAAAAGTGTAAAGATGGAAATACGATTTTCTCCAGGTCGTCGCCCTGAAAAACGTGCTCCGGGCAATCGAAGAGTTCAGTGCGACGCCCATTTCGACTCCTCATATCAAACTGGCCGGCCAGATCGAAAAACTCATCGGTGAGGGCAGAAAAATGTCTAGATTGGACCAGAAAATGGTTTAACAACGGAATTTATTATTGAATCATGCCTCTTGACAAAAGAAGACTTTTTATAAAGGCGAATTGATATACTAATGATTTCTCTCGGTTCGCAGGCTCAATCACGAGTTTTTCGATGGTAGAAAGAAGTTTCGGGTCCGCGAATACTCGATAGCGTGAATTGTGCATACACCAATCTTGGATGCTCGAATCTTTGAAAAATTTGAATCTTGGAAATATTCACCTATTTTTTTGATTTTTTTAAATAATTTTTCCAATTTTTTTGTAAACAGAAGTTGATGAAATATGCAAACAACAATAAATATTGTTTTTTCTCTTTCAGAAGAATGTGATCACTGGGAACAAATGGCGGATCGTGCAAATTCGCTCCAAGAACCGCTGAGAGCCCTTCAGGGGCTACTTGTCGATTGGAAGAAGATGGAGGTGGATTTTGGAGTTTAGAGCGAAATTTTGGAATAAAAATCAATCGAAGGATCGCGTTTTTTTACAAATTTGAGCTTGTGAATTTTGAAATTTCGCAATTTCCAATTCGAATATTGAATGGAAAGCTTGAAAAAAATTAGAAAAAAAGTTGACCAATAAGATTTTGAGGTCTTGTTTGTTATGAGAAAACACGAAGAAAAATCATCGAAAAAAATAAATTTTTGATAAGAAAAAGTTCATTCTTTAAGTTCTCCTTTTCAAATAATAAAAATAAAAGTTCTAAAATTTTTTAAAGGTCCGCTGTTGGTCTTCTCTGCTCCAAAGAACAGAAGCCGACGCAAAACAACGGACTCAACTCGTCGCTTTTCCCCTCTTCGAGGCTCTTTACAACGCCGAAAGTATGTTCCACCGATAACTCCGCCAAATTCCTTCAATTCCTTATTTTCCAGCCCCCGAATCTCTTGCCTCGATCGTTCCAATGGCGGTCGAATGGATGCACAACGCTTCGATCGTCGATTTTTCCACCCGCGTGACAACCGTGACGTCACTTGCCAAGTGGGCGGAGCTTCTGGAGAAGGCGGAGCTCGCGAGTAGGATTCGGTCGGCTGCATCCCATTTCCGACAGTTTATCCCGGTCGTCGAGGAGAAGCTCAAGGATGAGAGGTTTGGACGGATCTTTAAAGTGCGGACAGAAGGAAAAACAATTTTTTTCTTCGATTTTCAGATACAGACACAATCTCATGTAATATGAGATTTATTTCGATTTTCTAAAGTCATTCCAATTTTTTGAGCTACCTGTTTTGTTGATAAAGTTGGGAATTTTCTGAAGTCACAGATTATTGAAAATCGGTTTTAGTAGTATACTTCGGAACTCCAGAGTGGTCCCTATAGGGGCTACCTTAGGAGCCCTTGGAAGATCTCCTTTAGGGACTACTTAACCAACCTCTATAGGGGCCACTAAAGCTTGCAAAAGTCCAATCCCTATAGGGGACATCCTGGTCGATAATTGCTATGAAAAAGCATTTCCATAGAAAAAACTGAATAAATAAGTGTTTTTTGAATGAATTTGTAGACCCCTATAGGGACCACTTAAGGGGCTAAGGGGTGAGACCTTAAACTCCTTGAGGGACCACTTAATTTTTACCTCTATAGGGATCACTTATTCGGCCCCTTTAGACGATGTTTCCTCCCCCTAACCCCTATAGGGACCACTTTGGAATTCTCCAGTATAAGGAAAGTTCAAAAAATCTACAAGTTCTAGTTTGAATTTTTAAAAAATTAAAAAGTTCCATTCGTCAAATCCTTATTGCACAAGCTCTGAGACTTGAATTTTTAACGACCGCGTTTGGAATGGCTCGACGCGTTGCGGTCGCGCTGCGTCTTTAGTCAAGGCTTTGATCGAAGTTTCGTTGAGCCATTCCCTTTGCGGTCAATCGGTTTTTAAATGTTTCAAATTTTCGAAGACACAATGAACAAGCGTATCTGCGTTATGAAAATGTTCTGTAACTGGAATCTAGTTTTGGAAGGAAAAACCTGATTTTTTCCAAAATTGCTTCGAGATCTATTCCTGGAAGTCTTCAGACAAAATCAGAAAAAATTCCTTTCTTTAAAAAAAAAATCAATTTTTTTCTAATTGAGAAAATGGCTATAAAAATCTATTTTTTTGGTTCGAACCTTCAAAAAACAACGTTTTCCAGAGATTTCGCCGAGATGAACCTCAAAGACTACCTGAAAATCGTGAAATACAAAGACCTGAACCTCTGGAGCATCAAAGTCTCCTCACACAAAGCCCATATTCAACTCTTCAAGATTATTCGAAAATTCAAGGTTCCATCCGAAAAAATCACAAAATAACTCAGAAAAATGTATTCAGGACGCCGTGAATCCCCAAATTGACTCAGATTTCGACAATTTGTTGAAAATGAACGAATGGATCAAGTTGGCGAAGCCTGACGTCAATTTCACGTCATCTGAATCTTCTGACGACGTTCCCGAAGACGTCGCGGAGATGAACAAACGGCTGAAAAGGGCCAGCAAGTTGGCTGGGAAGATCTCGGAGAATGGTTGGGCAAATATTGAGAAAATGAAAAATAAAAGAGGTTTTAGCTGCGAGTTTATGTGATGACGTGTCATTGGTGGAATTGACGGAGCAGGTCAAATCGGCTGATAATTCGATAAGGACCATGATAAACTATGTCGGAGAGGATGAAGAGAAGGTTGGAGTGTAGAAAAAAATGGAAAAATTGTTTTTAAAAAAAGTTTGTTGTTTCAGAAAAAAATTGGTTAAAAAAAGTTAGAAAAAAATTAATTATTTTTTTTGGGTTTTTTTGGTTAAAAAAATAGATTTCCTACTTTTTTTATTCAAAAAAACCCGATTTTTTTCCGATTTTTTTTAGCCTGAATTTTTCAGTTTCATTTTAAAAATATTGATCTTTAACAATTTTTTTGAAACAATTTGAAGCTTAGATCCTTAGAAAAGTTAAAAGTTTGAATTTTCAAAATTTTTCGGGCTTTTTCCATAGCAAATAAAGGCAAGAAAAAAATAAAAATCTCAGTGAAAAAAATACCAATAAATCAATTAATTTGATTGTTTGAGGAAGTTTCTTAGCTTCAAACTTTTTTTATTTGTCGGATATTTGAAGTTTGAAGCGAAGATTTTATTATGATAATGAAAAATAAGTTGATTAACAACCAAGAAATGTGTACATTTTGAGATTTCTATAAAATTTTTTTGTGGTTTTTGACGTTGAATTGAATTATTTTTCGAAGTATTTCTAAAAAAATGAAGAAAACATCATTTTTTTATAAAAGTCTAGTTACCATTATGAAGAAATCATATGTCAAAAAAATATTGATTTTTCATAGATATCTTCATAATGTTAACTGGACTGTTATAAGAATGATATTTTCTTGATTTTATCTTTTTGACGCCTAAGATGTCCTGAAGCTTGATTTTTTTACAAAAAAATATGTTTATATTGGCCTGATTTGATTTTTTTTAATATTTAAAGTTTTCGTAGTAGATTGGAACTTTTCAAGTATCACATTCCGAATTATTCAAGGAAAAGCAACAAGGCTACGCAAGGAATTCGCGACAACGCGAAGTCGCGATGGTCCTGAAGGAGTCGCAAGCGATTGGATGGAACGCCCGGAGAGCCGTCGCCCTGAAGGCAGAAGCTCTAAATGAGTTGTCTGTTTCTGGGGTTCCGCAAGGCGTTTGTGAGGTGAGTTTCGGGGAATTTGATTCGCGAATTGAAGGGCGGGACTTCTCTGCGCCCTCCTCGTCTCTCGACGACCCTCTCATATTCAAGCGCTATTCTCGCGTTTCTCTGACCTCCCCGGTGAGAGAACAGAGAGACGCAGACACGCGAAAACTGTCAAGTCCCGGCGGACAGGCTATAAGCATGCAAATATTTGAATTTTATTCAGTTTTGAATTATTCTAGTCTCCAGAATGAGTATAGGTCTTTATCGTGAATATTTAAGAATGCGAAAAAAAAATTTTATAGTGCAAAACGGATATTTGTTTGATTTTTATTAGGAGATTTCAAATTTTAATACGATCCGTGCAAAATGGTGTTTAATGATATTTGAGAACATTAAAAAATTGAAAAAAAAAATCTTGAAAGTTGAATAAGTTTCCTATTTCAATAATACTTTATATCAACTTATTCTTTTGGGTTTTCAATCGTTTCTTCTCAGTTCTTCTTCCCATTTGATGTTCAAGGTGAATTTTGAAATAGCGGTCAGAGAGTGAAAAAGATAACTTAATTTCAGAGGGTCAGAGATAATTTTGAATTCCGCCAGAATTGCTTGAAGACGACATTGCGAATTTCCAGTCTTTTTTCTAAAAAAAGGTTTTTTTTTTCCAGAACTTGGTCAGAAACTGCTCCAGTGGCCGTAATACCACAATCCGGAAGGCCAATAAAGTCAACGACCAAGTTGGAATTTCCACGAGGAAGCATTTGACGGGAATGATCGGTATCTTGTACTGAAACTTGAAATTTGAAGATTTTCTTCTCAGAATACGGTATTTCCTGGCAAATGAGCCTCCACCAGAAGATTTCCAAGTACAGGGCCGAGATTGACAAGATTTCCAGCAGTTCCAAGGCGTTGAACACGGCCGTCGCGAATTTCAAGGTTTTCGTTTACTTTGTCTTTTCAGGAGGATTATTAAGGGCTTCAGGTTTTTTTTTTTCAATGTTATTCTTAATTGTTGAGAAAGTTACAGGATTTAAAAAAATTTTACAGCTTGAAAAGTTTCATTTATTAATGATTATAAGGTGCTTGTAGATATTTCTTCCGACGAAATCTTAGTTTTACTGTTTCGGAAGGATTATTTATAGATTCAAGATGATTTTCGGCTGATCGTTCCTGTCGGAAATATAGAAAATGAATGAAAAAAGTTTCGAAATGGATATAGTCGGAAATTTGTCACATTAGATTATGAAAATTGATTTTTCTCCATGTAGGTAGTCAATTTTAAGAGATTTTCGAGGTTCTAGGATGCATTTATCGATTTCTATCATCATTTATCATCATTTGTAGTTTGTGGGAATGAGGAAAATTTTTGAAGCTTACCTTAAAATCAGATGCGATTCAAAAAAAATGTTTAAAGTGATTTTGAAGGTTTTTTCGTGATAAAATTCTCTTTTCTTTTTCAGGAGCATTATTTTTAGGCTTCAGATTTTTTTCTGATGTTATTCTTAATTGTTGAGAAAAATTACAGGATTAAAAAAAGTTGTAAAGCTTGAAAAAGTTTTATTCATTAATGATTATGAGGTGCTTGTAGATATTTCTTCCGACGAAAACTTAATTTACTTTTTTTCGGGAGGATTATTTATAGATTCAAGATGATTTTCTGCTGTTTCGTTCATTTTTTTGAAAGGAAAATTTTTTCGAGAAAGATGTAGTTTGAAATTTGTTACATTAGATCATAAAAATCGATTTTCTCCATGAAGGTAAGTCAAATTTAAAAAATAGTTCACTTTACCTTTTCAAAGGGATTATTTAAGGCTCCAGGTTGTTTTTTTATGTTATTCTTAATTGTTTAAAAAAAGCGAGAATTTCAAAAAATTATCAAATTTCTTTGTGACTTCAAAAAAGCGATTTTTTCCATGAAGGTAGTCAACTTTTTGTCAATTTTAAGAGATTTTTGAGGTTCTAGGTTGCTTTATTCCTGGTTTTTGGGAATCAGGAAGATTTTTCAAGCTTTTCCTGAAATCAGGCGCTTTTACAAGAGCTTTTTTTTTTTCAAAACGCCAATTTTCTCGAATTCCTTGCATAAGGAGATGAAAGTACTACTGAAAAAAGAAGGAATATCATATTTCTGAGCTTTTTAAATTATTCCAAGTTTCAAGGCCTTTTCCGGGGACTACGGTTTTTTTTGGAGAGACAAAAAAGGAAAAAATTGGAATTCTAATTGGAGAATTTCTTACAGGAGGAGTGGCACATTGATCACGAGTCTTTGGCTAGCGATATCTCGAAAGTCGACGAAAACCTTCGGAATATCTCCATTTTTGTCTCGGCAATGAAACGACGAGTCGAATCGATTCCTGATAATGTCAATGACATTGGTTTTAAAGATAATTTGAAGGAAATTTTGGAGTTTCTGGTTCAGACGCTTCATGTAGTGATCATCTCCATCCGCTGTCCAAACTCGGGTCCAACGATGAAACGGCCAAAAAAGTCCGGCAACTCGTCGGCCACCTCGTGAACTTGTCCGACACGATGACCTTGACCAATGGAAACTGCGGAGATCGCAAGATTTATGAGAAGTTTGTGTGGATTTCAATAAAGAACAAATAATCAATAATATAAAAATAATATTAATTCTGTTCCGACTTTTTCAATAATGAGGGGGTATAGGGGTGAAGGACTCATTTTTTTGTTATGATTAATATTATTTCATATTTAATTTAAAAAAATAATATAATTAAAAATATAAAATAATATTAATACTAACAAAAAAATGAGGTACTTCAGCTCGATTAGGGAAAGAAAATGCGAAACCAAAAAACACGGTGGGCGGAGCCAAACTATCCGCCGTTCCCACATGACGTCATGGGAACGGCAGAGCAATAAAAGGGCATATTAAAGGCGCAGGTCGTCGTATTACCAGAGGTCTTTGAAACGAATCGAAAATTCTCTACATAAACGAAATTTTCTGCGCGAAAGCAGCGCAGTGTATGCACACGACACACGACACTTTACGGAGAAAAAGTGGGCGTGGCGTCCATGTCGAGATAAAATCCCTACGTTTCGAAATGGCTCGATCTAGCGAGACCAAATCCTTTTTTTTAAGACAAAAATGTCGATTTTTAGGTCAAAAATTCGATTTTTTGAGCTTCTGAGAGGCGATCTTGGTTAGGAATCGAAAAAATTTTGAAATTTTTGTCTCAATTTCTAAAAAGCATATCTTGAACAAACCTTTCTAGGAAGATATCAGAACTTCAAAAAAAATAATGCGGTTGCAGAAATAACAGCTCTTTCAGAGCGAGTTTTGATGCTCCATAGACAATTTACTTCAAGATGTTCCATTCCGGATTTTTTGCGTTATACCCAAATGTTTTCAATGAACTCAAATTACCGAAAAAGAATTAGTCCGTAAAGAAAACGGAAAAAATCATAGTTCCTCTACTTTTCCGTTTCAAAAAGTTTACAAATAATCAAAATCTGGCTTAGAGGGATGATAAGAAATGGGAGTGATAAAACTGAAAAGTTTAAAGTTTCTTCATTTTTAGTCAAAAATTCTCGTTCTAGCGATCAAAATCTTATTTTCAGAGTGAAAAAGTAACAAAATTGTAATAATTATTCATTTTTTTTCAATTTTCACGCTTCAAACTTGTCATTTTTGCGAAATCTATCTCAATTTTGAAGTTAAGGTAACTGAATGACAATCAATTTTAAAGGAAAGACGTCACGATTTGGACCAACCAACACCTTTCGGACTCCAAAGAAATGCGTTCCGTAGCTTCCGAACTCGCCCCTTGGTTCGCTGTTGAAACGGCTCAAATTCTAGAGATTTTGAATTCATTGGAGACGATTGTCACGGTGAGAAGTGTTACAGAGAAAGAATGAGAAGAAATAGCCGTAAAAATTGAAAATAAGAAGGTTTAGATCGCTCCATTGATAAAATGGGTTTTATTGGCTCTTTTCAGCTTTTCTTTTGGAGAAACTGCCATTTTAATCAGATCTTTGGGTTTCATAGCTTGAAAAAATAGCTGCAACTGGTGGATAAATCAAAAAAGGCATGTGTGCTCTAATGATAAAATTTATTTTTATTCTGCGCTTCAAGGATGGCTATATATTTTCAGGACGATAACATTTTTTCGCATTTTCCGATGAAAACACAGATCTTCTGCGATCCATGGATAAAAAGAAAAAACGGCCTTTTAAAAGGTTTTAGCAGCAGTTAGCAAGGAAAAAGTCGATTTTTGACTCGATCTGTGAATAAAATGGAGCTTTGTTATTATCAAAATGAAATATCCTATGCCCTGGACGTTTCTGAGCTTTTTAGTGGTCACTTTAGTGGTTACGGCAATCCTAAATTTCAAGTGGTCACTTCAGTGACGCAGTCTCGAACTTCTAGTGACCACTTTAGTAGTTTCTGCACTCTTAAGTGATCTCTAGAATTTCTCAGAAACGTCCGGGCCGCCCCTGGTTTCCCTTACCGGGGTCCGAGCCATCTTTTTCCATTCAAAAATTGTTTTCATTAGATTTTGAGCGCACAAGCTGAACTGATATCATATTGAAACCTTTTCGAAGCAATTTTTTTCTTTTATTTATTTTATCCGCTCTAAACTCACTTTTGCAGAAGCAACGCAATATTGAACCCCAAATCAAGACTGTCGAACCGACGAGCCTCCTGATGATCGTCCAGAGCCTCTACAAAGACCTCGTTGAACTGAGGAAGGACGAGAAGCCGAAGACGGAAGACGAGAAGAAACTCGACGTCATCAATGTGGTGGCGATGTCCCTGGAAAACTGTGACATCCGAAGAGTCATCACGTGGCTCGAGAGTCTCGTGGAAGAACTTCGGATCGGAATCTGCCTGGAGACGTCGTCCTTGGCGGTTCTGGCGTCGCTGGTCGACGTCGTCCGGAAGTTGTTGACGCAGTGCAATGCTCTGCTGGCTGACACGCTGGCTCAGTTCTGCCAGTTGTACCATGCCGTCCTTTCCTTGACCGTCCAGCTTTTTGAAAAGGTCAGAATCGTTTTTCCTCAGAGAATTTCTCTCCTGGGGTGTTTTGAATGAAACCAGATCCAAAATTACAAAGTCGTTTTTTGGTCGCGGCGGGGACTGAACTTGATACCCTGTAAACTATAGACAGGCCCACAACCTGTTGCGCTCATTTTTAATCCAGATTATGGGAATTTCTATAAATTCGTAAAATATTCATTACAAGTCAAGATGAACAGCACGGCGTTTTTGTTAGTGGGAGAAAATGCGAAACCAAAAACACGGTGGGCGGAGCCAAAATATCCTCCGTTCCCACGTGACGTCATGGGAACGGCTGAGATTTCGGCTCTAAGAGCGTGAATAATAGGGCATATTAAAGGCGCAGGCCGCCGTATTGCCAGAGGTCTTTGAGACGAATCGAAATTTTTCTCATAAACGCAATTTTCTGCGCGAAAGCGGCACAGTGCATGCACAAGACACACGACACTTTACGGAGAAAAAGTGGGCGTGGCCTCGACGAATGAACGCCAGACATAAACCCTATAGTTTTTTGATTGGGAATTTCAAGTTCCGTGTTTAAAAAATAATCAGGCTTGAAGCCTCTATTTCCATTTGTAGATGATCTTTGACCGTTCTGTTGTTTGAAAGGTCAGAATTATAACTTTACTTATTGGTTTGAAAAACTTTTCTTAAAGCTTTGAAACGTCAGGCTTTATCGTCTGATGAATCCGCTTTCACCCATAACATCTTTAGAAACAACGGTAAAGTCCAGAAAAAAGATTTTTCCAAAATGAGAGATCTTTGAAAAACTGGTACTGTTAGTAGATCTTCTAGAATGTTTCCGAAAATCGACAGTCCAACTCATCTTTTTTTATCAAACTCGTGTTTAACTCCTCTTTTTGACTAGGTAACGTTTTGGGGGGGTAAAAAAATTTTAAAAACCCTAGTGAGACTCGCCTTTTCAGGGCTACGTAAACACGATCCCGAAGGCCGAAAAACAGGAATCTGGCGAAGGCCAAACTGACGAAGCCGGAGAAGGCGGCGGAATGGGCGAAGGATCCACTGCGAACGACGCCAAGGATGTGACTGACGAGATGGAGGAGACTGGACAGCTTGAAGGTCTCCAGGACGAACCGCCGGCCGATGTCGACAACGACCGGGCGGACAACACCAATGAGAAGCCCATCGAGATGGAAGATGTGCGTTTCTAGAAAAAGTTTCTAGCTGATTCACGGCCAGCTCTTGGGACGCTAAGGGAGCGTTTCCTGTCTGCGCTCTCCACGAGACAGGCGCTTTCTCGTGCTTTATCGTTTCAGGACCCTTTTTTCGATGGCTCAAGTGAGCCGTTGAACATCTATAGGAATCTTTTTGGTCTAGAGAAGTGAAAAAAAAAACGAATTAAGATTTTCTATGACTTTTCAGGGGATGGTCTGATCTCATATTGAGACTTTTATGAAAGTTTTATTCGAAAAAAAAAAATTCTGCCAAAAGTTGAGGGCCTTTTTTCAAGCATGTGAAGAGCTTTGGAAAATCGTACTTTGGGTAAAATATTCTTCTAAAAATTGAATTATCGATTTTCTGTGATGAGTTAATCTACTTATGAAGAGAACACATTTTTTAGACCTAGTTCTCTTGAAAAAAATTATTTTTCGAGCACAGATTCGGAATCAGCATGAAAAACGGCCTGTATAGAACTTGGCCTTACTGGGAAAATTTTTAAGTGGCCTCCATAGGGTTTTGACGTTTTAGTGGCCACTTTAGGGATTAAAAATTAGTGGCCACTATAGAGTTCTGAGTGGTACTACTAGATGACTAAAACTACTAAAGTTGCCACTAATGAACAAATAGTGGCCTCTATAGAGGTGGTTTTAGTGGCCACTTTAGTTTCCTCTTCAAGTAGTCTCTATAGTGGCCACTAAAAGTTTCCCCAGTACTTGAAATATGCCTTTTGCTTAGATTTAAGTAATCACTTAAGAAAATTTACTCTTGATCACTTGGGCTTGTTTAATGATGACCAAAAGATCATTTGGAGACGTCTGAAAATGAAATATTTCCAGGACTTCGCCGAAGACCTGCAAGACATTGACAAGAACGACAAAGGCGGCCCGGACGACGAGGAAGGCGACGACGAAGAAGAGCCCGAGCCTGAAGATCAGATGGGCGACGTCGAAGAGGAGGACGAGAAACAGCTGGACCCGAAGCTCTGGGATGACGAGGACGAGGAGGAACAGCAGCAGGATCAGCAGAAGAACATGGACCAGGAGAATACTGGTTTTTTTAGAAAGTCCCAGATTCTGTAAGAAGTTTCCTGATTTCAGCTGCGGACCAGAAGACCGACGACATGGTCGCCAAGGAAGACGAGCCTCAGCCTCAGGAAGACGGAGAACAGAAGCCGGAAGACGTCCAGGAAGACCAGGAGAACGTCGATGAACGCGATCGGGAAGACGACGACGGCGGAGACGTTGATGACAAGAATCAGCAACCGGAAGTTGATGAAGAAGCCAGGAGAGAGGATGAAATGTTCGTTTTGGTCACGTTGGAGTTTTGCCAATATTTAGAGACTTCTAGGGAAACATGACATTTCTAAAGCTTATTTTGAGATTTTTTGAGTTTCTTGTTGAATTCTGATGCGCGAAATTTTCTTGTTTCAGTTCTAGAACAGTTCGAACAATGCTAAAATTCAAGCTGATCAAAAAGATTCTAGGGAAAAAAGCGCAAAATATAGGGTTGTACAGTATTTTCTACAACTCGAAAAAAAAAATCATGTGATTTTCTGAATTTTATCTTGTCTTGTGGTGAAGAAAGTACGCTCCATGGACAAAATATCAAATTTTCGATTTTTTTTTTTCTATTTTTGATTTTTCTTTTTTTGCCATCTCGAAAGGGTATAATTTTCGAATGAAGGGTTTAATTGGAGCTTTAAGCTGTTAGAAGTTATTCTTGAGGTTCTAGAAGTTTTTTTTCAAGTTCTTCCTCAAATTTTAATTTGATTAAAGTTCCCTGCTTCAATGAAAGTAACATTCTCAATAAATTTTTCTAACGATTTTAAAAATATGAATTTTTCCAGCGGCCCTGACGACGACGAAACGAAAGGAGACGACAGCAACATGGACGAGATGATGGAGGACGACGGCGACGAGACCGACAAGGAAGACGATGAAAACGAAGAGACGAAAGACGGCGAGGGCGACGAGGAGAACGAAGAGAGCGCAGACGTCGAGATGGACGAACCGCCGACGAGTGCCGAGGAGGACAAGGCCAAGAACGAAGAGAGCGAAGAGAAGATGGAGCAGGGCACCGGCGGAGAGAGGAACGACGAGCAGAAGAACGACCAAGAGACTGGAGGCGCCAATGAGGACGACGAGGAGGAGGAAGACGAGCAGAAGAAAGAGGAGCAGGGCGAGGGGAAGAGGTTAGTCTAGGGCCTTAGAAACTTCATTGGTCGCTTTTGGAATGGCCTGATGGTTCAATTTAGCGCAAGTTGTTTTAGGTCGGGCGCAACTTTTGACTGAAACGCTCCGCCATTCCCAGTGCGACCTTCTTTTTTTTTCAAAGAATAGCTTCAATAATTTTTTTTGCTTCTCACAACGAAAACACAAAGGTGTTACATTTGGAATTCTGATGGGAATTTTTAAAATTGAAAAAATTGGAAGTTGGAATGGCCGAATGCAGTTCAACTCAGCGCAAGTAGTTTTAGGTCGGGCGCAACTTTTAACTAAACCGCTCAGCCATTCCCAATGCAACCAATTTATTCTTTTTTAAGTCACGGAAAATCGGAAAAAAAAGGTTTTTCGAAATTGAAGAGGCATTTGGAAAATTTTTTTGTTCGATAAAAAGATCAAACAGAATTCTGACGGTTATTTATAGAACCGAAAAAGTTAAATTTGAAGCAGCGAAATTAGATTTCAAAGCGTTTTTTTTTCTGATTTCAAGCATTTTTCATATAATTAAAGTAGATTTTTTCTTAAAATCAAAGTTTTTTTTGCAGTAAAAACGATCCTCGTGGCGAGTCTGGAGCCGGCGAAGATGCCAAAGAAAAAGAAGACAAGGAAGATGAAGAAGAAGATGAAATGGCTGAAGAGAACCGAGAAAAAGCCGAAAGACGCGAGTTGGCCGACGAAAATCGGGACCTCGAAGAAGAGGCCGAACAGGGCGAAGGCGAGGAAAATGAGTCCGGAAAACACGTGGAAAACGCCCCGGCGGCCGAGCGGCAAATGCTCGGCGCCGGATCTTTGGACGAGGCCAAGCAGACGAAAAGAGAAGAGCAACAGGAACGGAAGGCTGAGAAGAAGAGGAAGCTGCCCCAGGGACTGATGGACCAACTCGGAGCTGAGGAGGTGAGTGGAGAGGGTCTATTTCTTTGGTTTGTTGGAGGGAAATTGATTTGAGACAGAACTGTGCGTAATCAGTTGCACTTGCGAACTTTTCCATTTCATAGTTTACATCACATCATTTTTCTAAATGACACACTTTCGACCACGGATTCCCAGATTTACCCACACTTTAAAGATTTCGAGACACAATGATTGGAAAATTGCTCGGCGTTTTTGTTAGTTGAAGGAAAGAAAATGAAGGGTATGGAGTCGAAACCTCCGACCATGTGACGTCATGAGAAACAAGCGTAAAAAACATGGGTTATTAAAGGCGCATGTTCAATGGGTCATGAGACGAATCGGTTTTTCATTTTAAAAAAAACGCAATATTTTCTTTTGCCGTGTTCAAAATGATTCCGCGAAACTTAAAACAGCCGCCAGAGAGTTAAAAAAAAAAGTGCCGCAGTGTATGCACACGACACACTTCACTTCACGGAAAAAAAAATATGGGCGTCGTCAAAAAAAGTCTATGGCCGTGATTGGCAAATTTCGACCGATACGCGACCGCGTTGCAACACTATGGTCAGGCCGGCCGGCCCAAACTGATTTTAAAATTTTGAAAAATCGGCTTCAAAGTTTTCAAAAAAAAAAGCTGTATTTTGAAAGCGTATGATCGGTACAAATTTTTGTAGTTAGTTAGGATAAATTTAAAAACTTTCCAGGGCTTTTAATTGCTTATAAGTTGAACCAAAAAGTCCTTTGGTACTTTGGTAGTGATCTAGACATCAAAAAGACTATAAATAAATTTTGATCACAGCGAAAAAGGGAATATTTTGACAATTTTCAGTTTTATTGTCGTAAAATGCGGTCTTGTAATGCCAGAGAAGTTTTGCAAAGCCTGAAACCCATATTTTAAATGTTATTTTTATGATCTCAAATCAAAAATGGCTCTCTAGAGAGCACAATCTCATGACCTAGATTTTTTCATTAAAAAACCCTCTTTCTCTAGAAATGGGGACAAGGTATAAGAGCTCAATTTAGCCTTTTTTATTGAACGTTACAAGCTGGAAGTTTCATTTTCAGAGCGGAGAAGTCGAAGACGACGAAGCTGAAGACGTCCAACAGGCCTCGATCCATCTGGCCGCTCCCGACATGTTCGCCTTGGTTTCTAACAAACAAAAAACTGAAAAATATCCCTATTTTTAGGCCGAAGAAGTGACTCGGGAACTCGTCATCGGCAACGTTGCTCAGGAAGAAGAGCCGGAAAACCCTTCCGGCGAAAAAAACCAAATCCCGACGGAAAACGAAAATGCGGAATCTCAATGGGCGGCCATGTCGCGGACGGTCTCCATGCTCTCTGCGGAACTTGCCGAAAATCTCCGTCTCATCTTGGAACCTCAAAGGGCCTCGAAAATGCAGTCAGTAGCTTTCAATTACAAAAAATCATACATGGGATTAGCATGACTGGCGACAGCCAAGTCCTCCCCCTTCTAAACTAATACCAAGCTCTATGAAACTTCTTTTTCGATCACTTTTAACTAAGAAAAATATAATCGCTACTGCACAAACATTTTTTTCTTCACGGTTTCTGCCGACCCCTTTCTCCCCGCCCCTTTTTTTTCTTGTTTTTTTTTACCAAGTCCCCCCATTCCTTTCGTTTCAGGTCCCACCGAGTCCATCCCCATCCCATGTATGCTCAAAATAGTTACCCGAAAAAGTTTTGAAAGTTAAAAAACACCTCAAAAGACTCCAAAAACGCTCTAAAATTTGGAATTTTCGCTTAAAACCTTCAGTTTTTCAAGTTCTTTATATCTTTATAAAGGATATTAAGAAAGTTCCAATTTTCGCCTTGAATTTTCTATTCCTGGGACAGTTTTAAAGAGGTTTATGATACTTAATTTGTTTTAAATAGACAATTTTTAAAGCTTATAGCCGTCTGGAAAAGTCTCGGAAGGTGGAAAATACCTCGACATTCGCAAAAAGTCTCAGGAAGCAGTCAAAATTTATAGAACTGGCGGAAAAATTTCAGTTTTGCGTGACCTTCCCGGGAGTTTTTGAGGTCTCGGATTTTTGCTTCGAATTTTACATTTCGTGCCAGATTTTTCGAAAAACTGACTTCGAAAATTGTCCTATAATGAACAAATAGGTTCTTTGGAACCGTTAACAACTTTTTAAAGTCCAAAAAAACTTTTCAAATTTTGAAAACTTGAAAAAGTCATAAAAAGTGATCGAACCTCGAACGACTTTTCCAACTATTTCGATATCAAAGGAGAAGGAGGCGGGAAAAGGAGCAGGACGCGTAGCGTGTGCGTACGCGGTTCTTGGAACGAGTTCAATTCAATCGCCAGCGACTATTTGGAGAGCTATTTTCATTTTTAAAAACTTAATCATTGATTATTTTTTTCCATGTGCGCATTAAAAAAATAGTAGAACATATGAAAAGAGCGGTGATCGAGCTTTTTGAATAGTCGGTGGCGCTTGAATTGAACTCGCGCCAATAACCGCGTACGCAAACGTTACGCGTCCCACCTTATTCTACGCCTCCCTCGCCTTTCAAGTCGCGAAAAATATTAGTTGTAGGTTTCGGCGGACGATCATTGTATTGAATCATGAAAGTGTTCAAAGCTTTTCTGAAACCGCAAAGTTGTTTCCAGAGGCGACTACCGCAGCGGAAAACGGTTGAACATGCGTCGACTCATTCCCTACATTGCCAGTGAATACCGGAAAGACCGAATTTGGATGAGACGGACGAAGAGAGCACAGAGGGAATATCAGGTTCAGAATAACCTGGCTTCTCTTGAAAAATCGAAAAATCTAGATCTTGATCGCCGTCGACGATTCGGCAAGTATGAATGAAAATGGAATCCATCAAGTGACCTGCGAATCGGTCTGTGTCGTTGAAGATGCTCTCAGAAGGTTGAAAAAGAAAAGAAACGAATAAAATACGATTTTTGTGTCCAGATGTGACGCTGGAAGCGTGTCGGTGTGTTCTTTCGGAAGCGAAATCCGAACAATTGTCCCCTTTGGCGAGTCTTCGGCGACCAGTAGCGTCGAGATGCTCAAAAAGGTTAGAAACGGGATAATTTGGTACAAAATAATCAAGAATATTAGTTGGAAACTCGTAGAATCGTCAAAATATGGACGAAAATGAGGCAAAAACAGGAAAATTAGGCCTTTTAGTCGTAGTAATTTCGTTAGAATCTCTGCGAATCGACTAAAATTTTAATATAGTTGCGATTTCAATTGATTGAAGTTAAAAAAAAGCTCCCTGAAATCTGAAGTCGTAATTTTTGAAAAAATTTGAGACCACAGAGCTTCATTTGTGTACAAAAAATTTTTTTTCCGCAATTTCCAAAAAAAAAAAGATTTTTCTAACTAAAGAACGTTTTACTTGAATTTTTGATGAAACTTTGCTGAGGTGTACTTTAGGACCTCCTGATTTCAGAACAAGTGAAAAACTTTTCGCAATAGATCTCGTTTTCAAGTTAAGACGCTTCAAAAGCTTGAAATAGCGCTTTTTTGTCATACTTTAACAAGGTTTCATCAGAAGTTCAACCGGGGAGGGGTTTAAAAACTTTCCCTTGTAAGTGAGTTTTGTGTTTCTAAATCGGTTTTTCAAGGACGTTTGTCTGGATCAATCAATCATTATTTGACAGGACCGAATGACCGAATTTCCCTTTATTGTGACTTTTATCTGTCTAGAAGCCGATGTAGAATTTTCATCAAAGAAAACGGGAATTTTTTGAGGTTTTTTTTTTCTGATTTTCTTGCCCAAAAAGTTTAACTTTCTTATTTTTTTCACTGTTTCTTTCTTTTCTTACTCCTATTTCCAGAAGAGTGAAAATTAAGAGTTTTCTATTTGGTGTATTGAACGAATTTTCATGTTCTGAGCGCCGTAGCGCAATAAGTTGTAAGCCTGTCTACGGTCCAAAGGGTCACAAGTTCGATCCCCGCGACGAACAACTAAAAAAACTTGAAATTAGTAGCATAATTTAAAAATTTCGAAAAAATTTTCATATACGTCTTTCAGCTCTCATTCGGTCAAAAGTCGACGGATCTTCTTCTGATGCTGAAGACGGCGAGAAGGCAGCTCGACGAGATCAGGACGCCCACCAGCGAACAGATGCTCATCGTCGTTTCTGATGGTCGAGGGGCTCTTGCTCAGGGAGCTGATAAGGTATCAGGCTCATAAAATTCTCCGCCGTTCCCATGTGACGTCATGGGAAACAGGCGTAAACAACAGGGGATATTAAAGGCGCATGTTCAATGGTTCATGCGACGAATAGTTTTTTCATTTGAAAAACGCAATTTTTCTGTTCATTTTTTCAAAAATCAGCAGCCGTGTTCAAAGTGATTCCGCGGAATTCAAAATAGCCGCCAAAGAGTGAAAAATATAACTGAATTTCGGAAATTATTTTGAATTTCGCGAAAATCACTTCGATTACGGTATGTGCGAGAGCGCTGCAGTGTATGCACGACACACTACACATTACGGAAGAAATATGAAAAAAAAACCGCCGTGCTCTTTTGTCAGCTAAATTCGATCAATATCTTCAGATTGTACCTTTTTTAGTTCCCTAATGAGTTGAAACTTTTCAAAACCTGATATTCCAGGTGAAAGCCCACTACGCGGCTCTGCAAGGCGTCACGGTCCTTTTCGTGATTTTGGACTCTGGCGACAAATCGATCCACGATTTGAAAGTCGCCTCGTTCAAGGATGGCGGAGTGGTGAGTTTTTGGATGGAAAAGTCAAAAAACACGAATTTTCAATTCCAGGTTCTCACGCCGTACTTGTCGCTGTTCCCGTTCCCGTTCTACGCCATCGTCAACACGATCCAACAGTTGCCCTCAGTCATCGCCGAGTCCATCCGACAATGGTTCGAGATGACGGCCCAAACTGCTTGAACTGCTTGAAAAGCTTGTTCTGCTACTACCTACCATTAGGATGCTTGTTGCATTGATTTTTGCCTTATTTGTTATTGTTTTTGTTTTGGAAAAACGGGTTTTGTTACGTTTTTTCAACCTTGTTGATTTTTTAACTTTTTGTTATATGTTGTTATTTGTTGTTAGACACAGGAATTGTTGAATGAAATTTACGCGTTTATTCGGGAATTTTCCAACGAAATTTCATTTATTCAATGAGCCGGATGCCGAGGCGCTGTAGACTGTTAGCTGAAAATGAGGAAAATCCGGACGTTTTGAAAGTTTGAACAGTAAGAAAATGCATTTACTTCGAGAACTAGGATTAATAGCATGAGATTCAAAAATAAGAAAAAAACATTTTATCAAAAAAATCCGTTCTTCTCTGTCTTTTTTTCGATATAATTTTGAAAGAAAAAAATCCCAAAAAAATCATAAAAAAATTAATAAAAAAATACGTGAGAGACCGCTTTTTTTCTTTAAAAAAATGTCTAAAAATATTTTTCTCACCAATGCTTCAAGTTCCGGAACGGTCTGCATTTTTGCTCAGCTTGTACGGATTGATATTGCAGAAGGTGATCGATGGAAATGCCGATTTTCCGAGTCCCAGCTGGAAATGGGAATGAGTCATGCGAAGCGGTCGCGTCGCGGCTTTTGCGGAGAAAAAAATGATGTCTTGAATATTAGATTACAGTTACAAATACCTTAGAAAAAAAGGGAATATTTTGAAAAAGTTCAATCAATACGATTTTTCTCAAGTTTCTACTGTGAAAAATGACATGTTGTTCAGTTCGAATTTCGATTATCTTTGGAGCGCATTTGACCCGATTTTTCTGAGCTAACCGTTTTGGTTGATCTGACTTCAACAAAAAACTGAATATTTGAAATTTTTAAGTTTAAAAAGGTCCCGACCGCGACGCGACCGCAACGCATGGCCTCACCTTGACTTCGACCACTTTTTCAAAGGAAAAGTATTGGATAACGGTTATTGTGATGAGAAGGAAAAATGCGACGACGGCGATCGCGACGACGATCGTCCAGACGATGAAGGCGATCAACTGGAAAAAGATGAAGAAACGCCTGAGTGGTCCCTAGAGGGGCAGCCTTGGCGGTTCTGAAGGTTTCCCTCTAGGGGCACTGAAGCTTGCACAAGTGGCCACTCTAGGGGGGAAAAGCTGATTTTGTCGGATTCAAACCCCTGTAGGGACAACCTAAATTTCATCCCTAGAGGGAGCCCTATTTCGTCTCCTTTAGAGGCTGTTTTTTTCTCCAAACCGGGGGGTGAGGGGGTTTCTGAACAGATCCCCTCAGAACTTCAAACCGTGTTGGCTGTGGGGGGTTATTTTATACACTATTGAGGGGGGACTTTCTGAAATGGTAAATTATCCGCTAAAATTTTCAAACCGTGTTGGCCTGCGCGATGTGAGGAACACCGTGGAAGGAGGCCGTCTCGCCCCAGTCGCGCATCGCCAATTTGACCCTTCTATAGGTTACGGTATCGATTAGTTCCAGTCTACAGTATGACCCTACAGTACCCCCAACGAGTGTCCGGAGCGGCGTTCTCCGCGTTCATCTTATCCTTCTCGACGTCCGTCACGATGTCCTTCATCTCCTCGTCGTCCGTCTCCGAATCAAATTCGTCCTAAAAGTCAGTTTTTTTCAAAGATTTCTCTGCGCCCTCTCATGGTTAAATGCTGTTTTCACGTCTCTCTGACCAGGAAACACAGAGACGCAACCAAGCAGAAGGTTCGAAGTCGCGGTGAACGATTTATGCCATTTTTTCCTTATCGGGAATTTCGTAGTGAACCCTATAGGGTTTTGCCGTCATAAGGACCACTATAGGGGCAGTTTAACGGTCCCTAGAGGATTCAAGTTCATAGTAACGCTTATAATGCTCTCTGAGGGACCACTATAGGGGTAAATTTACGGTCCCTAAAGGGTTCAAAATTCAAGTGGCCCCTATAGCGCTATCTGAGCGATTCACCAAACCCGTAAAGCTTCCCTATAAGCAGGACGTAGGGGCACCTATAAAGGTGGCTCTTAGGGTCCCTATAGGGACCACTTCAAAGTTTCTCATAAAAGAAAATTATTTTTTAACCCTGTATCCCTTTTTCTTCAAATATTTTGCGGTTTTTGCATAATTTCTGCAGTTTTTAAGCTTAACTGATAGCGCAGTGAGTAGCAAGCTAGTTTGATAAACTCACAACCAAAGTTCGATCCCCTCCGAGGTCGTTTTATTTTTGCTATTTTTTCCTGGGCTTTCCGCCTCCCTAATTATTATTTTCCAAGCGTTCTTCTGATATCAATTCCATGGACTATAAAATAATTATTTCAGAATGGATTTATCGAAATTTCTCCAAAAAAATTTTGAAATTAGCAGTAGAGCGCATTATCAATTTTCATAATTTCGTCAGAAGTATTTTTATTTTTCTCAGAACTGTGTGATTTTGAGAAGATAAGTCTGAAATACCTTTAAGAGTAAAAAAAAGTTTTTCAAAAAAATAAAAAAACCTAGAAAAAGAATCAAAAAAACTCACCGACAAGGAGTCTTTTTCGCTTTCGAATTCCTTCAGCGCTCGCCATTTTTTTGATGCAAATTATTACCTTAATAAAAAAATAAATTAAAATAGAGAATGAAGAGAAAAAGAAGAGCTACAACACAGGAAACTGAAGAAAAAAACTTGAAAAATTCAAAGATTTCCTCGAAAAAAAGGCGCCAAACAATGAGCTTTTTGAATAGTCGCCATGGTTTCGAAAAGCGTGATTTCACACTTTTTCTGTTTCTTTTTTCAAAGAAAATGAGAAAATTTGAGAAAAGTGAGAGAGTGTTGGAAAAAGTGGAGACGCAGAGAAATCTCTTTATTTTTTTCTGTGTCTGGGGTCTCAACTTTTCTACACTCTCTAATCTTTTAAAAAGTTTTTTTCTGTTTTATATATGTTTTTTTGAAACAGCAAACTGAAGAAAAATCGATAATTAGACGAAATTAGGGAGGGAAACGTTTTTTTTCTGTCTACTTTTAACGTTGAATAATCTTTCTTGCGATTTTTCGAAAAATCAATCAATAAAAATAACATCTTTATCTTTTTTTATCTCTCAAATTCATTCTGATTATTAAAAATGATATAAAATAATTTTTCTCTCTCAAAAAAAAAAAGGAAATATACATGTAAGCGGTGCGTAATTGTATTGCCGATGAGATAATTAATATTAACAAAGACAAAATTTTCGCTCAAATCTGGTCGCATTTGGAATGGATCAACGCGTCGCGGTCGCGCTGCGGCTTCAGTTGAATTTTGGCGTCGCGAAAGTCGTTTTTCGTCCGTTTCAACACACTCAGCGACGAGTTAAGCCATTCCAAATGCGACCAAAATTTTCCAATCGAAGTAAAAGCATGAAGGAACAAAGGCACAATCAGATATATAATTAAAAAAGGTTCAAAAAAAAGCACATCACAAGAGGAAAAAATGAACTGAGGGGACATGAAATACTAGTGATTCGAGCGGAAAGAAATACTATCAATGATTAAAATTAAGCCTAAAATGCAAGAAAACTCTGTTGAGAAATATACTACATTGAGTAATAACTGAAAAAAAAATGATAAGGTCGAAAAAAAGGGGTATGAAAAAATAGCCGCGAAAACGTGTAACTTCGCGCTCCAATGATAAATCTTTCAATTTTCAAAATTTTTAACTGGAAGAACTCTTTTTTTAAACAATATTATCCATAGAGCGCGAAAGCTCATTTTTTGATGATTTTTCGCGGCTGATTTTTCTCAAAGCTTTTTTCAGGAATTTTCTTAGGACATCAAAAAAAAGTATGATTAATACGAAAAATGAAAAGGGTATGAAAATATAGTCGCGAAAATGTGTAATATTGCGCTCCAATGATAAATCCGACTTTCCAAATGTTTTATGTGGAAAACCAAAAAAGCGAAAAAATTATCCATGGAGCGCGAAAGCTCGTTTTTGATGATTTTTCGCGGCTAATTTTTCTCAAAGCTTTTTTTGGCGAATTTTCTTGGGAAATCGAAAAGGAGGATCATTCTAGTTTTCTGGTGAAATTCTCGGGGAAAACACCGCGTTTTCCGTTGGCCAATTCGCCGAGTCGCCAACCTTCATCTAGTTGATCGTGGTCTTTTGCTTCCAGGACCTGAAAGAAGATGTTTAGAGGATAGAAAATGGGTAATTTGAAAGGAAATGCCTATAAAAAAACGTCTGAAATATTTTTTTCAAGATAAGAAATTTGTAGTTGCAGAAAACAAGGATTGGAAAAAAACGTCTGAATTTTTTAATTTGAAAAAAAGTTGCTTCTTTCCATTTAAAATGTACAATTGCGGATGAAACATTTTTTTTAAGCCTCAGTTTAATTTTTTCCTTAAAATTAAATTTTTCTCATTCACAATAGACTTTTTCAAAGAGATAGTGTAAAAAAATTAGAAAAAAATGGTTAGAAATGAATTTTCACCAGAAAAAAAGCTCCTTTCAAGTTCAATAACTCCAGGAAGGCTAAAATTGTGAAGAACGCAAAAAAATAATTTTTGAATGTTTTTTTATTTTTTTGACCTATTTTTTTGAATTTATTCATTTTATTCCGCCTTTTTTTCGAGAATCTTTAAAATTCCTGCTCCAACCGCAGCGCGGCCGCAACGCGTTGAGCCATTCCAAATGCGACCAAAACCCATTCAAAATGCCCTACTCGTAAAAAAAAAGCTAGAGAAACATCAACAGCCTTTTCCTTTTTTTTTTTAAATTTCCACCCAAAAACAGTAATCTCACGTTGATGTCAATTCCCGGCCCGAAAGTCAGTTCGTCGACGTCGATCGCCTTGTATTCGTGTGTCGTACGGACTTTGTAGACGATCTGTAAAACTCGGACATTATGACGTCATCCCGATGGTTTTCGCACTTTTCTCGGCTCTTTAGTGACCCCTTGGAGGGCGTCTTTCGGAGCCGTTTCCGGCACTCTGATTTTGACGTTGTCATGATGATGTTCCTCGTCTTCGTCGTCGTCGAACGGATTCGTCGGGTCTTTTTCCTGAATTATCTTTTTAGAAGACTTTACTGGTTCTAAGAGAGTTATTAAAGGTGTATTGATACCTTTTTAGCGTCTCTCTTGGCGGCTTCAATCGCCTTGTTGGCCGCTTCTTGTGATTCTGCGTTCAGTTTCTGGAAAAATCCAAAATTTCGAAGTTGAGACGGTTTTTGGAGTCCTCTAATAGCTTCAGAACCATTAAGAAGCTCAAAATTTCATTTCGAATTTTTTTTTTCGACAAAAATTGTGATTTCAAAGCATTTTTTGAAAAAAAACATCAGAGAAAAAATGAAGATTTTCTTCAAATCGTCCATTCAAAAAACACTCTCCAAAAAGCAAATTTTTCAGGTAGTTCAAGAAAAAATGACTGTAGACAGCTATATGCTACCGAATCTATTCATAGTCCTCAAAACCCGAAATTCTGAATTTTCTTCAAAGTTCTGACGGTTTTTGGAGTCCGCTAATAGCTTTAGAACCATTAAAAAATCCTCCAAAAAAGAAAAATTTTCAAGTAGTTCAAGAAAAAATGACTGTAAACATCTCTTCGCTTCGAAACCTACTCATACTCCTCAAAAAATAACATTTTTAACGACTTGAAGGACTTCTCTGCGCCCTCCTCATCTCTCGACGTCTCTCTCATCTTTCCGTGCTATTTCCATGTTTCTCTGACCTCGCCGGTGAGGGAACAGAGAGACGCAGACTATACTAGGCTTTTTTTGACTTCTCTGTTTCTCGAAAAATTTACAATTTCTAATTCATTTCCTGCGCATTCTTCCTGTTCAAGGAAATCTAAATAAAAAACTTAATTTTTTTTTCTTTTTTCTGGATTATTTGATTGTTTTTTTCTGGAATAGTCCTTCGAAAATGTACACGAAAAGTTGAAAAACTGGTTTTCTCTCAGCTTTTTGAGGAAAAAAACACTTCTTTTTTGTGTTCCTTATCAGATTTTGAATGTCAAGTCGTCGCTCAAGCTCCGCCCCTAACAGCGCGATAAACCAATCAGAGAGCGAGCCATCCACAGAGCGTTTTTGAATGACGTCATTGCAATTGACATTTAAAATCTGAACAGACTATATAGTGAACCATATGTTTCAGAGAGTCAAAATCCGAAGAAAATCATTTTTTGAGCTTTTCCTCTCATTTTCGACGGGTTTTTTCTCAGGACCCTATGGCACTTTTCTTTCCGTTTTAGAGTATAGTCTGTTCAGATTTTGAATGTCAAGTGCAATGACGTCATTCAAAAACACTCTGTGGATGGCTCGCTCTCTGATTGGTTTATTGCACCATTAGGGGCGGAGCTTGAGTGAAGACTTGACATTCAAAATCTGAACAGACTATACTTATTCCTAGAAACACTTCCCACACAAGTTCGGACCATATCTGCGACGTTCACTTCAAAAACTCAGTATTTTTGCAAATCGATCCTCCTGGACTAGTAGTGCTTCCTCTGAACCTACCGGATAGACTTTGTTCTCGAAGGTCTCCTCGACGTCATCGTGGTCGTCTCCGAACGGATTGGTGGTGTCTGCCGCGGCGGCAGGGGTTATGGAACGTCGGGCGGGGGTCGGAAGCTGCGAGGAGGGCGGCTGCGGCGTCGTCAGCACGGCGACGGTGATCGGCGACGGCGTCGACTGTCGCGAGGTTCCCTACGAGTAAAAATGGAATATCTCAGAACTCAGAGGCTCGGTTTCAATTTATTTATTGCCAGTTTTTCCTTTCATTCTGTCGAACTATTCTGATCTTCCCTGTATATAATCTCGTTCCCATACTCACATCGATAGTTCCACCACCGCCATTGATGGTTCCGGCGAGGGATACGGTAGAAGCCGTGTCGAGAGGAGTGATGGCCCTCGGCTCGGGCCGCGCCACCCTCAAATAGTCCATCGACTCTCCCAAGGTGTCCAGTTGGGTCACGATTTGCTTGTGGTACTGCAAAGTTGGATCTATTGATTCATCTATGGTAGAGAAAACGGTCAAATGGCTTAAGGGGTGAAAAATTCGGTACGGTTTCCCCAAAAGAGAAACATTTTTTCTGTTTCATTACGGAAGGGTTGTTGAAAAGTAAGAGATATAGAAGTCTATACCGTACTTAGAGATGCCAGAGTGCTCTCTATGGGTATCCCTTGCCTTTCAGTTAGTGTTCACTTAAGGGAAACTTTCTAAAAGCCCGCCAAAAGCCGCGTCGCACACGCAACGCGTCACCCTTGCCGATGTACCCATCTCGCCTTTCAAGTCGAGAAAAATTGAATATAGTTGTCAAAATATTGTTGAAAAAAAATTATGTTATTTTGAGAATTTTCATCTCAAGAATTCAAAAAAAAGTCACAAAACTCTTTTTTTTTTGAAAACGCCAAAAAATTACCATTGAGAATTACTTTCCACGCAGTCTTTCATCATTTATTCGAAACGTAAGCCCTCCTGTTATTCCCAAAATGAAACTTATTTTCGAGAAATAATTTTACTTCTCAAAAAATGACAAACAACGGTCAAAAAACTAACTTTTCGACCATGGTTTTGTATAGAACCATCTGGTACCCTAAAAGGAACCCTATAGGTTTCTCAGTATATCGAATTTTTCTTGTTTCGGGTCAATTTTTTCACTCAAAACTTCAAAAACTCATATCTCGGCTCAAAAAACTCAGAAACAGTTGAAATAAAGTGTTTTATCATTTTCAGAAGGTCTTCTTTTATATGGGACCATCTGGCACTCTAATGAACCAAAAGGGTTCTCGAAATATCGACTTTTCCTTATTTTGAGTCAGTTTTTTCACTCAAAATTTCAAAAATTAATATCTTCTTTTTTATGGGACCATCTGGTACTCTAAAAAACCCATAGGGTTCTCGAAATATCGATTTATTCTTATTTTTAGTCAATTTTTCACTTAAAACTTTATTTCGGGTCAATTTTGTCCCTCAAAACCTTCTACATGGGACCATCTGGTACTCTAAAGAATAATCGATTTTTCCTTATTTGGGTTGTTTTTTCGCGGAACCAAAATTTCAACGCCAGCACCATTTTTTTCTCTTTTTTTTTGAGTTTCAATTTTTAGTTGAACGAACAATGTTTCTCCAGATCGTTTCAGGTCTTTGTTACTATCCCTCGATAACAATTTCCTTTTTGGATCTATTCCCAGCAGACTCCGTTGAACCAGGTACCCGTGCTTCAGCCCTACTCTAATCCATCTAATGCGCGTCTATATCATTACAAACAATTAAATTCCCCATTCACCTGTGCTACACTGTGTCATAACTTATAATGCTTTCTTTACCATTCACTTATTTTACCTTTGTGCAATCCTCACCTCTTATTCTTTCATTACTGGCTCAGAGGCTCGTGAAGGCCTCAAGTGCCTTTTTATTTATTTATTTCAGGCTTAATGCCAAATTTTTTTCTCTTTTTTTCTGTACATGTTATTTTGTTCTGCCTGTAAATAAATAATATTATATATAAATAAGAGAATGAGAATAATAGAAGATTTATTATTCGGCTACGATTTTGTTACCTAATGCCATTGAAAAATTCTTCCCACGCTATGTTTCATTATTAATTTGAAACGTAAGCTCTCCTGTCATTTCCAAAAGAAGCTGACCGTTTTAGAACAAAATTACTTTCAAAAAACGAGGAATCAAGGTCAGAAACACTCATTTCTGAGCAATAGTTTCGTACAGAACCATCTGGTACTCTAATGAACCTATATGGTTCTCGAAATATCGACTTTGGGTCAATTTCTTCCCTTAAAAAGTCAAAAATTCATATCTCGGCTCAAAAAACTTAGAAACAGTTTAAGTAAAATGTTTCAACGTATTCGAAGAGTCTTTCTTCGAATATAACCTCCTGGTACCCTGAGGGACCCATACAGTTCTCGAAATATCGAATTTTCCTTATTTTGGGTCAATTTTGTCATTAAAAACTTCGAAAATTCATATCTCGATTCAAAAGACTCAGAAACGATTAAAATAAAGTGTTTCATCATGTTCAGAAGGTCTTCTTTTGTATGGGACCTTCTGGTACCCTAAGGAACCCTATAGGTTTCTCAGTATATCGATTTTTTCTTGTTTCGGGTCAATTTCGTTCCTCAAAACTTCAAAAATTCATATCTCGGCTCAAAAGACTCAGGAACGGTTTAAGTAAAGTGTTTCATCGAGTCCAGAAGGTCTCCTTTTGTATGGGACCATCTGGTACTCTAATGAACCCATAGAAATCTCCAAACATCGAATTTTCCTTAATTGGGTTCTTTGGCGCTAAACCCAAGGTCAAATGCCAGCCACTATTTTTATCCCTTTTCAAAATTTTTTTCAAAAAAACTCAATTTTCAGAACTTGATTTTCCCACCAAAAGCCGCGACGCGTTGCGTACGCGTCGCGGCTTTTGGCGAGAAAATCAAGTTTGAAGGGGGAAAATCGTTTTCTCTTCTTTTTTGCAAGTTGTTTAATAACTCAATATTTATTTGAATGAATGAGATTCTAAAAATAATGGAAGACTTATTATTCGGCTACAATTTTGTTACTTAATGCCATTGAAAAATACCTTCTCACGCTTTGTTTCATTAATAATTTGGAACGTAAGCCTTCCTGTCATTCCTAAAATGAAGCTGAACCTCCTCCTGCTCTTCATTTCCCTACTAATCGGCTCATTCGCTCAAGTCGGACTTTTCTACCTCCCTTGTCACTCGAACGTCGAGTGCGTCGCCATGCTTTGTAAGGTCAAATATTGATTTTTGATGGAAATTGGACTTTCCCAATGATTTGCAGACCCATCAGCAGGCCTACTGTCGTCTCATGTCCGATAGAAAAAATGGGTTCTGCTTTTGTATTCAAAAGTTGGTCATTGGGGACTTTTCAAGATGCTTTTTATTGGGAAATTTAGGGTACCTGAAGGTCAGAAGTACCAAATTGTCACCTTACCACCTCCAACCGAGCCAAGTTCCACGGAAACTACGACGACGGATAATACTACGGATAGTACTACAGATAGTACTACAAGTAGTACTACGAAAAAGACTAGGAAAAAACCAACAACGACCCAAATTTTGGTTTCAAGCACGTCCAAATTTCTCCGTACGACAAGTAATCCTACCAAAAAAACTGTTAGTGCATAAATAATGATAAACCTTTTTAAATTTGTTCTGTTGTCTTTTCATTGAATTCATTTTATTTTTCATTCATTTTTTTAATTTTTTTCAATTTTTTTATAAGCCCTAATTTCCATTGGATGAAGTAGTTTTTGTGTTTTCCAAGATTCTGGAACCTTTTTTTTTTCCTTCAAATCTATTTTTTTCAGCCGGGGTGTTTTTTTTCGGTTACACTTCTACAGAAAAATTCATTTTTTCTAGAAAAAAATTTAGATCGAATTTTCTAGGGCTTTTTTCGATTTATTTTCTTATATCAATTTAAAGAATTTGGTTTTTCAAGTTGTTTTAATTTTGACTAAAAAAAGGATGGCTGGATTTTTTTCAGAATTATTTCGAAAAATTGGTCGATTTTCTAAGAAATTCGGCGAAAAAAATGAAGCTTTTTCCCAAAAAAATTTGATTTTGTACTAACCGTCGGAAGAGTTTCCAGAATATAAAACCAACTTTCCAACTTTAAAAAACAACTTTTTTTCGAAATAACTGAACATTTTTTTGAGTTTTTTTGAAGGGTAAATCGCTTTAAAAAGTCAATTTTTCGTGATTATCTCCTAGTAGAACCCTCCGAGACTCATAAATTCATTCGAAAAAAAGCCATTTTCAATCATTTTTTTCCGTCTAAAAAAATAATTTTTTTTCGAAAAATTTGAATAATTCTGTCTGGAACGAATGTCAGAAAAAAAAGCTTAGCGGGAAAAAGCAATATTAATCTCGAACAATTTCTCAAATTTATGAGATTTTCAGAAACAGGAAAAACGCTACAAAATTGGTGATTTTCAATATTTTTTCGAACGTTACTCTTGTCCTTCAAAAACTTCAAAAATTTGGTTTTCTTTTTCTTTTACCTTGCTGGCCTCGGTCTGATAGACGCTGTTGCTGTTGAACAACGTCTGCAAAGTGTCCACGAAGAACGTTATCCGGCTGTCGTAGGTGGCGGGGAGAATCTAAGAATTTAAAATTTAAAAAAATAAAAAAATAAAAAAACATTTTTTTCAAGATTAATTCCCGGCTATAGTCGATTCACGGCTGTCTTTCGCTTTTTTGCTTTGAAAAACTCTAATGTGAGCAATAAATATGTGAAATGAGTAATAAAGCTGGTAGAGCCATCAAAAAAAGGCCTTGAAACCAAGAAAAAAGAAATAGTGTCCGATTAGCGGAGAGCGCAGACAGGTCACGCCCCTTTTTGTCCCAAGCCAGCCGTGAATCGACTATATAAGAAATTTCGAGGACTTCGAATTTGAAATTTTCACGCGCCGTGAGAAAAATTGGGTCCTACAACGAAATAACGAATTTCAAAATTTTGTCTAAAAGTTGCCCAAAAATTTGAATTTCGCGCCGAAACGTCGCCATTTCGACCCAATTTTTCTAAAAAAAAAATGCGAATTTTGCGTATTTTTGTGACGATTCTGGAAGAATATAAAGTCGATATCGGAATGGCCAAAATTAAAAAAGCATTCAATTTTGATTTCTTCAATCAGCTGTGCAAAAAGAATAACAAAAAAAAAAAAAACAAATATATATATATACAACATTTGAAACAGGAAAGAGGTGAACGAAAATTTTTTTTTTCAAAACTTTTTTCTGACATGGAGCGCCGCAACTCTTTCTCTGTAACACACTATTTCGTCGTTATCTAGCTGCGAGAAAACGACGAAATAGTGTGTGTCAGAGAAAGAGTTGTGGCGCCCTTTTGGCGCTCCTTTTTAGAGTTTTGAACTGATTTTTTTTTACCGATACAAGGATCTACCGTTGCAAGGAATTCATAAGACTTTATTTTTTCCGAGAAAAAATTTCGGCGGTATAAAAAAAAATATTAACCAAAAATCAAACGGCGACTTTTCCGATTTTTTCATATCGCTAGGGAACTTTCTGACGAATCTTTTTCCGACTTTTTTTCTCGATAAAATGTTCGTTTTGAATCTTCCTATACAATGTAGGTAGTTGGTTCATGATTAAAACACAAAGAAATAGGAAAAAATGATAATAGATGTTTAATAAACCGAAAAATAAAAGCGGAAAAAGTCGGAAAAAAGATTCTGCGGAAAGGTGGCCGTCGGAAAGTTCCCTAACGATATGAAAAAGTCGGAAAAGTCGCCGTTTGAAATTTCGCTGGTCTTTTTTTCATACCACCAAAAATTCGTCGCGTCTTCTCAACTATTACCTCCAACAGTTCCTTGTTCAACTCGACGAACGTCGTTTCGGCATTCTGGAGCTCTGAAGTCGCCTTGGCCAACTTCGGGTCTTGGTCACCCTGAAAAATTGGAACCTTTTATCGTTGAAGTGGTCACTAGAGGGGCTTCTTATAGGTTCCCCTCAAGGGACCACTTTTTCTTACCCTATAGAGGGCAATAAGTGGTCACTCTAGGGGTGCCTTTTCAATATACCACCCAAAACAAAAATGAAAAAAACCACTCAAGGGGCGGTCTAGCAAATAATGAAACTTTGAAACGCCAGAGTGGCCCCTGAAGGGCAACCTTAGGGGTCCTTGTAGGTTCCTCTCAAGGGACCACTTCGTCTCCTCCTGTAGGGGGCAATAAGTGGCCACTCTAGGGGTGCATGGTTTCTATACGTCTTTTCAACGTAACACCAAAAACAAAATGAAAAAAAAAACACTTTAGGGGCGGTCTAGCAAATAATGAGTGATCCCTGAAGGGGAAAACTTAGGGGATTCTCATAGGTTCCCCTCTAGGGACCACTTCATCTCCTCCTATAGGAGCACGAAATCTTGAAGAAGTGGCCACTCTAGGGGAGCATTCAAATGGTCCCTACACGGATTTTTAACTTGACACCAAAAAAGAATGAAAAAAAAAAACACTATAGGGACCACTTAAGCCTTGAAAGCTCAGAGGTCAAGCCCTATCCCCTAGAGGGACCACCTAAATTTGACCCCTATAGGGAGCCCGGTTTTCTCAAATAAAATGGATTTTTTCCCCGAACCCCTCTAGGGACCACTCTGGCGTTCCTAAAAATTGGCTGATTGTGTTAAATTTGTACTCTAGCTTTGCAGAGAAAGTTTTTGAAATGGATCGATTTGGGAAATAATTTTTTGTACGATTCACGAAACTGGAACCTCATTTTTTTATTTTCAATTTCTGAAATTTTCAAAAACTTGAAATTCGCATAGTTTGTGAGTTTTTTTAACTCAAGCTCCCTATAGAAAAATTGTCATATTTCAACATTTTTTTGTATGATTTCTACACCTAGAACTTCATTTTCTCGTCAGAAAACCATAAAAAAACTCCCAAAAATCCCTGTCTAAAAACTTGAAATTTCTCTCAAAATCAAAAATTTTCTGTGTAAAAATCATTATGAAAAAAATATTCTTCAAAAACTTTTTTTTTCAAAAATTTTTTTCCCTACAAAAACTAACGCATTTTTCTGGAGGAAAATTGAAAATCTAGTCCTAAAATCTTGATTTTTCACTCTAAAAATAGCTTTCGATTTTATTTTTTTCAGTGAGAAAAATCAACAAATTTTTTTATAAAAAAACTGTTAAAATTTGATTTTTTTAATCATTAAAAAAATCCAAGAATTATCAAACAGAGAAATTGAAAAGTTACAAGATGTGTATTTGAAACAGGAAAGAGGCATAAAATGGAAAAAAATTTTTTTTTCGGAATTTTTCTGTAGGATTAAGTCGTAATTTTTTTCTCAAAATGAATTCTAAAAAAATATTATTTTGAACTTTTTTTGAATATTCAATCATTCGGGCCTTTTTCAAAGCTTTATCGATTTTTTCAGAATTATTATTCACCTTTTTGCTGGACGCCTTAATGGAGTTGTAGGAGTGCTTGGCGCTGTCATAATCCACTAATTTTCGTCCTCTTTTCTCGACCTTGAAATCATCGATTATTGATTGAAAAATCACTCAAATGAAACCTTCTTCTTCAAATCGGAAAACTGATTGACGTAGGCCGTCACACTTTGCGGCAAATCCTCACAGACCGTTTTTTCGAGTTCACTCGACTGGATATCCAGGTTCTAAAAAGACATTTCATTTCGATTTTTTTAAAGTTTTCCATTTTTTTAAATTTTTCTCAGACAATTTTTTTTCATGGTAAAAAGTTTTCCAATCGGGAAATATTTCTATAAATGTTGAAAAAGGATCATTTTTTTCAAAGATTTATTGAATTTGATATTCTTCCAAAGCAATTTTGTCATCTCTGAATGTCGTTTAAACGAAAAAAATGTCCTTGAAAAACGTCCAAAAAAAGTTTCTTGAAATTTTTTTCCATTTTTACATTAAATTATATTTTTTTCACATGTAAAGGCTTCCAAAAAAACTGTCACTAAAAAAATGTGTAAAAAAAGTCATTCTTTTTCAAATGTTTTCCTATCAAAAAAATGCTCCCACAAGGTTCAAAAACACACTTTTTGAAGATTTTTCCCGTTCTTATATTCATTCAAGACTTTTTCATCTCAAAGTCTTTTTACACATAAATTGCCACTAAAAAAATTCACAAATAGATCATTTCTTGAAGATTTTTTTAATTCTCATATTTTTTTCAGGCAATTTTTTTTCATGGTAAAAAGTTTTCCAATCGGGAAATATTTCTATAAATGTTGAAAAGGATCATTTTTTTCAAAGATTTATTGAATTTGATAATATTTCGAAGCAATTTTTTTCATCTCTGAATGCCTTTTAATCGAAAAAAATAGTCCTTGAAAATGTCCAAAAAGGTCGTTTTTTTAAAAGATTTTTCCCTTTTTAGTATCTTTTCAAGGTACTTTTTTTTATCTCGAAGAGTTTTCCTATCAAAAAAATTTCTGAAAATGTCCAAAAAAAGGTTCATTTTTTTGAAACAATTTCTCATTCTAGTATTTTTTTAAACATTATTTTCTCATTTTCAAATATTTTTCTTATCAAAAAAACGCTCCCAAAAAGGTTCAAAAGGTCACTTTTTGAAGATTTTTTTCGGTTTTTTTCTATTCATTCAAGACTTTTTTTCATTTCAAAAAGTCTATAATAAAAAAATGACTCTGAAAAAAAGTACAAAAAAAGTTATTTTTTTGGGGATTCTACCATCCAAATTTTTTTCAAGGAATTTTCTGTTATCTTGAAAAGTTTTCCAAGCGGGAAATATCCCTGAAAAATGTCCAAAAAGAGTTATTTTTAAAAGATTTTTTTCCGTTCTAGTATTCATTTAAGGATTTTTTTCATTTCAAAAAGTCTTTTACACATAAATTTCCCTAAAAAAATTCACGAGTAGAACATTTTTTTGAAAAATTTCATCATTTAAGAATTTTTTTCAGGCATTTTTTTCATGATAAAAAAAGTTTTCCAATCAAAAAAATATAACTGAAATTGAAAAAAAGGACCGTTTTTAAAGAATTTTTCCATTCAAATACACTTTCAAGGTATCTTTCACCTCTCTACAAGCTTTTCAATTAAAAAAATTCTTCTGAAAAAAATTCAAAAAAATGTCTTTGAAAAAAAGTACAAAAGAGTCCTTATGTATGGATATTAACATTTCAATATTTTTTTCCGAGGCATTTTTAATTCAAAAATGTCTTTTTGATCCTAACACATTCATGAAAATTTTCAAAAGGATAATTTTTTTTTTCAAAGACTATTTTTTTCAAGTTCCAAAGTTTTCCAATCAAAAAAAGCCGCTAGAAATGTTCAAATAGATCCTTTTTAAAACACAATCAGGAATTTTCTAATATACTTCAAACATAAAAATTACTGTTTCAATTAAAACGAACATCGAAAATGGCGGTCAAGTGTTCCCTTTCGGGCCATTCGGGCTCGTAAGCGTCGCGAATCGTGTCCCGGAGCGTTTTTTCGGCCGCGATCAACGCTTTCAGTGATTGGGCGTAGATCTGGAAAATATAACCATTGAATTGAAAATAACTGTTGGGAAAAAAGTCGAATTAGAGGCAATTTCGAACAAAAATGGTGTTTTAGAAAATCTTTTTTTAGCGCTTAGAACATATCAAAAGTTTATGAAAAATTGGGCGTTTTCGGATATTTTATGAAAATTAGAAAGAAAAACTGGATAACGTCAATTTTATAATTTTATAATTAATTTTCCAAATTTTGGCTAATTTTTTTCTCAAAAAAAGCTTAATTTCCACTGAAAAAAACTTGATTCTTTCTTTCAAAATTTCTAATTTTCACTTCTAATCAACAAGAATAAAAAGATAAAATAGGAAAAATCAAGCTAAAACTTCAATCTGAGAGAAATATTTAAATTTTAAGAGGTTTTTTTATTCAGCTCCATGAAGTTATTTTTCACCAGAAAAAGCTCATTTTCGTCACAAAAAGCATAATTTTCACAGAAAAGGCTCATTTTCCCCCTCAAAAAGCTTATTTTTCAAATTAAAACAACTTTTTCCTTCAAATCAATCAAAATAAACGATAAAATAAGAAATTTCCTGGAAAAACCTTCAATTTGAACCTCAAATCTCTATTAAAAATCGCGATATATTCAGCAAAATACCGTTATTTTCCATTAAAAAGCTGATTTTTCACACAAAAAGGCTCATTTTTTCATTCAAAACTTTAAATTTTCACTTCAAATCAACAAAAAAATAGGAAATTTCCTGAAAAAAAACCTTCAAATCCTTAAGAAGACGTTCACAGGATGTGCTCTGCTTGTTCCATTTTTTAATTTTATGATTAATTTTCCAATTTTTGGCTAATATTTCTCAAAAAAAAAAGCAGATTTTTCACACAATAACGTTCATTTTTTCATTAAAAAACTTCAATTTTCGTTTCAAATCAACAAAAATAGGCAATTTCTTGGAAAAACCTTCAAATCCTTATGAAGACGTTCACAGGATTTGCTCTGTTTGTTCAAATTTGCGGCGTGTTGGTCGAAAACTTCGTCTTGGGTCGCTTTTGCCTTCCCGATCCCTTCCAGGAGCTGAAATAATTTTAAAAATCGGGCATTTCCTGTAATTTTTGAAGAGCATAAACTCAACTAGTTCTTTCAAAAAAATATGAAAAAAACTTAAAAAAACGTTTTTTTGAGACTTTGAATGTAGTAATCGTTTAATAAAAAGTATGTGAAAAAAATTTAACAGAAAAAAACTTTTTTTATATAACATCACTGTTTCTAGTCTTTCTCAAAAAAATGATTTTATTTGAAAAAAAGTTAATTATTAGGTGAAACAATCAAAAAATTAACCTTTTTCCTTCGTCCTGGCTGTCGCTTTTTTAATGTGCTTGTTGAAAAGATCGGCCATCACTGAATTCAAAAAATAGAAAAAGGCTTAAATCAAAAAAAAAAACCCGAAAAAAAAAATAAATCAATCAAATAAACATAAGCAAAATGAAAAAAATGCCAAAACCTCGAAAATAATGGAAAAAGATCAATTTCATGACATTTTCTAGTGAAAAAATGAACATCGACGCGAATTTTCCAACTCAACTCAAAAACCACCCAAGGATCAATATTTTCAACTTCAAAATGAATTTATAAAAAAAGGCTGAAACTGGGAAGATTGAAATTTAAAAAAATTGAACATAAAAAAAGAAAAAAATCGATAAATTTTTTTCAAGTTATTTCGCTTCCAAATTTGATCATATTCATTAAAAAAACAAGCCATTTTTTTCAATTAAATAAATTAAAAAAATAAAAAGAAAAAAACGCGATTTTTCTAAATACAGGACGGGAAACGCGAATATTTGTGCAAACACTGGGCGATAAGAGCGCACAATTGCGTTTCAAGTGGTCACTTGAGTGGAAAAAAAGTGGACAGGAATATATGAATCCACTGTTTCAGAGAAGCTTGAAAAAGAAATCAAAAAAACTCGGAATTGAATATTTTTTTGATGCACCCCTTCAAAGTGATTCTGCGAAATTCAAAAATAGGCGTCAGAGAAAGAAAAAAAGACAACTTAATTTTTGGAGATTTAGAGATAAATTTCACGGAAATCACGTTGAAAAACGGCTTGGAATATTTGAAAAATTGTCTAAAAAAATCCTGAAAATATGAAAAAAATAAAGAAAAAAATCCTCAATTATACAAAAAAAGGTGATTAAATGACCAAAAATTCTTGAATTTGAGGGAATTTCTTGGAAGTTTCACCTTATAAAACTTGAATTTTTTTCAACTTTACACTCAAATTTTTTTATCAAATTAACAAGTTGAAGCTTATAAAAAAACTTATAAAAAGTACTGGCTTCCAAGAAAAATCTCTAAGTTTTTCGAATAAAGCAAATTTCTAGGGATTCAATAAGCTCAAAAAAATGATATTTTGCGCATTTTAAAACATTTGCAGATAGGTAAAATGAAGTTGTTTGTATGATTTTCAAGATTTTCAGAAAAAAATAAAGGAGTTTTTCAGAAACGAAACCACAAAGAAATCTGGAAAAGAGCCCGGCTTTTCTCAAAAAAATCGATCCAGAGCCTAGAAAAAAAGTCGCTAAGTGCATCAAAGTGCAGAAATTTGTTGTTTCCAACAAAATATTTCCTTGGAAAAAAGTTCAACGGGAAGTTAATCAGCTTCCGAATCGGAAAATGCGCCGGGAAGTTCATCATTTCAATGTTTACAAGGAGTAAATTCCACAAATAAACACAGAAATTGCGGCAGGCGTGGTGTTATATATAGATTTGTGATGGAAATTTTGAGAAAAACTGAAAAATTTTTTTCGTTTTAATTTTTTTAAATCACTTTTTTTCCAGAATTTTTTTAAAAAAATAACCTTTAAATGGAACACAGGGAACGATTTACTACCGTAAAAGGGGTACTGTAACTTTTTAAAGGACTTATGGACGCTTTTTAATGTAAAGCCGTCTTTTGAACTCAAGAAGTTTCAACGAAAACTTTAAAAAAAGAAAGAAAAATGATTTTTTCTTCTCAAAATCTAACTTTTTTCCAGAATTTTTAAAAAATAACCTTTAAATGGAACACAGGGAACGATTTACTACCGTAAAAGGGGTACTGTAACTTTTTGAAGGACTTATGGGCGGTTTCAAAGTCGGTAATAAAAATTCGTCTGGTAAATTTAAGAAGTTCCAACGAAAAACTTGAAAAAAGGATTTTTTCTTCTTAAAATATAACTTTTTTCCAGAATTTTTGAAAAATTATCTTTAAATGGAACACAGGGGACGAATAGCTACCGTAAGAGGGGTACTGTAACTTTTTTGAAGGACTTATGGACCATTTTTAAGTCGGTAATGAAAATTGGTCTGTTAAATTCAAGAAGTTCCAACGAAAAACTTGAAAAAAGGATTTTTTTTTTACCACTTCTTTTTAAAATATACACTGAAACCAAGTTTGAAAACGGATCTAACCCAGGGCAAGAAAAGAAGCCAGGAAAAAGGCAACAAAAGACCTTTGTCCGGAATTCTCTTCATGATTCAGAGCTTGTGAATCGGCCGAAAGGCGGGATGACTCAAAAAATTCCGCACAAAAGACGATTCTCTTATCGCAAAATGTTTCTTTTATTGAAAAATACACCGAACGTTCTAACATTTCTTATCTTTTTAAAACAAAAAACGTCTCAATTTCGAAAAAGGAAAAAGTGAATTCTAGAAAAAAACCGACAAACAACCTCCGCCATTAGAAAAACCTTCTTAAAAAACAGGAATCCTTACAAAATTGCGCTATTTTCCACCAAGATTAACAAACAAATGACGTCGGGAACTAGCGAATTTTCAGAAAAAGGTAAAAATCAACTTTGCTGACCATCCTTTGACGAACCAAAAAGACATTAGTGACTTTCACTATTCCGCATAGATCCATTGAAAATATAGGGCACGGAAAGTAAATACAACAACTTCCAGAGAAAATCCGCCGGCATTTTTGTAGTTAGGTTTCAAACAGGATAATTCGGTTTGCTCGAAACTCTGGCGGTTTTAAAAAGCAAAAAATGATTCAAAAAAATGATACTAAGAAGGATTTTTAGTTTTTGAATTTTTTTGCTGTTTTTTTGAACCAAGTTATAAAACTTGCTCCCTGAACAGGTACGGTAGTTTCATACTTTTAAAAAGCATTATTAACTTACGAAGGTACATGAAATCAGCAAAACAAAACAGAAAAAAGATTCAAAATGAATAAGCTCAATTTTTTGCGCGTGAAAGTTGCACTCTCGTGCTTGCAGAATGTAATCTACAGTGATCAAAATTATTTTTTTTCAGTGTTTTTCAAATTTATTCGCTTTTCTTTTTCAAATATTTATGGTTATACTTATATTATTTGACAAGTTGCAGGGGAACAAAACAGGCAAAAGCTCTGGGTCGACTTCTCGAAGATGACAACTGGAAAAGAATAAAAGGACAAGCTTTGAATAGAGAATATGGCGTTCCCATGCATCCGATGGCCAGTTAATGATCCTTCTTCTCTTTTGCACCAGCTGCAGGTTTTTTTTTCCGTTCTCGCGGGCCAAATGGGTATTATAAATCTTAGGACTGGACGATGAAATTCCCTTTGAAGGAGTAATTAAAAATTTCCGAGAGGGAATATAGGCATATTATGAAGTTTTTTTGGCGTTACAGGGGTTTTTTTAAAATTAGCCTAAAATAAGATTCAAAAAAAGCTTTATTTTTTTAGAAAAATTCAGATAAGCTTCTCAGAAATTTAATTGAGAAATTGAAAATTGGTTATTCAAAGTTTTGCTTGATTATATTTTTTTCTTGTTGAATTTTAGCAAATACTAAAAAAATTTTATTAAATGAAAAAAATGGTGAAAAATGCGAAATTTTATGATTCTTGTGACTTTTAAGAGATTCTGTACCACTATTCGAGATTAGATATCTATTTTGAACGGAACAAATGACCAATTTTGTGTGAAAAAAAGAAAAAAACATTTTGAACTGGAAAAAAATGAGAAAAAAAGAACTTGAAAAAAAGACTTTTCTAGAGATTGAGGACAACAACAATTGCGAAAAAACAGCATGAATTAAATCGTCCGAGGCGTTGACCTTCATCTCCAGAAGGTCTTTGAAACCCAGAACCAAAAAAAAATATTTTTTACAAATTTTTTTAATGAAAAAGGGTATGGACATTGAGCTACGGAGTCAGCTAATACAAATAAAATAGACAAGACGAGTTCATCTCGAAAGTGCGGACGATAGAAAAAAAACCGCACGTGTGTGTCGTAACTCGAGAATGATCGATTTCCGAGAGGGTCGCTGTGTTTTCTTTTTTTTTTGTCTTGTCTGTTCTGTTTCTCGGCGAGTTTGATAAGAAAAAGAGACAAATGACGCGGTGAAGAAACCGAATTTTGGAAGACAAGGAATTTTCCCGAAAAGGGGAAAGGTGCTTATTAGAGGCATAGGGGCAGTAAAAAATGGGGTTTCAGGTGAAAGCAGTATCTTATATAGTTTTTCTTTGCGAATCGAATGGTGTACTCAAAAAAATTACAGATGTGACAACTTTGGAAGAAAAAAGCGATTTTACTTTCCCTTCTTCTTCAAATCAAGGGTTTCTACGCTGAAACATTGATTAAGAAAACAGAAAACACACATTGATAATAAAGAAAATACAAATAATCGCTATCCCAATCGAAACCTGTGTGAAATCATCATTTTTCACCAGAAAAGCTTTTTTGCGATCAAAGTTTGCAAACTATACATGAATAGAAACTTTTTGTGACGAAAAGAACTTTGGTGACAACAGAAAAAATTAAAAATTGAAAGAAACGAAGAAAAAAAGCGAAAATCCGGAAGATGGCGAGTCTGTTGTCCATAGAGCAACTTTACTGCAAAGTGCCCTTTTCCTGGGAACTCAAACTTTCCTCTCTCCGACTTTGAATTATTTTTTCTCCAAAACTAGGAAGTTCTGTACGTTTTCAAGTTCACCGTTCGATTCGCAATCAAAAGCTCTACAAAGTACTGCTTTGAACTGAAACGCCGTTTTTTACTGCCCCTATGCCTTTAAATCTATTGATAAAGTGAAAAAGTTGAGGAAAACAGTGTGAAACTATTTTTGAAGGTGTTTTGAAGTTTTTCTACATGAAATGAGGTGTCCTCAAACAAAACTGACCTCGTATAGTCCATTTGAATGACGAGGCGTCAAAAAGCAAGGGCCTTCCGAAGTAGAAGTCACTACGCTCTCACTATCGGGTTGATAGGGGGCTGATTAAACTTTTTAGGAAGTTGAAGACTTGTTTTACAAGGAAAATAAAGTAACTGGTTGAAAATCGACGTTTCTTCGAAAATATGATTTTTTTGAATCTCTTTTTTTTCACGATTTTTGGTTTTTTGCTCATAAATTTAGTCTGACTCGAGCAAATCAGTTCTATTCTCGGAAATAAGTAACTGCATAGCTATTTGTAATCTGTGCGAAGTTTCAAGTCATTTGAGCCAATTTCAGAGAAGTTATGCTCCAATAACCACTTTTAAATACCTTTATGGCCAGTACTGTATCTACTAAAGATCCTAGGAGTCTCAGCTTGCTAATTTTCTAACTTTTCGAAAAAAAAAAGGCTTGGAGTTTCAAAAAAGGGTTATTTTAACGGATTATCATGCTTTTCGGATTCAGGAGGGTACATTTTTATCGTAAAAAGTTTTAATAGGTTTTACAAGAGTATTTAGAATATGAAAATCGTTTTAAATAAGCTACTATCGATTAAAAAAAATCCAAATAGCATTTTTTTTTTCGGTCTTCCGTTTTTGAACTTCTTGTAAAGAATGGTGCTCTATATAGAAGTAACTTTTTGATTTTTATCTTCAAATTAACATAATTTTAGATTTTTAATTATTTTTTTCCGTGCAATTATGGTACATCCAAGAGTATTCTAACCATAGACATCTAAATCGCGAGGTAGAAAACCTACCTCGTGATGCGGAAAAGGTCGATAATCGCTGAGATGACGGGTTGAGATTGTCAGGAAATCGGGATGAGCGGAAATTTGATATGGAACAGGGTGGCAAGAGTAGTTTTCCAATGGATTCAAGGTGAAAATAACCCGGGAAGAAAGATTTTTCAGCAATATCGCTTTAGAAAACTAACTCCATTGAGCAATTCGAAAAAAATAAACGAATAAATTATAATAAAAAAATAATAGGTTTATTCACTGCATAAAAAGAAGTTTACATTTTAAAAAAATTTGAAAAAAATTTTTTTTAAATAGTCATTTTTGCTTTGAATGTATGAGTTTGATCCGATTTCCGTGGAAAAAGATAAAATTTGAAGACGACCGAAGCCAATTTTGGGCTTTTAAGGGTGCCAATTTTCCCCTTTTTTCCGTCAAATTTTATATTTTCCGATTGGCTTTCAGCTTGCAAATACGCCAAGCCGTCAAAACGGAAAATTTACCGATCGAAGTTTCAAGAGACCAATTTCAATCCTTTTTTACCGTTTCAAGCTTTCGATTTGCTGCATTTTTGGGCCGATTTTCACTTGAAAAGTTTGGAGTCCAGTCCCTTTTTGCCAAATTTTCTTAAAATCGAAAATCCCATAAATCAAAGCTTATTAAAGCGATAAATCACCGTGACGTGAGACATACTTGGACCGGTTCCAAGTGCATTTTTATGTAATTCATTTCGATGAATTGATCTTATCTACTCATTCCGAAACAGTCGTTTAATTCAATAAGTGAGAGTTCAGTTTGGAGAAGAATAAGAAGAAACAACACTGCCGAAGTCGGAAGTGCGGAAAACGGGTGCAAAAAGGGAGTGACTGCAAAATGGCCGCTAAACGGGTCCCTTTTTACGGCCAACTTATTTAGAGCTTTATAAATGAATTGTTAATTTTCAAGGAAAATGACAGTGTTTTCGCTATTTTTGAATATTTTCAGCTCTTTTTTTTTTGAACATTCAGCAGTATTCTATCCGAAAATTTACGTTCTATTTTAAAGGCATAGGGGCAGTAAAAAATGGGGTTTCAGGTGAAAGCAGTATCTTATATAGCTTTTCTTTGCGAATCGAATGGTGTACTTAAAAAAATAAAGATGTGACTACTTTTGAAGAAAAACGCGATTTTACTTTCCCGCCTTTAATTTTGAAAAATTCTTTGAATCGGTAAAGGACAAATGTTTACAGTAGCCTTGCACGGGATTTTGCGGACATCTCATTAGACTTGCATTTTGTGAGAAATAACCCGCTATCTGCTTCAAATTAAGAACTTCCTCTCTGAAACATCGATTAAGAAAACAGAAAAAACATATTGATAATAAAGAAAACACAAATAATCGCTATCCCAATCGAAACCTGCGTAAAATCATCATTTTTCACCAGAAAAGCATTTTTGCGATCAAAGTTTGCAAATCATACATGAATAGAAGGCTTTTGTGACGAAAAGAAATTTGGTGACAACGGAAAAATTGAAATTTGAAAGAAACGAAGAAAAAACCGTATATCCGGAAGAAGGCCGAGCGTGTTGTCCATAGAGCAACTTTACTGCAAAACCCCTTTTTGGCGGGAACTCAAACTTTTTTCTCTCCGACTTTGAATTATTTTTTCTCCAAAACTAGGAAGTTCTGTACGTTTTCAAGTTCACCGTTCGATTCGCAATAAAAAGCTCTACAAATTACTGATTTGAACTGAAACACCGTTTTTTACTGCCCCTATGCCTTTAAGAAAAACGGGTTTTCTGCCATTTTCTAGCCCTTTTGCTTCA